CAAAGCTGGGGTCAACCAGCACAAAGTCCTGTGCCCAGGTCTTTCAGCTCCAAACCCTACAACTCTCAACCCTATCCTGGACCCTATAAAACCTACGTTTGTAGGGTTCCATAAGCTGATGAAACTCCCAAACCCCAAACCTTTCCCGGATCCCTGCGAGAAAGAGCAGGGTCGTGCAAAAAGCCCTGAACCCCATAAGGCCTACAATGCTCCGGGCAAACAGAAAAAAGGTCCCAGTGGGGCCTGGGGTTGGGCGGTAAACACAACAGCATACACCATGCACCCGAAATCATCGAAATCCGAACGCCTGTCAAACACTACGAGAAGTGCTACACCGCGGGCACCAACGATATCTTAAAAAACGCATCTAAGGTTTCCGTCGAGTTTAACATCCCTTTCGCTAGATTCCGCTAGATGGCTTGGAGATGGTGAGATCAAGAGAAAATCCTGAGACCAAACCACGAAACTCCAAAACAATGCACCCTGAAACCTGAAATCCAAAAGAATCAAACAAGTGCACCATAAAAAGAAGACTCATCAAGCACACATATTACAGTGTGTATATATATATATATATATATATGCATGTACTTTTGTATGCCAGGCTACCATAAAATGCAAAATCCTAACTTCAAAAATCCCCAACCCCATTTTAGACCCAACTAAAGTAAGTCATACAAACTAGTGCAAAATCCGAAACCCCACTTTAACAGCTCCAACGCAAAACACACTCACGCAAACCACTGCTCAAAAAAAAGGCGCCCGACTGCTGCTCAAAGCCGTACATTACAAAGGCATTACAAAGGACTATGTAAGTATGCGAACCCTAAACCCTATATCCTCTACCCCACAAACCAAAAGCCTTAACCCCTAAAATCCCCAAATCCCCTTAATCCCCAAATCTGAAACGCAAAACCCCTGAAAAAGCATTTTTTCCGCGCCCGCCTGCTGGCTAAAGGGGCTGCTTCTGCTGACGTCGGCCATGGAGTGGAGAAGCAGCCGACCCGGGGGGTCCTATGAAAGAGCTAGGATTTCGGGGGTTTGGGAGTCCAGGGGTTCAGGGTTTGAGGGTTAAGTCTTGGGGTTCAGTGTTTAGGGTTTAGGGGTTTAGGGGTGGTCCTACTGTTGATGGACGATATCCTGCATGACCTTCAGGACCCTAAACTATGGGAACTATGCAGTATTCCTTATAATGGGTAATGCAGGATTTTGTCCATCAGCCGTATGAAAGAGTCAGGGCTTTGGGTTTAGGACTGAAGGTTCAAGGCTAAAATATAGGGGCCTTAATAATTAGAATAGGCTTGTGGGGGACATTATACTATAATTGAAATAAGGAAGCTCAAAAATACTATCGGTAATTATTTAGGCCCCTGTAGTAGGGTTTTGGGTGTAGGATTGAGGGTTCAGAGATTTAAGAGCCTTACGAGGATTCCTTTAAGGGCTCTTTATGAGGACTCCGAAGCGGTTTTACCCATTTCTTCTGTCTTTGGGCTTGGGGTTCGGGCCGTGTCGATAAGTGGTTGACGTATCGTCTCATGTCTTAATTCTCTGAATACCCAGGGGCCCCAAAGTAGTTCCCTTTTTGGGTGTGTCCTCTTTTTTGGTTAGGGACTCTAATATACCACCCAAAAAGGAACTACTTTGGGGCCCCTGGGTAGACAGGGAATCTGTGGTGCCGGGGAGGGTGAGCGTGGGATTCGTGGGGACATGATCAGATCCCGGGTTGCTTAAAGGATCATGGGACTTAGTAAGTAGGGTTCCTTAAAGGGCTCCTTAAAAGGGATCTATAGGGGTTCCTTAAAGGGATCTATAGGGTTTAGGGTTTAGGGGCTACTTAAAGGATCATGGGACTTAGTAAGTAGGGTTATAAGTAGGTTATAATTAGGATAACCCCACTTAGGGGACTTATAACCCCAGATATAACCTACTTCCTAAGTCCCATGATCCTCTAAGTGTTGGTGAAGGCGGGAGGGGAGAGCCCTGTGTTTGTTTGTTTCAGGGTTGGTTTATTGCTGCGGCGAGAGTTTTTCGCGTTTAGTGGGTGTGGGCAACATAAGACCGGCTACATGCTATGGGCGTTTTCGAAAAAGACCTTTGGATGTGGAGTCTTCCTTTCGGAGTCTTCCTTTCGATGTTTCAATAGAAAGGGTTGCGATTATCAGCGTACGCATACATCTACATGTATCACTGATTGCACTGGCTCTTTCTTACGACACCAAAACAATGACCGAACGCAGTGCTCACGACGATCCTACTGCGTCGCTGTAACCGGTGCACGTACACATAGAGGATCATGAGACGTAGCCAATTACGTATACTCTCCGTTGTAGTTCCTTTTCTGGTTGTATACCTTAGAGGAACCGAAACAAAACAACTAAGCAAAGAAGAAGGAGAACGACAGTGGAGACTACAGGTAGGGTGCTGATAAACCTAGTTGGCTTCCGGTGCAAACTTTCGAAGCGCTCTAACCCCGAGACTCTACCCTAACCCTGAACAACCTACCTTTTTAGGGTTCCCCATTATGATTTCTTTACATAAGTGCTTCAAAATGTAGGTTCTTCGGGGTTAAGGTACAGCCTACCACCAAAAAGAAGCTGCGGAAGGCTGCATCCTCGACATGGTGTTTGGGCACGCCAGGGCTGGCAATCACAGGCCGGGCTCCCCCGTCAGAGGAGAGCGGAGAATCGCAACACACCAAGCAACACCAAAAAAAACGATGTTCAGTGAGTTTGAGGATTCAAGTGAGCCTGGGTTAAGGGCTGAAGGGTTTGAGTGAAGTCTGGCTGAAAGAGTTGCTGTCAGCTGAATGCGCTGGACGCTCAGATCCTGACATTGCTCTTCGCTATTTCGAAACAGAACTGCCTCCGAAACACTAGAAGGGCCAGAAATCCTTGGCTGTGTTGCTGACAAGTCAATCAATCTGACGTCCTTCGATTGGAGCCAAAAAGAGGGCGACGTTTAATGCGTCCACAACCTGTCTTCTTGGGGTCTTGCTATTATAACCTGCCCCACGACGATGTAGGTCATGGTATGTTCCGGTACCCGAAGCCGAAATCCTAAAGCTTGAAGTAAGCCTCAAACTTGAGACTCCCCAGACCCAAAACCTAAAAAGTGCTAATTTTCTACATACTTTTGGGAACCATGAAACTAAGCTGCGATCCAAGTCAAGTGAGATCCACAGCAGCTGCCCCCCTAAAACGGTTTAGGGTTTAGTTGTTTAGGGTTTTGGGTTAAGGGTTTGCTTCAGTTGTGTCAAACCTAGAACCTTGGCAAGAAGACTTTCGTACAAATCTAAGAGGGACCTGAAAATGACTTAGGGGCCTGTCTTACTGTCACAGCAGTTTCAGATCACAGGATCCCGCCGTCTAGGCATGTTAGAAGGATCTGCATGCCGAGATCTAAAGAGACACAATACCTAGCTCGGCACACAGAGGACCTACCCCTCGGGTCCCACACTTCTCTACACGGTTTCCCGAAACAAGCAATAAATCTACCTCACACCATGTATTATAAGCACTCCCCATGTTCAGGTCATACTCCTCGGCATTCCTCGGTTCAAGAACATATGTATGGGGCTCTGGGGCAATCACAGCCGCCTGGATCCTTAAAACCTTACCTCTGTCTGGGCTAAGCCTGCGAAACCCGACGTTGCTAGGTGGGACCTTGAAACGCTCAAGGCCCGAAAGCCAGAGCAACCGAAATCCACAAAGCGATAAACCCCAAAACCTCAAGCCCAAATGCTGTATGTAATCTAATCCCCTGTACACCCAATAGTCACCTAATGCATCCCTTAAGACGGTCATACCCGGTTGAGAAGGCAATACAAAACACGTTTTTGGACCAAGCAGTCTTGGTGGACTCTTTCTATGTCGGCCTCGGATCACTTCCGGTTGCCATCCTCGGATATGGGGGGGGCCAGGGGTCCAGGATGTAAGGACGCAAAAGCGGCTGTGAAGCAGCTTACCAGAGGCCAAAATGCAGAGCCCTGAAGCCCCGAACAAAACAACAAACCATGGACCACCCGTGTAGCACCCAAAAACAAATCCCTGAGCCCCGCCGAGGTAGACCCACTGATAGGAAAGCAAGCTCCAAAACAGCACCTAAACCCTGAACCCTAAACTCTAGACCCTAAACCCTGAACCCAGATGCCCATCCAAACAGTCGCTAGCATCCGGGCTTGAACTGCCTGCTATTCTTCGGCCACAGTTGGAACCCCAAACTCGAACTCATAACGTAGGGGCCTTACTGGTTAGAACACGGTTTGGCGGTACAAAGGAATAAGTAGGAACCCCCCGGACCCTATTCCCTACATTAGGCTTGGGATCTCGACCCTCAATGTCTGCAACGGACTGGCTTGAGGGCACTTGTTGCTAGATGCAAACGTAATTGGGCCTGCCCGCCTAACCTCCCACTTTAACCCTAAAGCCCTAAAACGCAAAATAGGACTCAATGCGGATTAGGCTATCGTGTTTTACTTAAAACGCCATGATAACTTCGGATATGTACATGGAAATACAGAACCTAACACTCTAAGGCAAGTCTCCTGATCCTGTAAATGCGGGTTCAGATCCTACTTTTCTGTGGGATTTAACGGTTTTGGCCTTAGTGGTTTGGATAGGGGCCTTAATCATCAGAATAGTGTTTTGGGGCCCGTTTCTCTATACTCATATTAATGAACCCCCAAAGTAGTACTGGTAATTGTTTAGGCACTTCCATTAGATAAACACCAATGCCGGAAACCTTACAACCTGGAGTGGTGGCAACTCGAGACCTTTTAGGGCGAAGGATGTGGGGTGTAGGGCTGGCAGGGTTTAGAGTTTTAGGGCTTTAGGGTTTTGGATTTTAGTGTGTAGGATTTTAGGGTTAGGGGTTTAAGGCTCAGACAGGTTTAGGGTTTTAGGGTTTAAGCTTCTAGAGTTTAGGCTTTAGGGCCTGCAAGGATGAGGTTTCTCCGGGGCGTAAAGGGCTTCGCCATATGCCAAGAACCGGGCTGGTAAAGCTCAGTGGAAGTGCCCGTGGTGGCGTGCCTCAGCTCGTTACGTGCTTGAGAGGTTTTCCAAGGTTGAACGCCCAGGGCAACAGACCCGGTACCATGATAGTACCAGGTATGTCCTGTCTGTCTGTCCGTCCGTCTGTGTCTGTCCCGGTGCATGTGGGTAAGTACAGCTACCGTCCTTGTCAGAGTCCTAAAACTTAAAGGGGTAGCCATGTCCAACAGACAGTCTGTCCAGCAAAAGCCCCGTGTCAACATGTTTAACCGAAGACCTATCTAACAAAAAACGGCATAAACATAAAATGATGTGGTATACAACAGGGGCGGCACAGGACTCTAAACAGAATTGTACCTGTACCTATATACATGTACCTACTATATTTACATACAGAAGCAAACCGTGCGTTCAAGCCTTGCTGGTGATTTCGCTTCGTAGATTCTTGTGGCACTGCACATCTTCCAAGATGTAAAATTCTGTTTCCAAGCCGGATCGTCATTTGAGGTTCTTTTCGAGTTTGAAGTTTGGGGGTTGGTTCCCTAACGCCAAACCGTAAAACACTAGGGAACCCTAATCACCATATAAGCCCTAAACCCTGAAGAAGGGCTCCGCTATTGGCAACTGACCCCCGCCTGCGCACTACACCAAATCCCAAATCTCCGAACGAACCCAGGAGCCAAGCAGTAAACCTGCGCAGGGCTCCCTGCGTGCGGCATCCTTGCCATGTTCGCATTGGGCGCGGCCGCATGCTTCCCAGGGGCTGTGATGCCGGCCTCGACATCGTTGTAGCATCTTGTGGTTCTTTCAGTGAAGTATTAGGACGCGGTCGCGGTTCAGGTGTTATACAGGGTTTATAGAGGTTTCGTGTTTAGGGCTTCGTAACTAGTGTCTCGAGGCTGAGGAATGAGAACTCACGAGATGGAGGAAAACTCAAGGCCGTGAATCCATTGAATCCAGGAGTGCTGCCTCTGGCAAATCAAGTTCTTGGTGCCGGGCCATCAACTATCTTACGTGGGCAGGAAAAGTAGCGAGTTTGCGAGAGCAAGGAAAACACCAGGCCAGTCTCTAGACTCTACACAGCATGAGAAAAAACCAAACCCTCTAGACGCCTAAACCTCAAGCGGTGAAAACATGCATGCGGCCTTCGCGGCGACCGCAGCGCGCATGATGAACGCTGTGGCACCTCGGACTTTCCACTTTGAGCCGCTTGCTGAGGCCAGTTCATCCAGAGCTTTCTGGGAGCCCAAAGGTGGGAGGTTTTTCGAGAAAAGTTGTCACAATGCTAATGGCCATATTGCATGTAAGTCCCTACAAACCCAAACCCCACACCCGCCCTATAGTTGAAGGTCCTTAAGGTAACTCAAGATGCTGTCCATCAGGCTTAAGAGCCTCCTATTCGAAGAGGGCACCGTGCAGCACACCATTCCTGGTGATATGTGGGATCTAATGTGAGGGTCAGAGATTTCAATTCGGGTGCCAGTGTTGCAAATTATAGCAGATTGTGGCGGCACATGAAAGTTCATTGTAAAGTATAATATACAACGAACCGCGCCATCGAGGAACATGTGTAGCAGACCCGCAATCCGGCTCCCGAAGTACAACTAATGCGCGTACCTTGAGGCTTCTGCTAGATACAACGTCCGACTGCTGCAGGGGACTTCCACATTGAGGATCATGCCTGCGCAAAGTTGTAATCACATGAGGAGTTGCACGAAAGCTGTGCTTGGCCAGGGCTGCAAGCAGGCCAGCTGTTTCTGTGCGCGTGATTCGAAGTCCTTGGGATCGTTCACAGCTTCAGAAGACTGACTCTGCACGCGCGGAGCCTGCACAGAGGGCCATGTCTTCCCACCGCTTGCAACAAGACCACCACAATTGTGATCATCCTGACTTGAACACGCAGCGGTGTGGACAGGGGCCTGGGTGGACGTGAAACCGTGGTCGAAGATAGCATCGCTTGCGACGCTGCTGCGGCCGTGGCTTGGTGAGGAAGTCGCAGTGCAAGTGCCCGCAAAGTGTCCGCTGCCAACCTTTGGCCATTGAAGACTCTCGGAGGTCTTCGAGGGTGTTTGTATTTGACAGGAACGTCAAAGCGCACAGGCTGCGACAGTATCCAGGCATAGTGGAACTCCGCATTGGCAAGAATATCTGCATCGACACATTGCTTGCTGCTGTTTCTCTGGGGAGCGTCCTGCTCAAGTAACGCAAAGTCCTCCAGGTTGACATGCCCATGGACGTGTGATCCTTCAGCCAGCAGGATAGGACCACGGAGGTGGCACACATCCCTGTGAAGCTCCCAGGACTTCGTTCCGTCGAAGATTTTGTCCATCCAGGGCCTCTGGATGACTCAACCTCGTGGCCAATCGCCAGCCATGGCAGCAAGCTACTCAGAAAGGAATCTGTGCTGACAGCTGGCATCAGATCGCTGATGATACATCGCCAAGACATGCACATTCAACAACGGCAAGCACACCTCGGCCAGAACAACAAAGTTGAAGCTCCGAGGTCCATACATCTCCAGTAACAAGCTCCTACCAAGCAGGCACATCAAAGTCGTCGAGGTGGGTGGGTCCGCACTCGTCAGGTTCAGTTGGCGGCGGTGACGGTAACCGGTAACCGGAGCCAGCTAGGCTCACACTCCATGTCTTCTGCATGGTCGCAAGCTGTTCCCGAGTTGATGGTGTGCGCCATGGAGTACGGAAGCACTTCCGTGGACGTTGGCAGAGAGTCAGGGCACGGAAAGGAAGAGGTGGCGGCACCGGAACCCAATTCCGTGGCTCGTCATTGGGAAAGATAGACAAAATTTCTTCCACGAGTATCTCCCGCATGCCTCCCACGGTTCTCTCAGCTGTGTAGGCCTGTTCGGAGCTCGACAGCAGCCAGTTTGTGAAAGCACTCAACAATTCTTGGGTTTGGCGCAGCTCGCGCCGTATAGCAACCAACTCTCCTCGCAGTACAGTATGTCTTAGTATATTACGGCGTCTAGTATACTGTTGCTGCTATGGTACTTATTATAGTATACTATTACATTCGTATATTGCGGTATAGCAGGATAATGTGGCATATTAATTCATCTGGTGCCAAGAAGTCAGGGGCGGGCAGGCTCTCTACGGGCTGCGGTTGCAAAACGCCTGCTGCTGCTTCAGCTTTCAGTCAGGTTCAGTCAGCTGAGGGTTAGGATTGCACCCATAGAGCACAGGAGGTGTGGCAGCGTTGGTCTAGGACTCGTACAGTCGAGTTGCTGATCTTGGCAGGGGATGCTGTATGGTCTGCGGTTCTCGAATGCTATGGTCTAACCCTAAAACGCCATATGGTTTGGGGAAAGTCCCAAAGCAGAACCCAAATTCCTCTTCTAACAGCAATAGTGTAACATGTCACTCGTTTAGGGACCGCTATGGAACATGATACATAGCAACTGACTCAACACAGGCCTCCGGAAACCCGAAATCTTAAACCTCAAACCACTAAACCCTAAATCTGCGAAGTCTGCACAGACGTCAAAACACCACGATGCAACCTGTAGGGGTTACAGCCGATTTCACACTGTAGTACTCTAGCAAAGAGCCCAGGACTTCATGAGACAGGCACCGGATTCCACTTTGCAGTGGCTGGTTGAGAGTCCTGACACCTTGGCAATGGTTTGATTTGAAGTTGTAGGCTTCATCATGCCCATGGCAGTGGGTCCCATGACTCGCAAAGGCTGACAAGAACCATGGTTTTCATGTGCTACTCCTACTCCTACTCCTACTACGACTACTATCGACTCTACGACTACTAGCGACGACTACTACTTCTACCACCGTTACCACTGTTACCACCGACCGGTAACAGCATGAAAGGTGCATGCAAGTAGCGAAATAGCAACTAGTGCCATTGGTGGCATGGGGTCGAAGTGGAGCAGCTTGCCAGGGCTTTTGCATGTTTCGCTGTCAAGTGTCTGTGAGGGACTACACCACACTGTTGCCTGGTACTGCGGCTTTAGTTAGCTGGTGCGGGGTTCAGTTTACGTTCCGAATTGCTTCAGGTGACTCCGTAAAGCCATACCACTTTCACACGGGCAGGTTCATCAGACCACGATTCCCGAGTCTTTCGACTATTCGGTTTAGGGTTCAGGCAGTTGCATGTGTTCAGAGATGTTTTTTCGAGTCTGCTTCGATGAACGTGGTCGTAAGCGGTCGAGCGTGTCCTCTCTTCTTAGTCTTGCTTGCTGCTTCATTATGTCATTGTCTTAGGGCGATCCTTGAACCCTAACCCCTGGTTTCGGGCTTGGTCGACGGTCTTCGGTTTTCATCAGGGTCGGGCTCCCAATTGTGAGACGAAATCCCCAAACTGAGCCCCGAGCACAGAAGTAGGTGTTCAGCGTGCTCGGATACAGATGGCTGTCCACCTTTCCGTACATGCTGCCCTTGAAGTGCCTCGGATTGGTTCGACACGATTCTGTCAGGGTACTGTAAGGGCTCAGCCACGTCATGTAAAGTTGTTCTACAAGGGGCTCCATAAGGGCAAGCTAAGGTTGTCTGGCTGGGGCATCTCTGAGGCGTTTCCACGAGGCTTTTTAGGGTGCGAAGGGGTTTCAGAAGGCATTTGTAGCACCTGACAGCAAAAAACTAGGACTGAAATGCACACGCAAAGTATAGAGCGGAAACATTGAGACTGAGGCCCGGAAATAAGTTTCATCTTACACCCAGTGAGCCATTGCAAGAAGCACACACACACACTCCCCAAGACCGAACGCATTAAACCCTATCTCCCTCAATCCCGCATGCAAAGAACTGGAATGCAGGAAGCCGCACCTGCCCCACCTTAATGTAATGGCCTTAATGAAGGTTTTGGGGCCCATTATACTGTAATCACAATAAGGAGCCTAAAATCAAGTATGGGAAATTACTACTATTCGTATATTGCACCCTAAGCTCCTGCTTAACCCGAGAAAACCTACACGTTTCGTGCTCCTTGTTATTAGCTCCTTATCAAAATCCTCAAAAACCTAGTTTATGAGGGGTTAAAATCCCGTCAACCCTACAGTAGAAGCCAGAAAGTTGGAACATCATTAGCCTCATGCCCTTACAGCAAAGTATAGGGAATCCTAGCACTGATCCTCCTAAATCCATGTTCCAACTTTCTGGGGTTCACTATAAACCTTTTCAACCCCGTGATCCCTATACACCTTTAACCCGGGGAGCCCACAACCCGATAAGCCCCAAAACCCGATACTAGGTCGCGATTTCAAGTCTCCCAAACCATTTATACTAATATTCAACAATAAGGGCAACTCCCAACCTTTAGGGTTTAGGGTTTAGGGTTTTGGTCAACAATAGGCAACTAAACACTATCCAAAACCAATACCTAGTGAGAGCCCTGACCCCTAAGCCGAGCCACTCGGTACCCGGGGCCAGGAGTTTGTCGCCGCAGGTCTCCTGGTATCGTGGTTAAAAAGGGGTGTCTTCATGATGGAATACGGTTTAGGGTGTAGGGGTTGTAGGGTTTAAAGGTTCGGGGAATAGGGTTTCAGAAGGCCTTTTTGGGGGGAGCTCTTATTCGGGTGTGTTTATAAGGCTGCTACTGCCAAAAGGGCTTTATAGTGCTTCATGCAGGGGCATGAATTGTCAGAAGAAAGTTCTGGGGTCGTTACAGTATACGCATGTAGCGACTGTAAGGGGATATCCTAGATCTGACCACCAAGAAATGCTGCAGCTCATGAGCAGTCCACCTGACATAGAGCCCTTGGGTACTGCCCCCATACAGTAACAGTCCATAATAAGGCTATTTTTAAGGTCCGAATATATCTATATTGTGAATACTATCCAACTGTTACTGAGTGGGGGCAGTACCCAATAAAGCCCCATCATGACAGGATTGTCGCGCCGGGGGCCCCACTCACGCAAAGTCTGACCACCAAGTGTTCATGCCTACGATATTGCCTGGGTTCTTGTTAAGGGATGTAACTTAAGTTACCATAAAAAGGAAACCATATTATCTACCATAGGTTCCTATGAATGGTAACTTCAATTAATTTCCCTTAACAGGAGCGCAGTTGCAAGAAGTTGATGCGTCGCCTCGGAAGCTCCTAGTTTCGTCTGTCTTGACCCTATAAGGATTCATGTCCCCAACCCGTATACACCCAGAGGCCCCCCATGGTAGTTCCTGTTGGGGGTTCATATATAGAATCCTATATGGTAATCCCCCAAAAGGAACTACTTTGCGTACTGTGGCCCTAGAATAGTCACCATGTGCGTACTTTCTGCACCCTGAAGCCGAGCTGTGTCAGATCGTGAGATCCCTGGCGGAGCAAAGCCCAGGTCGAAATCCGAGACCCTAACCCCAAATCCTGGGTTCTTGTTAAGGAACTTAATTTAAGTTACCATAATAGGGATCTATCGTAAATAATGGGGTTTCCTTATTATGGTAACTTAAATTAAGTTCCTTAACAAGAACCCAGAATCTGACAGCAAAGGAAAGACAGCGGAGAGAAGCAACAACAAACACACCCAAAGAGCAGAAACAACTCTTGCATATTTCACGGCGCCTCACCAGAAGCCGGCATCCCCCACCCTCGGAATCAGCAACGGCCACCTTGAATCCCAGTTCTTGTTCGGAAACTTGCTATTTTACATTATAAGTATACGTCATATGAATGAAACGAGACTCCTGAACCAGAACCAAAAAATGGTTTGTCCTGCCTGCAGACATGGAACGAAACCCCAGTACTTCTCCAGCGTTCAATCTAATCTACATGATCGGCCGTAGAGCCCTTTCTTTATTATGAAGTCCTATGGAAATGGTCCAATGAGTCAGTTGAAGAATGCACTCAACCAAGCCTTCTACCTGAACCCAAATCCCTTAGAACAAGGTCTGCTGCCAGCCTTGCTGGTGAAGTTGTCAAGGCGAGAGGGATACCTAGCCCGAGCGTGGCAGACATGGGAGGGTGATAGGGTCTGAGAGTTTCAATGTTTCGCAGGGTTGAAAAAGGATACTTTTGGTGTTAGGCGTGTGCTAGAGTTGATCTGAGGTGTTGCATAGTGGTTCTCTTTTTGAGAAACTTAACTCAAGATGCCATAATGGGGCTGCTCAGGAAGTCATCAATATGGGTTCCTGCTATCATAATTTGCTGTATGATCCGTATGTAGACCCTAAACCCTAAACCCTTCCGTGGAAGCTTTGCCCCCTCCTGCCTATAGGGTCCCTTGGGTTGCACGTTGCGTTCGAAGGGTACTTCGAATTCCAAGGGGTTTGGAGCGAAAGGGCTTTCGGATCACGGGGCTTCATGCCTTCCCGTGGCCGAAAAATCCTACTAGGGGTTAGCATGGTTTCTATATACGATTCCTTGGGCCACAGCTTAGGATTCCGGGAGCTGCAGATTCAGGATTGTCATCCGACGAAACCAGCTGAGAAAGGCTTAGCCTCGAAACAAACCGAACCCGCGCAAACTCAAGCGACTCACCCGTATCTTTAGTTTTCATTGTAGTTCCTTTTTGGGCAAAGCCAATCATGCATGTAGCATCCTATAATGTCCCCAAGAAGGAACTACAACGGATACTATAGGTAGAACATAAATTTAACACACGTGTACTGCCTTCCAACAACACTCAGACCTTGCCGGCATGTCCAGGACACAGAGAGCATGTTAAGCACATGATTACTCGAAGACAGATACATTGAAAGTCTTGCACCAAGAATAACGACGCACCAGATTGACCAGTTTGCTGCTACATCTACACACCGATGTCCAACCCAATGCCTGCAGCGTCATACCCAAGCATCCCAAAAGCCAACGTCCCAAAACCCTAAACCCCAAACTCCAGCCTCAGCTGAAGGTGCACCCAGTCTTTGGCAGTGTACGTCGTGTTGATGCACTTCCTCGGCGCTAGGCAACTTCAGAGTGCTGGGCTCAGAGTTAGAAGGTCATCATGGGGTTAGGTACTGCCGCCATACAGTAATAGTCTATAGTAGGGCTACTATTAAGGTCCTAATAGATCTATGTAATAAATGTTATTCAACTATTGCTGAGTGGGGGCCGTACCCAATCATGGGGCAATATCAGAGTAGAGGGGCCCTAATAATTAGAATAGGATTTTGGGGTCCATTAATAAGCAACCCCGAAAATAGTATTGGTAAGTAGCTAGGCCCCTATATTAGCTGTCGATAGATCGCAACTTTGTTCTATGGGATTTGTGGTTTAGGGTTCAGGTTAGCACAGTCGAGTTCTCTGCAGCAGCCGCGCCTGAACTCTCCTTTCGGTCGGATTAATTCGCACATACTTATGCATATCCCCTTCCAGTCCCAATGCCACCATGCACAGCATAATGCACTATTCCAACCAGGCCTGTCGTTATGCATGCACAACCGTAACTGCCGCATTCTTATGTACGAAGGAACTCAACCCTAAACCCTAAATACTAAACGTCCCTAATCCATTTCGGATTTTAAAAATCCCAAAAACCAACCCTAAGACGGTGTGAACAAATGTGTAAACCATATCAGATTTTGAACTACGAAAAACTCAAACCTAACCCCTGAACTTCCCTAAACCATATCATACTTTTGAAACTGACAGAAAAACTCAACCCTTAGACGGTGTTGCAGCCCGACTTCTCCAGAGCTTTCGTGGTGTCCTCGGCAGGGGCCAGGGCACATCTACTTGGAGGTTCAGGGGCAGTTATAAGTAGGGTTATACGTAGGGTAACTATACTTATAACCCATATTAGGGGACTTATAACTCACTTACAACTACCCATGAACCTCCAAGTAGCACTTAAGCAAAGACTGGCGTGGCTTTTTCTCACACCTAGTATGGTTTAGGGCGTTGGCTTTAGGGCTTAGGGTTTAGGTTTAGGGAAATTTGCATTTACGGGCGTTCGGGTGTAGGTTGTAGGGTCATGCGGCGTGTTTTCCACACATGCAGAGTTGAACACAGGCACCTTCTCAACACTATTGCAAAGGCAAAGATTCAAACAGCTTTCTTTTCTGGCTCAACCCTAAACCCTCAACCCGAAACCGTACTGTTAGGGCACCAAACACACTGCCAGCCAGGCATTAGAGACCTTGGAGCTCTTCTGTCTGCAACCACAGGGACTTTAGAGATTCATAGAGGTGTATTCGGTTTAGGCTTCACGGTTTAGAGCTTAGGGTTTAGATTTCTAAATGCGGTGGCAGATGAGGCTTCCTTTGTGTTGGGATAGGGGTTGGTGCTTTTAGAGGGCCTGAAGGTGTATGGGTCTGGATCTAACCGTTCCGTCGCTCATAGCCGCGCTGCTGGAAGAGCCTTTGTTGCCATCTGGGAACAGCCGCCAATCAACATGGTCCACCGCCATCATCATCATCATCATCAGCATCATCGGCATCATCATCAGCAGCACTAATAGCATCATAGTCGTCATCCTCATCATGGTCTTCATCAACCCTCGTCGCCACACCGTTTGCTTTGAAACTTACCCACACGCCCTCCGACTTGTCTGCATAAGCTTAGCTGTCGCACATAGCAAGGTGCTTCAACCCAAAACCTTTAGGGCTTAGGCCTTTTAGGGCATAGACCAAAATCCATCATGAACCCACATGGAGGAATCTTACTAAGAAACCGTTGGCGTCTAGATTCTAAACGCCCCAAATGACAAGATGGAGAACCCCAATAAAGACGGGGAGGTTCTACACCAGGCTTCTACATTACTCGCCAAAACCCAACCCAAGCACTCCCGCCGCGCCCCAACCCCACCCCCCTCCCTCCACAACAAAAATGAAACTGCAAAGCCTCAGATCCACTTTCCGAAAAGCCTTAACCCCAAAACCTTTAGCCTAAAACCATCCTTAACCCACTTTCCCTAAACCCCGAACCCAAAAGTCGCCAAAGCCAGCTGCAGATCGAGTGGCATCAACTTCCAGTGCACCTGCCGGCCAGCTTTTTGCGTCACAGAGGGCTTTGGTCGAGGCTTGTATTAAGCAGAGGTTCGACCCAAAGGGATCTCAAGATCCGGGCTCAAAGACGAAAATGGCCCACTATGGCTTGTTTTGTGGTTCTGCCGGTGTCTAGGCGGATGGGTTGGGAGATATTGGCGGGCTGTTGGGGCTCGGGGTTTTGGCAGGGCTTAAACTCTTAAACTTGTAGCTATACCCCCTTAGAGCGCTGGAAAATATGTATTTAATATTCTCTCGGGATTTATATGAGCAACAATGAAAAGCAACTTTAGTTAGAGGTTGAAGAGGAGGATTCAAAGGGCTGGTGTGTGAGGCTTTCCAGTTATAGGGTCCAAGTTCTCAGCCTCCCCCAGGCTCTTCAAAAGATCTGCCGCAGAAGCCCGCTCAACTAGCCGGAATGCGATTTGGATCTACAGATTAGGGTTTAAGGTTTTATAGATTAGGTTTCAGGGGTGAATAGTTTAGCGATTAGGATTTAGGCTGAGGATTCAGTTGAGTAATTAATCCACATACTGCAGCCAGTCCTACGGAGTACCCTGACGCCAAACAATCTCAAGCAAACCGAGAAGCCACAATCCTTGGGCCCCCCTCCCATGAATCTCGCATTGCGTAAGGCGCCATGTATAACATTTATATAGTGATGAATAAATAAATACATACATACATATATATATATATACATATATATAGTGATTTTATAAGGTAGAATACAGAAGAATTACAGAGTGCACAACATACACATTATAAGTATTCCTCCTTCTAAGGACTCGAGCAGGGTCTGGGCATCAAAAGTCTCATCCGGGGAGTAGGGCAGGCGCCTAACAAGCAGTCGATACGAAGCAGCGCACGCCATTCCTCCGTGAAGAAAAAATGGGCTGTAGTTTTTTTGGGGGGGGCTCTGAGAACTGTTTATGAGTAGGTACCTCTATCGGAACCATAAAGGGAGAAGCGTTGGCAGGCTTTGGTCTTTTGGCTTCAAGTTCAATTCGTAGGGCTTCGGATACAGAATAAGACTTGAGTAGGTGGGTTTTCAAGGATTGGGTTTGAGATTGGGGGCTGGTGTCAGAAGCTTGCATGCTTACGTAACAGTATAGGGTTTGACTTCGGAATGACATGCCAGTAGAGCCACTTGGGCCAGACTGCCGGATCTTTATGCCACAGAACCAAGTTTAGTATGGGCTCAGATGGCCTGTTATAAGTTATAAATGACCAGAAACTCCACTTACCGACATCAGCAGGTTGCTGTCCCTGTACGACCATAAACAAAGCAGCCATCCCACAAATAAATCAGTGGGCTTCTAGAGAAGCGGATTCAGTGGCTTCGGATAGAAGCTAGAGACCCTGAACCATAAAGTCCTAAAGTCTTCAACCCGCCTAAGAGCCCTAAAAGCTAAAGCCCCCCGAAACTTCCTAAACACAATACAGCCTAGCACCACACTCCGCAGGCTCCCAGCAATCACAAACAGGTGGTTGTTCGGAGCTTCGTGTTTTTGCGGTTTAGGGCTTTGTCGGTTTATGGTCTGCCTGGGGTCTTGTGGGCAAAGAAGCTTGAACGCTCGTATGAGCTCGGACGAGGGACGATTGCTATGCGAGTTTGTAGGGGCCCGGGCCGCTTCGGGCTTTGGGGCCCTGTGTATCTTCCGCAATCGAAACCCAGGTCGTATGAACTCGGTTCAGATCTCCGGACTCCCAGAAGTCTCAGCATCTCAAATCCCAACTCCCCTCCCCGAAATGCCTGGTGACGTCCTGGGACAGTGGCCTGCACAAAACTGAGGCTGAAGAAGGTCTGTTTAACGCCAAGCACAGAAGATAGGCTTTAGGGTTTGGGGCGTAGACAGTGTTGCACTTTTTGGGGGCGGAAGCCTCTATGACTGGGGAAGCTTTGGGCTTTGAGAGCTTGCTGCGTTGGGCTGAAACTGTGGCCTTGTAAGTAGGGCTCCCTTGCAGGTTATCAGTGAGATTTATGAGCTCTAGGGTAAAACTATAAAGCATACTAGGGGACTTATCACCCTACTACTTAGAACTACCCATGAAGCTCCAAGCAGGGTTGGAAAGCGTGAGGTGCAAGGATCTCGGAAAGGGGTGGTAGGGATGTGTAGCCATTCAGGTGTGTTCCTAAGGCACGCATAGGTGCGCGGGGTTTGTAGGGAGTAGGTGCGAAGTACCCGCTTACAGACACCATCATGCTAACCGTGCATCTCATAATACCTCTAAAAAGGGGGCCTAAACACTGATACTATTTTGTGGGGTTCCATATTATAACTATAGTATAATGTGAGCCAACACCCTCTTCGAATTATGGAGGTGCCTATGTTAGCCCAAGCTCCCAGCGTGTGGACACCAGACCATCGTCACTAAAGCCCTAACATTCGCGGCGCGGGATGAGGGGGTTCTGAACCACTATACGGTTTAGGGTTTAGGGATAGTAAGAAGATAGGTCCCCATAAGACAACAACAACTACTACTACTACTACTACTACTACTACTACTACTACTATGTTACTATGCAAAGACCCGCTTCTGGCTGTAGAGGCCAAAAGGTGTTAAACTCCGAGCTGGCGCCCGTCGTCCCAACACTGAATCTGCAGTCCGAAGCCCTGAAACCCTGAAGCCCTAAGTCCGAAAGTGCTAAATCCTGAAGCCCTACACCCCAAACCCAAAGCCTCGGCCCTGAACCCCTAAAGCCCCAAACCCTGAAGCCCAGAAGCACGTAAAGCCCTGACAGAACCCAGCTGCGGCGCCTCCGGCTGAAAGCCCGAAAGCTATTTAAAAAGCGGAAAACGCTGAAACCCCTAAAGCCCTAAACCTGCTAAATCCTAGCCCCCTAAGTAGGGACCGTAAGCCCCTAAACCCCTAAGCCCCAAAAACCTAAACCCCCAAAGACCTAAACCCCGAAGAATTCTACGAAGCACCTCCTGCTTCAGCTCCTCTGATGTCAGGGCCGTCTTCTTGGTGTCGTAGCCTCGGGCAGGGTTTAAGTGATTAGGGTTAAGGGTTATGGTGGTTTAGGTTTTTGGGTCGGGGTGTCAGGTTTAATTTAGGGGTTTAGGTCTTAAATAACATTTAGGGGTGTATGTAGGGCTTAGGGTATCTTGGGGTTTCCACGGGTTTAGGACTCCATTAAGGGCATTGCGTTAGGGTTTTCTCTTGAGGCTTTAACGGGTTCCTTTACAGAGTTCTATCTGCGTTAGTGCATTAGGAGTTTCGGGACCCTCAGCCGTTTCGGGCTTCTTTGAGGGTGCCTTGCTAACCGGGAACTGAGCGGGGATGAGCATGTAGAGTTTACGGATACCTCGGGGTCATTTATCAAGACATTGGGGGTTGTAGGGTGCAAGGGTTTCACATAAACCTGCAGGATGTTTATGGCGTCTATCTTCAGCTTCATATGGTGTACTATATAAGGCGGTGTTCCAGAAGTTCGGGTGTAGCCCCCAAACCCCCAAATCCTAAACCCCAAACCCTAAACCCCTAAACTCCAAACCCCATAAGGGTAAGTGCCCGGCAGGTCAAGTACTTGTCCCAAGCAGCCTGGCATGCTACGGACAACGCTTGGCCAGTTCGTTCCCTTTTTCGGGTTCTATGGAGGTCTTGGGATTTGGGTTTATGCTTTGGAGCTTTCGGGGCAAGTTTTGCAGGCTCCTGCTTCGCAAGTCGATAGTCATGTCTGTTTCGCAAGATGCTCGTTCCTGAGGCTTGGGTCGTCGTAGCAGCTGCGGCTTCGTATACAGGCTGCATCGATTCGGATCGGTTTCGGGTTCAATCCGCTGAATCTCGAAACGCCACAGACCTTGCATCCCAAACCCACGCTCTATGCAACAAAACTTTAATCCTTAACAACCCCGAACCCAAAACCCAAATCCTCTACCCAAACACCACCTGAACCGCGGATCCTACAAAGTAAATCCAGTCGCTCCAATCTTCCACCCCCTTTGTGTGTGTGCGCGCCTCCAAAGCCTCAGCATGGTCGCAGTGGCCCTGACCGGAGATTCAAATCACCCCTTGCTTCAAACAAGTCCTGGTAAATGCTTCGATCGCATCTGCAAACTCTCAGGTTATCAGGGGTAAGGTGTATGGTGTAGAAACTCAAAATGCAGGTTTAGGCCTTCACTATGGTGCCAAGGTGCACGGCTTATGGTATCTAGAAGTACGAGGAGTGTAACGTGTACATGTAGAGCTTAGGGTTTGCAGTTCAGGGCTTCGGGTTTCAACGCGACTGGGAGGGCCCAAAGTAATGTAAGCTGTTGGTTGATGACTCTCTCCCTTAAAAAGGAATATGAATACTGTAGGGGATCCTGATATATAAAGGCGTCCGAAGAAAGAAGGCAGATTTACCAAATAGTTTGTACTTTCTCTGATCTCTGCTCTCCGTGCAAAAACTCAACAAAGTCGCTTTTGGGCCATTTAGGGCTCACTAGAATACTTCATCCCGAAAACAAAGCCTATAAACCCTCATAGACTGGATGCCGAAGCCCCAAGCCCCAAACAACCCTACACGCTAAACCCTAAATATACTGGGAGGGCCTCATTAGCACTGAGCGGCACATCCGAAAGATCCTCCCATCCCAAACCCTCCTGCTCAAACTTGGTCTGCATCTCGTTGCAGGACGTCTGCTTGACCTGACAATCGGTTTAGTGTTTAGGGTTTTAGGGACAAAGGACCAGTTAAACATGGTCGATGGTCCTCAGTAGTTAGAAGATGAATCGTTCTATACTTGTACTGTTACTAGCGACCCCTGATGTATTGCCACTTCTTCCGGCCCTTATATTATAGTATGCAAAAAACACAGTAAGAGACCGATTCGGGCCCCTGCAGTACGACCTGGAATCTGACCCTGGCCTCGAATTTTGAAAACTGGTGAAAAAATCGAACCTATATCCGCCAGAAAGCCGAAAAGCCCTGTCGGATTATCAAGGCCCCCTACAGATTCAGAAACCTTGCGCCAAGAGCCCAACCCCTCAAGTTTAAAAAGCCTAAAACAACCCTAGCAGGAAGCCTGAGTAATCCCGATCAACGGAACCCTAAACCCTAAACTCTGAACCCTATGCCCTACACCCTAAACCCCTAAACGGCTAAACCCTAAACCCAATCAAAGGAGCCCTTAGTTTAAATCTCAGAAAGGGTTCTGAACCTGGCCTTCCAAGAATCCTCCTTCGGGACGCAATCGTAGGAGTCTTGGCAGCCTGTGCTTGAGGTCAATATACTAGCCTGCCCAGTAACCTAGGAACAAAAAGAGCTCCCTTTTCGGTATTAGGTAACTTCATAAGGAACCTAGGACTACAATAAGGGAATAAGGGTACTACTGGGCATCCTAGTATAGGGGCCTAAACAATTACCTATAGCTATTCCTGAGGGTTCCTTTAAAGGTTTCCTTAAAGGGCTCTATAAGGGATCTATAGCAGGTCTTTAACATAGGGGTCGAAATAATTGCCAATACTATTTTGGGGAATTCCTGAAAAAAATACGGTATAACCGGACCCAAAACCCAATTCTGATTACTGAGGCCCTTATTACTTTAGGGTTCGGGTCGGCAAGCTGAAATGGGGGCGGCTTAGGATTTACAGGTGAGGGTTAACGCCGTGCAGCGCATGGTCTCTACATGTTCGTATGATTCGGGCTTGGGGCTTTGGGCTCAGGGTTCAAGGTTTTGGGCTCAGCGTGTTGTTTTCAGTCTGGCTAGGGTTAGGTGTTTTAACTCGGGTTTTCAAGCATGGAATGTTGGTTATCCCCCTTGCTTTTCTTTCTGTCAGGCTTAGCTTCAAGAGCATTCGGTATCCGTGCAGAACCTCAAAACAACTTCAGAATGCATGTTATTCGGTATGTGGGCTGAAGCAGTTCGACGGTATGATGATTTAAGGGCAATGAAACCAAAGTGTCAACACGTTAAACCCTAAAACCCCCATTAGAGCCCACTAGACCCAACTGCTGACCAAGAAACCGCGATTTAGTGTTTAGGGCTTAAGGTTCAATGTTCCTTTTTGTGTTTTTGTTAAGCTCCTTTTGCCGTCTGCAACATCTGGTGCCACATGCAGAAGACCCAGACCCCTAAGGTTTCAGGCTTAGGGTTTAGGCTTAGGATTTAAGGTTTATAGGGTTCAGGGGTTAAGGTTTACGGTCTGAGGTTCCCAAACCCCACAACTTTGGTTTCCCGGGCCTGCTCGCGAGTCTTCGCATGCCTTCTCGGCGGCATCGAGCCTTTTGCGATACTCCGAGGTTTTTAGCAACTCGATCCGTTCTTGGGGTTGGGGATTCCAGGGGATGGATGTCAAGAACTCTTCTTGAAGATCCTTCAGGACATAGCGTATGAACTCATAGTGTGGCAAGCCCCTTTCGATGTGAAGGCGTCTAGGAGTGATCAAGCTTTCTGATTCGTGGATAAGGCCTGAAGTTTTCGAGATGTTAGGATTCACAGCTTTTCGTTGCTTGCTACATATGAGTATTTCTCTAAATTAGGGTCCCTGCTAGGGTCCCTGTATTGCGGGTGCCACCTTCTTTTGGGTTCCTAAAACGGGACCCTGGTTCAGAGACCTCAATGGCGAAGTCCATGCCAAGGCATTGTATCTCAAACCCCTACCTCAAAATAAACAGCAATACGAGCAGCAGCTGGAGCTGCAACAACAGAAACAGCAGCAGCACCACCAACAGCAGTAGCAGTAGTAGCAGCAGTAGCAGTAGCAGTAGCAGTAGCAGTAGCAGTAGCAGCAGCAGCAGCAGCAGGAGCAGGAGCAGGAGCAGGAGCAGGAGCAGGAGCAGGAGCAGGAGCAGTGCAGCAGCAGCAGCAGCAGCAGCAGGAGCAGGAGCAGGAGCAGGAGCAGGAGCAGGAGCAGTAGCAGTAGCAGTAGCAGTAGCAGCAGCAGTAGCAGTAGCAGTAGCAGAAGCAGAAGCAGAAGCAGCAGCAGTAGTAGTAGTAGCAGTAGTAGTAGTAGTAGTAGTAGTAGTAGTAGTAGTGGTGGTGGTCGTCGTCGTAGTCGTAGTGGTAGTGGTAGTGGTAGTGGTGGTGGTGGTGGTGGTGGTGGTGGTGGTGGTGGTGGTGGTGGTGGTGGTGGTGGTGGTGGTGGTGGTGGTGGTGGTGGTGGTGGTGGTAGCGGCGGCGGCGGCGGCGGCGGTGCGGCGGTGGTGGTGGTGGTAGTGGTAGTGGTAGTGGTAGTGGTAGTGGTAGTGGTAGCGGTAGCGGTAGCGGTAGCGGTAACGGTAGCGGTAGCGGTAGCGGTAGCGGTAGTAGTAGTAGTAGTAGTAGTTGTTGTTGTAGCAGTCGTAGCAGCAGTAACAGAGGCAGTAGCAGTAGCAGCAGTAGTAGGAGTAGGAGTAGGAGTGGCAGTAGGTGTAGGGGTAGGGCGCTGATAAGGGAACGTACCCTAAAAACAGGGAGTAAGGGCCTACTCTAGGTCACCCCCATATTACTTTAGTAACACCCTGTTTCTTCTGAGCTGCGCATCGAGCTTGCCCTTGAAGAAGGCGATCTTCTCCTTGATGTCGGTCTCCTTGCAGGAAGACCTGGGCGGCTTAGGGGTTTGGGGGTTCAGTGGTTAGGGGGTTTAAGGCTTTAGGGTTTAGGGGTTTAGGAGTTTGGGGTTTAGGGTTTAGGGTTTAGGGGGTTTAGGGCTTTAGGGCTTGGGGTTTAGGGGCTTAGGTTTAAGGGTTTACGCGTGTAGGGCTTTAGGGGTTTAGCGCCCTTCCAAATCTTTCGGGCTGGGTAGTGGCCCCATCCTGTAACAGTTCATGCTAGGGGTCATATTCAGCCGTTAATTATATTAAGGACATTACATAATTATCTTATTATACATACTATCAACCTGCTACAGAGTAGGGCGCAGTAGCCAATCTACAAAGCCTTGCGAGGGTCACGAAGCCTAGCACCCGACCAGATGCTTGCAGCTTTAAAGCCTTTCGTCCCCAAGACCCAAGCCGGGCAGAGGGTGAATTTTGCAGATCATGTCAGGCCTTCGTTCTCAAGCCGATCTCTAAACTAAACTCTACCCCGTAAAACCTGAATCCGAATCTAAGCTTAACCCTCACGGAATAGCCAAGCTTCGCCAGAACAGCTTCGTTAATCTGGGTTTGAGGGGCTCGGGATGCAACACAAGAAGACGGCGTTGGCATATATTTTATTAAAGCTCAATGGGGCCTACAATCAAATGCTATTGAAAATTATGATCACGATATCAGCGTCCAGCCTGGACCTCTGCCAAAGCTCATGGAGCCAAGAAATAAATCCCTGTAAACGCATCGGAGGTTTCCAAACCACGACACGACAAGGGAATTCCGAAAACCTACACCCTAAACCGCAAACCCCTAAACCTTGAGCCCCTACACCCTTACAGTAGAGGCCAGAAAGTTAGAGCCTCATGCCCTTAAAGTAATGTAGAGGGAATCCCAGCATGAATCATCCTAAATCGATGTTCCAACTTTCTGAAGTTCACTATAAACTTTAAACCCTAAACCTCCCAACAGCTCAGGCGTCGGCGTTCCGTCGCATTGGGCTTCGTACTGAAGCGGCCTGGGCAACCAGCAACCAAGTGCAACTGGGCTCTTGCACAGGAACTGAGCTTCAATTACCGTAATAGGGACATATGGGTCGTTTTCAAAATTTTGGCCCCATTTTGGGTATCCTAAGAATTAGGTGCCGTACTATATTAAGGACCCCCAAGGGCCCATAATATTGACAACCACCTATATAGTAGACGCTGGGGTCTCCTTACTATGGTAAGGTACAATAAAGGACTGCGAGGGCTCCTCTGCTTTGGTCACGTAACGCCAGCTCCCTTAACGAGAACCCAGAATACCCAAGTCTAAGGAACCTGACTCTGCCTGTCTGGCTTAGGCTCCAGCCGTGGAGCTTAGGCTTTTGGGCTTAGGGTGTCTAGGGTTTAGAGCAAAGGGCTTTAAGGTATAAGGGCTTTAGGGTGTAGGGCTTTAGGGTTTCGGGGTTTCCATAGCACCTTGGAGCTCAGCGGTACCGTGACCCAGAACCTACATGCTCAAGAACAGGAAACCTTGAACTGCCTGTGCGGGGGTGAGAAGAGAAGTGAGCGGGAAAACAGTGACCCTGAAGGCATGTGGATAACAAAAACATGCAGGAGTGAGAAGCCCCGGCAAACATATATGCAGAATTCACACAAAGGAAACCCAAAAAAAGTATGTAGGTTCTTTAGGGATCAAGTAGGACTTAAGAGCTTTGGGGCTGATCTGGGCCTGACAGGGACCCAGGGCAACCGGCAAGTTTGTAGCGAAGGTTCTTCCAATGCTCCTAGCAGCCCTAACACGAAGCAGAAGCAGAAATGCCACGATCTTCCAAAGCCAGAAAGAGTCGCAGCCGCCAAAAAATGAAGAACTTGTCTTCTGAAGAGCTCAAGACACCTAAACCCTAAACCTAAACCCAAAAGAACTCAGAGACCCCTGACTTAAAAACCCTAAACCTAAAGCCAAAAAATCCTCAGAGACCCCAAACCCCTAGACCCTAAACCCCTACTAACTTCAAGGAACCCTCACCGACTGACCCTTCCAGGCTGTAGCGCTGCTCAGCTCCGGACGAAGGCGCCACACCGGGGTTCAGGCAGTACCTGGGCTTTAGGGTTTTAAGGGTTTAAGCATTTGGGCTTTAGGGTTTAGGGGTTTAGGGGTTTGGGGTTTAGGGTTTAAGGGTTTAGGGTTTAGGGTTTGGGGTTTAGGGTTTAGGGTACCTGGGCTTTGTGGGTTTTTGAGGGCATTTAAGGGCTCAGGGTTCCGGGGTTTAAGTTCGTAGGCTTACGTGCTTTGCCTATTTTTTTGGAGCTTCGGGGGACGTTGGAGCGCAAGTGGGCTTTAGCAAGCCATCGGGTCGAGGGCGTTTGGGCGTCGGCCTTTCCACCCACGCCATCGCCTGACGAGTATAGATACAGGGTCCTGAATAACCAGAATACGGCCTTAGGGTTTGGGGGTAGAGTTATAGCATGGTTATAATGTGGCACCCTAGGAACATTAATCGGCTTCTCGAATACTCATATCATTGTCATGGCCACGAACGAGATTGCGAGTCTTTCTCCCTGTGGAAGACTACTATACCACAGCAAGAAACAGAAGGCCAACAGCAACAGGAAGTATACCCTGTGTCGCTGAAGACTTTTCTGATTCTGGCTGTTGTGTGTTGTTGAAGACATTGTCTACTGTTCATGGAAAACTGTTCACATCACTTGCTTTAGGTATATGATCATTTCCATAGAAAAAGGTCTAGCAGGCACTGCCGAACTGTCCACCAACCGTACTATGAAACGCTCCCCTGGGATCTGAAGAACCCTAGAACCTTCCCGCTCCCTCTGTGGTAATCAACAAAGCGTCCATGGCTCAACGTATTCCGACTTCAAGCAGAATCCCCGTAGCTGTCCGAGACACCAAAGCATCAAAACGAAGGCCTAAAGCCTACACCCTACAAGCCCTAAACCTTGGATCCTTAATCCTTAAACCCTAAACCTTAAACCTTGGATCCTGAAACTCTAAACCCTAAGCCCTAAACACCAGAAAGGCCCCTGAACTCTCCTCCGAACCCCCCCCTAAAGCCCCAATTACAGAGCTCTAGGGCCTCCCCCGGCCCCCCCAAAAAAACTCGAAACACCTGCCAACGTGGAGGCCCTACTACTTCGAACGGTTTAGGGTTTAGGGTTTAGGGTTTAGGGGGGGTTGGGGGCAACCGCAAGATCCGTATAATTAACCAGGAGCCCGTGGTAGTTGCTCAGGCTTCTATACTGCGCCCAGGCGCTTGTTCGGCTGGACAAGCGACGCGCAGCAGGCAGTCGTGTTGCTGCAACGCGCCTCACAGACGCTCGAAGGACAGCGTCGACAGTGTGGTTTAGGGCTTCGGGGCTCAGTGTTTATGGTTGACCTTAACCCCGAAGAACCTACATTTTTAAGGACTTGTAGAAGAGAAATCATTATAAAGGAACCCTAAAATAGGTTATTCAGGGTTAAGGGAGTGTTTAGGGGCTTTGATTTGGGTTTTGTGGGAAGTGATTTAGAGCGTCCCTCCGAAGGGGGGGCTGCCACACGTAGGGATTTGGCCACAAGGCTGGCTCAGCATAGCAATCTTCGGTTGCGCTCGTCAGTTTTGGAAGACTACTAGAGGGCTTAGCAAGGTTTGCCGAGAGCTGGGTCCTTCACCACACTAGTGAGCACTAATTCGTACATGTTAGCGGCGTTCTCCAATACTAGTGTTTGCCGCTCTGTTGTCTTTGGGCAGTTGAGCTTGCGCAAACTTGAGACAGCTAAGTCAACGGCTGGGACGATGCCCAACTAGCCGGAAAACGCCCGAAACGATAGCAAGGCCGTGCACACTCTGTAAACTGTTGCAGCTTCGGGATCTGACTGCACATTTTGGCGCGATGCCTGTGTGAGGCTTGCGTTGAAAGAAGCGCCGGTGGGTCCATCCCATTGTTGAATCTCCTTCCAGGTGTTTGCCGCGGCTGAGCGCTAAGCACTAAGCACTGGTGAGCACTAGTGAGCGCTGGTGAGTGGCAGCGAGTGCTGCGGGAGTCGCATTGCCTTGTGTCGAGCCAGACAGAGTTCAAACGTTGGCTCCCAGCCAACTCCGGCAAGACAGCTTGCTGGAAAAGTGTGTTTGCCATCACCCTTTCCGGGGGCCCCTCTAAATCATAGTCAACTTAGTGTTTTGCGGCGTTGAGGCTTGAAGGGAGCTTCTGCCGAGCTTTTTAATTGACTTGGGTCGCCACTCTCCGGACCCAAACCCTGGGGGCGAACTAAGCCCTCAACTCAAACGCTGAGCTCTAGGGCGAACCCGGGTTGCGGCACAGGGGCAGTGTATCGTAAGCCGCAGCACCCTAGGGCACCGAGCTCCCTGGCAGCCTTAAAAGAAACCGGCTGAATAATTCAGGGTTCAAGGTTTAGGGTTTAGGGTTTACGATCCAGCTGACCCGTTCCACGCAAGGGGAAGGCGTATGACCGGTTCGGCACAAGGTGACCCGATTAGAGGGAAGGAAGCCTGCTAGGTACCAGCCGGAGCACAACTCATAGAAGGTACGAAATACAAGTACATAAACAAGCGAATGAATACATATCCATATATACATACATTCCACAGCATCACATGCAGTAGCATATCTGTCTATACACACATATAATATACCAAGAAACAAAACAGACGACCCCTAGACCCCATCTAAGCGTAAGCTACACGCGCTCTAAGCCATGGCAGGTCAAAGAGCCCCGGTTTATAATTATAGGGTTTAGGATTTAGTCTTGGGTTTAGGGTTTAAGGTTAAACCCTAAACCCTAAACCCTAAGGGTTTAGGCCCCGCAAGGAAACTGCAGGCCCGCGCGCCTTCTCGCTCTCACAAAGCTGCCAGGCTTCTGGGCAAAATGCGGGTTCAGGGCTTTGCAAGCGACCCGAAACACCTAGGCCCTTAGGCCCCAAGGTAGTTCCTTTTGGGATTACCTTATAGGATTCTATATATGAGCCCCAAAAAGGAACTACTTTGGGGCCTCTAGGTAGACCCTTAAACCACTCAACCCTAAATCCTAAACCCTAAATTACTAAACCACTAAACCCTAAGCCCTAAATTGCTAAACCACTAAACCCTAAACCACTCAACCCTAAACCCCTCGACCCTAAACCCTAAACCCCTAGACCCTGTAAGCCCTAGACCCTAAACCCTAAATCACTAAACCCTAAACCCTGATCCCGAGATAGGGCTTAGGAGCTTCAGTTGTGCTTTTGCTTGCGACTGGGAGTGCGCTCGGGCTTTGGGGGGTTTAGGGCTCGGAGCTCGGAGGATTTGGCTACTGGGGGTCTTGGTTCCGATTGCAGGTTTCTGGTGTTGAGTTTGGGGTATAGCATGGCACATTCTTCTTGTAAGCACACTGCAGTCTGTAATGTCCGAAATTTCTTAGGGATTGTTGGGCGTTGTAAGGCTTTAGCGCTGTCGGGTTCTTCCCTAAGGCTTAAGCCCTAAACCTTGCCAAGGCTTTGAGACTACATTGTCGCGGTGCTGGCTATTCAGCAAGCCAATGTAGGAACACTCATGCTTTTTTTGGGGGGGCATGATACTATTATGAGCTTCCGCCCTCGATGTCTCCCCATGACCCGACCAAACACGGTATACCGTTGCCCCAACGTACCCTGCTTGAAGCGGTTGGCTTCCCGGTTTCATCATCTTCCTGCAGAGTTTAGCTTTGGCCCTCTGTTAACCGTAAAGGTACACGCCGTGCATATGTGGCCAAGCCCGATGCCAAGACCAAAAAATTGCAAACACCAAAAACCCTGCAGTGCCCTGGTTTCCAAGTACCACCACAGCCCGACACCGACCCCCATACTGCAAATCTCTATGAGCAGTTAACGACTTGGGATACTCTACTAAAAGCCGCCTTATCCCCCCCTCAGAAGCCTCACAAAGCCCCGTATTGGGCTTTAGGGTACTTTGATACAAGGCCGATACAACGCTAAACCCCTAAACCCTGAACCCTAAACCCCTAAACCCCTAAACCCCAAAGCCCTGAACCCTAAACCCTAAACTCCCCGAAACCCCTAAACCCTAAACTCCCCGAAACCCCTGAACCCTAAACCCCTACACCCTGAACCCTAAACTCCCCTAAACCCCTAAACCCCTAAAGCACAGTCTGAGATCTGCGCTGTAGAGCGGGTCCTCCTCGGAACCTGGGAGATCTCGATTCACGACTTAAGAAGTCTGGGGTACTTGGTCCTTTAACGGTTCCTTTAAAGGGTGTCTATAAGAAACAATTACTATAAGGGTGCTATGGTATGGTATAGGGGGCCATAGCAATTAGAATACGGTTTTGGGGCTCACTATACTATGACTAATTAGGAAAGGAACCCCCAAAAAGTATTGGCAATTATTTAGGCCCTTTGGTACTTGGTTAGAGCTTCGGGTGTTTCTGTCTGTAGGGTTCAAGGCTTCGGTTTATTGCTTAGCGTCTCTACCTTTTGGTTTAGCAAGTTTAGCGCTTGGTTTGGGACGGTGTGGGGTCTTTAAACCCCTGCTCTGCAAAAAACCCTAAAACCTAAACCTCAAAAGGAACAACACCACACGAGGACTTCGAACAGGCGGGATGAAGGTAAACAGGATCCAGGATCCTGTTGCTGCGCTGGGCTCTTGTTAAGTAGCTTACGTCACCATGATAGGGATCTATAGTAAATATGAGGGCTTCCTCATTTTGGTAGCTTGGAAGAACCTCCTTAATTCCATGCAGCAAAAACTAGCCAAGCGTGACTAAGGCTCTGAATTGGTAATCATAGACTTTGGAGCCCTTGCACCACTTCCTTGTCATCCGAGCCACGGCAGGTGACGACATCCTCCTGGGTACTGGGCAGCTTCAGCGCCGGGGTTTCTGGAACCTCGGGCTGGTGCTTTCTATACTGAACTTAGAACCGTAGCCAAAATTACAATTTTAGCTAATTCTTAGGGATTGTAATAGCCAAAAATTAAAAATTCTTTCTAAGTGCCCCTAAGCTTTGGGTTTAACGCTCAGGGCTTCGGGGTTTCGGGTTGAGGGGTTTTGGGCTTAGAAGCCATAAACCACAAACGCCAAGGTTTGGGGTTTGGGGTTCAGGCTCAACCCGAAGATTTAGGGTTTAGGCTTGGCTACAGGTTTTGTTTTCGGGCTTAAGGTGTGGTAAACCCCAAACCCTAAACTCCGAACCCTAGGGCTCGGGGCTTTCGGTTCCGAAAGGTTTAGGTCCGAGGATCTCATGGCATGGGGTTTAGGGTTTAGGGCTTAGGGTTTCAGGATTTTCGGGTTTGTAGGGCTTAGGGCTTTAGGGGTTCAAGATTTTGGGGTTTAGGGTTTAGGGCTTGCTTTTTGGGTTTAGGGTTCAGGGCTTAGGTTTTCAGGGTTTTCGGGCTTATAGGGTTTAGGAGTTTAGGGCTTCAGGGTTTGGGAGGAGTTCCGACTTCTAACCTCGAACCCCGACATCTGAAGCTCGCATCCTAAGGCCGAAGCTCAGATCCGAACTTTGGGCTGAAGGTTTTGGGTCGAGGGTCCAGGGGTTAGGGCTGATTACAAGTCGTATTAGGGCCTCGGTCTAGGGTATGCATTATACTTGACTTAAGGACTTTCAGAGAGCGAAAAAAAAAAGGCCCTTCGCCAGCTCAGTTGTGGCTCCATGCGTCTGTCTCGGCGCCGCTCCGTTGCCTCCAGGTAAACTTGGGGATCTTGAAGCTTTCCGCTGCCTGCGCCTTTGGAAGTCCTTCCGCACTCGGACTCCCTCCAGCCCAGGAGGGCGGCGGCCCAGACGGGAACTCCTCGAGCCCCCAGGATGCAGGGACTTTGGGATGAGGCCTTAGAGTGTTCATCAGAGGCCACGCCGGCTGACCCTCTCGGAAGACCTAAATCGACAGGAGAAAGAGTCTTCCATCGGCATCCTCATAGTCACCCTGTGCATTCTTCGTGAGGTTAAGTCGCCTCGGATGACGGCTAGTCCAGGAGGGGGTCCCAAGTCCTCGCGTGCCGGAAGTTGGATCATTGCGCACTTTGATTCAGCGGCGTAGGGCTTGCTATTCAGACGCCGGGGCACCCGGCTATGATGCTGGGATGCTGCTTGTTTCTGAAAGCTGAGCCAAAAGGCCGGTTTAGGCTTTACAGTAGGGCTTAGAGATTTTCGGGTGTAGGATTCTCGACCCATGCTGAAGCTTCAGGCCCCCGAAACCCCTAAACAAGACACTCTTTGTACTCGGGTCCCCTGGAAAGGGACTCTAGGATTCTACACTAGGCTGCCCTTAAGACCAAGAACCCGGGCCCCCGTAACCCTAAACCCCTAAACCCCAAAACCCAAGAGGGCAAGGAGATCATGCTTCGTTCGAGGGACGGCGCAGGCAGCAACGAACTCGGCCTGCACACAAAACAACTGAAGACTGCAGGATTTTTGTTTGCTTTGGCTGTCGGCATTGGAAGGTTACTTCTTGTAGGCTTCGTGCTGTTGCTGACGAGGACCGGGGAAAAAGAAGTTGGGTTCTGGGCCGTCCGCCCGGCGGTTCTAGGGTGCAGAGCTTCGGGGCTCTCTATTGCGTGATTCTCGCGTGGGGCTTACTTTGGGACCGACTATAGAGGCCTAAACAAGTAGAATGGGGTTTTGGGGGCCCATTGTACTATAATGAAAATAAGGAATCCCCCCGCAAGGAGCATGGGTAAGTATTAAGGCCCCTATACCATAGAACCCTACTCTTGATCCCTTCTTGTAGACCCTTTTAAGGAACCCTTTAAAGGGAACCCCCCCCCCCCTCAAAAAAAAAAATAGTATTGGTAATTATGAAGGCCCCCCTTATAGTAGACGCCCACAGCGAGTTTCCGAACATGGGGGACCCTAATATAGTAACCTAAGCAGTAGGATCCCTATTGTGAGGGCCCCAAAATAAGGAAGGGGGACCCCAACATAGCACCCTAAACAGAAGGATCCTTATTATAAGCACCCCAAGATAAGGTAACCCTAATTTTCGGAACTCTGAACCCTAAACCCTTTATACGAACCCTTATAGGTACCCTTATAGTAACCCTTTAAAGGAACCCAAAATAAGGTACTCCTAATAATTTTGGGAAACTCCCCACATGCGCCCTGCGAACCTCTGGAAGTCCCGAGCTCTGAGCGGTTTAGGATTTATGGGGTAGGGGGCGTTTAGGGATCAGAATTAGGGTTTAGGGTTGAGGGAGGATTCATATGGTTTAGGGGTTTAGGGTTCAGAATTAGGGTTGAGGGGTCTAGGGTTCAAAATCAGGGCTTGGGGTTGGGTTTAGAGGTTTAGTGTTTGGTGTTTAGGGATCATGTAATCAGAAGCCCGAAATCCATAGTCATACGCCGCAAAGCCGTTAGTGCAGGAGCCTTTTTTGTATGGCGCTGCCTAGAAAATCAGGAGCTGTACCTTAAAACCCTAGCCAAACGACGAAAACGACGCTCCCCCAATTTCCTAACAAGCTTCCCTCATTATGGTTCTATTCTAATTGTACTAAGGAGCCCCCAAAATGATGAAGGTAATTCTTTAGGCGCCGGAAAACAAGCTTCCCACGTTACGGTTTGCGGATTCGGGTGTCGGTTGTCAAGGGGCTTCCGCCCACTGGTCAGGTCTGTGGGGCCCCATGCGCTAGATCTTTAAGGGAGCCTAAACCCTAAATCCAAAATCCTAGAACCTAAACCCTAAAGCTTAAATCCAAAATCCTGAAACCTAAAGCATAAACAGTTATCCTTTTTTGGGAGGAGGGGGGGGGGTCGGTGCTCTAAGGATCTGCTACTAGCCCAATTTACAAGTAAGCTGGCTCTGCAACCCCAACATTAGGATCCAGATGGGTAGTTGGCAAAATTAAGGTCCATTTTTGGGTACCCTAAATGATAGGTGCCGTTTTATAATAGGGACCCAAAAAGGGACCACAATGTTGACCACCACCCATATGAAGAACCCCAATAAGGACCCAAGGTTGCCTAATCAGGTTCCTACATCAAGCGAGGGCTTTGTAATTTTTGCTATTGTTAATACTACATAAGTTTCATCATTATTTTCGGTATGATTGACACTAGTACTACTTGCCATTTTTGTTGTTGCTTCGAGGCTTCAAACTTCCGACTTCCTATCAAGCCCGGCTCCTTTCTGTTGATCTCATACTGGGCGGCCGCGTTCGTCTCGTTCACCTGCTTCTTCATGTCGTTGACCTGGGCGTCGGGGAGGCCTGAATTTGGTATTATGTTCAATTCCCAAAGAAAGCCCTGAAACCATGAATTTTCAGCACCCTGCACCGGTCAACCCTAGACTGCTAATTAGACCCTAAAACAAACCCCGAAACCCCTAAACCCTAAACATCTGAACCCCTAACCCCTAAACCCCTTACCACGAGAATCCAGGCCTCTGGGTAGTGGAGGGGTTTGGGGCCGAGGGTTTAGGGTTTTCTTGAATAGGGTTTAGGGTTTAAAGGTTTAGGGTTCAGATTAGAGACCAGAAGCTCGAGATCGGATCAGGGGATTTCGATCTAGTGTGTTTTCGTCCAGAACGGCCGCAGATCACACTGTGTGCAAGAAGGGCTTGCGTTCAGAAGGATCAGATGAATTTAGCATGTCTCGGCAGTAGAGTTGGAGTTGAGTCGATTAAAACAGGGCCTACGACAAACTGCTGATGGACATGAAAATGGGAATGCCATTCTTCTCCCCGTTTAAGGGGTCCATCAAGTACCGCAGGTTTTCGTCACGAACCCAAGCATCAAAACCTCGATGCCTAAACGTCAGTGCGAGAAGCTATTTGCACTGACTGCAGAGTGTAATCACAGTGAGACCTCCGCGTGCACATGTATAGCCTCAAGGCGGCTTAATCTCTGAGTAAAAACTCTTCATACGGTTTATGCCCTCTGTTTAAATCTCGACAGACCCAACCGGAAGATACAACCGCGCCCGATGTTGAAAAAGCCCCAAAGTCCCAACAGAGTCGTACAAGCTTCAACCGTCTCAAGGACGAGGGGCAATGTTGCGGATGCTGTTGATAGCCTGCTTCATGGACCTGAATGATAGATTGGGACATGTGGGGTTCAGCGTTTGGGGGTTTAGGGTTTGGGTTTGCGGGAATAGGTTAGGGCTTTTGGGGTTTAAAGCTTGAATTTGGGTTTGAGGCTTGGAGGTTGGCGCTTGAGGCTTAGAGTGTTGAAGCTGTTAAGAAACACCACAACCACTACCCCTGCCTCAAATACAGGAACTTGATCAAGAAACCTTGGGTCCTTATTCGGGCTCTTCATCTGGATCCTGATATTTGGGGGGGGGGGTTTAAAGGAAAGGGTTTTCCAATCAGGTAAATTACCAAGACCCAACTTAACCTCAAATTGAGCACTTATGGTCCTTCATAGCGAGTCTTTGGAGGGTACGCCAGCCCTCCTGCTCAACTTGCGTGCGTTCGCAGTTCTTCTTCGGTGGACGTGCTGCCAGAGTGTGCTACTGCAGCGGGAACTTTTTCTGCCAATGTATGGCCCCAGACGCTTTACGTAAAACGAACTTCATACACATGTGTATGTGTATATATATATATATGTATGTATATATATATATATGTATATAGATGTGTTCATTCATACATATGCATATATGCAGGATATGCGTCGGCTTGTCACTGCTGCTGGGTTCCTGAGGCTGGAGTCGGGAGGACCGGAGGCGGCAAGCAGGCAGGCTTCGGGCTCATGTCTTCGGGTTCATAGCAGGAACCCCAAGGGTCCAAGTACACAATAATCATATACTCTCCAAAATCCTAACCTACATAACTACTACCAGTATCCTAAAACCGAGCAACTAACTGTTGGATCCTTAGGTTCAGGGGCTAGGGGTCATGCCACGGAGGTCTTGGGCCTGGGCTTGCAGGGTGTGCTGTTCGGCATTCGGAGCTTTCATAATTTGGACTTGGGGCTTAGCCGACTTAGGGTTTTGGTGTAGGTGATCGTGCGAATACCTGGTCAAGATAGCCTAAGCCTGTAAGAGACACGAATCATCTCAACCATTATTGTGATTTTGGGGCAGCTTCTTGCGAACCATTTTGACAGGGGTGCCCTTCAACCCTAGCGAAGCCATTGCAAAAAATGCCGCATGAAGCCCTCCAAACACCATTTAGCTCTCAAGCTACCTCATCCCAACCCCTATAGATTCCAAACTTGCACGTACTCTCAGAACCCCAAATATCCCAAACTCTGAAACCTCAAATCCATAGCCATATGGAACCTTCTAAACGGAACCCGTGAAACCAAGATCCTCAAAAAGGAAGCCTTAAATTAACCCTAGACCCTAAACCTTAAACCTCCAACCCTGAAGTATGGGTTCCTTATAGTATAATGGGCCCCAAAACCTTATTCTAATTGTTAAGGCCCCTAAACAAAACCCTTATAGTAGCCCTTATGAAGTAATACACCTTCAAGGAGCCCCTAGCCCTAAAACCCTAAACCTTAAACCTTGAACCTCCAACCCTAAATCCTAAGCTCCAAACCCTAAGGGAGCCCCTAAGCCTTGGATCAGGCCCGAGAGGCTCATCGGGGGGCGCGCCATCCTTGGCCAACTTCACCAAGTTCTGCGCGAGGTCATCGAGTCCTTCAGCGCGGTTTCTGGTTTCGGGCTTAGGGGTTTAGGGTTTTAGAGTTTAAGGTTTAGGATTCAAGGGATAGGGTTTCGGGTTTAAGGTTTAGGGTTTGGAGTACTCCGTTCAGAAGTCATTCTGCGGGCTAAGGGCTTAATTAAAGGGTTCAGTCAGGGCTTTGTTCCAAGCTCCGTTAAGGATTCTGCTTTAAGCGCGGCACACAATAAACCCCGTTAAGAGTTGGCAACAGCTCGTATAAGGCAGTTGCCTCTCAACAGATTCTGCCATGGATGACTGCGTTAAGGCTTAAGGGTTTCGGGTCGACGGATCTGCTACGAGCTCCTTTGTAAGCTTTCTTGGGGGTCCCTGTGAGGGCTCCATGTAATGAGGGTTTAGGGTTTGAGGGCTCGGTGCTGTGGGCTCTGGGGCTTGGGCCTGGGGTTTAGGGTCTTGGGAACCAAAATCTAAAATCATACCGTGCCTCATGGTTTGTCCGCGCTCCCACATCACTGCAAGAAAAGAGCTCAGCAAACACCCTGAATTAAGCCTAAAAACCTAACCCTAAACCCCAAAACCCTAAATCTTTATGACCGGCCGAAAGACCACCAGCAAAAAGAGACGCTAAACCCGAAACTTTAAAGCCTGAAACCCTAAACCCCTACACCCCTGAACCCTAAACCCCCAATTTCTACAGATCCCTTATAGAACCCATTGAAAGGAACCGTTTGAAGAAACCCTACAGAAACCCCCTAAAGCTTTAAACCCCTGGGTAGGGGCCTTAATAAGTAGACTAGGGTTTCGGGGCCCATCAAACCATAACTATAATAAGGAACCCCCAAAATAGTGCAGGTAACTCTTGAGTCCCCTAACCCTAGACCCTACCTGTCCAGTCCCCTGTCCAGTCCAGGTAAACCCTTAAACCCTTAACCCCTAAATCCTATGACCCTTAAAGCCCTAAACGCTTAAGCCTTAAAGCCCTTAAAGCCCCAAAGCTTTGAACCCTCTATAACCCTAAACCCTAAACCCTAAACCGACCCTCTATAAGGCCAGAGAGCCTTGGGTTTGCTCACTCTGTGGCTCCCCAGCCAAAGCCCAGCTGGACCTCTGCGGGTCTTCGATTCCTACAAGGCCCCGCCTTTTGAGGGTTTAGGCTTCCTTTAAGGGATCTATAGGGGTTCTATAAGGGTTTAGGGTTTAGGGTTCCTTTAAGGGATCTATAGGGGTTCTATAAGGGCTTTAGGGTTCCTTTAAGGGATCTATAGGGGTTCTATAAGGGCTTTAGGGTTCCTTTAAGGGATCTATAAGGGTTCTGTAAGGGTTTATCGAGTCTTCGATTACTACAAGGCCCCTGCTTTCCTTTTCTGGAGGGGCCCTTCTACTAGGATTTAGGGGTCTAGGGTTTAGGGGTTCTTTTCTGAAGAAGCCCTGGTACTAGGATCCATTGTGGCGAGTCCGGACGAAGGTCTTATGCACCGTTCTGGGATTTTGCATGGCTTGGTGTGTACATAGGGCTTGATCTGGATTCTGTTGTACGGGGTTCCCCAACGCCCCCACCCTGAACCCCTATGAAGGGGCCCCTTGCTGGAGTCCTTAGGTTCACTTGTGGCATCGGGTCTGTAGCATGTTCTCTGGTGTTCGCGGGTCATTTCAGCGTGGCGAGCAGATGCCTTTAAAGTTGGAAGCTTTCCCGCGTCTAAGGTTTAGGGTATGGGGTTTAGGGATCTCAGGGCTTAGGGATCTCAGGGCTTAGGGATCTCAGGGTTTAGGGATCTCGGGGTTTCTGCGAGGACTTCTGAACCCCGATAGAACCCTTCTGGGACCCTGTTACTTCTTCAAAAACCAAGCTCCAAGAAAGTTCAAACGTTTAAAGCTCTCCCATTGGCTATGTAAGGTACTGAGTTGTCCTTTAAGCCCTTTGAAAATTATTTACCATTATGGTTCTCTACAAAATCGTAGGGGAAATTAAAAGAGATCCCAAAGGACAACCCAGGGTAAGATAGCGGAATCTTACAACGCATCCCAGCGAAAGAAGGGAAGCCTCCAGCTCCCCCAAAACCCCACGCCCTAAACCTCTCGATCCCCAAGGGCCTGATGCAGGGGCCTTAATAATCTATGCTATTTTGGGGGGTTCCTTATGAGAAATTTTAGCATAATGGGCCCAAAACATACCCAAATCCTCCACCATGAAACCGTCAACTCGACGAATCTTTAAATCCCTAAGCAAAACCCTTAATTCCTTGTAACGATCAGAGAACCCTTCAAGGGATGCCCCCACCGAAACCTTACAGACTAACTTTACAAGGAACCTCAACCCCTACAGAACCTTTGGAAGGAACCCTTAGATACAGAAAGCTTCAAACCGACCTCAAAAGTCACTCCCGAACCCGAGCCAAGTCTTTTATGCGGCTTAATCATCCATGCTTTCGGGCCATATCACATAGTACTAAGATGGTACGGAAACCTAGAAAACAAAGCATACATATGTGACGGAACCCTTAAACAACTAAATGTTGAATAAATATGATGCTGAACCTTGAGGACTTATACTTACACCGTGTACCCTGGACCCTAGAGGAGAACCTTCAAAAAACCCTACACAACCCTTATAAAACCTCATAGCCCTTATAACCCATACCCTAGCCCTAAACCCTAAAGAAGAATCTTGAAGACTACTTCATATCCTAAACCCTACCTAGACCAAAGGACCACCTTTCGGTAATGATATTCGGGAACTCTACACAGGAAGGTACGAAAAAGGATCCAGGTAAGCCCTACAGAAGAACCCTAAAACACCCTAAACAACCCTTATAAACCCTCATAACCCTTATAACCCATACCCTAACTCTAAATCCTCAAGAAGAACCCTAAACAACCCTTATAAACCCTCTAACCCTTATAACCCTAAACCCTACAGAAGAACCCTGTCGTTCTTCCGACCGCAAGCAACAGGTCGAGGGGCGTCAGCAGCGAGAGCCAGGGACCTGCGCCACCGGAGGCCTCCGATTTCAATTTGGGGGTTTGGGGTCTCGGGTTTAGGATTTAAGGCTTAGATTTAAATTAATCTATTTCATTTTGGGGGTTGGGGTGCTGGGCTTAGGATTTAAGGCTTAGATTCAAGTTAAATTTCAATTTGGGCCTTGGGGTGCTGGGGTTTAGGATTTAAGGCTTAGATTTAAATTAATCTATTTCATTTTGGGGGTTGGGGTGCTAGGTTTAGGGTTTAGGGTCTAGGATGTGGACCAACATATGTATTTCAAGGCATTTTTCACAGGGTTGGCCTGGACATTGTTGTTGCTTCTCTTTTTTGCTGGGGTTTTGGATCGTGAGAAGGGATCAATGGTGTTTCCATATAGGTTCACTAGGTTTTAATTTGCTTCGCTGTGATTGTACGGGTTTTCTGCATAAAGCATATTTGGGATTTAGATGAGCTCCAAACACAATGAAAGCGAATATGGACACCTCGTCAGGAACCCATAGAATGCTTTGGGATCCGGGAAGGCGTAGGAAGGAGAGGCTCCCCTTAAGCTGCCTACGCAACATGTAGTTGATCCGGATTAGGGTTTAGGGTTTAGTTATTTTTGTTGGAGCCCATAGGGTTTAGGGTTTAGGTTTCTATTTGAGCCCCTAAGGGTTTAGGGTTCAGGGTTGGGGACTAGGTTTAGGGTTGGAGCTCCCGAGCTTCACGTGTCAAGGCAACCCTAGAGCCCTAAATCCCCCAAAGAGTAACGTTGAGCCTAGAACGCTAAAGCACTACAAAGCCCTGAAGCCCTAAACGAGGATAAGGAGCCTCAAGGAAGAGTAAAGTTATGGGTAATTATTCAAAAACCCCCCAGTTCCCCGACTGTCTGTGGCCTCGTCGGCCGTTTTCTGGCTCGACACCGCAACAGTCCGTCCTTTGCAAAGACAGAGCTGTTGCGGTCGGGGTCTAAACCGTTAGCGCCGTGCCGTTGTGGGGATGGTTAAGGAAACACTACTTGTCATATCGGCTCCTGTATCCAACCCTGGGGATATTAACAATATGTCGAACACATAAGTATTATAGAGGCAAAAGCGCACGTACATCCCAGGATTTGGACGTTTTGGATTGAAGGCTTTCGGGGCCAAGGGATCGAGCTTCTTTGCTTCGGGGTTCTGCGTGTTCAGGGGTTCGGATTTTGGATGCATCTGGATTAGAGTTTGGTATTTTTTCCATTCGGTGGTTCAGGCTCCGATCCGCTTTAGAAGTTAAACTGTCGGTCGAAGCAGCTGAGAAACAGCAAATCCGATGAGTTGTGTTTAGGGCTTTAAGGCTTAAAGGGTTTGGGGCTTAAAGAGGTTAGAGTTCAGGGTTAGTTTCGGGGAAAGCGGGGTTTAGCATTTACATGTCATGTCGGGGATCTTGATATTTTAGGGCTTACGGTTTTAGGGTTTCGAGTTATGGCTTATGGCTTACCTTAACCCCGAAGATATAACGAAATCATAATAAGGAACCCCAAAAGGTAGGTTATTCAGGGTTAAGGTAGGGTTTAGGGTTTCGAATTTCGAGTTTAGGGGTTTCTATGGCTTAGAGGTTTAGGGATCTTAGCTCCTTGGGCCTTACCATGGCTGTTAACTAGCGCTCTTCTAGAAGGAAAGCTAAAACTAAGCACATGCCCCCAAATGGGGTTCCTTGAAAGGTTCCTTTACGGGGTACCATAATGGCTCCTGATAAGGGGTGTATAGGCTTTGGGGATTCAGGCTACATGTCTCCAAATAGTATATACATTGGCCCCAAAGTACCCAAAAAGGGCACTACTATAAGGCGAAAGTATATACTATTCGGGTACATGTACTCAAGCTACCAGCGACATTGGGAAGTGTTCTTACCTGGGCTCCTTTACCGTATCGTTGGAGACGTGGGCTGGGTCTCGGCGCTTCGGAAAGCTGTTGGACAAAGCTTTGTGCTGGATGTGCATTCCAAACAACATGGGAGGTTTGGGGTTTTAGGGTTTGGGGGACCTGACGTATCAGGATTCTTATCATAAGGATCGAAAATGTGAGGCTCAACTCGCTCTAGCACGACGTGTCTCGCGGGATTTGTCTTTCGGCCGATCATGTGGTTCTGCCTGAATGCGACTATCGGGGTATATGGCTGCGGGGTCAAACTCTTGGGTCGCTACACAGGATCATTGAACCACACAGCATAAGTTCGTACTTCAACAGACTTCGGACAACTATAAGACCCCTGAGGAAGCCTGGATGATAACCCCAAGATAGTAAAATGGCAGGATTCACGAAAAGAACCCTAGTAAAGTCTCAGGGTTTCCTAATCATGCTCCTATAATATTACATTACTTCCGGCCTGGCAGGGCCAGCAGGACGGAAAAAAAGGCGGCGCACGAGAACTGCATTGTTCGGCAAGAGGTATGAAGACCTGGGGCTATGCGCACGTGATTTGTTCATCGTTCCGCGGGGGGTTTCACCCGAATCTATATAGAACCCTAAGTGTCCAAAGGACCCAATGATTAGGTACTCGGGTTTAGGATAGTAGTTATGTAGCTCAATATTTAGGAGAGTACATGATAATCAGGTACTTGGACCCTTAGGGGAATAATTAGATAGAATAGCACAGAACACCCTGAGGCCGAAACCCAAGCAATTTCTTCTGAGCCAAACTACGCGTCCTATGCCCCCACCCCTGCATATCGCTCCACCTTGGTTTCGACCTTGCGGAGTTTGCGTTGGCCCCTAAAACCCTAAATCCTGACCTTACCTCTGGTTCACTGGCCGCTTTGATTTCCAGCGGCTTGGGATTGGGATGCAGTGGACACTAATTACTCAATTCCTTACGCTCCGGCCTTCATCAGCTTTCGGTGTTCGGCGCAGGATCTAGAATATTAATATGTAATTACATATATATATATATATATATATATGTATGTATGTATGTATATATATACATACCCTAATCTAACACTACATATGTATGTCTATATATGTGTATATATATATATATGTATATCTATATATATATATATAGTGATTGGTTGCGGAGACGAGATTCGAAGCTTTGGGTTTAGGATTTAGCGCGCGGGTTATAGAGCTCAGCATAATTTTTATGTTCGTGTATAACATATGTTTTTTATATGAAATAGGAAGCGAATATATTTCATATTCATAGCTCCAGCTCGGTCAGGCTATTGTCACCCACCCAAGAATCCGTTCTACGGTTTAGGGTTTAGGAGGTTTAGGATTTAGGGGTTTCGGGGTTTGGGCTTTGAGGTATGGGTTTAGGGCTTAGGGAGGAAACGTTGAAACCCCAACCCCCGAAACCTTAGGCCCTAAACCGTTTGAGGCGTACTCCCCGCCCTAAGAACCAGAACCCCAGGCCCGAAACCCGAAGCGGGTCAAAACATGCTCGCATGTGGGTAGTTGTCAAAATACTGTCCCTTTTGGGGTATCCTAAATATTAGGTGCCGTATTATAATAAGGACCCAACAAAGACCCTAATTTTGACAACTACCCATGTGCTGTGGTGATAGAAGTGTTTCGCTTACTGGGGTGTGGGACGACAACAATGTGCTTTGCGTGTTTCGGGATGCTCAAAATTTCAAAACATGTCCCTATTCAATAGAGTCGTTTCACTTGAGCATCCAACAGTTAGGGCATGCCTTGCTTATCGGGAGGACGATCAAAATATGTGCGTAGCCCTAGGCCCCAAACACTAAGCCCCAAAACCATAGAGTCTAAACCCTAAACCCTGTGCCCAGCTGCCACCCCAAAACCCTAGACAATAAACCCTGAGCCTAGTAGGCCCTAAATCCTAAGCCCCAAAACCGGTCGGCCCTAAACCCTAAACCCCAACACCCGGTGGGCCTTAAACCCTAAGCCCCAAGCCCCTGGAATGAGGAGATGACACATGCCCACGAAGAAACCGCAAGTTTAACTAATATATCCTAAATGCCTACGAACTTCGTCGGCATTTGCCATTTCTTCGTGGGAATTGAAAACGGCCGAAATCGCAAATGTCCACGAATCCAGTACAGTTTAGATACATATGCAGGAGATGTCTAATGTTGACTTCACATTTATAATCCCCCCCCTCACTACAAAACCCCACCCCCGGAACTCAATTATAAACCCCCCCTCAATTACGAACCCCCAGCCGGGAACCGAAAAAATATTAGCTACTTCTTACCTTGTGTTGTTTGTCTTGTGGCAGAGAGAGAGAGAGAGAGAAACTGCAGCTACTAGGACCACTTCAGGTGTGCAGAGAGAGAGAAACTGCAGCTACTAGGATCGCTTCAGGTTTGCAGAGAGAGAGAGAGAGAGAGAAACTGCAGCTACTACATGTGGTGGTGCCTTTAAAGGCCAGGAAGAGGACAGCAAGCTTTCCGTCCAAGGCCACGGGACTCCGAAACCGCAGATTTAGAGAGCTTCAGAAACCATGCTGTCCTTAGTAAAACTCCTTATTCCCGGAGCCAAGAATCAATCCATCCTGATGGAGTGCTAACAAAAGCCGTTCTTATGAATTATAACCCCCCCTCAATTATAAACTCCCACCGGGGCGGGCCGTGTGGTGGTGCCTTTAAATTGCATGGAAAAGGATAGCAAGCTTTAGAAGCCAAGCACTTCGTTGGGAAAGCTTTGGATTCAAAGAGGCAGCAAGCTTCACAAGCTCTTCATTGGGAAAGCTTTGGATTCAACAGGACAGCAAGGTTTAGAAGCCAAGCCCTTCATTGGGAAAGCTTTGGATTCAAAAGGACAGCTGTAGGAGCAGAGTCTTTGATTGGAATAGCGTAGCTTTAGGAGCCATGCCCTAGCTTGCGAAAGCTTCGGCTTGCAAAAGAGGAGGGAAAGGAGAGCAGTATCATTATTCGCTGCTGAGATCGTGCAGCTTGTACAATTCATACTTTACCAAATGTGCCTTGTCCGCTACTGTACTACCAGTGTACCTTTTTAGGGTTTCTTATTATGATTTCCTTGTACAAGTCCTTAAAAAGGAGGGTTTTCCGGGTTGAGCTAAGGCCCATGCAGAGGACTTGCCCGGGGGGTCAGCGAAAGCGAGGCAGCTCCACAAAGGGCAACTTCTCTTGAGCCACAACACGAAGAAAAGCGCCAGGGAGGTAGGGTTTGGGGATTATGTAGGGATTCTTGGATTTAGGGGGTTTTGGAGTTTAGGGGTTTTGCGTTTGGGTTTAGGGTGGAGGGTATTCAGGGCTTAGGGTTTACGGGGTAGAGTTCGGGTCAGAACAGGATTTCGGAGTGCATCTTGTGAGGAGGGGTGCTAATTTGACGTGCTGTAGAGCTGCAGAGAACATGGAATTGGCGCCTGAAAAATCGTTGTATGGTCTGGTAATTAAATTTAAAAATCCTAGCCGTCTGCGAGTCTAGGGGCCCTAAACCCGCTCTAAAACCCTAAACCCTAAAACCCCAAGCTTTAAAGCCGAAGCTGCCCGGGTTAGGAACAGAGACTCGTTCTCAGACCCGGTTTAGAGTTTAGGTTCGTGTTTAGAGTTTAGGGTTTAGGTTCGTGTTTTGAAGGTCAGAGGCCTTTTGACACAAACTCATTCTGTCTCTCTCTCTCTCTCTCGCTCATCCGCGGTGAAAGCTGTCAAAGTGTGAGCAATGACAGTGGACCTACCTGCAGTCTCCATTGCAGTTCCTTCTTTGGGTTTAACCAATCGTGTGTTTAGGCTCCTGTAAAGTAACCCAAAAAAGACCTACAATGGAGACCTAAAACTTAAACCTGAGTAGGTAGATCCGTCATGACTCCTAATCGGTTGCCTCCGAAGATCCCATGAGACTCCAGCAGCGAGCTACTATCTTGAGGCCTAAAACCCTAAACCCCAAACCCTCAACCCCAAATCCTAGGCCCTAAACCCCAAACGCTTAACCAGTAAATCTTTCTCTTCCTAAACCCTAAAACCGAAACTTCCTAAGCCCTAAACCTTAAACCGGATTATTGGACGCCCAACCCCGCCGCGCCCCTTTTCTCCAGTTCTTGCAGCTAGGCCCTTCTTCGGACTTGGCGGCTTGGCGCAAAGGTGAGACACCTTTGAAAACATGTGCGGGGATGTTCTGGCGCTTGGGCTTAAGATTGAGGCTTAAAGACTACCTGCAAGCAGAAGAACCTACATTTCTAGGGTTCCTTCTTAGCGTTTCTATATATAACTCCTGAAAAGGGAGGTTTGGGGGGCCACAGGTCGGGTTTGGAGTTTAGGCTTTAGGGTGCTATAGGGATCAGAGCTTCTGAACCGTGGGTTCCGGTGTAGTAGCGGTTCAGGGTTCAGGATCTATAGGGTTGAGAGCTTCTTGTTTGGGTTTTGCTGGCCTGCGACTTATCCCGTAAGGGCGGGGCCGAATAGGGTCTTGGACTATGATAGCAACATGGAGCCCTTTTGGAAAACGAAGACAAGTTGCTGTGCTGCACGATGAGTATAACATGGGGTCCCTACGGAATACAAGGATCACTTCTTGCCTTGCAGTATGACGATCACATGGAGCCCTTCAGGAATGGCTCCTAGGATCTAGGTTTTAGGGCTCAGCTGTTCAATGTCTTAGGGTCTAAGGGGCCCAGGGTCGTATGTACCTCTTATATCGTAGAATGTTACGGGGAAGTATCCCCCATAACGGTACATAGGACCCTTTGCGGGGGTTTAGGGTTTAGGGCCTAGGGTTTAAAGATGTACACTATGAGGACTCTAGAGTCTAGTTTGGGGGTTCTCGAAAGTCTAGGAGTTTTACAGCTTTAGTGCACTAGAGCCACTAGAGATTTTAGGATGTGGGATGTGCACTACGGCATTCACATCTTCAAGTGAGAAAACTACAAGCCACTTCATGCAAGTGATGACCCTCCAGCCCCATCGCCGCTACAACCGGAGCAAGCAGAACCAATAAATTTCAGATCCAGAGCGATGACATGCTGAGCACAAGTATGATACGACCGGAAACGTCTAATTACAGCGTAACGGCACGCCCTTAAAACCCCTGCACAAGAGAAAGGTCACGTATTTTAGCCATCACACAGGGGAGTCTCGATAAGCTCCCACCCCCCCCTTAGGGGGGAGGTTGCGTGGAATCATCGGGCACGTACACCCATCCCACGCAAAACTCTGTTTCGACAGCAACGGGAATTCGGAAATGGGCTTGCAGCATCTGGGTTTAAAGTAGCCATCAGCCGTAGTTGTAGTCGTAGTCGCAGTCGTAGCAGTAGTAGTAGTAGTAGTAGTAGTAGTAGTAGTAGTAGTAGCAGGAGGAGTAGTAGTAGTAGTAGCAGTAGTAGTAGCAGTAGTAGTTGTAGCTGTTGTTGTCGTAGTAGTTAGTAGCAGTGGCAGGAGTAGTAGTAGTAGTAGTAGTAGTAGTAGTAGTAGCAGTAGTAGTAGTAGTAGTAGTGATAGTAGTAGTAGTAGTAGTAGTAGTAGTAGTAGTAGTAGTAGTAGTAGTAGTAGTAGTAGTAGTAGTAGTAGTATCTGTAGTAGTAGGAGTAGTAGTAGTAGTAGTAGTAGTAGTGGTAGTAGTAATGTTAGTAGTAGTAGTAGTAGTAGTAGTAGTAGTAGTAGTAGTAGTAGTAGTAGTAGTAGTAGTAGTAGTAGTAGTAGTAGTAGTAGTAGTACGCGCGCCCCCCATTTACCAACCACCCCTCTTACATACTCTTCTCGAACACATCCGCTTTACTCGGTATTTACAGCAGAAAGTCATATAGGAACATCTTCTCAAGCGTCAAGATCGACTGGGAGTTTGCAAACTCGAGCTTCCGATTCTGGACTTGTTTTTTTGGGGTGGAGGGGTGTGGGGAAGGGGGGATGATGACGACATTGTTACGCAGACACCCCGAACAACATCTCCGAAAGAGCCGTTACACTCGGTATTTACAATACTTCTGTGATGTCCGACCATCTTATACAGTCACCAAACCTACCTCTGGACTATGCGAACTCGACATTGGGCTTTGGGAAGGCTTTCGGCGAAAACTCGAAATTGGTTGGGGGGAGGCTGTCTGTTACTCGGCGTTACAAGTTCTTTCGTTATGTCGTAGTCCATTGCTAACCACCTCAGCACCGTTGCTGCCTCCTAGGGGAGGGATTGGGTGGGGGGCATGATGACGTACAGCGAGCCTCGAACACCACACACCACTTCACAAGCAAACCCTCCTACGCCGAGGTCTGGGCTTTAGGGGTGTTGGCGAGGCCCTCCCACGCTGGCATCTTTGTCTTTGATGTTTAGAAGATGTTGCGCTGCAGTTGCGCTTCAGCTTTTAGGCGTGTTTCAACCTTCTTGGCAACACCTACTATCTGAGCACCTGTGGTTTGGCAGTTTCTTCGCCGTCGAGTTTGCAGCTCCAGTTGCTGTCGCCGTTTTGGGGCCTGAGCCTCTGCAACTTCACCGGCTGTGACAGTTAAGGCAGGTCGGCAACTTCTGCACTTGTCACAAATAGGGGGCGTGAGCCTTCTGCGACTGTCATTTTCGTTGACGACGATGATGATGGTGGGCCAAGACGCCAAGTGGTTGGTAGGAGGGGGGGTGGCTTGTAGTAGAGGTAGTAGTAGTCGTCGTCGTCGTCCTCGCCGCCGTAGTATTCGTGGGCTTAGGAGCAGGAGTAGCAGTAATAGTAGACGTAGGAGTAGAACGAGTACTAGCAGTAGTAGTATGAGTAGAAATCGGTTCAGTAATAGTGGCAGTAGCAGCTGTAGTAGAAGCAGAACCAGCAGGAGGAAGTGCAGTTTGAATAAGATCACCAGCAGTGATACCTGCAGCAGTAGCAGTAGCAAAGCGGGCAGCAGCAGCAGTTGCGGTGGCTTCTGCAATACCGGTAGCAGCACCGTCCAAGACGTAGAAGTAGCCGGAAGAGTAGCAAACCGATGGCAGTAGTAGTGGCGATGCTGTTCAAAAAAGGAGACATAATGGCTGCTTAGCAGTGGATATATGTTCGAGAGTCACAAAGTACCAGAGCCCCATGTCCACCAGCCGTAGCCGTCGAGATAATCCTCAGACACACCGCCGAAAACGTGCGGGCGTGGAAGACAGCGCATAGCCGTCCCAGAAACCCTGGGGTCAACCTTCAGTCACCGTGAATCCCGAAAACTAAAAAGGGCACCTTATTTTGGGGTCCTTATAGGGTTTAGGGTTTAGGGTGTAGGGTTTAGGGATTCTTCAGAAGGCTCCTAATAAGAAGGCTCCTACTATGTAGGGTCCCCTGTCTTCAGAAGGCCAGGGCGTTCATCCGCATTTGTCCAGAAACTCCGAGTAGGAGCACTCTTGCCCATTCAGGTGCATAGAGCCATGAGGCGCGAAGCCCTGCCTGGACTTCAGGGTTGTTTGGGGGTTTTGGGTGGTTTTGGGGGGTTTTGGGGCGTTTTGGGGGGTTTAGGGGGTAATTAGGGGGTAATTAGGGGGTTTTAGGGGGTTTAGGGCTTGGGGGGGTTAGGGGATTTATAGGGGGTTTGGACTTCTATGATTGCAAATCAACATTCAACTTTGTCGTTCCTGTCCGTCGCTTTGTGTCATTTGTCCACTGCGCTGCGGGAGGGTAGAGAGGCGGGCGAAAGGAAGTGTTCCAGTGCTACGACTCCGAGGTTCAATTCAAAACAACAGCGGAAAGGGCAAAGCCCGAAGCAGGGCTTAAGCCTAAACCCCAAACCCTAAACCCATTAAGGTGTAGCTCTTCGGCGTTATAAGCCCTCGACCATCTACAGAGCCTCTGAAGTGCAATTCGCTGTGTTCAGACGTTGGTTAAACCCTGAACTCTAATACGAAGGAACTCTACGACAAGGATCGTGGGACTTAGTAGCTGGGGTTATAAATACGATAATCAACTACAACAACTAGAACTACAACTACCTATAACCCCAAGTAATCTACATAACCTAGCTTACGAAGTCCCCAAATCCTCCAAGTAGGGGCTAGCACTGTTTGTTCAAGCCCGTGTCGGCCTCCGTCTTCAGAACATAAACTGCAAATCTAATCTGCGAATGTTGTACACTCAACGAAACCCTGTGAGACATGGGGCTTGGGGTTTTGGGTGTTGGGTTTTGGTTTGGGTTTAAGGGTCTAGGGTCTGCAAGCAATACAAGAACCATCCCCATACTAACACCGTACATTGAAACAAACCTCTCTTACCGCTTCCACCGTTGCCGAAAAGAAGGCATACTCTCATTCGCAATCCCGGCTGAATACACCGCATGTCAGTCCCTGCCCATTGTGCCAGCAAGACTGCACAGGGAGAGGCAGGGGGTCTTCCTTCAGGGTCTATTAATACGGTTCAAGATGTGGAGGATGCTATATAGGTGGCCTTGATCATGTTGGCACTAGAAAAGGTTTCGGGGTATATCAAATATTATACTATAATGATAATAGAGCACCCTACGAGACTACCAATCATTCAGGCTTTTGTGTTTTGTTGGGTGTGGCTGTATAGATCCCGATCGAGGAGCTCATGGTGCATCGAAAGATCCGGGTCTAGGGGTTTAGGCAAGTTATCAAACCCTACAAAGCCTAACCTGAAACCCTACGCCCTAGAGCTTAAACCTAAGCACCAGCACCGAACCCAAAACAAACCGAATGCCGTCGGCTGGCACGCTGAAGCGTTTCCCGTTCCCGGCCGCACAGGTGATGTAGACGGTGTACGGGCCATCACCTGCAGCCAAAAAGAGCCACCAGAGATGGCCTAAGTTTAAGGCGTTTTAAGGAATGCTCAAAGCTCATGCCTTATAAGTCCTGAATCTGAAGCTCCACCCGCAACTTGCTCTCGTGAGTGCTTTTTGAGGGTTTAGGGTTTAGGGTTTGGGTTTAGGGTTTAGGGTTGCATACCGACCGCCCCAAAAGCTTCAAAGCCAAATCCTTCAGGGCCTTTAGGGTTTAGGGTTTTGAACAGTCTACCGATCTGGTCCGCACCCCTTTACGGTCCTAGGTGATCGGAGCAGGTTGGGTGAAGTGAGTGCTCTTTCTGTGAGGATGTCAGCATGATATAGGGGCCTTAACAACTACCTATACTATTTTGGTGGCTCTGTTATCATATTATAGTATGATACACTCTCAAACCCTATTCAAACTATTCAGGCCCCCTGTATTAGGCTGCAAAAACCCAAACACCTCCATAGATCAGCGACAGAGAAACCCTTGGAACCCTGAAGCCCTTGCTAATAAATTTCTGCCAGGAGTGTCAGCTCTAAACCAACCGAGAACGAACCGTGACGAACCAGAGTGCCGGCGCCTAAATGATTAGAATATGGTTCTGGTTCCTTTACTAAGGAGTAACATTGGTGATTATTGAGGCTTCTGTAATACAGAATAGAAGTCTATAGCAAGCCCCAAGCCCCAAAGTTTACAGGGAACTCTAGAAAGTTGGAATATGGTTTCATGGTAGGATACCCTATAATTTACCATAGAAGGGTTAGGATGATCATACTTTCTGGCTTTTACCTTACAGAGTAGAACCCTCTCGAAGCTGAAGACGACCCCAAGAACTTCCCAGGTTGGGTCGGGCCTGCAGGAAGATACCACAGTGCCACAGGGCTTTGTGGGGAGTTCTCCAAAGTTGGGTCCTCTTTTCGGTCCCCAAAACAGTAGGGCACCCTTGCAAAAAGGACCCTTGAAGGGGACCCTAACTCTAAGAACTATCGTGATAAGTTTGTAACGGTTGCTTAAATGAAGGATTCTGTGATAACGGGGCCATACAGTACTTGGAATGTACGGTTTTGGGGGCAGCGAACCCCACACTAAACCCTAAACGACCCCTAAACCCTAAACACGCCTGAAACCCCAAACCCTAAACCCTAAACGGCCCTAAAACCCTAAACACGCCTGAAGGAAGATATTGCCACACGTGCCGAGAGGAACATCGTTGTTTGGCCACACGTTTTCCCTTCGCGTTGAAGATGAACCTTGGCTTCAGACGAGCAGTGCTAAAAGATGAGGGTTCTATACTATGAGGGTTGTATCTATGAGGGTTCTATACTAGGAGGGTTCTATACTAACTGGACCCCACAAGCATGCAGCAACAATGCCCCTTTGTAGGTCTTGGGCCATTGTTTTACCTACTTTTGGGGGGGTTTAGGTCATATGATGGTTTTATAATTAAGTACTTGGGACGATATGCCATGGGTGTAGGAGTCGGAGATGAACTTGCTTAGAGCTTTAGAGTGCTGTCGTGGGGGAGCCCTTGGGCTTCCGGGATAATTTGACTCCTGACCCAGAGGGTCCATACTTAAAGGATCATGGGACTTAGTAACTAGGGTTCCTTAACAGGGCTCCTTACAGGGATCTATAAGGGGTTCCTTAAAGGGATCTATAGGGTTTAGGGTTTAGGGTCTACTTAAAGGATCATGGGACTGAGTAACTAGGGTTATAATTAGGGTAGCTATACTTATATCTCATAACCCCAATTAAGGTACTTATAACCTTACTTACTAAGTCCCATGATCCTCCAAGTATGCACTACAATTATGGAATTAGGTTCCCAAAAACATAATAGGAATGGTCTTCTAGGACCTAATCCCATAATGGTGGTGTATATGGACCCTCTGGGTGAATGGCGAATGTAGGATTTAGGGCTTTAGGGCTTGTGGTTCGGGGCGTAGGGTTTAGGACTTTAGGACTTCGGGGTTTGGGGTCTTAGTAACTGGAATAAGGTTTAGGGTTTAGGGTTTAGGGTTTAGGGTTTAGGGTTTAGTCGAAACTCAGCGAGCCATAACGAGCATACATGCCTGTTAAACCTTGGGGATTGAGAAAACATCGTGCTCGATTTACTTGACATACATGGCCTGAGGAATATCTGATTTCTCACTCACTTTAGGATCAGCGAAAATATGAGTTAAGAGACCCAGAAAGGCGTTTTGTAAAACAATTCTTAGACTTGAGCTATTTCGTGATTTTTTAGGATGAGCCTCCGTGTACCCCCACCGCCCCTCCATGAAGGGCCTCCATACCCCCCCCAAGCCCGCCGCAAAGTAGTCCTCCGGCCCTAGACCTAAACCCCTAAGCAGAAACCCTATACTATGAGGGTTCTGTTCCTGGAGCCCCCAAAGTACGGAGAATAATAGCCCCTTTATCCTAGAAGCCGCGCCCCCGAGGGTTTAGGGCCAGCTACCCGCGAATGATGGTGCGGTTGGCGATGCAGTGAGTGATGATGGCGGGGTGGCGGAGCGGGGGGCGGTGGATACATGGGCGTGGGCGGGATAGCCCAGAAAGAAAAACAAGAATCCCCCCGTGATGTGGAGGGAAAAAGACAAACAAGAACCCCACGGTGATGTGGGCAAAAACATCTAAATAAACCAACGCCGAGAAAAACTCGCAAAATTCACAGCACAAAAAAAGCACCTAAAAAAACAACCTCCTTATTTAAGGTGCTCAAAAAGCCGCACCCCAAGCAAGCTGAATAAACCCAAACCCAAAGGGTCCTACATACTGCTATGCGGGATTCTTCCCTGAATCATAATCGTAATTCCAAATATACCTAAAGAACAATCGTAATTCCTAAGGTAGAACCCTACATTCTAAAATCTAGGTACAAAGGATCCTTTGAGAAGTACGGTGTAGGTGGTCCCCGTGCCTTGGACCAGGGCAGAGAGGACTTAGCTTCGGGAATTTTGTACAAGAAGTATAAGAAGGTTTAGGGTTTAGGGTTTAGGGTTTCTAAGAAGGAACCCCCACAGTAGTATAGGTAATGATTTAAGGCCCCTATAGTAGTTTGAGTTACCACAATGTGGATCTGAAAGGTAACTTGAAGGGATGTGTAAGGGTTCCGTTAAGGGTGTAGCGTTTAGGGACTTGAGTTAGTTTTTGGGAATGTGTTAGTATATAAAATAGGATTTCCTGACTAATTACAGTAACTTATTTCAAGTTCCTTAACAGCATATTCACGGTGTAGGCTTTACGGTTCCGGGTTGAGGGCTTAGGCTTTCGGCTTAAGGGTTTACTGCCTAGGCTTGAGGTGGTTGTGTGCGCCAGGCAGCCAGTAGCCACTCGAATACTTGGTGTTCTTGTAATTAACGCCATCCTCTTTGCCTTGGATGTGCAGGCATGCTCCGGATCTAGAACTTGCGCTGCGAAAGGATTCCCTGAACCTGTGATGGGATGCCAAAAGGGGGGTTTAAGATTCTTGGGGTAGGGATTCCTGAATATGAACCCTATTATGGGAACCCTAATCCCTACTAAACCCCCATAGGCTAAAACCCCTTTTGGCCTCCTATGAACCTGACAATCCGCCCTCTCAACTCGAAGCCGCCGGGAGCGTAACTCGCGGATTCAGCAAGACTAGCAGCCCTGTATCCAATACCGCTCGCAAATGCGACTATGCCGTGTCACACAAGTGGCACACTGCGGTGTTATGCAACCCAGACCTGCCAATAATTGTTACCAATATCCCTCAACTAAGGAATATGCCTCAAGTCACATTTGGGATCCTATTATGATTTAAGGTATGTTCCTTGACTAAGGGATATTGGAAGGCCTGGGCAACAGGAAGTAATATAGGGGCCTGAATAATTAGAATGGGCTGTTGGGGCCCACTATACTATAACTACAATATGGACCCCCCCCCAACAAAAAAAAAAGTATCGGTAGTGATTTAGGCCCCTGTATTCATCATTAGTCGTAAATCCACTGCTACCAGGACGCTCGTTGTACCCTCAAATAGGGGTATATGGTCCCAGATAATGGGTAGATGGAGGATCTAGGTACACATTTCCAAACATGCTAGTAGCACTATGTCTACCGAGAAGTGTTGTGACTTCACAAGATTGCATACTTGTCACGATGCACCCAGTACTCACATTTCTCCTGCTGTACATTCAATCGTAACGGCCAGCGGCAGCAACATCTTCAGCATCGTCATCATCATGATCACCATCATCATCATCAACATCGTCGTCGTCACGCATCGTCACCACCATCACCATCATTTCTGACGTTGTAGGTAAACAGCATGGGAAAGATATGCAGTTGCTCGCCGCCAGAGGCAAAAGGCACACGCAACGACAAGACACGCGTACAGACATGGGTGGTGGTCAAAATGATGGTGCCTTTCTGGGGTCCATGTTATAGTATGGCGGCACCGAATATGTAGGTTACTCGAAAAGGGGCCATAATATTGACAACCACCCACATCGAAGATGGGACCTCGTGCCCTCCATCCGAGCTTGTCTCGTGTTTCGTCCCGAGTCGAAAACACGAATGCTGGCCGAAAACAGGAGCCTGAATATTTAGGGTTACACTATTGGTAACTATCAGTCTTTAGGTACTGGGTAACTATTCGTGTATAGGTGCTGCAGAGGGATTTCATTGCTACCTGTTGAACGCTGGCCATTGGAAGACTATTCTGGGGAACACTGATTCGGAAAAACGTCGCACGGAGCTCTCTGTATAGGGGCCTACATAATTAGAGCAAACTTTAGATAAATAGCATGGAATAACTACAGAATGAAACCCTGAGAAGAAAAAAGAAAGACACGTAAGCTTCTCTAGTCGCTGAGGCTTCATGCTGATAATGTAGGGGCCTTGATAATTGGAGTGGGGTCTTGGGCTCCTGATTGTAAGGAACGCTGAGAAACATTATTGGCAACTATTTAGGCTTTCATATCAGCTGGGTTTGGCCCTTAACCCCAAACCCCACCACAGGCGCTCAGGCAGGCGGACACAGAGATGCAGGGCAAGGTGCGCTTGTTCCACTCGCGGCATTGCTTCTGGTTCTCACGCATCCTCGGTTTGTGCAGGGCTTCGGCATGTCTGGGCTTTAGGGTAACCCTAAACCCTAAACCCTAAAGCCAGGGGCTAGGGAAAAGGACCACATATCTCCAAGCTTCGCACAGAACGCCAAAACGAAGACAAGAGGCAGTGGAGGTGATGAGAAATCCCTGCAGAAACCTTGCGATCCAAAGATGGATTCAGATAGACCATTCCGATGTAGAAACAGCAACGTCTGGAGACATGACTTCAGCCACGGGCCACGTGCCAAACGTGCTGTTGCGGCTTCTCAATGGAACAAGAACACAAACGAACACTGTCGCTCGAGAGCTTCAAGTTACAAGTATAGCGGAGCTCCCAGCTAGTGAAAACGCGTTGATGATCCCGGGACTCTAAACCCTGAACCCTGGGGAGAGATTCAGGGCACTCCCAGAAGCAACAAGAGCCGGAGAAGCAGCAACAACTTCCAATTACCCGGAGAAGGGTTTACTGTTAAGGGTTGACGATTCCGTCGGTTTCCTTCGGTGAGAGGGGAATGAGCCATGCCTTAACCCTAAACCCTAAACCCTAAACCCCTAAACCCTAAACCCTAAAACCCTAAAACCCTGAACCCTAAAGCAGCCAGGCATCAGAGTGAGTATGACTGGTGCCTCGTCGGCCATGTCGCTTACGGAGAACTCGTACCTTGCAAATGCCAGTGCCGTGAAGGACGGTTGATGATATAAATCCTGCATTACCCATAAGAAGCAATATCCCATAATTCCCATCGTTTAAGGTCCTTAAGGTACTGCAGGATTTATATCATCAACCGGAGCACCTAAACCCAGAACCCCGAACCCTAACCCTCACCTAAACCCAGGACCCTGAACCCAGAACGCGGAATCCTAAACCCAGACCCCCGAACCCTGAGCCCTAAACCACAACCTAAACCCCGAACCAGGGTCCTGAACTCTAAATCCTACTTAATCTATAGTACCCCTATAGATGCCTTATAGTAGCCCTTTACAGGAACCCTATTCGAGTTATTAAGGCCCCTATATTGTAGTACCCCTATAAATCCCTTATAGTATCCCATACTTCAAGGATCATCCTAACATCCTTTGGTTCCTTAAAGGGCTCCTTAAAGGGATCTATAAGGGTTCCTTAAAGGGATCTATAGGGTTTAGGATTTAGGGTCTACTTAAAGGATCATGGGACTTAGTAAGTAGGGTTATAAGTAGGTTATAATTAGGATAACCCCACTTAGGGGACTTATAACCCCAGTTATAACCTACTTACTAAGTCCCATGATCCGCTAAGTAACATAAACCCAGACCCCTGAACCCTGAACCCAAAAACCCCAGAATCCAGAACCCTGAACCCGAACGTCAACGGTTTGGGGTTTGGGGTTGCCAGCAGCTTCGGGTCCATACACACATAAATATTGCAACTAGCTTCGTGAACCTTGGGACCCGTCTTGAAGGTTCCGCTCACTCCGGCTCCGACCTAAGTTTGCGAACCCTCGACCCGAAAGCCCATGGGTTCGTGGATTTCAGGAGACCCCAGCCCCCACCAGCATCGCCGCCTCGTCGGTACTGAGAACAGACATATCAACAGCCAAAATCCTAAACCCTGAATGTTGGTGGCGAAAAAGAGCAGCTGCAGACACAAGGAGCACCAGGTTCAGGATGTCGGCTTAGAACAGCCAACCCTAAACCCTAAACCCCAAGGGCACTTGTAGGCGGTCGCCGTCTTCATTTCCGCGTCTTTGGTTCGGTAGAAGCCTTCCTCCCCAGTACGCTCCACCTTGCCCTTGGTCCAGTATCCTGTCGGGTTTGCTATAGGGGCCTTAATGACTTGAAAAGGGTTCCTTTTAAAGGGTAAGTATAAGGGATCTGTAAAAGTACTATAATATGGGGGGCCTTAATAATTAGAATAGGGTTTTGGGGCTCGTAAGACTATAATTATAATAAGGAACCAGGAACCACCAAAATAGTACGGCTTCAGGGGTTTGAGGTTTGGGGTTCAGGGTTTGCTGTATAGGGTCCGACGCTTGTTGTCCAAGTTATTTGCCATGCTTCGGATACTGGGAGGCAAATCAGCCGTTTTGCTTGCCGTGGTAACTGAATATAACCGATAATAAGAGCCTTTACCCAGAGCCGTGATTGCTGACACCTTCTTTTACCCATGGAGCCTACTACAAGCCCACAATGCACGTCACTGTGCTTGATTTTTACATTTTTGGGACGCCACTCCTAAATTCTTGCGATTTGCTGGTTAAGATTGTCCCAGGAAGCTTAAACCCTAAACGTCACGAGAGAGTTCAGGCCAGGGGCACCCTAAATGGAGGGTTAAACTTTCCGATTCCTACTAAACTATAAGAACCCAAAAGGTTTAAAGGTTGGTTTGGGGATCTTAGCACTGGATGGCAGGATCTTTAGTTGAGGATGTAGCCTCCTTAGGCCTTTTGGTTGAGCGGGTTAGGGGTTTAGGCTTGAGGGGTTTAAGTGTTTAGGGTTTTAAGGTTCAGGGTTTAGGGTCTGTCCGCCGTCCTTGGACTTCAATCACCTCGATCGTGTCTCCCTTCTGGAATGAGATCTCTGCCTTGGGCTGGGGTCTTGGTGGAAGAACCCGTGCTGAGGTCTACGGTTTAGAGTTCAAGGATCCTAAACTCTAAACTGTAAACCCTAAACCCCTAAACCCTAAACCCTCGCCCGGGGTCAAGAAACCAAACCCTTCAGTCTATTGGCCTGGTCTATAGGATCTCCACTGCAACCCTCACGAAGGGAGACTTGTGTTCTGAACTTTCTGGCAGGGGCAACAGCATCTTAGTTGCTGAGTTCACAAGCCCCCCAAAAAAGTGTGCATTTCTAGTTTCATGGTGGTTAATATTATCCCAAAACGTGTAAAGTGTATCCACTCAGCTACTAAGGCATGACAGGGGAAGAGAAGGCAATGATGCAGATGATAATCACGGTGGCGTCCGAAAACCTAAACCCAGCGAAGCCGGAGGCTTGTTTACCCACCTGTGATGACACCACAGGCAACCACCCAAACCATCTCTTGTTGGAGTTTAGGGCTTACGCCCTCTAGATGTAATTACGAGTTCCTCGACCTAAACCCCTAAACCCCTAGGCCCGAAACCCTAAAGCCTGAACCCTAAACCCATAAACCCCTAAACCCCTAAACCCCTAAGCCCTAAACCCTAAAGCCTAAACCCTAAACCGCAACGGCACAAAAACAAGATTCAAAGGGCCGGGAAGGTCCTTGTGAGGAAGTTCGTTTTGGAATAGGGTTCCTTGAACGGGTTCCTTTAAGGATTTCTACAAGGGATCTATAAGGGGAACATTAAAACAAGGAGCCTCAATGATTAGAATAGGGTTTTTGGGTATACTATACTGTTATAGTAATGAGGAACCCCCCAAAAAATAGCATAGGTAATTGTTTATTGAGGCCCCTACAATATATGGTTTCCATAGCGGGGTCCCCCTTAACCCTAAACCCTAAACTCAAGGCCTAGGCCGCCCACCTCCGTGAAAGAGGGTACTGTCTCTAGTGATCCGTAAACCTCAGGCTTTCCAAATCCACACCTGTGTTGAAAGATTTAGGCTTTAAGGTTCAAGGTTTAGGGTTTGGGGCAAGTTTACCCTAAGGCTCAAAATGGGCCAAAAGCCTTATATAATATGGTATTTAGGCCCAAATGCCTTAAAATGTAAGTCCTTGGAGCCTTAGGGGGTTAGGGTTTAGGGAACTTCTTGCAACGGTTGGGACTTTGGCAGCCTGGACTTCTAGCTGAAGCTTACAAGGGAACTGCTGCTACCGCGGTTCTTGATGGGATGCCAAAAGGGGGCTTGGGGGGGTGGGATTCCTTAATATGAGCCCTATTATGGGAACCCTAATCCCTACTAAACCCCCATAGGCTAAAACCGAGTTCTGGCGCTTAGTCTCCATGTGCCCATATAGTATATACTTAGGGCTTAAAGGGGTTCCTAAGGCCCAAGGAATTATATATTTAATAAGACTTCGTATCTCTAGTCTCCATTGTATTTCCGTTTTCGGTTTCATCAACTATATTCTTATGAGCATCAAGAGCCACCGAAACAGGGACTGCAATGGAGACTGACTATAGCAGTTCTCGTCAACAACCTACTTCTTGACCCCTACTTACCCCCTGAATGTTAAGCCCGAAGTCATAAGCTCTCAGCCCTCAAACCAACAACCATCAACACGACCGGGATTCGTCGTCCTGTGCTTGGTAGGCCTTCTTGGCGCGGGCTCGCAGCGGCGTCTCACTGAAGCGACTGTAGCATTTCACGGACCTCGGCTATGCTGTAATTAAAGTTTAAGGCTAGCTCAGTCCCCAAATAAGTTTCCATAGAGACGAATCCTACCTCCTGTTCGTGAATGCACGCTCCACCCCACCTGGGCCCCTTTGGTATAGAACTTGATTATAGGTCCCTTCTAGAGCCCTGTCAAGAACCCACCCAAGGAACCCCAAACCCCATTCCCTCTTTCACAGCACCCTTCGAGTACCATCATATGATACTAATTAGGGTTTACAACGAAGGAAACAGCCGAAGAGTACGAAGAGTATGGGCATGACACTTGTGATCAACCCCAAAATCCCCACCCAAAGCCACTTTTCTGTTTAGGGTTTATCCGTCCTTCAGAAGTTCCTCCGAGGGCTCCGTTAAGGCGTCTGTGTTAGGGGCTTGGGGTTTTGGGTCGCTTCGGGCAGCCCTGATATAGGGGCCTTCATAATTAGAATAGGGTTTGGGGGCCCACTATACTATACTTATGATCAGGAACCACAAAAACAGTTTAGGTAATTATTAAGGCCCGGATAGTAGATAATTCTACTCTTAATGCAGCACCTTGACGTTTGGGAGCCCAAGCGACACTCTATACTAGGGGGTTTGGGCTTAGGGTTTAGGGGTTTCGGGGTTCAGCGGTTCGAGAGAATTATGTATCTCACCCTGTGCTTGCCAGGGCTCTGCCAGGAGGGACCGAAGGTGCGAGAAAAGTTGGCTCTGTCGGCGAGCTGGACGAAGTCCTCGAGGCATTCGGGCTTGCAGGGGCTTCCGATTGAGGGGTGTAGGGTTGAGGGGTTCATGGTAACCTTCTAGGTCTTTAAAGCAGCGTATGATGAAGGTACCGCGAAAAGGGACTTACAATTGAACTGTTACTGGGTGGGGACAGGTCCCAACCTGCGGGGGGAGAAAAATAAAAGCCTGCATCATGTAGTACCTGTAGTCTCCACTGTAATTAATTCCTTTTGGCTTTACCATGTTTAACCAATGATTACTCTAACGATCCTGAAAGGTAACCCCGAAAGGAGCTACAATGGAGATTATAATAATACCCTAAGGGTCCATGTGCCCAAATAGTATATATATATATATACTTTGGCCTCAAAGTGATCCCTGTTTAGGCACTTCGGGGCCAAAGTATATACGATTTGGGTACATGGACCCTTACAGATATAGGTGGTTTGGCACCCCTGGAGCAGGCTGTCTGCCGCTCAGCAACATCTGAAAGTTGGCCTCAGGTTTCCCGGACACCAAAAGTAATTGCCTTCTGAAAGAATTGGGCCACTATTTTACCTACATTTGGGGGTGCAGGTTCAGGTTTGGGAGACGGGGGCAAAAGAGCGTCCCTCCACAAAGTACCCGAAAATTAACGTCGAAAACCTGACCAGCCCCGACCCCTAAACCAAAAACCCTGAACCCCAAACCCTAGAACTCGAAACCCCAAACCACTAAAGCCCTAAACCGTTCAACCCAAGCCAGACCCTGACACCTCGCGAGCCTCCCTTAAGGCCTCCAAAGCCTCAAACATCCTCCCAAGCGCTGAAAACTTACCTTTGGTTAGTAGGGAATGGTAGTAATAGTAGTTATAATTGTACCCCTTTCCTCCATTCCCTACCTAACCAAAAATAAGCCCAAGCGCTGCAAAAAAACTGAAGCCTCGAACCCGAGAATCTCTACAGTCCCGACAGCCTCTGAAAATGTAGGAGTCGAAACAATTATCAATAGCATTCTTAGGGTTCCTTATTAATTATTATAGCTATACTAGAATGTAGAAGCCCGCACATACGATGATATTTGGGCTAAAAACCCAGAAGGCACAACAGCAGGATAAACTAGGAAGTGTCGGCCAGAGTCAATGACACAAGCGGCAGTTGATACCTCCAGAAGAATGCTCTAACAAACCAGGCTGGATCTCTCTTCCATGCTTCGCATGGAGACTCGAGGGAAGGAAGTCTTGTGTCGCCTGCTGCCTCCGATCGATGCTCTGAGTGCCAGCAATGTATGCTGCTGGCATTTTGAGCAGATGAGGTCTGAGTGGAAGTTATCACGGCTTGCCCATGGATGGCAGTGGGTCGGAGTGGACATTGCCATGGTTGGCCCATGGATGCTGCAGGGAACCTATTCCGACGATTAAGGCTCCTATAGTAACTTCTTGTTAAAGGATTTAATTTTTGGTACCACAATCAAGAAACCATATTATTTACTATAGATCCCTATTTTGTTACCTTAAATTTTAACAAACCCATTCTTTAACAAGAACCCAGCTATATAAAGCCTTTGCACCAACCCAAACCCTTGTGAAATCACCCACGCGAAGACCCACAACCAACTTCTTCACGGGAAGTCCGGTTTTTATGAGGGATCGTTTAAGGCTTCTTTTAAGAGCTTCGTTCAAGCTTCCTTTGCAGGTTACCTGAATCGTTCCGACGGCTTCAGAGCTTGGTGCTTAAACCAGGGATTGTGGTGAGTGCTTTAAGAGTAACGGAGAGCGTATATGCGGTTTTCCTTTGGTGATACCGGCAATCAACCCTCTACCCCCTCGCAGGACTTGCACCAAGCAACCCCTAAGGATCTAAGGACTCATATATTATATCAAGGCTTTTGGTCCCAAAGATCATACTCTATAAGGCTTTTGGGCTATTTTGATCCCTAGCAACCGAGGACCACCTGAGCGGGTTGCTTTTCGGCCCAGGCTTCAGTCAGACTGCCGATGATGAGCCATTGTAAACATAGCAACTATAGATCAGGCTTGGGTGGTACCAGGCTTGGGTGGTACACTTATAACTACCATGAACCTCCAAGTAATCCCTAAACCCTATACCCTTATAGAATCCCTATAGATCCCTTTAAAGGGGGCCCTTAAAGGACCCCTTATATCTGCCCATTCACCTCCCAGTAGCCCAAACCCACGGTTGTCGGGGCTTTTTCCTTACCTTTGGTTAGTAGAGAATGGAGGAATGGGGTACAACTATAACTACCATTACTACCATTCTTCCATTCCCTACTAGCCAAAGGTAAGTTTCGCGGTCTCCTCCACGGCCATCCAGAAGATGCCATCATCTCTCGTTGTCAAGCCGCAGGCCTGAGCTAGTTTTGGGGGTTCATGGGTGGGTAGATATAAGGGCTCCTTTAAGGACCCCCTTTAAAGGGATCTATAGGGATTCTATAAGGGTATAGGGTGTAGGGGTTACTTGGAGGTTCATGGGTAGTTATAAGTGGGGTTATATGGATTCCTTTTTAGGGTCCCCCCTTAAAGGGCTCTATTGGGACTTAGGGTTTAAGGATTACGTAGGGGTTAGGCTAGTTATAAGTGGGGTTATGAGTCCCCTAATATTATGGGTGATAAGTTGTAGTTACCCTACTTATAACCCTACTTATAACTACACCATGAACCTCCAAGTAGTCTTGGGTTCAAAGCGGGTTTCCAACCCGAAGCTCACGACTCAGAAACCCCGCGCCTTAAAGTCTTAAAGCTCTACCTCCTGTACAGTAGTCCCTATACAATCCCCAATAATCGTCTCCATAATCCATTCCCCCGTTCCCTACTAAGCACCAGACAGTAGTTTGGCGGGCTTCCTAGAATGTCCAAAGCCGCCATCGAGGAATGATTTCTTCAATTAACTCAGCGACCGGTGTAGGTTTTGAGCTCAGAAACTATACCCCACCAAATCGATTAACGTTCAAAGTTTCTGGCAGAAGCTGCAAACATGCTTGAGGGACGTGAGGCTTCACGGTTCAGGACTTAGGGTGGTAATGCTTGGAAAGCTAAACATGAGTTCAGGAGGAACCTAAAGCATCAACAACAATCCAAAGACTCGGAATCGCCCTTAATCGCAACCCAGACCAAAAAAGGCCGACTGCCTAAACACCAACGAGAATTACACCCGAAGTCCTGTCTAAACTCTAAACTCTCTATCCCAAAACTGAAACCCTTCACACACCTACCTGCACGAATATCCCCACAACAGCGGAAGCCAAAACCTAGGCACCACCTAAAAGGCACCCTCAAATCAGATAAAATCTAAACCAGTGCAAGTCACCAAAACCTAACCAGCACACTCCTAAACCCTGAAACGCCCTTAAACCCCCAAACCCCTTTAATACCTAAACTCCTCAACCCCCAAACCCCTGAAGGCACTTAAACCCCCAACCCCCTCAACCACAAAACCTCAACCCGAAAAACCCTACTGAAGGCCCTTCACCCCTCAAACTCCAGCCCTGTACACCCCCAAGCCTTCTCGGCCCCGGCCCCTCTTGAACGGTCCCTATCCAAGAGGCTCCACATACAGTAAAGCCCACAAAGTTGGAAACCGGATTAAGGCCAAATAGTGCTGGGATTCCCTTTACATTTCTCTTAAGGATTGAGGCTATACGGTTTCCAACTTTTGGGCTTCTAGTGTACATCTACAGGGCCTAATTTACTACCTCTACCATGTTGGCGGCTCCTTATTATTATGACCATAGTACAGCGGGCCCCAAAACCTTATTCTAATTATACTACCACTGTCTGGTGCTTAGTAGGGAACGGGGGAATGGATTATGGAGACGATTATTGGGATATTAAAACGGGACTACTATAGGGATCCATTCCCCCATTCCCGACTAAGCACCAGACAGACCATTAGGTCACGAAAAACCATGCCTACTATGGTCTTAAGAACCTAATTCCATAATGGTAGAAATATCTGTGCCCTTTTGGGTAGAGGATCACCGACAAAGGTCTACGGGCCCATATGACGGGCCCATAAACCCCCTAAGCCGCCAAAAAGCCACCGAAAAAACCCACAAAACCCACCCAAACCCTCAAAACCCTAAACCCTCCAAACCCTAAAACCCTCAAAACCCCTAAGCCCTCAAAACCCTCAAAAACCCTATAAATGCAGAGTCTGAGCCCCTGCCAGGCCTCTTTCAGCTCGTCCGTCCACTCCTCGGAGTTGTCTCCCCAGGGTCCTTTCCACTCCTCGGCTCAGGAGGGTTTAGGCTTTAGGGGTTTAGGGTTTTAGGGGTTTAAAGGTTTAGGGTTTGGTGGTCTAGGGGGTTTTGGGGGGGTGTTGGGGTTTAGGGTTTTGGTGGTGTTCTGGGATGTTTTGTTCTTGTTTTGGTGCCTTTTTTTAGGGGCGGAGGGGGCAGGACGCCTCAATTTAAATAGCCATCACCATCAATGCGTTAAGGGCTGTTGGGTTCTAGGGTTTTCGGGTTAGGGTTTAAGGTTTTTGGGGTTTAAGGCTTTAGGGTGTACAGGGCTTGTGGAGTTTAGGGTTTGGGTGGGTTTAGATAGTTTTCATTTTTTGTGGGCTTTGTTTAGGGTCTAGCTTACAAAACCCCAGGCCCTTTGCCTCTGACCACTTACTTCGCCTCTCTAATATCTAGTGGGGGGTGGAGAGTTGTTTTTGGCATTTTTTGTTTTTGGCCCTCTTTTTGTTGTGTTGGGGGTTTCGGGTTTAGGGGGGAGTTGCCTACGTTCCCGGTTTCGGGTTTAGGGGGGAGTTGCGTACGTTCTCATAGGTAAAACCAGTCATTTATCTTGTTTCAAGGTGGAAAACCAGGATTTTCTCGATATGTCCATATCTATAGCACGAACCAAAGAACAACAATAAACACCAAACAAAGCGAAATGCCCCCAAAACAACTTCACTCGTTTGTTTTCCTGCGTAAACGTAGAAGTAAACATCGACAAATACAGGTCTATGGATGTAGATATGGACATATCGAGAAAATCCTGGATTTCCACCTTGAAACTAGAAAAATGACTGGTTTTACCTATGGGAACGTAGGCAACTCCCCCTAAACCCGAAACCCCCAGCAAGTAGTGACGGCAGTAGTCGGGCCTTCCTTCCTTCCTTGCTTCCCACGGAAGGACCAAAAAAAGACCCACCAAAAAAATACAAGGGCTAAAAAAGTTGTGTCCCCATATCTAGTGCTCTTTTCAGGGTTCTGTAAACAGCTCTATACGGGCTACTATAAGGATTGTGTGATGCAGGGGCCTTTCAAATAAGAACAAGGCTTCGGGGTTCCTTTATAATATGCTTCTGTTCGGGACACTGAGGGCACACTGCACACTCCTACTATTAATTGCTTCGACCCCTATACTACTGCATTCGCTGAGGTTGTGGGGCAGCCTTGAACCCTAAACCCTAAACCCTTAAGCCATAAACCCTGAACCGTCAAACCCCGAACTCTGAGGCTTTTTTGGGCAGATCGGCTCCCCAATTCACCGAAACCCTCAAGAACCATGTAGGGTTAAGGGCTTAGGCTAAGGGTTTAGGGTGCTTTGAAACCAAAAATACTGGGCTTTGCTAAACCCTCGTCATCCCGATACTCCAAAGCCCAGAAGCATCAAACCTCAATCCCTGAACGCTAGAGGCCGTATTTCCGTCGCTACACAACTCTGAACATCCGGCCTGGCGTGCAGAGTTTGGGCATGTAGGGTTGTCTGGTAAGCTTGCAATTATGAGTATGGGCCGTCTTCTGACCCAGAACCCTCAGTCTGTGAACCCCAGAGGAACCAAAACCCTGAGCCCGGAAACTCCAGATGGGTAGCTCTTTAAATTAAGGCCCGTTTTGGAGTCCTTTGTTATGAGGGTGCCGTACTATGCTGGGGAGACCTCAAACACTACCCACATCCGAAACCCAAAACACCCTAGACCCCGAACCCCAAACCCCTTAAGGCCTAAACCCCCAACCCTCAGCACTGACGGCATGAAACCCTTAATGATTAGAATAGGGTTTTGGGGCCCATTATACTATACTTATAACAAGGAACCCCCAAAAATAGTATAGGTAATCATTTAGGCCCCTGTATTAGAATCCTGAGTGCTAAACCGCCGAGCCCCGAACCCGAAAAGCCTGAGAAAGAAAGTCTCAAGCATCCGAACGCCCTAAACCCTAAAGCCCAAATTGCTCAACCCCTCAAGCCCCAACCCTCAAAGCCTAAACCCTGAAACCCGAAAGCCTCCACCCACCGCCACCACCGCCCTCACCGCCCACACCGCCCTCACCGCCCTCACCACCCCCACCACCTTCATCCACCGCCACCACCCCCACAATTACTGCCACGCCTGCACTGTGCCTCCACCGCTTTCACCGTTCCCACCGTCTCCACCGCTCTCACCGCCCGCTGTATTTGTAGGTCTTTAAAGAGCAAAGAGTATTTAAAGGCTGCCAATGTGTGCCCGGACCCCCCCTCGCCCCCACCGACCCCACCGCCCACACCGCCCTCACCGCCCTCACCACCCCCAGCCACCGCCCCCACCGTTTTCACTACCCCCACCATCTCCATTACTGCCACCACCTCCATTCCCACTCAACGTACCCCATTTGAGGACTGGGGGACCCTAATATAGTACCGACAATAGCAGGATCCTTATTATGAGAACACCAAAATAAAGCACCCTTATTGTCGGAAACTCTAAACCCTTATGGAGCCCTTTAAAGGAACCCTTCTAGTACCCTTTTAGTATAGTAGAAGCCAACATGTTGGAACATCATTATCCTCATGCCCCAAAGGTAAAGTATAAGAGATCCTAGCACTAGTCCTCCAAAAACCATGTTCCAACTTTCTGGGGTCCACTGTAAGCCTTTAAAGGACCCTTCAAGTACCCTTATAGTAAGCCTTTACAGGAAGCCTTATTTGTAGGAAACCCCGATCTGAGTAAACGCAGAGGAGCGCTGTGAGCCCATGGATTCCGCATGCACAGAAGCCTCGTGTCGTTGGCCTGGCTTTAGGGTTCAGGGTTAGGGTTCAGGATTAGTGTTTAGGGTTCAAGGTTTAGAGTTTACAGTTTAGGGTTCAGGGTTTAGGGTTCAGGGTTCAGGCTTTAGGGTTCAGGGTTCAGGGTTTAGGGCTTAGAGTTCAGGGTTCACGGTTTAGGGTGAGACTCAGACCACCTAGGGGCCCCGAAAGTTGCAAAGTTAGCGAGGTTTGGAACCACTGTTTTAAAGTTTTAGGGGTTCAGGGCTTGAGGCTTCAGTATTTAGATTTGAGGGTTCAGGGTTTGGGCGCTTCCGGGTCTTGAGCTCAGGGTGTGAAGCCTAAACCCTGTGTTGAAATCATTGTGAACTGTATATACTGTAGGCTCCGAGGAAATAGTTAGGAATGGTATACCCTGATATAGCCCCTGTATGATTACATGATAATTCATGCAATTTTCAAAAACCGCATTCTAAGCACTGACAGCCCTACATGGCTCGGAGGATCAGGGGACTCGGAAAGTCAGGTTGTAAGTACCCTGAGTAGGACTATGGATAAGTGTTGCCTGAGTTACCTCATCTATAACCCTAGTTACTAGATACCAAGTCCCATGATCCGTGAAGGCCCTAAACCCGAAACCATCCTAACAGAAACCCTGACCCTAAACCATCCTAAACTCTCTTATGGAGCCCTGTAGTGCCCAGTTGAGTTACTAAGTCCCAAGATCCTCCAAACTAATCCCTGAACCCTAAACCCTAACAACTAAACCCTAAACTCTAAACCGAAGCCTCTCTTATGAAGCTCTCCGGCTGCTTGGATCTAGTGGTGGCGGCTATACGGTTTTCGCTTAAAAACTAAACCCTAAGCCCCACTCCCACACCCTAAGCCCTAAGCCTAAACCCGAAACCCTGAGCCCTAGCAAAAGGGTAGGCTTGGGGCTAAGCGTTTAGGCTTTAGTGTTATGCAATCGGTGATGCGGACTGTCACGAAGCCAGACACTTGGCGACAAAATGGATGCCAATTAAGAACTAATTCGAGTTAGCCATCACTTGCCTGTCTGCGGGCACGGCGATGAACCACAGCGCCACAAAGTTTGGCACAACATGTGGCGTGGAAATATTAACGAGAGCATGATGGACCCTCTCCGATGAATCCTAGTTCGTCGGACTCTTATCATTACAAGGGCACCTGCGCTACCCCGAATGTTTCAGAAGCCAGATGAGCCCCAGCACTCAAAAGGAATCACCACAGCACTAGCATACCCGCAACCCTGAAACCTGAGCCCTACTACAGTTTCGGCAAAAAGGGTGCCCTAAACCGCACTGGATTCTTGTTAACGAGCATAGCTTAAGTTACCATAAAAGGGATCAAAAGAAATAACGCTGTTTCTTTACGGTGGTAATTTAGATCAAACTCCTTAACCCTAAACCCTAAACCCTAAAGGAGCCAGGCCTCCACAACTCGGATGAGGGAGTAACAGTGGCCACCATGGAGACCGAAGGGCAGGCCCTTTTCCTTAGCTTTTTGGGCTGAGTAGCGGTTTAGGGTTTATAGGGTTTGGGGTTTAGGGTTTAGGGTTTAGGGTTTAGGATTTAGGGTTTAGGGTTTAGGGTTTAGGGTTTAGGGTTTAGGATTTAGGGTTTAGGGTTTAGGGTTTAGGATTTAGGGTTTAGGGTTTAAGGGTTTAAGAACAAAAGTTAAGCTTTTCAAGTATGGTAGGATTACAAATACCCTAGAAGGTTCAAGGTAACCTACTCAGCTACTAGGTTGGCTCAAGACAGTGCTCAAAAATGATCACTGTTCGGGGTTTAGGGTCTAGCCACCCCTACCCAGCATGCTTCAAGGACCTTGACTAAGGCACGCTTCTATAGTATGCTGGTTTAGGGTGTAGGGTTTAGGGGAGCCTCCAAAAGTGATTTCAAGAGTCTTCCTCCATTCAAGACTGCTGAAGATCTGTGCAAACTACACCTGTGAACCTTAACTGAAGTGCCAAGACCACCATCTCCTCCAAAAACTAAGCTAGCCTCCAGAAAAGCCACACCCGGCTCAGGAGTTCGAGCGAGCAGGATTTGGGGTTTTTAAGGTTTAGGATTGCCCTAAACAGTTTCGGGTATCGGCTTGGGAGATTACACGAAGCCTCAATAATTCGAATGGGGTTTTGGGGCCCACTATACAGTAATTATAGTAGGGACCCACCAAAATAGTATTGAATATCATTTAGGCCCCTGTATCAATCTCCGCCCGGCTGCTCCGCATTGGCCTTCTGCGCCGCCAGCCATATCGGCATACTTACCTGCTTCAAGGTGCAGGGCCAGTTTAGAGTTAACCAATGTAGGGGCCTTGATGATTAGAATCGCCCATTATACCACAACTGTAATAAGGAACCCCCAAAATAATAAAGGTGATTATTTAAGCCTCTACAATACCTACAAAGTTCGTGTGCAATCCAACCCCAATTCCGATGCCCGACACGGTGGCAAAAACCAATCGTGCAGACCCGCCACACCCTGTTAACCCCTAAACATCGAAACATCACGGTCCAATAAAAACGCAAAGCTCGCAATACTTCAGACTGAAATTCTGGGCTACTGGGAGTGGGACTGAAGACCCCGCAGGGTGAATCAAAGTTTAGTCCCCTTAGCAGCCTTATGAAAAACATGCTTGATGTTCGGGACGGGGTCGGGGGGCTGACGACGCTGCACTCCGAACCTTACCCGAATAAGGCCCTACCAACCCGCTGCAGCCCTGAAGCCCAAAAGCATACCTGAGGACGAACCTCTGTGGCCTGAAACCAGATAGCGGTCGTGTGCCTAGGCCTAGAGGGCCTAGACCATAATTGCCCCACCTTTTTCCCCCCTCCTTAGGAGCACGGAATGTTGAAGCCTTGAAACCAGGGAATGTTGAAGCCAGAACCCTGAAATGCCTGACAACACTCATGTGGCATGGGGCCGCGGGAGGTTGCGTAAGCGTGAACAACAACAAGAAGATAACACAAAACCCTAAAACCCTAAGCCCTAAACCCTAAAACACAAAGCACATGACGCGAGGCAGACACTGAACAACAGAAACTTCACAAATAATCAAAAACATCCAGCAACAAAATGCCACATGCTTTTGCAGCAAAGTCTTTGCTTACGGGCCCCCCCTTCTGTGAACGCCCCGCCCCCTTCTGCGATCTACTAATGGCCTAATGGGCAAAGGACCCTCCGTCAAACTCTTACCCCCATCCGGCCCTGAAAAGAACAGACCTTTGCAGCAATTTCTGGAACACTCCCAGGCAGTTCCAAAAATACACAACCAAACTAAGCAAATAGTTAATATCGAACATCACCGTCGAAAAAACAACATACAAGAATACTCAAACAAATCAAACACAAAAACAGAACAATATCAATCATATCCAAGGCAGTAATTCAGTAAACACAAGACGGCAGCATGCGGTGACATAAACAAGTCTCACAACTCCAACATCTGATCTCAAACACATGCATTGTCTCTTCGTGAGTACGAAAAAGCTGCCCGGTGCAGCAACTTCAACAAGTTACCGCGCCTTGCATTGTTTTAGGAATCGCGTGTTGATGGTTTGTCAGCCGTAACTGAAGGAAAAACCCTCTCATGCTTTCACATAATATGCTTTTCTGCTGGGAGTCGGTCCGACTTCAAGGAACACATGAAAAGTATGTTGCTGCATTGCGTTGTTGGGGTTTCTCATTTCGGATTCGGGGGTTTCGCGTCTAAGGCCTTGGGTTCCGAAGATCCTAAACCCTTTGGTTTGGGGTTGGAGGTTTCGAACTAAAAGCCCAAACCCTAAGCCCTCCCTGCACCCTACAGCCGCGAAGCCCAAACACTGAAGCCTGAAACCCCTGAAGCCTATCCATAAAAATCCTACACCCTTAAAGCCTACACCTCTAAACCCTGACACCCTAAAGCCTCCATCCCTAAGGCCTAAACCCCTAAACCCCTGAACCCCTAAACCCCTAAACCCTACACCCCTACAGCCTAAACCCTAACCGTGTGGTCGGCCTTTGCTCGGTTCGCGGAAACCGGTGGTCATCAGTTCGCCGCCTCCAAATGGGAGTTTCCGAAAATCAGGGGGACCTTATTTAGTTTGGGGTCCTTATAATAAGGATCCTACTATTTGGGGTACTATATTGGGGTCCCCTATTTTCGGAAACTCCCAAATCGAATTCTAATGCAGGGGGCTGAGTAAATACCAATATTCTAATTGTTAAGGCGCCTACATTAAGCTTCACGGTTTAAGGCTCAGGATTTAGGCCTCAGGGGTTATAGTTAGGTTTTGGGTTTAAGGTTTAGGGTTAAAAGTTTCTTAAGGCTGTGGGGCTTCCAAGGCTTTAGGCTAAAGGTTTGGGCTTTAGGGTGCAGGGTTTCAGGACGCGTTCGTCTTGGAAGGGACGTTCAAAATACCCGTCCCCTAACCTTAAAACGCAATATCTTAAACTCCTAAACTTTCCTAAACCCTAAACTCCTAGACCCCGGATTCTGAACCTAGTTGTCCCAACGGCAATCAAATACACAGACGCGTTCAAGTACCCCATGAGGAGCAACATCAAACCCATAACGACTCGCGACTTGCTTGAAATTCGAGGATTGGAGATTCAGAATCTTCAATCCTCGAACCGCAGCCTTACCGCGTCTTGGTCTTGACGGAACCAGACTGCGAACCCCCCAAAAACCTGGACCCTGAACCCCAAACCCGAAGACTCCAAATCCCACAAGACCAAACCCCAAAACCGCAACAACCCAAGCCCCCCAAATCCTAAACACCAAGCCCTAAATCCTGAACCCTCAACACCAGAGTCAAAGCCAGGCTACTCTGAAGGGCACGCTGCAATTTCTCAAAGAACTTCTCCGGATGATCGTACTCGTCGTCGTCGATGGTCTGGAGTACAGTAGTCGTCGTCGGGTTGGTAGTCACAGCAGTAGCAATTAGAAGTACTAGTAGAAGAAGTAGTAGTAGTAGCAGTGGTAGTAGTACTACTGCTACTGCTACCACTACCACTACCACTACTGCTACTGCTACTGCTACTGCTACTGCTACTGCTACTGCTACTGCTACTGCTACTGCTACTGCTACTGCTACTGCTACTGCTACTGCTACTGCTACTGCTACTGCTACTGCTACTGCTGCTGCTGCTGCTACTGCTGCTGCTACTGCTACTCCTACTACTACTACTACTACTACTACTACTGCTGCTACTGCTACTGCTACTGCTACTGCTACTGCTACTGCGACTACTGCTACAAGCACCACCACCACCACCACCACCACCACCACGACCCCCATCACGACGACGACCAGTACTAACAAGAGCAAGACTACTACGACTACTACGACTGCTGCGGCTACTTCGACTACGACGACGACTACCGCGACGAGCCTCTGTTGAAGCTTGACAGAACCCAGGAAACCCCAAACGCCTGAGTAATGAAGGGGCCTATATAAAAAAATACCAATACTAGTTTGCGGGTTCATGATTACAGTCGAATTATAGTATAATGGGCCCCAAAACCCTGTTTTAAATACTAAGGCCCCTTTCTTTAAAGTTAGATTTGGGTGCCCCTCTGGTGTATCGATGCCAAGCATCGTAGCGGCCCGTAACCCCGCCGAGGAAGGAGAAAATCGCTTCGGTTCCATGGCCGCCATCGCACATCTCCTTCAGGGGTCGAAAGGGTTAGCGTTTAGGGTTTAGGGGTTGAAAGGCACATCTCCTTCAGGGGTCGAAAGGGTCCTCTAAGGACCCCCTTTAAAGGGATCTGTAGGGTTTCTATAAGGGTATACATCTCCTTAGGGCTTGAAAGGGTTCCCTTATTTTGGGGTCCTGATAATAAGGATCCTACTATTTAGGGTACCATATTAGGGTCCCCTATTTTCGGAAACTCCCAAATAGGGTTGAAAGGGTTAGTGGTTAGGGTGCTTCGGGAAGAGAGTTTAAGTATGCTTAGGCTTAGAGGCGGTATGTGGCTGGCTTGATGGCTTTATCAAACTGGGAGTTTCCGAAAATTAGGGGTACCCTATTTTGAGGTCCTTATAATACGGATCCTACTATTTGAGGTACTATATCAGGGTTCCCTATTTTCGGAAAATCCCAACTGCTTCAGGATTCTCATAAATAGACTTATAAGTGCCTTAAAAGGGACCCTATTTGGGGTTATGGTACTTATAAGTCTCATAGTCCCCCGACCCTCCAAGTAAACCCTTCTTGCATGGAACGCTTGGCTCTTCAGATCGAGGTCATAGTAGGAGTCAGGTGGCCCCAGACCCTGATGTAGGTGTTCAAATTAGCAGTTTGCGTGTGTAGTGGCATTTACGCCCCAGCCTCGTTAGGGCTCCTTATGCGAATCCTGCTATTTTGGGGTTATAGGCCCAGGGTTTCTTAATCAGGTTCCTACATTAGGCCCACAACCCCAGACGCTCAACCCCAGCTCTGAACCAGAACCCCCCGCCCTCCCTAAATCGCCATAAACCCTGAACGAAACCCAAAACCGCTAATTTTGCAGACCTCGGCCAGAAAGGTCTACAAAATTGGCGGTTTTGGTTGCACAAAAAGGCATACCGCTAAGATTGCAGATTTCAGGAAGGAAGGGTCTGCAAAGGTAGCGGTTCTGGTTGCGCAGGACGGCTGCGCAACCAGAACCGCAACCAAAACCGCTAATTTTGTAGACCTCAGGCCGGAAAAGTCTGCAAAATTGGCGGTTTTGGTTGTGCAACCAAAATCGCAACCAAAACCATTCATATTGCAGACCTCAGTTTGTCTGCAAAAATTAGCGGTTTTGGTTGCGATTTTGATTGGTTGCCCAGGGTCCTGTGCAACCAATGTCACAACCAAACCCGCTAAGGCCATTAACATCTATAAGAGAGACGTTTAGGGCTTAGGGCGTATATAGGAGTTTCTGAAAATTCGGGGTACCTTCTTGTTGGAGTCCTGATATGAAGGATCCTACTGTTTAGGTTACATTAAGGCCTAAACCCTTACACCCTCAAGGTTAACTCCGTAGGATTACAAAATCCTGAGGTTTGGTGGGTTTCAGGGTATCTTGGCTCCCCAGTAGTCCATGAATGATATGGGTATCGTTTTCATGTTGTTCGGTTTTAGTAGAGGAATTTGCAAAGAAAAGTGCAAAAGGGCACTGCTGCGGAACCCAGGTATACAGGGTTTCGATTTTAGGGTTTAGGATAGGGTCTAAGGGTGTTAGGTTTCAGCGCTTGTCGGGTTTAGGGTTAAGGGTTCAGAGTTATGGGTTGAGGGATTTGTTTAGGGCTTGGGGTTCGGGGTGTAGGGATCAGGGCCTTTTCGGGTTTGAGGCGGTGGTTCAAAAACAGGTTCTCACATTCGGGTTCCTTTAATACGGTCTGGACCTCCGCAATTGGAATAGGGCTTTGCGGTCATAGACCAGTTTCATTTTTCCGGTACGATAATGGAATCGTATTTCCAATTATTTCCGCCTCTATGGTACACCCCTAACCCTGAAAACCCAAAGAAGTGTCGGCTTGGAGGCGCGGCACACCACTCAAAAGCTGGCTCAACAGTTTAAACCTGGCTTAAAGACTCCAAAACAAGCCGACCAGTGAACAATCTAAATTTGAGCTACTTGTAGCTAGTATGACAGCCGCTACTACTGATTGTTCGCACTGCTGGTTAAAGCCAACTCTGCCAAAAACCGCAAATCCCAAAACATTTCTTGGCCAAGGAGCGATGCAAGTGTAGTGTTTAAAGAACCTCGTCTGCGCAGAGGTGAACTTGCAAACAGGTGGGGCTTAGTCTGTAAGGACCTGGTCTACGGGTGGGAAAGCTTGTGTTGATGCTCCCCCAAACCCTGAACCCTAAACTGTAATCCTAAACTCTAGACCCTAGATTCCTAAACCCTAAACCCTAATCCTAACCCCTAAACCGTAATCCTAAACCCTAAACCTGAGGTTTTCCTAGCTGACCTTCGGTTTGTTCAGGAGACAGTACTCTCTTCGGTTCTTCTTACTTCCCCAATGCGCTACAGAAATTAAAGGTCAAACTGTTCAGAGTACTACAATACTAAACTATAACAACTCAAAACGTTCAACGGTTGAGTATTGGAGAACTAATTCTCGGTAGCAAAGGATGCAAAAGCTACAGAACGGCCTGTCCTTAACCACATGCGCACCTGCTTTCTCTAGATCAAATACTGGAGCCATGACAACTCACATATCTCTTGCGGTTGAGAGGACATGTGATGAATACATAAACATCGTCAAAATTCCGATTGCTTTCTTGGAGAAGGACGAAGAGGTGGATGATGATGAGGGTGGATACGAGGATGAAGATATAGAGACTGACAAGCATGTCAGAGAGTGTGCAGAATTATAAAGAGGATGTTGATGCTGCTGATGATGCTGATGGCCATGATCATGACCGTGGCCATGGCCATTGATCGTGACCGTGATATCATCGCCATGGATGGTGATGAGAATGATCAGAAGGAGCAACTAAAGAGCAGCAGCCGGGCCGGGGCCGTGGCGCTCCTAGAAGTAGTGCTACTAGTAGTGGGTTCTTGTTAAGGAACTTAACTTAAGTTACCATAATAAGGAAACCCTATTATTTACGATAGATCCCTATTCTGGTAACTTAAATTAAGTTCCTTAACAAGAACCCAGAGTAGTGGCGGCGGTCGCGGTCGCGGTAGTGCTAGTGCTAGCGGTGGCAGGAGCAGCAGCAGCAGTAGCAGCAGGAGGAGGACGAGTCGACGGAGTTGAAGGTGTTCAAGGAGTTGGAGGAGGCGGAGGATGAGTCGGAGAAGAAGACTAGGAGTGCCCTTCAAACCCCACCTCATAAGCCGTAAGCCCTAGGATGCCGAGATCTCCAATCCAAGACCTGGCGGCCCCTATAATAATCCTAAAGTCCTAAGACCCAAAACAGGCAGACATTTGGAGGACTTGTAAGGACATTAGCATAGAACACCGATTTTAAGGATTTAGATAAGGAATCATACGTAGTAGGCAGCCCCACACAGGTGGCTTCTTTAGGGCTCAGGTAGCCCTAAACCTTCAACCCAAACAGTTTTGTTCTTGCCTGGGAACGCCTTCTCCAGAATGGGTACCCAAAGCTCGGAACTATCCACGCCTCGTCCGAACCTGGGCTGTTTGGCGGGTTGAAGAGTTTAGCGGGGTGGGGGTTCGGAGCTTGGGGTTTCAGCGTGTAGAGATTGACGTATTCGGAGGCCAAGATCTCAAGCCTCATAAACCCCGAACAAAAGCTCGAGCGTCGTGAATCCTGGAGCCCTCAAGCTAGATCCCTTCGCACCAAACCCACGTTCAGTCAAAAGAGGGGCAGGTAATATACCCCTATTCTGAGTGTGAAGCCCCATCTACGAAAACTGAAGCTCCCACTACGACAGAAACCTTCCGTAACTCAACAGATGTCCGTATGAGCTACAATCTAAACTCTTATGGTCCCCCTTATTACTAAACCCTGCGATACTCCCCTATACGATCCCCTATGTACCCCCTTTAAGGAGTTTAGACTTAGCTCATACGGGAGTTTCGGAAAATAGAAAGAATAGGACGATAGATCCCAAAGAAAGGATCCGTAGATCCTTGTTGCTTCTAGAGAGACTGTAAGAACCTCCAAAACCTGTCGGTTTCGGGTTGGGTCTTTATTGGGGCTCCTCTTGTGGATCCTGATATTTTGGGATCAAGGACCGGGGTTTCTTAATCAAGTTCCTACGGTAATTCCCTTTGTCAAGTATTGCGTGCTTGAATAAGGTCTGCATCTATTCGTTCGGCTGAGTGTCCGCGGCGTCCTGCCGTCACCCCGTGTAGCCAAATAGTCGTCCACAATGACGTACGTGAAGTGCGACTCCTAAGCTGAGGGCATGTGACCTTAGCCTGAGGGGACGAGCGCAGCTCGCCTGCATGTATTTTCCTCCTGGGCCACACCATGAACGCCAAAGTCATGAGAGCCAATGCACACAGACCTAATACAAGGCCTTAATAAACATGTAATTTCGTGCGTTCCTTATTATGATTAAAATATGATGGGCCCCGAAAACCTATCATAATTGTTAAGGCCCCTATATGGTACTGCATCCACGGACGATTGCATCCAGCTGCCCTTTTGGGAGTCCTATGTACTGTAAGGGGGAGATACTTCCCTAAATCTTAATGGTCACTCCTAATATGGGAGTTTCCGAAAATGGGGGACCCTAATATAGTACCCTAAATAGTAGGATCCTTATTATAAGGACCTCAAAATAAGGTACCCTAATTTTCGGAAACTCCCATATAGAGACCCTACATTCTAGTAGGCATATATACATATAGGAGCCTTTGAAACTACCCTACCCCCCTAAATACTAAATATCCTAAATCCTAAACCCTAAACCCCTAAAAACCCCTCCTAAACACCAAACCCCTTAACCCTAAACCTTAAACCTACCGTTATACCCCTTAAAGGAACCCTAATGGATACCTTAAAGCAACCCTAAAACCCCGAAACCCTAAACCCCCAAAACCCTAAAACCCTAAAGACGCCAGGTGTCCTTGCAGAAGAGCAAGCCGAAGACTCCGACTTCACTGTCGTAGGCAACGAAGACCTCGCTCAGTCGGAATCGTTGAACTAGGGTTTAGGGTTTCGGGGTTTAGGGCTTAAGGGGTTTAGGGGTTCAGGGCTCAGCAGCTCCGGATGTCGGTTTCGGATTTAAAACAAAACCCACCCGCCCAAGGAATCCCATAACATCCAGAACATACAAAGTTTATGAAGTTCCCACAGCCCCATTGCCTACAACCCTAAAGCAAACCCTACACGAAACCCTAAAAGGAACCCTAGACGAAGCCCTAAACGAAAAGTTAAACGGAATTCTGAGAAACGCTAAGCGAAACCCTAAACGAAACCCGAAGAGAAACCCTCAGCGAAACACTAGAAGGAACCCGAAACGAAACCCTGAACGGACCCTAAACGGAACACTAAACAGAGAGACCTTGCGGACGAATTTTCGTGCTTAAAGCCCCCAAATTCGTGGGCACAACCCGCCTTCAGAGTTTTTTTGCTTTTGCCCAGGAACTTTTTTTGGACCGGCAAGGCCCACCAAAGTTTGGTCCCCGAGCCTTGCCCACGAATTTTCATGCTGTCCAGATGATGTATATGGGAGTTTCCGAAAAATAGGGGGACCCTTAGGGTTCCTTTGCAGGGTACCATAAGGGTTCGAGTTTCCGAAAATGGGGGACCCTAATATAGTACCAGTAGGATCCTTATTATAAGGACCCCAAAATAAGGTACCCCTACTTTTCGGAAACCCCTATATGCAGATGATGAAGGTGCTGAGGAAGATCCCCTGCAACGAGATCCTCCACATGAAGCGGACATGGACTTCCAGTTTGACCTTGATGCTGAAGAGAAACTGCTCAATACTAGTGATGATGATCCTGATGAGTTCGTGACTGATGATGGCGCAGTGAAATCGATGCCTCAGGACTTGCCGCCGCCAGACATGACCTTCCAGCTCCATCGGTGCCTACCGGCGCCGACATAAAGGACCAGAACACGTCCAGTCAGTGAACATGCCGAAGCGCTGCTAAACTGAAAGGTCGCTTGAGAAACAGTTTGAGGAGGAACTCCCGTGGCTTGGCATTCCCGAAAGCGAGCACGCAGCATTCAAAGCAGCCGAGGATAAACAGTACCAAGAGCACGTTGATTACCAGGCACTTGAACCGCTGTTGCTTGAAGAAAGTCGCGCTGTCAGACAAAGGGTTCACCCTAGTCGTATCTTGAGTTCGAGGTTCGCCAGAAGACGGATTGACAAGAACCTCCCATGGCGACATAAGGCCAAACTCGTAATTGGTGCACATAGGGATCCAGATATCGAGTCGTTGCAGACGGATGCTCCAACGATCAACCGGCTCACGGTGATGATGCTGTTGCAAGTAGGGCTTGGCAGCACTGGCAAGCAGCTGCCGGAGATATTACCGCAGCATGTTTAAACGGAGACAGACTTGAACGCGAGTTATTTTTGGTTGAGCCTCGCACCGGCCTTAAAGATTTGCACCCTGAGCAGCTGCCACAGATTGCCAAAGGAGTGTTCGGCCTTCTACTACAAGGGTGGCGGCACATGTACCTATAGTCTCCATTGTAGTTCCTGCTTTGGTTAACCAAATACTCTCTTAACTGGTTAAAAAAAAAAAGAAACTACAATGGAGACTATAGGTAGTATCCTGGACTGGAAACCAACTGCAAGTCAACGGGCTTGCAGGTCAACATTCGGTGCAGAGACTACAGTGTGCGTGGAGGCTGTTGAGAATGGACTGTTCATCAGATTTTATGCACTGACCATTTTGCGAGGAAAGCTCCGGAGAGTCGGGGCGCTTTCGGGCGAACCGCTGAGATGCATCATAGACTGTACTTAAAAGTCTTTATGATCATTTGCACAAGGAGGGAATCCCAAGAATCCCATCGGACAAGAGACTGGCGATAGATTTGTCAGCTCTCCGTCAAGGATTTGATGCAGAGAAAGTGTCGGATCGTGCTCCGCTGTACCGGGAACCCACTTCCTTTCAGCTTGCTGACATATTGACGAAGCCCCGTAATGCTGATCAATGGTGGAGCGCCATCTATGGTATGCCTCAAAGAGACGGCTGCCTCAATCTTTAACTTTTGACAAGGCTTTGGAGCCAGTGTCAAGTCAAGCTCGCCTGCAGGCGAGAAGAGCGGCGACTGATCCGCAGGCTAATGGTCCGCGCACAAGTGCGAGCGAAGCCCCCTCTGTGGAGGCCGGCGGGACGGGGGTCTAGGAGTTGCGGTTTTGCGTCGGTGACCTTTTGGTTTGTTACCCTAATACCACTAGACCCTAATCCGAAACTCCTGCTACTCCTAAATCCTAAACTACTACTACACCTAAATCCCTAAGACCCCAATTAAGAACATAAACCCTCCAGGATTCCGGAAACCCACGGCGGCCTGACGGAAGAACGCGCTCCGATTCGCAGCCATGCTGGCCAAGCCCCCAAGCAGGTAGCAGTCCCCGGTGCTGCCTCTACAGGATGCGCAAAGGGATTTAGGGCATAGAGAGGCTTAGAAGTTTATATGGTTTAGGGTTTAGGGTAAGTTGAGGGGCTTGGAAGTTTAGGGGCTTTGGGTCTAGGGTTTGGGGGTTTAGGGTTGTTTTCAAAGGTGTGTTGAGACTAGGGTTTCAGCTACTTAGGGCTTTTTGGGTTTGGGATCGCAAAATTAAAATGCCTCGTGGCGCGTACTTGAAACAACTCGAAAATAAACTCTATTCTATTCAGTCTAGGGCTCAGGGTAAAATTCTATTCAGTCTAGGGTACAAGGTAAGAACCCTAAACACTGAACACTAAACCAGAGAGGCAACCTGCCCACGAAAGCAGAAGACCCAAAGAAGTACCAAAAGGGCGTGTTTAAGAGGTCGGTTAAGGGTCGTATCAGGGTTTCGGGCTCCTTCAAAGGAACTACAAAGGCTCCTTGCAGGGTGTCATAGAGACAGAAAGTTCGAGAATCGCGAACGGCGCCAGAATGAAACCTTTCCAAACGCCCGCACCTTGATGGATGTCTTTGAAGCAACCGTCATCCTGGAAAAGCTTGTAGTCATCGCGCATCTCCTGGCAAGAGCACAGTTCGTATCACTTCCCTAAAGCCTAAACCCTATACCCTAAACCCCTCACAAGCCCCAAAGAACCCTTAAAGGATACCCTTTAAAGGATCCCCTAAAACCCCAAACCTCAACCTTAAAAGTTGTGAGAGGAAGGGCCTTGTCGCTGGGCAGTCAAAAGGATTTCCGTTTGGGGGAAACCTCTTCATGTGGCCTTTGACTTGCGATTTTGTGGGTTTAAGGGCTCGGGTTGAAGGTTGAGGGGTTTAGGGTTTAAGGTTTGTTGGCTTCAGGATAAAGGGCTTAATCGTCTACACCCCAGCACCGAATTACACCCAATAGCACACTCAGCACTGAAGTCCGGACAATATATCATAAAACCAGAAGCTGTAATGAGCAGTATACTGATACAGATATGTACATATGTATATGTATACACCTAAAGGTATATATACGTATATACAGGTATACACAGGCATATACAGGTACATACAGATATATAGGAATATAGAAATAGAGATATATAGATGCATAGATATACAGATATATAGATATGTAGATATATAGTTTTATAGATATATAGATATAAAGATCTACAGGTATATAGATATACAGATATATGGATATATGGATATATGGAAATATGGTTATAAAGGTATATAGATACACAGGTATGTAGATACGCACATTAATAGATACATAGATAGACAGATGACGCCTTGCTGTCTAAATCGCTACAACATGAACAGGACCCAGTATCACCCTAGCCTTTTCCGCAAGCACTGGCCTGCGCCCGCTTCCATTGGCTTGGAACGCCCACGGTGCAGTCCCATCCTGTCCCGGTATACTAGGTTGGCCCCTTAAAGCCTCTGAAACATATTCGTACATAGGGTCCTACGAAGCCCAATCAGGGAAAATATAACATGTCCCAAAGGCCTACCTAGTATAGAGTGAAGCTGTCAGAAACCCTAAATCTTAAACTCCTGAACCCCCGGATTCTCCACCGCAAACCCGGGGTAGAGGGTATGGTTTAGGGGCAATCGAAGCAACGAACACAAAAGGCTTGTAACCGTAAACAAGATCCGGGTAAATCCGATGAGAAGTGACCGTTTGGGGTCTATAGAGATTGTTAAGGGTTTGGGTGTTTGGGTGACAACAAGTTCTGTCCGAAACGTCTCTGACCGAAAGGTCGAAAGATCGATACGTCGGTTTGAGGTTGAGTATGTTCGATCTCATTTATGGTATGCCACGAACCACATGCCTTTAGAGCGTAGGTCATAAACCAAAGTTCAAAGGTCATGGCTCAGAGGTCATACTGCTTATACGATATCAGATGCATTCTTACGCAGATTGTGTCCTGGTGTTCTCGCATGTCGTCTTCGCACACTTCATTTCCCCATATGCCGACATGTATACCCATCCATTTCACACGCACTGTTTGCTGACCACGACATACAATACCAATTTGGGAGAGGCGACCATGTTGGGCTACATCATGCACGAACTACAGTGCTGCCACGTTACGGAGCAGTGGTGTTATGGAGCAAGACTGATTTAGCAGCCACTTGGGAGTTTCCGCAAATAGGGGACCCTCATATAGTACCCTATAATAGTAGGATCCTTATTATAAGGACCCCAGAATAAGGTAGCCCTAATTCTCGGAAACTCCCACTTCGACTTCCCCGGCTAACATAGCCTTCAGGCCCTGAGCCGCAAGCCGTCAATTAATGTAGGAACCTGATTAATGTAAACCTGGGTCTATGTTATACAAGGAGCCCTAATAAAGGCCCAAGGTTGCTTAATCAGGTTCCTACGTTACAGAAAAAAGCTCGTGAATATTTGCTCAGTCTCATGAAGAACTTCCGATGCCTCAATGCCCTAAACCCTAAACCCCTCATGTTTCGACCGGATGGGTTTAGGAATTGTTCATTTTGTGGTCCAGCCTGCGAGGTCTACGGTGTTTGGCTTGAGGGCTCAGGCTCAAAAATAGCCCGAAAGCCTTATACTGTATGGTCCTTGCAGGTTCATGGTAGTTATAAGTAAGGTTATAAGTAGGGTAACTATACTTACAACCCATATTCGGTTACTTATAACCCCACTTATACCTACCCGACTACCCATGAACCCCCAAGTAGGGTACAGTAGAAGCCAGAAAGTTGGAATATCATTATCATACTCCCTTTAAGGTAAGTTTTAAGGGATCCTGCCAGTATTCCATATTCCAACTTTCTGGAGTTCCCTTTAAGGTCTTGAGAGTCGCAAAGCTCTCAACGTGCCACTCGAGAACAGAAATGCTGAGACAAACGAAGCTGCTCTCACCTTTCAGCCTACAGGTCCTAGGATACCCAGTAACCTAAGAATAAAAAGGCCTCTCTTTTTGGTATTGGGTAACTTTATAAGGAACCTAGGACTACAAAAAGGGAATAAGGGTACTACTGGGCATCCTAGGGTCTCCGAGTATGAAAGTTTCAGGGTCTGGGGTTTAGGGGTTTTCGGGTTTAGGGTTAAGGGGTTTCAGGGTTTAGGGTTTAGGGCTTATGGTTGAGGGTTTAGGGTTTAGGGGGGGTTTGGGGGCTGTAGTGTTTGGATCCGTGTAGTAGGATCCTGAAGACAACCTGCACCCCACATCCGACCCCGCCTGGTTTCTCATGGTCCACGTACATCACAGAGTTGGAGTCCTGGCGTCAGAAACAATTCCAAAATTCGAGTTCAGGGTTTAGGCTTTCACCTCGAAGTCTTTCAGCCGGGAGGTGTACTTAAAGGATCATGGGACTTAGTAACTAGGGTTATAATTAGGGTACCTGCACTTGTAACCCCAATTAAGGTACTTATAACCTTACTTACTAAGTCCCATGATCCTCCAAGTAGGGTTCAGGGTTCAGGGTTTAGGGTTCCGAGGCTTGAGGGTTCCTAAAGCTTGGACTCGACCTGGACCTTGAGCTCTGAGCCCCTAAACCCTAAACCCTGAACCGCGGAAACCCTAGGACCTAAATCCTGAACCCTAAACCCTAAACCCTGAACCCGAAGCCCTAAACCCCAAACCCGAAGCCCGAAATTCGAAGCCCCTCAGTCGGATCCTTAAAGAAGGATCGGGAGTTGGGGCCAGGGTTGAGGGCTTTTGGGCTTATAGCGTTTATATAGCAGGATTTAGGGGTTTAGTTTATGGTTTAGGGCTTTTGGGCTTATAGGGTTTGGCAGAATTTAGGGCTTAGTTTAGGGTATAGGGCTTAGGGTTCATGGCTTCAGGGCTAGATTGCATGCGAAATCAAGCAGCCAAGAACGAGCTGCAGTAGGGTTTGAGGGGGATAGGTTAAACTAATTGTATGAGCATACACGATTGTCTGTGTCTAGTCTGCATACTATTTATTAGCTACGCCCATATTTCTGTACGTAGTTTACATTGATGTATAGATGTGTGTGTATATATATACAGATATATACACCTTTGTGTTTATATGTCCGTTCCGGTCTGTCTTTTGGCGGCGAGTTACCATTCAAACTCTAGAACCCTCTGCCCTAATCCCTGCTGGACCCCTGCCTCAAAACCCCATGCGTGCAAAGAGCGAGGCCCTGGTACGTCATGGCTCCTTCAAATTAGACCTGGGTGGTTGTCAAAAATTATGGTCCCTGGTTGAGTCCTCATTATAGTACGGCACCTAATATTTAGGGTACCCCGAAAGGGACCATAGTTTTGACAAACCGCCCACCTGCATCTGCGCTAAACCCGCGTACAACTAAGCCCCCCCAAGATGCTAATCAACCCGAACCTTCAAGCCTCAACTCCCCCCCAAAACAACATGCACAGAAGGGTTTCAGGTTTAGGCCTCAGCCCGCAAAAACAAAAAAACACACACACACACACATGCAAGCCAGAACACGCAAACAAAGCTTGAGCTTTGTCCGCCTCGACCGGATTCCACGTTGGGTCCGTGTACTTCTCGCCGCTGCCTCGGCAGTCATAGCTGACTATAGTTGTGTGCGTATGCATGTACCCATGTATGTCTGATGTATGTACATATGTATACATACATACAGCCTTTCAGCTTTCAGGCTGCCCCGCCCGAAAACTACCGCCCAAAACCGTGAAAAGAAAACACTCGCCAGTTTTCTCCAAGGGCAAAAGGAGGGACCCTTAATACGGACCCCTAGGTATATACCCTTAATATAGCCATTATATACCCTTTATATAGTAGGGGTCCCCATTAAGGGTCCCTCCTTTTCCCAATTGATTTTCAGTCCCGCGGCGGAAAGAAAACCCAAAACACTAAATGTCCATCTCCCTGCACGAACTTGCGTAAAGACGATGCAAGCACTAAGTGCGAAGCACCCGGTTGTGTCTACTGCAGTTCCAAAATACCTAAAATCCGAAACCCTAAATCCTGAACCCTTAAGACCCCAAACCCTTAAACCCTTAAGCCGTAAGCGATTAAACCTTCAGCGAGTACTGGTCAAGAGACCTTTGCAGGACTCAATGATCGCGTTCACCTGCATTCAGGTTCGAGTTCAGGGGCTCAGGTTCCGGGTTTGGGGCTCCGGGCTTAGGTTGAGGGTCGTGGTTGAGGGTTTAGAGGTAAGGGCGCTCTCATAGGATGAAGAAGATTGCAGGGAATGCGCATAATGGGCCCAGACTGTACCCTTCAGGCCTTCGAGTTTAGGGTTTAGGTAAACCCCGCCTAAACTCTAAACCCTAAGCTCTAAACTCTACCCTAAACTCTAAGCCCTAAACCCTAAACTCTAAACTCGAAACCTTCAAGGCAGAACCTTAGTAAGGGCTCCTAGGTATATACCCTTAATATAGCTATTATATACCCATTATATAGCCCATTATAGGGCCCTAAAGGCTTCGAGGGCTTTGCATTTGTAGGAGGTTCATATTTGGAATCCTATAAGGTATTCCCAACAAGGAACTACTATGGAGCCTCTGGGCATCTTCTAAAAAACAGAGGCCTCCTCAATCCGAAGCCCTGGAACGGCTTTGCATTTGTAGGAGGTGCTGTGTTCGGAGCCTTCGCAGGATGAGCCAGGGGTGTACTTGGAGGTTCATGGGTACCCAGAGAGCCCAATACCCCTTAATCAAGGAATATGGCTTAAATTATATAGGGTTTCATACTATGATTTAAGCCATATTCCTTAATTAAGGGGTATTGGGCTCTCTGGGTAGTTGTAAGGGTTCCTTTAAGGGCCCCTTTAAAGGGATCTATAGGGATTCTACAAGGGTATAGGGTTTAGGGATTACTTGGAGATTCATGGGAAGTTATAAATATAGGGTTATAAGTAGGGTAACTATACTTATACCCATATTAGGGGACTTATAACCCCACTTATAACCACCCATAAACCTCCAAGTAGAAGCTGCGGGACTTTGGGTTTACTTGGTTCCAGGAGATGCGGCGACGGCAGGGAATATAGGGGCCTTAATAATTATACTAGGGTTTTGGGGCCCTTTATACTATACATATAATACGGAACCGCCAAAATAGTATTGGTAATTATTTCGGCCCCTATTTCACTTCGCATTCCCTGCAATCTTCTTCATCCTATGAGAGTGCCCTTACCTCTAAACCCTCGACCACGACCCTCCTGAACCCTAAACCCCAAACCCTAAACCCTAACCTAACCCCCGAGCCGCACACCCGGAACCTGAGACTCTGACCTCGAACCTGCATATAAGGGCCTGAATAATTAGAATAGGGTTCCTTTAAGGGTTCCTTCAAAGGGTAGCTATACGGGATCCATAAGGGTACTATACTATGGGGCCTTAATCATTAGAATAGAGGTTTGGGCCCATTATACTATACTTATTATAAGGAGCCCCCAAAATCGTGTTGGTAATTATGGCCCCTATGTTGAACCCAAAGTTCCCAACCCAACCTATTCAAGCCACCGGGACGAGCCGAGAAGTCCTGCAGTAAGCACGATTGACCTTCCATCATAAACCCCACACCCCAAAACCTAACTTGAAACCGTAATCTCGGGTTCTGGGGGCTATACAATGCTATACTCACATATCAGTATCACGGAAGGCTTTGGTATCGTGTTTGAAAATATCTTCTGGCTTCTATAGTAATTCTGCATGCCCGAAGCCTCCTTTCGACAGTTCTCTCGAGCTCGCTGCCAGGACGACAGTGCGGAGAGTGCCTCACAGTGATCTCTCACACCTCACACCATGAGTGCCCCAAGCTCTCAAGCCTAGACCGTACATGTATCCGCACTCCCAGAAGCCGAAACCCTAAACCCGACCAAGAAGAGCCATGCAGATGGACCTGTCTCCGAGTGGCTTAAGTCCGGCTTAAGTCACGGCGCTTTTCGGCTTAGGGCTTAGGGGGGCCATGTTGCACTGCAGGTAGGAAACAGCCCAAACCCCACACACACGGACCTTTTGAGTTTGGGTAGGGCGCTAATCGCATCCCAGGTCATGAACCGTGGCTGTTTAGGGCCATAAGACACTGACACAGGGCACGCAACCCCACCCAACCCCCTACACTCGGACATGTCAAAGACCTGCTAAACCGCAATCTCTGAGTATAGATCCCAAGCCCGCAGATACGTGCACTCTCTCAAGTCCCAAAACCCCCCTAAACCCCTAAGCCCGACAGCAAAACAAAATTGAACGAAGCTTTATCCTAGCCTTTAACAAGGCCCCTTACCAGAATGTCAAACAGCTCGCGGCCGGGGTGCCACTGGCTCCTGCGCCTGCGCCTTCGCAGCCTGCCGACTCTTCCACTCTTTAGGGGGTTTCGCAAGGTTTAGAATTTAGGGTTTAGGCTTGGGGGTTGGAAAGAGTCTATGAAGATTTCGTAGGTTTGTTCTTGAATGTTGTGTTAGGGTCTTAAGAGCAATTTGGTTCGGGGCTGCAGGTCATCAAGTAAAATGTTGACTATAGTGCTTGTTTACATGCATATATAGTGTAATATAGCATGAAAAGTGCACTTTAACGCACTATCGTATCATACGGTTGATGATATAAATCCTGCATTACCTTAAGGGCCCTAAACTATGGGAATTATGGTATATTCCTTATAATGGGTCATGCAGGATTTATATCATCAACCGTATGGTGTATACCCTTCTATATATAGCACGAAAATATGTACCAGAAAATATTATCGTGTGATATAGTATACCCTACATACTATTAGAAGCTTAGGACATGAGTTTCAGGGCTTTGGGGGGCGGTGAAGGACGCGGGTTTAGGGCTTAGGTGCTACTACTACCTACTAGAATAAACGGCCAATCTATACTACATACATATGCATGTATATGTGTACGTATGTATGTATGTATGTATGTATGTATGTATACATATATATATATATATATACATATGTATTTATGTATTTTCTTTTCGATCATCTACTGCAATCTATTGCAATATGCTGTATGATCCGAGTGTGGGCAGTACCAATCACATACCCAAAGCGTGAAACGCTTACCGTACACCCTAAATCCAAGGGAGCCTAGATGCCCCCTTTGCTTTCTAGGGCTTATAGACGTCTTGTACGCACTTTAGGGTGTAGGGCTCCGGGTATAGAGTTTAAGCTTGGGGTTCTTGGATGTAAGCTCCGCTTTCGGCTTTCAGGTACGTGCTTCGAAACAATCTGACGAGGGCATCAGAAAACAGCATTGGGAAAAACATCAAATCCTAGCAGATGCTCATCATCGATGGCAGCCTCGACAAGAGCATCTCCATCCATGCTGCTGAGCACCTGCTAGGCTGGCTGTGGAGTGGATCTCGGAAAACCGCGAGAAGAGCAGAACTCAACAACCTCCGACTCCAACCACTACATAATGAATCCGTATACTGTCTATCTATATCTATACCTGATCCATATCTGTATCTAGATCTCCATATCTGTACATATAATATCTGTAAACACGGCTACCTAGGCTCTACACCCCAGGAGCGCAACCTCCACTTCCCTAAGTTCGATTTGGGAGCCCAAGTTTCGAACGTAAGACATCCGGAGGTTGCTTCGAAATTAGAACACCCCTTTACGAGCATGATTCATGTAGGCCTTATAATGATTCGAACAATGGTTGGGCAGCTTTCTAGATAAGCAAAATAAGAACCTAGAGAATAATGTTGGTAATATTATCTTGTGAACTATTTCCTGCTACCCGTGCACTCTGAGGTCTAAACCCCAGTGCACCCCAAAACGTCCTCGGGTGGTGCAACAGACTGAGGCCCAGAGCCCGAAAGTTGCTCTACTATGAGGGCCTTAGTAATTTCTATAGGGCTTTGGGGCCCATTATGCTATAACTATAATAAGGAATCTGCAAAGTTGCATCGGTAATCATTCAGGCCCCTATTTTAGGGTTGTGAAGACTCAACATGGCCGCTGGGCCTCATCGTCGGCTCCAACTTATGCTGTCGCCATTAAGGCTTAGGGTTTAGGGTTTATGTAGGGTCTAGGATAAATGTCAATGCTGCAACATATTGTCGTGGTTTCCTTCGAAACCAACTGACAGACCCAGCGCTGAACCCTCCTAAACTCTAAACCCGGCCGTCAAACTCTAAATCCACCTACACAGTTCCATTGCAAAACGCTCTTGGGTTTGGGGTTTTCTGACCTGGGATTCCCAATACTTCGCCAAGCTTTCCACCTAGCCTCGAAAAAACTCTGTGTAAGATCCGAAAGCACAGTCTATGGGCCTTAATACATGGAATTGAGTGTTGGTGGATTGCATAATATACTTACATAAATTGGCAATTTTCAGACCTCCATACAAAACATTGGACCGTGTTCACTCATGAAATACTGGCCTGAAACCACTGTGGTCTCCAGGCCGACCCAAGTACTTCATAAATGCACAAGTGTATAAATACATCAAGAATCATAGAGATACAAAGGTGGCATAACCATATAGGAATATGGATATATTGAATATTTTACACTTCTAGATGAAGGTTCCGTATGTTCTGAAGCTCCCAAACCCTGATACATCCCTATAATGGCACCGTGGTTTCCAGAGCCGTCAGCTTGGCGTTCTCAATTTCCCCTGCGGCGTCGTCAAGCCTTGGCGTGCAGCGCTCGTAGTACAGGGGTAATTAGAATAGGGCTTTGGGGGGCGGTTTACTAAGCAACTAAGTACAACAAGGAATTCCAGGGCATACTTCCAACTGTTCGCGTGAGGGTCGCACAGGCCAAAGTTTTAATTACAAGGGCATGCTGCGCAACACGCGCATAGGGGCTGTTGTTGCGTAAAGTCTGGGGTTGCGGGGGTTCCGGGCTGCACGCGTTGGAGGCAGGGAAAGAAGCGAAGAATGAGGGAAGGTCGGAGTAAGAGCTCCAAAGACCCTACCTAAACCGCATTCCGTGGGATCGCTCGAAGCTGTGGCCCCCCTTGTTTGGGCCAAGATGGGAGTTTCCAAAAATAGGGGACCCTCATATAGTACCCTAAATGCTAGGATCCTTACTATAGGGACCCCAAAATAAGGTAGCTCTTGGCTTTTTTGGGTTTAGGGTTTGGAGTGGTAGTGGTAGTGGTAGTGGTAGTGGTAGTGGTAGTGGTAATGGTAGTAGTAGTAGTAGCAGCAGGAGTAGTAGTAGTAGTAGTAGTAGTAGTAGTAGTAGTAGTAGTAGTAGTAGTAGTAGTAGTAGTAGTAGTAGTAGTAGTAGTAGTAGTAGCAGGAGTAGTAGTAGTAGTAGTAGTAGTAGTAGTAGTAGTAGTAGTAGCAGTAGTAGTACCAGTCGTCGTAGAGTAGTAGTGGTAGGAGTATTCGCATTACGATGAGTAGTGCTTCTAGTGTTAAATAAGGGATCCGCTGTTCTTGGATGAAGCCGTGGCTACTAGAGCGGCCGTCTGTGCCGGAAGCCTGCTCCCTTCAAGCGTCGCTATAGGGCTGAGGGCTACAAGCCTGAAGGTTCAGGGAAAAGTCCAGTCATACCGGGCTGCTAACCCCATCAGTCTGTAGAACCAGCGGCAGAAAACGGAGGTATTCGAAAAATCTGGACCGGAACCAAAAAACAAACCCAACATGGACGGCGACCCAAACCCTGCACCACAAAACCAAAATACAACCTTAAGTACTTCTACATGTCCACCCCTGCCAGTATACTTTAAACTACAATAAACCAGCCGAAACTCTAATGTAACGGTCAAGTCCCCTAAGACTTTAAACCCTAAACCGCATTATAACTGTTAGGCTATACCTTAGCTAGTTCGAGTCTCGCGGCGACTTCTTCTCACAACTGAGATAAAACAGCAGGCCATCAATGCCTGGCTCCAGTTTGGGTTTGGGGTTTGGGGTTTAGGGTTTAGGGGTTTAGGGTTTTTTCGGGTTTAGGGTTTAGAAGTTTAGGGGTTTAGAAGTTTAGGGGTTTAGAAGTTTAGGGGTTTAGGGTTTTAGGGTTTAGGGCTTAGGGGTTTAGAAGTTTAGGGGTTTAGAAGTTTAGGGGTTTAGGGTTTAGGTGTTTAGGGATGCCTGCCCCGGGAAGTTTGGGATCTTGGGACCGGGGTCGAAAACAGAGGATCCTCAGAAATTGGGCTTACCTTAACCCTTAGAAGCTGCCCCCACCCTGTAATAGTGACTATAAGGATTATATATGATTATATTAGGGCCCTATTATATTCCTATTATACCACTATTACAGGGTGGGGGCAGCTTCTAACCTTAACCCTGAATAACCTACCGTTTTAGGATTCCTTCTTATGATTTCCGTATACAAGTCCTTAAACAGGTAGGTTATTCCGGGTTACGGTAGGGTTTGGGACTGAAGTATTCTTTACTACGGTTGATGATGTAAATCCTGCAGTGCCCATGATAAGGAGTATACCATAATTCCCATAGTTTAGGGTCCTTAAGGTCATGCAGGATTCCTATCATCAAAGGCATTTAGGGTTCAACTTGGGATTTTTCTTGTCTGAAACTCCGAGAGGCCCATCTTCCATGTTTGGGGCGTAGGTTTAGGTTTAGGGTTTACCTAGACCTACTAACCCCTACTTTTTTGTAGGTTCTCATTATAAACCCTAATGTGGAACTTGTAGGGACCCTACCAAAAAGTAGGTTCTGGTAGGTTAAGGTAGGGTCCAACAGAGCCCATCAGAAGCTCGAACATCGCACCACGACATCATTGCGAGTGGCCTCTAAACCCTCTGAACCCCAAATCCTAACCCGAGCATATTATGGTATAGTGAAGATGAAGGGCAGGGTAGCACGCATTATTCTGACCGTGTCTGCTCAGACATTGAGGCTTTGGAACTTCAACACAAATTCCCCAATGAGCTGTAGAGAAGGTGCGACGGCATAGTGAAAGCAGACTGATAATTAGAATAGCCTTATGTGGCAGCGGGTATCTTATCGGAGTCTTATGGAGAACGAGCATCGGGTTTGGGGGTATATTATAGTAGTCTTATATTCAGGAGCCCCTAAGGAAAAATATTGGCAATTAGTAGGGCCCTATGTTTGCCCTAAACCCTAGACATTGTATTGGCCTACACCTTCTTTGAGAGGATGGCTGGCAGCGAAGCCTCCCCCAAGCATGGAAGCCAAACAGGATTAGGGTTTAGGGGTTTAGGGTTTAGCCCGAGCTTGCAAACGATTGATCCTGAAAGGGCCCTTTTCGGAAATTAGCGTAGGGCACTTGAGGGCTTAGGCATTCCCAAACCCTAGACCCGTTTCGGAACTTAGTTACTACAGGGGCCTAAATAAACACCAATACTATTTTGGGGGATTCCTTATTAAAATTAGGGCCCGAAAACCCTACACTAATTCTTAAGGCCCCATATTAGGTCATTAGGTAGGGTCTTTGCAGCGGCGCCTGTCTTCGTTGCCAGCTCACGCTCAAGCTCGCACTCCTCCGCCTGGGCACCCGATGCACGTCTCTGAAATCTCCGGATTTTTCGGGGTTTCCGAAAGTAGGGGACCCTAATATCGTACCCTAAATAGTAGGATCCTGTTAACAGGACCCCAAAATAAGGTGCCCCCGTATTTTCCGGAAACTCTCCCATATGCCTTTCGGTTTGCTTCAGGTCCCTACAATCCCAAACTCTGAATCCTGAACCCTCAAGGCCCTCAACTCTAAAAGCCCTAAACCCTAAGGCTTAGGGTTTAGGGTTTAGGGTTTAGGGTTAAGGCTTAAATTCCGAGACTCTGAGCCCTGAACCCTACTCAATAGTTCGGAAGTCCTTTTTGTTGGTAAGACCTCGAAAGCTTCAGGATTCGATATTGGAAAACTAGGGGGGGCAGGGCTGGGGTTGGGTGGATTAGGGGTTTAGGGTTTAGGGTTCGACATGGGAGTTTCCGAAAATCAGGGGTACCTTTTTGGGGTGCCTTTTATTATAACAAGGATCCTACTATGTAGGGTACAGTATTAGGGCCCCCCTACTTTCGGAAAGTCCCATATTGGACAACTAGAGATTCGGTGGTCGGTCAAAACTGCGGCATCTTTCGTCTACGATGTGGGGGTTTCCGAAAATAGGGGACCCTAATATAGCACCCGAAATAGTAGGATCCTTATTATAAGGACCCCCAAATAAGGGACCACTAATTTTCGGAAACTCCCATGTCTTTGGGAATACCATGGAATCAGGGCAGGCTGGGCTTTCATGTAGGGGCCTCAATAAGCAGAGTAGGGTTCCTTGAAAGGGTTCCTCTAAAGGGAACTCCAGAAAGTTGGAATATGGTTTCAGGGTAGGATACCTTATAATTTACCATAAAGGTTTAGGATAATAATATTCCAACTTTCTGGCTTTTACTTTAAAGGGGTCTTCAAGAGGGTTCTATGATATAGGGGCCTTAGTAATTAGAATAGGGTTTTGGGTTGGCTCTTCTCTGTGTCTCTGCTTCTTAAGATGACCGCTCCAATCTTGGGGCGCCAAGACCCCAAGCCCTGAATCGGCCCTTCCTGTAGTCCCTGATGGGACCCTAAACCGAACCCTACAGGGAACACAGTTTACCTTTTTGTCCACACATATCCGAAAGCCCGATTTGCGTGGCAGGGACGTCCAGGAGCCCGGACTCGGGAGGATAGTGTTTGGGGCTTAGGGTCTAGAGGGTTTTAGAGTTTTGGGGCTTGGGGTTTAAGGGTTCAGGGTCCTGGGCCCAGAGATACTGAACCCACCCCTCCTTGAAACTCATTTTTGTGCTGTTGTACTCTAGACTGGGAGGGGTGGGGGGGGGGGGGGGGGGGGGGGGGGGGGGGCGGGGGGCGGGTCCATCTTATTTTCAAGGATGGCATTATTAAACCGAAGCTGGGCTCTTGTTCAAGAGCTCTCTGGTTGCAATAAAAGTAACATGTGGGAGTTTACGAAAATTGGGGTACCTTATTTGGGGGTCCTTATAATAAGGATCCTACTATCTAGGGTACTATATTAGGGTCCCCTATTTTCGGAAACTCCCATGTAGTCTAGGGCTTCGGCTTGGGCTTCAGGCTGCTCAGGGCCTAAACCCTAAACCGTTATAATCCTAAACCCTAAAATAGATCCCCTATAGATCCCTTAAAGGGAACCCGTTAAAAGGAACCCTAGGGCCCCTATTAGGGCCCAAAAAAGCACATAAGCAAAAATCAGGATAGGGATATCCCATATAAATCCCCTTACACTGAAGCCCAATAAGGTAGGGATATCCCCAGAAAAAATGCTCATGCTTATGTGCTTTTTGGGTCCCCAACCTATATCCTTGAGCAAACCCCTTGGGTGCAGCCGCGCAGCAGGCGTGTCGAGGTCCACGGCACTCACGGTGCCACACTTCACCTAACTTGGAAGCTTGCGAATTTGAGAGTCTAGGGTTTAGGGTTTTTTTCAAGGGTTCAGGGTTTAGGGTGTTTTTAAGGGTTTAAGTTGTTTTTCCGGGTTTAGGGTTTAGGGGTGTTTTTTAAGGGTTTACGGTTTAGGGTCTAGGGTTTAGAAGTTGATATGGGCGTTTCCGAAAATTAGGGGTACCTTGTTTGGGGGTCCTTATAGTAAGGATCCTATCATGTGGGGTACTATATTAGGGCCCCCTACTTTCGGAAACTCCCATATGTCGAGGTGCTGTCTGGCCGAACTAGATACAAACAATTTGATTACTATCACCAGATTCACCACTCAAGACGTTAGTACAGGTTAGGTGGGTGGTTTTAACACCATGACTCTTCCTTCTTGCGCTCTCTAGGAGCAGGAGCATGGAAATCACTCGGGTGAATGGCACCGACGCCCAAACTTGCGAACCCCAACACCGTCCAATCCTTCCGAGAACTGGAGGGTTTAGAACTTGGGGTTTAGAGTTTAGGGTTTTGGGGCGCTGGAGTTGGAGGACATTAAGTAAGCCCTAGCTGAGCAAATCACGATGGAGCCCATTTCATGTAAAGAAGCGATTGCAAGCCCTTTAAACAGCCAAGGCCGTGGAACTCGCGAAGATTTTCGGACTCTTAAGCCCCCTAATAAGGAGCCCGAAACCCTCGAACCCCAAACCCTACACCCTAAACCCTAAACCCCAAAGCCAAAGCCTGAGAGAAAAGCCCGTCCCTCAACCCGGAAGGACAATCCAAAGCCCTCAACCCTCTTCGACCCTCAGGGCCTAAGCCCCAAACCCAGCTTTAACCACTTCGAGCGTCTAAACCACACGTTTCCACTAAATCCTCACTGACTTAAAACTTTAAAAAACTGAGAGCCCCAAACCCCAAGCCCCAAACCCTGACAGAAAAGAGACAGCCCAAGCAGACCCAGGCAAGCCTTGCCAATGGCGTCGCGCAGCTCCTCTCAGGCTTTTAAACAAGCAAAAACCCTGAACCCAAAACCCGGACTTGGGTCACAGAGTTTCTTTTTCGGGGTCTCAAAGTTTAGGGCCTAAGGCTTAAGATCTAATTAATTATAAAGGGGGCGAAGAGCCTATGTGGGGCTTCGATTCTGCCTGCATGCGTACTTGCTTGCGTAGAGATACAGAGATAGATAGATAGACAGATAGACAGATGGACAGATAGATAGATAGACAGACAACAGACGGACACGTAGAGAAAGATCGATAGATCGACAGAGCGGCAGATAGATGGGCAAACGGATAGATTGACACATAGATGCATGGATAGAACCGGTCAGGCGCATAGATACGATGCTTTCTTATCTTGGAAGGTAAAAAAACTGCTGATGGACAAAATCCTGCATGACCCTAAGGACTCTAAACTATGGGAACTCTGGTTTATTCCTTATAAAGGGTAATGCAGGATTTTGTCCATCAACCGAAGGACGAGGCCTCCACGCCGGGGCCACCTCCCACGCCATTCAACTCTGCTGCGAGGTCTTGAAGGAGTAGGTCGCCATCCTTGCCGGATCTAACAAGTACCCATAGGCCCCAGAGTAGTTCCTTTTGGGGGCTACCTTATAGAATTCTATATATGAACCCCAAAAAGGAACTACTTGGGGGCCTATGGGTAGATCGCTTAATGGGGTTTCCTAAAAAGTGCCCTTAGTAGTATAGGGCCCCAAATTTCGGACATCTACTTTCTAGATCCTCCCGGGGGTCTGGGTGCCGGACCGGGAAGCTGTCGGCATGTGAGGCTTTCGGAGTATTTCGGGGTTTTGGAGCTGCGGGTCTGGTCCCTTCGACTTTTAGGGTTTTTCTAGGGCTTGGGGTTTAGGGATTCCGGGTCTTGGCCCTTAGAGTTTGTGGCATTTGAAGCTGTGGGCTCGTGGCCCGACACATGGGTCCTCCTGGTCCCTGTTCAAGCAATCCTCAGGCTTCTTGCTGGGATAGTTATATATAAGCTGCCTTTAAGGGATCTGTAAAGGTTTTTCATGAAATCTTTCAGGGCTCTACTTGGAGGTTCATAAGCAGTTAGATTATAAGTGGGGTCTGTAAGTGGTTAGCCATAACTGTGAACCATAATATTTGCGGGAATTATAACCGTACTTATAACCACCCATGAACCTCAGTGCGATGCTTGCTGCTACATCACATCGTGGTATTAGGTCTACAGCAACGACAAGAACTTACCCGTGTCCCTAGTTGCATGTTCCTGCTCCCTCTAATGTCGTCGGTTCCGGCAGCAGAGTCGACCGACGACGATGCTTGCCTGTGTTGGCCCTGTTGGTTCTATTTTCACACGCATGTATACAAGTTTTAAACTTTCGTGTTGATCTTTCCGTTGTTCGTCTTGTCATCCCTTGCACTGCAAGTGCTCCTTCGTAGTGCATCTTGTTTCAACTAAGTCTTCCTGCAGTTGTTGCGAAAGTCCCTGATGCTAGTGCTGCTAAAGCTGGTGCTGCTGCTGGTGGTGGTGCTGCTGCTGCTGCTGCTGCCACTCCTGCTACTGCCACTGTTACTGCCACCGCTGCTGTTACTCCCACTCCTGCATCTACTCCGATTCCTACTCCGTACTCCAATTCCTACCCCAACTCTTCCTACGCCCATTCCTACTGCTACGGCAACCACGACGACGATGATGTTCTCGTCAGTCCTGCTGCTGCCGCACCGCCTAACTAAAACACTAACAACCGAAAACGCCTATCCTTTATGTTGCCCCATTGGTAACCCCTTATAGTACGTACTATGGACACCCAAAACCGTAAACCTTAAATCCTAAACCCCAAACCCTAAACCCTTAAACCCCTGGACCCCTGAACCCTAAACACTAAAACCCTAAACTCTCGCCCAAGCCGAAGCCCCGTCCTTTCCGAGGGCTGCCTGGCAGCCGTCGAAGCTCTCCAAGGCTGCCTTTCTGATGGGAGGCTTAAAAGGGGGGTTTAAGATTCTTTAGGGTTTAGGGTTTAGGGATATTCGGCATATGAACCCTATTATGGGAACCCTAATCCCTACTAAACCCCCATAGTCTAAACCCCCTTTTGGCCTCCTACGGTTGATGATATAAATCCTGCATCACCTATCATGAGGAATATACCATGATTCCCATAGTTTAGGGTCCTTAAGGTAATGCAGGATTTATATCATCAACAGTATGACTTTCACTGGGGATCCTTGAGTCTCTCGCGGCAAACCCTGAACCCTAAACTCCTGAGCACCAGACCCCTAAACCTTAGAAGGGGCCCCCACCCTGTAATTGTGGTATAATAGGAATATAATAGGCCCCTAATGTAATCCTTATAGTCACTATTACAGGGTGGGGGCAGCTTCTAACCTAAACCCTAAACCTCTGCATAAACCCGAGGCCCTAAACCCCTAAACCCCCAAACCCTAAACCCCTAAAGCCCTGAACCCGAAACCCCGCAAGCCCAGCATAAGCAGAAATTGTTTGGCAGCCGCAATAGTCAATAGCCCAGCCCAGCCCAGGCCAACCCAACCCAGCCCAGAAAGCAAAAATCCAACCCTGGTCAAAACCCGAAACCCTAAACCCAAAACCCTAAACCCAAAACCCTAAACCCTAAACCCAAAAACTGCACAAAACCCGGTCCTCGGAGCCCGAACCCTAAACAGTTTCTATAAACCTAAACAGCTTCTGTGAACCCTAAATCCCTTGACCTCCAGAACCCTAGATCCCTAAACTGCGCTTCGGGCCTTCGGGTTTGAGGTGCAGGGCTCAAGCTTAGAGTTCTGATTCTGCCTATAGTCTCCATTGTAGTTCCTTTTTTTGTTAACCACTTTTATGGTTAGGATCCTATAATAGAGATTTTGGTTAACCAAAAAACGCACTACAATGGAGACTATAGGTGGGCCTTTAGATGTCCGAGAGTTACAGCCACGGCTTTTTTGGGGGTGCAGCACCTTTTTCTGCCTAGCAGTTAAGGTCGGCGGTTGTGGGATGCCCGGGGTGCAGAGTTTGGGGTTTAGGGTTGCCTGCAGCTCAGCGGTTCAGACTTCACTCGCGGAAAACCTTGTTTCGTTGCTTTCGCCTTCGGACGCACGGTGGGTGGCGCCCCGTTTGCCATCCTTCAAATCCGGGAACATCGCGATATGATCGTCCAGCACTACACCAGCCAATGAACTCTGAGAAATGATCTTGCCAACCCAACCCCCGTTCCTCAGCTCGGTCTGTCGGTTAAATCCTAAACAGCTCCACCAAACTCTAAACTTTTGGCCCTAGAAACCCGCTGCCTGCACCTCCCTTTAACGCTCAACATTCCCACCACTCACCTGGCGGCAGACGCCCACTGCGAGCATCGCAGAAGCCCACTCGGCGCGGGAGACTTCCGTCTCAGGGCCGATACCTGTCAGAGTCCGAGCTTGTGCCACTTAGGAAGAGCGGATGAGGCAGCACAAAGACTGGCATATTAATTATATACTATTCCATTCTGGTATACTATATTCATAATATATTATTGGTATATTCGAATACATCTTTCTGGTCTCTTACGTTTACAATTTAATATAGTATATTGTAGTATAGTACATTATAGTACATTCTCGTACATTGTACGGAGTTTAGGGGCTCAGGGTGTCTCGAAGCGGAGGGATGGGGCGACGTTTAAGGGAGACTCCAAGAGGTGGAGGAGAACAGGATATTGGGGTTTAGGGTTGTACAAGGGTTTAGGGGTCTAGGGGTTAAGGGTTTAGGGGTTTAGGGTTTAGGGTTCAGGGGTTTAGGGGTTTAGGGTTTAGGGGTTTAGAGTTTAGGGTTCAGGGTATGCTGGGGCTTGTGCAGGCCGGGGTGATAGTCTTCGATTCTGAGGCTTCACGCGGATTTGGGGTTTTGGAGTTTAGGGGTTTGAGGGTTCAAGGTGTTGTAAGGTCAAGGGCTTGGGTGGATTTAGTGTTTGGACTGTCTGGCGTCGCAGTTGGATATATGGGAGTTTCCGAAAATTCGGAGTACCTTACTTTGGGGTCCTTATGGCCTTATGGATCCTACTATTTAGGGTGCTACATTAGGGTCCTCTATTTTCGGAAACTCCCATATGATCCCCACTGCTAGCTCCACAGCCGAGACTTACCTTAAGCCACATGTACCTCACAGGCCGCAAACCCCAAGGAAGATCAGTGCAAACCCGGCTGGTATTCCCTTTAGCTCCATCCCTAAACCCTAAACCCCTAAACCCTAAACCCTAAACCCTCAACCCTAAACCCTATACCCTAAACCCTAAACCCTAAACCCCTAAACCCTAAACCCTAAACCCTAGAGGCGCTCCGTGGGCTCGTCTTCAGCCTTCTACACAGAGCCCCCAGAGCTAAGACCCACTAAAGAAGCAACAGGCACGGGACTTTGAAGTAACCAGGGACAAGAAGTATAGACTCTTATTTCATAATGGCTCCTTTGAGGAACAGGTACCTTCAAGAGGTACCAAAAACAGTATTATTCAAGTATGGTACTCCAAAGCCAGAGGCACTAGCCTGGACTGCCAGATTCCGCAAAGCTTGCAGCTTCGGATCCCTACACCCCACTTGGAGGGTCGGCGGACTTAGTAAGCAGGTAGTAGGTAGACTTATAAGTACCCTAAGCGGGACCCTAATTGGGGTTATGGCACTTAAAAGTCCCTAAAATAACCAGTTACTAAGTCCCCCGACCCTCCAAGCAAGCCTCAACCACACCTCACCCCGGAAACCCGCAAGCTCGAAGCCATGGATCTACCCCTAAGGCTCCAAAGTAGTTTCTTTTTGGGGATCGTATTTAAAATCCTATAAGGCAATCCCGAAAAGGAACTACTATGGGGCCTCTGGGTATTACACCCCCCAAGAAGTATCTGCCTTCCATGATCGCCGGATCATTGGAAATCTGGCAAATTGTGCTGCTTTGCATTGTTGGGTGGAGGGCTTTCTCAACTACTCGTTGCATCCGAGCCTCAAGCCTAAAACGGTTTAAGGGATTGCATCTAGAAACCTATATAATCCCGTATAGTAGTCCCCAATATCCATTCCCCCATTCCCTACTAAGAAGATGAAGTGTCCTCGCCCAGGGATACGAAAGGAAGATACGCGGTGAGGAGATGACGAGGGCTAAACTGCCTTTGGGGCAAAGGCCTCAGGGCTGGGATTTTGGGGTTTAGGGCTTAGGGTGCAGGCTTTGGGGTTGGGGTTTAGGGGTTTGGGGTTTGTTTTCGGGTGCAGGGTTTGAGGCTAGTTTGGGGTATAAAGCCTCAGGCCTGTGCGGAGAAGAAGCTTTGCCGCTACACTGCATGCACACAAACCCCACGGCACAACCCTTTCCGGGATACAGTAAGCCTTCCCTCAAGAGGGGCTCAAACCCCTAAACCCCTAAACCCCTAATGTAACCCTAAACACTGAACCCCTAACACCTAAGCCTCTACTCTAAACCCTGAACCCCTGGACCTCCCCAACCAGTGGCTCTGAGGGTTCTTCGGCTTTGCGGACGGGTAGCCACAGCCGGAGGCGGATTCACGACGACGTTTCCGCCGCCGCCGTTGTCTAGGCGACTTCGGGGTTTAGGGGTTTAGGGCTTAAAGGGAACTCCAGAAAGTTGGAATATGGTTTCAGGTTAGGATACCCTATAATTTACCATAAAGGGTTTAGGATAATCATATTCCAACTTTCTAGCTTTTACTTTAAGGTTTAGGAACACGAAGCATGTGCATGTATGCTTGTCCGTGCATGTGTATGTACACATCAAGCAAAACCCAACTAACCGATCAACCAACCAACCATCCAGCCAGCCAACCAAACAAACAAACACAAACTGTATACTCACATGGTTATATGCGTGAGCGTATACATATATATATATATAGATATATATATATATATACATACCTCTATATATATATATATATGAGAATATATATATATATATATATATACAAATAAACTCAAACACTTATCTATGAGATACTTATGTGTTTATGTGTGTGTTTTGCTTGTTTGTGTATTTAGTCTAGCGAATCATCTCGGACAAAGAACCCTACGTTTCAAAACAGCCCCAGCGCGAGTGTAGAACACAACAAAACAATGCTATAGCCCATTACCTCAACCGAACAGACCTGACAACTGAACTTAGGCTTTGAGGGTTTAGGGTCAGCCCCGTCTGAAACAGGAGAAGAAACCCAGGACCGCAAACCCTTGAAACACACGAAATCTGAACCGTTGCGCTGCTGTCGTTGGGATTGTCATCATCCTCGTCCTCGGATTCTTCGTCCAATCCTTGGTTTCGGGCTCCTTTACTTGAGGGTTGCTTCTACAAAAGCTAGGGTTTAGGGTTTAAGAGTTTAGGGTTTAGGGTTTAGGGTTCAGGATTCAGGGTTCAGGGCTTAGGGTTTAGGGTTTAGGGTTTAATAGGGTTTATACGGTAAGTGTAGGATGCTGGGCTTGACAGCGGTTTGGGCACGGCGGTACGGGGGGGAGGGCCGATCGAGAAGTACTGCCGCCGAAAGCCTGGAAAGCTAGCGTCCTAGCACAGACAGGACATTAGATTTCCCCGAAGCCCAAACCCAAAACCCCGTAAACCTAAAGCTTATAACTTAAACCCTAAACCCTAAATCCTCAACCTAAACCCTGAAAGCCTTACAGACAGGCCGTTTTGGAAGTCTCCCGGAAAAGCCCCCTAAGAAGTTGCAAGCTCAACACTGTCAACTACGACTACTACCTTCCCATGTTCCGCTATGTATATTAGGGTTTAGGGTTTGGAGTTTAGGGTTTAGGGTCGTACACTCGGGTATATTCTGGTATACTATAGCCTGTAGCATATGATCGTATATTGTAGCCTCCATTAGTTCCTTTTGGGGCTTTACCAATTTAGGGAACAATCCTGACAGAACAGCCAAACAACCATGAAAAAGCCACTAGAGAACAAATCGTAACAGAAATCCAAACAGAAACCATAGAGACAGCTTTTTTGGAAACCCTAGCAGCCTTACAGCACCATATTCGGCACCCTGGAAGACCCCTAATTCCATCCCTGACAGCCACTCCAAACCTTGAACTCTGTTAGTAGCCCTTGCAGTAGCCCTCAGTCACCCTTATAGTACCCTTGTAGAACTCCCCCAAGGATGCCCTAAACCCTCAACCCTAAACCCTGAACCCCAAACCCTAAACCCGGAATCCCATACCAAAAAAACTCTAAATACTCAACCCTAAACCCCACACCCGGAACCCCAAACCCCAAATACTCAATCCTGAACCCTAAACCCGGAACCCCAAACCCTAAATACTCAACCCTAAACCCCAAACCCCGAACCCCAAACCCTCAATACTCAACCCTAAACCCTAAACCCGGAACCCCAAACCCCAAATACTCAACCCTAAACCCCAAACCCCGAACCCCAAACCCCAAATACTCAACCCTAAATCCTAAACCCGGAACCCTAAACCCAAATCCCTCAACCCTAAATCCCCAAACCCGGAATCCCAAACCCCAAATACTCAACCCTAAACCCCTAAACCCGGAACCCTGCTCAGGCCAGTGCCCACTAGGTCCTCTAGCCCGAAGCCTTCGCCGAGCAGTTTCCTGGCAGCAAACTCCCGAGCAAGTGCCTAGGGTTTAGGGCTTAGGGTTCAAGGGTTTAGGGTTTAGGGTTTACATAGGGTTCAAGGGTTTAGGGTTGAGGGTTTTGGGTTTAGGGTTTAGGGTTTACATAGGGTTCAAGGGTTTAGGGTTTAGGGTTGAGGGTTTTGGGTTTAGGGTTAGGGCTTAGGGTTCAACGGTTTAGGGTTTAGGGTTCAAGGGTTTAGGGTTTAGGGTTCAAGGGTTTAGGGTTTAGGGTTCAACGGTTTAGGGTTTAGGGTTCAACGGTTTAGGGTTTAGGGTTCAACGGTTTAGGGCTTAGGGTTCAAGGGTTTAGGGCTTAGGGTTCAAAGGTTTAGGGTTTAGGGTTCAAGGGTTTAGGGTTTAGGGTTCAAGGGTTTAGGGTTTAGGGTTCAAGGGTTTAGGGTTTAGGGTTCAAGGGTTTAGGGTTTAGGGTTCAACGGTTTAGGGTTTAGGGTTCAAAGGTTTTTGGCATTTCGGGTTTGAGTAGTTTAGGGTTTGGGGTTTGGGGTTTAGGGTGTTGGCGTTTAGGTACAGGGTTCAGGGTTCCTTTATGGTTCCCTCGAAGTGTTCCGTCACGGATAATTACTGAGGTTTCGGGCTTTGCTTTACGAGGTTCAGGACTTTTGGGCAGTTTGATGCCTTTAGGGTTTTATGATTGGGGCATTTAAGAGTTGAAGGTCATGCAAGTAGCCGGGGTTTATCCGCTCAACTCCGCCACCCGCCACGCCCCGTCTACTGGCAGGGCTCCTCTGCGAGCCTGTTGCCTGCCCACCGAAGACATAGTCAATGAACCTTTGGGCTGCGATGTCAGGCTTGTGTTGCGGGGTTGGCGATCTTGTGGGCCGCTCACGTGACAAGGCTTTCAAGGGTGCTATGGCTGCTCGACATGACACCTTCGAAAAAGATCAGTATAGTTCCATACCAATTCTATTGTCCTAAGCTGAAGAGCTGTGGCGGTTTCGGCTTTGAAAAACAACATGAAACCCTAACACCTCAGTGCTACCGCTCTCCCATGCTACAAGCAGCTCACTCGAGGTCAACTTTCCATCGGAGTCCTCGCTGTATGGTTGTAGAGGTTAGACGGATAAACAAGTAACAAGGAGTTATAAGGGCGTATAAGTGTTTATGAAGGTTATTTAAGAAGGGGTATATTAAGGGAGTATAAGGGCTTATAAGTGTTGGTTATAAAGGTGTATCACCTGGATTGCCCAAGCAAATCTCTATGACACGGTCAACCCAACTCGGCTCCCCAGGAATCCCTCAACACTAAGACCACCACCTTCCTGCTACGAGACCCTAAACCCTATCAGGGATCAACCAGAACGTCAGAACAGATGGGCTTCGGAGCAACCGGAACGGATGGGGATTCGGACTTGAGAATTTCTGATTCCGGTGGTTGGGATTTGGGAGCTCCGCGTTTAAGCTGGTCTTGAAACTTGGGAGTTAGAGTTAAAGGGTTTGGGAATTGGGCTTAGGGCCTAGGGAGCTCGGAGCATAGCCTTTGGGGATTTGGGAGTTTCCGAAAATGGGGGATCCTAATATAGTACCCTAAATGATAGGATCCTCATTATAAGGACCCCAAAATAAGGTACCCCTCATTTTCGGAAACTCCCATTTGGGGAGGGAGTATCAATCTTATCGGGGTTGGAAGTTGGCCTTGTTGATGGGGCTTGGGGCTGTGAATCTTGTACTGAAACTCGGATACACGCACCTGGGGTTCGACATCTGGCTTGAGCGTCTTTCAGCTTAGGCGCAGCTTATAAGTACTTTAATTGGGGTTGTCTGTAATAATTACCCTGTTTATGGCCCTATAGTTACTAAGTCCCATGATCCCTGAAGTAGTCCTAAACTCCCACTTCTAGAACCCTTGTAGATCCCTTAAGGAACCCTTTAACTTACCATTGGTTAGTAGGGAATGGAAGAATGGTAGTAATATTAGTTATAATGGTACCCCATTCCTCCATTCCCTACCAACCAAAGGTAAAGATCCCTTTAAGGAACCCTAAACCCTTATAGATCCCTTTAAAGGAACCCTATAGATCCCTTTAAAGGAACCCTATAGATCCCTTTAAAGGAACCCTATAGATCCCTTTAAAGGAACCCTATAGATCCCTTTAAAGGAACCCTATAGATCCCTTTAAAGGAACCCTTATAGATCCCTTTAAAGGAACCCTATAGATCCCTTTAAGGAACCCTATAGATCCCTTTAAGGAACCCTATCACCCTTTAAGTGTCCTCCTTGAACCTGAAAGTTTCTGTGTCCAGCGCGGCAACTCCCGAAGGCCAGCGCACCCGAAGACCCCGGACACCCCAAAATGGGAGTTTCCGCAAATTAGGGGTTCCTTTACAGGGATCTATAAGGGTTCTATAAAGGGTTTAGGGTTCAGAGTTTCCGAAAATTCGGGGTGCCTTATTTTGGGGTCCTTATCATAAGGATCCTACTATTTAGGGTACTATATTATTTTCAGAAACTCCCAAATAGCAAGCGCTTGGCTGCTTCATCCTGCTCAGAAGACAGCAACTCCAAGCCGGGAACAGAAGCACCGTAGCCGAGAGTAAAACTGACAATATGGGGGCCTGAATAATTAGAATAGGGTTTTGTGCCCATTGTACTATAAATATAATAAGGAGCCCCCAAACTCGTACGGGCAATTAATGTCGGCCCCTATGTTAATGTACCCTGTTGGCAATCCATGGGGTTCAGGGTCTGCGATTTAGAGTTTAGGTGTTTCGGCTTTGCGGTCTAGGGTTTAGGGCATGTAGCTTCCCTTATAGCAACCCTTTCGGTAGCCCTGCCAGCAACTCCTGTAGTATGCCTTATTCACTCACCTACAGTAACCCTTGTAGTGCACCTTGTCGTATCCCTCATAGCAAACCCTGAAACCTCATGGGAACCCTTCCAACATCCCTGCGTCACCCTTATAGTACCTGGTGGAAAACTCGCAACCCTAAACCCTAAACACCAAACCGCCAAGTCTATTGCCTAAACCCTAAACCCTAAACCCGAAGCCCTAGACTCTAAATCACTTTATAGTACCTTGTTGGAATGCAAGAGCGAAGTCCTTGTCCAGACCCTCGAAAAGCTGCCTTGGCTGTTTGTACAGCTTTTGTTTTAGTGGGTTTGGGTTTTGGTGGTTTGGGGTTTAGGGTTAAAGGGTTTGGGGTTTGGGTTAAGGATTTGGGGTTTAGGGTTTTGGGTTTAAGGGTTTAAGGGTTTTTGTTTTTAGTTTTAGGTTTAAGGGTTTGGAGTTTAGGGTTTAGGGAACGGAGGCTTCGCGAAACATGCTGTATGGGTCTCTTCTTGGGGTTTCCTAGCACCCGAACGCCAAGAGCAAGCGACAAGGAAGGAAAGAGAAAGGGAAGACAGCGCTGCAAAGCCTTGGGGCCTATGCCCTTACTGCGCGCAGTAAACCCCAAACCCTAAGCCCATTTAACCCTGTGGCCGAGTATCAAGTGCCAAGAAACATCGACCTCTGTCCAGAACTCGAATCGGTTCATGCCCCTGGAAGGATCCCAAAAGTAGATCCATTAATGGGTGTTCCTATAAAATACCCTTTAGTACACAAGTAGTATAAAGCCCCAATTAGGTCTAGATCCTTCCGCTGGTCTGGGACCTGCACAACCCCTACTAAACCGAAACGGAAGGTTAGATTTATATACTCAGAAACTGCAGTAATGTAAGCACTACCAGTAAAGTCCTCCCAACCCAGAACATTAGACCCAACCCTATTTCAAAAATGCAGCAGCCTATCCAAGAACCCAAGTTTCTAGCCGAAAACAGCAAAAAAACGGAATCAATCTTGTGACACACATCCCAGTACATCATAATGAGCAATATAGAGAAACACCGAAAAAGTCTCCCCTAAACCCTGCCAGCAGCCGTAAAGACCTTCCGTTTTAGGGTTCCTTATTATGGTTTCTATATGTATTTCCTTAAAAAGGTAAGTCTTTTCGGCTACAGGTGCTCCCTAAAGGCGAAATCTTTAAGGGCCGAGTCACTGGCAGTCGTCCTCGCTCAGCCCACCCTCTCCGTCTCCGAGCCGGCCCAGGACGCTCGTGAGCTCCTATAGCCCAAAGGGTCCAAGTATCATTATGGTATCGGTTTAGGGTTTAGGGTTTAGGGTTTAGGGTTTAGGGTCTAGGGTTTAGGGTTTAGGGTCTAGGTTGTATATACTTAGACCGCCAAAATACACCGTAAGTATATACCATAATGATACTTGGACCCTTTGGGTAGAGTAGGAACCCCAAGCACTGGAGGGGGGGGGGTACGTACGTACGTACCGTGGGGGTTTTATGGAGCTCCTATGAAGCTGGCGGTTTTAGGGGTTCGGGCCAGGGGCTTCGAAGTTTAGGGTTTTGGGGCTTTTAAGAGTTTAGTGTCTAGGGCTCATATCTGCGGATCTGGCGGTTTAGAGCTTGAGTCAGCAGTGTTTAGGTGTTTGGGTGTTTATGTTGAAAGTTTTAGGACACGTGGTTCGGCTTTATTGAGGGAAGAGAAGGGCTTCATAATTGCGAACGCCGACACAGACCCAGTATTTTTGAGGAGTCTACAAAAGCCTGCTAAAACCAATGCAGAATCTTAGACAACTGGAACATGCAACAAGCCTGTTTTCGTAGATCCCTCACAGAACTAGAACCGAATCTTTAAAATGCTTCACGAATAACCTTCCTGAGCCCTAAACCCTAAACCCCCTTCTTGCATTCTGGCAGCCTCCAAAGTCAGCTTGCCATCTCCATTCTTGTCGAACTTCTTGAAGGTAACCTGCCAGCAGCCGGGGCTTTAGAGTTGGGGGGTTTGGGATTTAAGGTTTCCTGTTTAGGGTTGAGGGTGTAGGGGTTGAATGTTTGGGGAGCCGAGGCTTCAGGTTCGGTTCCTGTCAGGATTCTGTAACAGTGTAAGGGTTTTGGGGGCACGGTTTAGGGTTTAGGGTTTAGGGGCATCATAAATCTTCAATGGGGTGTTGGGCTCCCGTACAGTAGAGTAAGGTAAGAACCCTGAGGAATAGTTTTAGTAACTATCCAGGCACCTACATTGCTGTCGGCAATTTCTCGTTGGTGCAAGAGGTTTCCCCACAACACAACAACGGACCGATCGGTAGCGAGGGTCCACGCCAAGCAAGCTCAGAAGGCCACAACCCCAAGCCGGGAACCCAAGCACCGTAGCTGAGAGTAAAACCAATAATAGAAGGGGCCTTATGGCCTTAATAAGTAGAATAGGGTTTTGGGGTATATGATAATATATAGATATTAAGGGACCCACAAAATAGTATAGGAAGTTATGTACGCCCCTATGTATGTTAACTCCCGAGGGGCGGGGGGGGGGGGGGGTCCAGACGCAACAAGGGTGAGGTTTTATAAGTAGGGTTATGAAGCAGCGTCATTTGTTGCTTCCCGCCTCGTGACATCATGAGAGCACCACGACGTCATGAGCACTGTCTCTGCTACTTGCAGTAGTAAGAACAACAGTAGTTCTCTGATACTACCTCACAAACTAGTAACTAGTGGCAGCATTAGCTTGTCGGTGAGCTGACTCTTACCTTGTTTTCATCTGTCTGCAGGCACTCAACGAATCTCGAACCCACGATCCTAAACCTTAAACCACAGACCGCAGCAGCCAATGAAGCCTTCAGCTGGTTGATGGCGTCTGCATCGAGGCCGATTGACTTGAGCGTCTTGGGGTACATCGCCCACCTCACGAAGACCCTCTGAGAGCAGAAACCAGAACAGGGGGCCTTCTACCGTAGGTACACAAGAACTGTAAGGAGATGGTGCTACTACTTATTCACAGTCTGCAGGGCTTAATGTAATCCACCCGATCAAAAACCACTTTCTCTGATCTCTCAGCGCCTGAACTCCGAATGGATCCCCTGCGAGGCCATTGAAAAATAGTCATAAAAGACATCAGCGGACGGGCCTGAATACAAGGTTTGGGGTGTAAGGTTTACGCGTTCAGGGCTTATTGTTTAAGGCTTACAGTTCAGGGGTGTAGGCAGGGGTTTAGGGGTTGAGGGTTTTTAGGCTTTGCGGGTTTAGGATATGGGGGTTTAGGAGTTTAACTTGGGGTGTCGGGGTTTAGGGTTTACTGGTTTAATGGCACCAAACAGGATATTGATTCGCTGGTTGGTTCAGGGGGTTGTGGGCTCTACGCTGCCGTGAGCTTGTGGGAGTACACCGCGGTTAAGGTTTAGGGTTTAGGGCATAAAACTATATCCTTAGGCTCTAAGGACTCACATTTTAGGGCTTTTGGGCCCAAAGACCATACTATACAAGGCTTTTGGCTATTTTGAGCCTTAGGGTTGATGATATAAACCCTGCATTACCCATAATAAGGAATATGCCCTGATTCCCATAGTTTAGGGTCCTAAGGTAATGCAGGATTTATATCATCAACAGTAGGGTTTAGGGCCCCAAAAAAGCACATCAGCAAAAACCTTATAAACCCCCTTCAAAAGGAAGCCCAATAAGGTAGGGATATCCCCATATAATGCTTGTGCTTATGCGCTTTTTGGGTCCCTAAAGTAAAAGCCAGAAAGTTGGAATATGATTATCCTAAACCCTTTATGGTAAATTATGGGGTATCCTACCCTGAAACCATATTCCAACTTTCTGGAATTCCCTTTAAGCCCTAAACCCTAAACCCTAAAACCCTAAACCCTAAACCCTAAAACCCTAAACCCTAAACCCTAAAACCCTAAACCCTAAACCCTAAAACCCTAAACCCTAAACCCTAAAACCCTAAACCCTAAACCCTAAAACCCTAAACCCTAAACCCTAAAACCCTAAACGTTAGGGTTTAGGGTTTAGGCGGGTCGGCCCTGGAGTTCCACTCAAGAGACCTTCGACTCCCAACCCTCACAAGGCCCTCCTAGAAAGTCTGTACCTAAGTTACCCCTTTAAAGGGATCTATAGGGATTCTATAAGTGTATAGGGTTTAGGGATCACTGGGTAGTTATAAGTGGGGTTATAAGTCCCCTAATATGGGTTATAAGTATAGTTGCCCTACGTATGAACCTCCAAGTACCATCCTTAACGAAACCCCTGGCATGGCCTAAAGCCGAAACCCGGCCCTAAACCCCAAAATCCCCCAAGCCTCCCTTTCGTCCATTGAACGAAGACGCGATCTCCGACTTCCTTGCCTTCCTCCTTGTGCATGCATGGGTTCTTCAGGTGGGCCACAACGGTTAACATGCAGAAAACCTAAAGCAACATGTATCTCAGAATAGACTGTCTACAAGAAATCAAGAAGACTACCAATACGTTACGAATCCTATACTCCAAACCCTAAACCCTGTATTTTGCGACGAAGCTACGTGAATGTCCTGCTAGAATCTGGCTGAGCATGGCTTGGGGGCAGCGCCGGTTCCAGGGGTTCAGCCCTTCATGGTTCCAATAAACCTTAAACCCAAAACCCTGAAACTCTAAACCCTAAACCCTGAAACCCTACAACCCTAAACCCTAAAACTCAAAACCCTAAACCGCATTTTCAATTTATTAGGCTTCTATGTTACTTTGGGAAGCAGGCTGATTCCCAACCAAGGGGCGCCTCAGAATAGGGGCTGGGAATACTTTACCTACAAACTAGCTGGGGATGCTACTTCTAATCATTGGGTATTTTGTGGTATTCTGGTGACCTACTAATAGTTGAATATTTGCGGCGTGTGTTCTAACTACTGGGGAACTTGGGGTACGATTGATTATTAGCAATCATCTCCCCTCATATTTTTTGTATGATCATACTGTAGCATATGTTGGCTCGCTTCTTTCCCTCCGGGACATTTTCTGAACATGACACCAGACGTCTTATAGGGTTTAGGCCTCTGTAAGGGCTTGAAGCAAGCTGGGTAAATATTGGGGGTGCTGTAAGGGCACTGTCAGGGCTGCTATAAGGGCTACAATGACGAACAGGGCTTCACGGCATATCGAGTCAGAGAAGAGGTTGGTTTGAATCAGGATTGTAGCAAAGGTTTTGGAATAGTTCAGCGTCTTGTACTTAAAGGGCCGTGGGACTTAGCAACTAGCGGTATGAGTACAGTAGCTATACTTACAATTACTTACAACCCCAATTAGTCTACTTTTGAGCCCAACTTACTAAGCCCCCTGATCCTCCAGGTTGGGGTTGGTACTCTCGGGCTCAAGGGCGTGCGGTCTCAGCATGAATCTAAATGGGTTCTATTCATTACGGTGCGGTTTGGGCACCCGGCAATTGAAACGACACTCGCGCAGTAAGGACCGAAAAGTACCTCTACACAACTTCTCGGAGGTGTGTACGCGAGACGACGACTTGTTTTCGAGGGTTGTATTCGGGGGCCTGGAGGCGCGATCGCTGCATGATACAACATATGGCTTATCTCAGCTGTTTTGCACACAATGCTTAGGTCTTGGGACAGGTTTCAATCACTTTCCAACCCAACATCAGCACAGTACCAGACTTCGAAAAGCACAAAAAATCACAGCCCAGAGCCAACCTCGGAACCCGCAACTTACCTTTGGTTAGTAGGGAATGAATCATTGGTAGGGTTCCCTTGAAGGCGGTCTATAAGAGTTGCTATAAGGGATCTATTCTTACCTTTGGTTAGTAGGGAATGGAGGAATGCGGTACAGTTATAACTACTATTACTACCATTCTTCCATTCCCTACTAACCAAAGGTAAGCCAAAGTAAGTTTGTGCATGCTCTTTCCAGATGCCACGGGTCAGACGGGTAGATATGAACTTTGTAGCTCGAGGTATATGGGGCCATCCAGAGCGACTTCAGGGTTGGGTCGGGCGTGAAAAGAATCAGCACAGCCCTGTTGAGTTGTGGGTTTCTTCACATTGAGGTACAGTGGAATAAGCATGCTACTATGTAAGGTTTACATTAGGGTCCTCCTTTTTCTGAACCTTTCATTTGGTGTTCTTTCATAAGCCACTAATCCTTTGTTTCTCGAAACCTGTTGACCTGAAAACCGTTTGCCTCTCCGTACTTGATGCCCATGACGATGCCAATGTCCCCTGCACACAGACATTCGGGCGGTTCCCATGCGATGGTTTGGGTTGGGGTTAGCCCCGGGCTTAAGACAAGGGGGTCCGAACACCTAGAATAATGTGCTTTTCGGTATAGCACACGATGACTATGTTAGGGGGCCCATCGAAACCGGACCCCATGAAGGGGTTTAAGTTTTCTCCAAGATCTGGCAGGGTTGTTGACTCAGCTCCTGTGCAAAAGCTCACAAGCTTCGAGCGACATATCTATAACGGTTTTGTAGTATAGGGAGCTTCGAGTCTGGAATCGGGGTGGTGGTGCCGAAGATCATGATGCTGAATATTCATACCTCTACAGATCGCATAGGATACCATATATACTACCCGAGGCCTTAACCCTAAACCCCTAAGCCCCCAGACCCCTAAAACCCTAAACCCCCAGACCCCTAGATCTAAACCACTATAAACGCCTGAAAGATATGGTGGAGCCTTCGGGGATGTCATCATCGGCACTGTTCCACTGCACGCGGTCCCCTCTCTGAAATGGGAGCTTCTTCAACTCTTTGGGCTTGATGCCTGGGGCTGGGATTGTGGGTTTAGGGTGTAAGGGTTAAAGGGTTTGAGGGTTAAAGAGGGTTTAGGGTTGAGGGACGACACTTTGGGCTTGATGCCTTGGCTGGGAGTGTGTAGGGTTCAAGGGTTTAGCTGTTTAGGGACAACTCTCTGGGCTTGATGCCTGGGCTGGGAGTGTTCAGGGTTCAGGGTTTAAGGTGCCTGTGAGGAGCTACACAGGGAATAACGTTTTGTAGGGTCGAAATGGGGTTTATGGTTTAGGGATTGGGCTTTAAAAGGGGTTTAGGGTTTAGGGTTACCATGAATAAAGGGTTTCGAGGCCTCAAGCCTTTAAGCCTTTGGCTTGATAGGGGTCCTACAGGGTGTAAAGTTTAAAGTAGGGCCTTCATATAGGAAACTCCAGAAAGTTGGAATATGGTTTCATGGTAGGATACCCTATAATTTACCATAGAAGGGTTAGGATAATCATATTCCAACTTTCTGGCTTTTACCTTAAGTCATAACCCCAGAGTCTCGCGTTACAACCTTGATCAAAGGGGAAAAGGAGGGACCCTTAATGGGGACCCCTACCCTATAATGGGCTATATTATGGGTATATAATAGCCATATTAAGGGTGTATACCTAGGGGTCCTTATTGAGGGTCCTTCCTTTTACCCTTGGACTTGAGAGATTGCAGAAGGCATAGATCCTTTGAGCTCACTAAAACCCGTCAAGCTCGACAGCTCCCTAAACCCTAAACCCCTACACCCTAAACCCTGAACCCTAAACCCCTACACCCTAAACCCTGAACCCTAAATCCTCTGCTTCTTCGCGTTGTGCAGTCGAGGTTCTCCACCTGCCCTGAGGCCACTGCACACCCACACGATTCTTGCCCTCTCTCATGCGAACCACTTCACCTCATCTATTGGGTTTAGGGTTCAGGGTGTAGGGTTTAGGGATTTTTGGGGGATTCTCATGAAGGTAGGACTTTCGAGCTTATAGGTTTTAGAAGTTTAGACTTTGGGTCTGCTTTATCTGGCTAACTTTACAGGGATTATCTACAGGGAACTCCAGAAAGTTGGAATATGGTTTCATGGTAGGATACCCTATAATTTACCATAGAAGGGTTAGGAGAATCATATTCCAACTTTCTGGCTTTTACCTCAAGGCCATCACAAGAGTCCCTACAGATGCAAGTCTTGTGGGTTAGGGCTCCAGGGCTCGAAGATGATCTGGCTCGGGGTGGGGGGTTGCAGGGATAGGCTAAAGTTTAAAGGGAACTCCACAAAGTTGGAATATGATTATCCTAAACCCTTTATGGTAAACTATAGGGTATCCTACCATGAAACCATATTCCAACTTTCTGGCTTTTACCTTAGCGTGTTGGATTTAGGAGTTGGGGCTTCGCCGTTCTGACAAATCCCTGAACCCTACACAAAACAGCAAAAGAGGATATAAATGGTAAACATCCCTGACCTGAACCTAGGACTGTTCAGACATCAAAACCCAGCCGTCTCTCTACGTCAAAACCATGAACTTCCAACAGCTTGTGAACGAAATCCGAAGGAGCATCAATCCACGAATCCTATGACTGATATGTGTACAATATGCTTGCCACAGTCATGATGAGTTTGATGCCGACTATTTCTTTTGAATAATAGAAGTCGTCGTTGTAGTAATCGCTGTGTGGTCGTAGCAGCGGTACTAGCAGCGGCAGTAGCAGCAACTGCTGCAAGTTCCTTCGCAGTAGCTGTCTTGTTCGTAGCAGCAACATTGGTGCTCTAGCAACGGCCTTTGTTACGGCGGTGGCAGTGGCGGTGGTGGCAGTGGTGGTCGTGGTATTGGTAGTGGGGACGGGCAGAAGCAGAGGAAGCAGACTGGCTAAGGTAAAAGCCAGAAAGTTGGAATATGATTATCCTAACCCTTCTATGGTAAATTATAGGGTATCCTACCATGAAACCATATTCCAACTTTCTGGAGTTCCCTGTAATCCTAAACCCGAAGCTCTCAACCCTACACTCGAAACCGTAAACCCTGAACCCTAGATCCGAATCCCCTCAACACCCAAACCCCTAAAACCCTAAACCCTAAACCCCTAGATCCTAAACACGAAACCCTAAACCCCTAAACCCGAAACCCTGTCAGGGAATCCTTAATCCGAGGGGAGCGTCCGATGTCTCCACGCGGGATGTCGCTGTCACTGCACGTCCAGTGCACATACCTCGCTTTCGTTTTCCCTGGGCACCAAAAAAGCCCAAAAGCCTTATAGTAAAAGCCAGAAAGTTGGAATATGATTATCCTAAGCCCTTTATGGTAAATTATAGGGTATCCTACCCTGAAACCATATTCCAACTTTCTGGAGTTCCCTTTATAGTATGGTCTTTGGGCCCAAAAGCCTTAACATATGAGTCCTTACATTCCTAGGGTTTGAAGGCCTGAGGTCACATCCATTGTAGTTCTCAAAATTTGTCTTGGTTTAACCAATTATATATCAAGGATCCTATAAGGTAACCCAAAAAAGGAACTACAATGGAGACTATAGGTATGCCCCAGAAAGTGTACACTCTCTGTTTTACAGGAAGGCCTTCAAGACTTGGGAGTTTCCGACAAAAGGAGGCCCTAATATAGTACCCCGAATAATAGCATTCTTCTTATAAGGACCCCAAATAAGGTACCCCTAATTTTCTGGAAACTCCCACTTGGGGCATGATTGGAACCCTAAACCCCAAACCTTCTGGGGTATGGAGGGCCTTCCAGGATTGGAGGCTTCATAGATTGAAAGTGCCATAGGGATCCTTAGGGGTGTAGGGGGAGGGGGGGTAGGGGGCCTTAAGGCCCATAATAAGGACTAATAAGGCCTATTTAAGGAAATATAGTCCCCTACACCCCTCCCCCCTACACCCCTAAGGATCCCTATGAAGTGTGGGGTCTGAAGTTGCAGTCTAGGGCCGAAGGTGAAGGGCTTAGCTAGCTGGGGCTTTAAACCCTAAACCTTAAAACCCTAAAACCCTAAACCCCTCTTTTGGGTCCCTAAGGGAAAGGGTTTAGAGTTCCCTTTAAGCTAGCTGGGGCTTTTAAAGCTTTTGAGAAATTTTTAGTAAGTAAGATCCTCTTAAGCCCGATAAGGGAAAATAGAAAATGTCCCAAAGCCCTACCTAGTTAGGGTATGGCCGGGTATGGGATTGCTGGGCAGCCTGCTTGAGGCCAGTGCCCTGACTTTCTTCGGAGGCTTCAGTCTGTGGTTTAGGCTTGAAGGCTTTTTAAAGGGTGGTTTTAGGGTTTAGGATGCCCAAAAACAGGAAAAACGGATTCCCGGACAAAAAACCAAGCTGCGCACACTTGACCGGAGTCGAAAAACCCTGAACCCTAAACCCTAAACCCCTCAACCCCTAACCCTAAACTTCTAAACCCTGAACCCCTAAACCCTAAACCCCTAAACCCCTGTACCCTAAACCGACACCTAGATCTGAAATGTCAGCCCTCGACCCTCAACCTCAAACCCTGAGCCCTACCAGCACCCCCCCCAAGTACCCTTTAAATTAAAGCCTTTAAAGGGATCTAATATTTCTCATTAAGACGTAACCCTAAACCCTAAACCCTGCAATTAGGGACTACAATAAAAGGTAGTTGGGGGGTCTAGGTAACCCAAATCCCTAGAACCCTCATCTACAGACGCTATGCCCCGAACCCTGGGTTGCTACAACAGCAGCAGCCCCAAAGAAGGGGGGCCTTAGTCAGTAGACTTGGGCTTCTGGGTATGTCCTGTTGTACTCATACTCGGTACCCCGAGAAATCTGCTAGTCAAAGATTACATAGATCCTTTTTATAAAGGTGCTGTATTATGTTCGGGACTTACAAAGGGGACGCTCATTTACAGAACTGCCCATCTCAGTCTCCTTGAAACCAGAACTTCCCAAGCAGTGCCCCAATTTTGCACCCTAAATCGTAGGATCCTTAAGATAAGGATCCCAAAATATGGTACCCCTAATTTTCGGAAGCTCCCAAGCAGTGCACTTGCAAGCCACATCCCAGGCTGCACGTGGTGCATCTTCAAGGAGTTCGCTTTGAAGGTCCATGTGCCTCGGGTTTAGCAGTTTAGGGGCTTTGGGGGTTTAGGGGTTTAGGGGGTTTAGGGGTTTAGGGTTTAGGGGTTTAGGGGTTTAGGGTTTAGGCTGGCCGAGGAATTCCAAAAAACTGGGGGGTCAAAAACTCATCAGATGTCTGGGATCCGACATATCACATCTCTTGGAAGGCATTGTCCAGATTACTGACTTCCGGGTCAAAAGCAACTCGAACAGGGATCAAAACAAGTCAAACAAGGACAATATTTTCAGGCTGTCCAGCCACCGTCGCAGCACTGTGCGGTTGCATTTTGGGGGATCTTGTTTTCTTGGGGGCTTGGCATGGAGAGACACAGTGTAGTACCGGCCGTAGTAGTATGCTTCCACAGTCACAGCAACAATAACGGCAACAGACGGTAGTAACAGTGAAGTCACAGAAACAAACGATCATCGTATTTTAAATTCGATAACCCGGAAAGTAGCAGCTTCTACGGACCTTGCATGAGAGTGAACATCAGCATCACCCTCCTCCTCCTCCTCCTCCTCCTCCTCCTCCTCATCATCATCATCATCATAGCCTTAGTCATAGCAGCAGTTATCGTACTAATCGTAGCAACGACATTTTTTGTTGCTGGTGTACTAGACAAACCGTGATGCATGTAATCGTGCGGGTGACAGTGGCACAGGAACAGTTAACCTAATGGCCACAGAGCCACTCTAGCCGAACATTGAGATCTCCTGTTCAGACGACTAGGAGCCGCTCTTTACTATGGCCCAAATACTGTACTTTACGCGTTGATCGCTGATGGATTTATCTTGATCCCGATTTGACTGTGTGTTGATGCCTCTCCCCTTGGTGTTGGGTTCTGTCCCGCTTGGGATGTTCTGATCCAGGGCTAAACCCTTAACCTCAACCTTGAAAGTTCCCGAAACACCTGGGCAAACGCTGCCCCGCAAGAAACCGGGCAGCCCTTGGGAAATTCCACGCGCAGCCGGCCCTCTTCCACTTTGATGCCAACAACGTGGCCCACATCACCTACGAAAGCCGTTCGGGATCCATTTGGGGTTTAGCGTTTAGGGTTTGGGGCTTGGGGTTTAAGGTTTCGGGGCGAGGGCTTAGAGTTGAGGGTTGACTTCCAGAAAGGCAAGCTCGTGCTTTTTGGGGCCTGTAAGGGCCGCAGGGTCAGGCATCAACTGCCCTACGGCAGAAAGAACCCTACACCTTAAGGATCCTTACAGACCCCTAAACCACTAAACTCCAGTATATAAGTCTCCCTAAAATCCTTAAGGTCCCTGAACTCTCTTAAGTCCCTAAAGTCCCCAAACTACCTAAATTCCCTGAACTCCCCAAAAGCCAATTGTCCCTAAAGTCCTCAAGAACCGAAACCCTGGGGCCGCCTTTCTCGATGTCGTCGTCATGCTTGCTCCAGGTCACGAAGGCCCCAAGCTGCATCTCATGCAAGAAGAGAGCCTGAAAGGCTCTATAGACTCTACTGGTAGGACTTTGGATGTAGGGTTGTAGGCATGCCAGAAGAGATCCTTCATGGGGGTTTGGGAATTAGGATGCAGGGGGGTTAAGGCTTAGGGTCAGGGGTTTGGAGCAAGGGGGTTTGGGCTGTAGGGTTTTAGGGTCTGGGATTTAGGCTTTGGGGGGTTTGGGATGTAGCATTTTAAGTTTCGGGGCTGGGTGCATAAGAAGAGATTCTCAAGGGTGGTTTACAGGTTAAACAGTTAAACCTTAAGTTCTAAGGCCCTAACCCTTGAAGCGAGAGTTGGAGATGGGTTTTTGGGGTGTGAAGCAAGAAGAGATTCTTGCATGTTCTGGTGAAGCTGTGAAGTCACTACAGGTTCCACTGTACTCCCACCAAGGATCCACAAAGGTTCTGTAAGGGTGTTCAAGGGCTTCGGGTTTCAGCTTGGGCTGAGGGGGCTTAGGGCTTTACGGGTTGGGGTTGGGTTCTGGTTCAATTAGGGCTCTAGACTTCAAGGGCTTAGGGACTGGAGTTTTGGTTTGGGGGGTTGGGGGGTCCGGGGTAAGAAGTTGGGTGCTTGGGGTTTTGGGGATACGGGTTGTGGATCTGCGGCTAAGGTTGTTCGGGGCCTTTGTGATTGAGGGTCATGATTTACGCATTCAAAAATCTCTACTCTGACTTCTCAATCCCATTTTTCAGGTTTGGATTTACTCTAGTCTCTTACTGGTTAAAAAGCTTTGAGTGGCATCACACTATGTCGACATAGGGGCTTAACCGCGAGAGGCTCTGCAATCATGAACTGAGGCCATTCCTCATTCTGGGTTCGGACTTAACTAAAGTTACCATAACAAGGAACCCCTATTATTTATTTTCGATCCCTATTGTAATATCTTAACTTAAATCCTCTAACAAGAACCCAATATTCTAAAGCCTTCCTTTTTGTGCCATTCAGCGGGTGCCACATTCTGAGTGGGCTCGAGGCACGGTCTACGCCCTGAACCCCGAAACCCCCAAAACACTAAACCCTTGTACCACAGCACCCTTAGGGTTTAGGGTTTAGGGTTTAGGGTTTAGGACCCTAAACCCTAAACCCGAAACCCGAAACCTAAATTAAACCCCGAACCCTCAAGGCCCTCAAGCCTAAACCCTACGGCTGATGATATAAATCCTGCATTACCCATACTAAGGAATAGACCATGATTCCCATAGTTTAGGGTCCTTAAGGTCATGCAGGATTTGTATCATCAACCCTAAACCCTTATAGATCCCTTTAGAGGGCCCCTTATAGATCCCTTTAAAAGACCGCTTATGGATCCCTTTGAAGGAACAGCAGGATTCCTACTTCCAGATGCTTCGTTTGCCCCCGCTTGGCACGTCCGGGGGCCTTGCCCCCGAAAAAAAAACCTAAGAAAGTGGCCTAAATATTAGGTACTGCCCCCATAGAGTAAGAGTCTATAATAAGGCTACTAGTTGGGTGATACTATGTCTGTATTATGAATATTATTCAACTATTACTGGGGGCCGGACCCAACCCAAATAATTACCAATACTTTCTTGGGGGTTCCTTCCAGCATGATGGGCCCCCAAACCCTGTTCTAATTATTAATGCCCCTATAGTACATAGAAAATGAAACTTGCTTTTGCCATGGCTCTGCAAAACCTCTGTTTTCGCTTCAAGTGCCACCTCGCAAAACCATAGCAGCCATGCGCAACCCCCAAACATGCATTTGATGTCGAACTTCGAGAAAGACGGGTCCACAAAAGAAAGAGGGTGTCAAAAGCAAGACCAGCCTATTCTGTGTATATGCGTAGTTCTCTAAATTAGGCTCCTTTCCTAGGTCCCAATATAGAAAGAACGCTAAAAAGGACTCTAATTTGGAGAACTGCCCATCTGTCCTTCTTGGACAGGTAAGTTCTCGGTGGCTACAGTTCCGAAGCTTATATAGATGGATTTGGAAGCCTCAACAGGTGAGATGAAGGTAACTAGGTGGGATTAAGGATCCCTTGTATACGGCTTATTTTGGGCTGAGATTAAGGGCTTAGGGTTTATGGTTTTACAAGGACTCTTATTTTGGGCTTACCTTCATGCCACCCTTAGAGCCCTTTGTTGGACGGGCCACCGACGGTGGAAAGCGCCAGCTGCCCTTGGCAAACTGAACTTTGACCTGGAGAGGACATCAAAGAAATTAGGGATGAGGGTTTAGGGTTGAGGGACCCGAATATTAGAAGCGCAAACAATTTGTCGGAACATATTTCGAAGGACCTTCACTGAACGTCACAATGTTTACTTCGAGTCTTTACTAGGCTACTGGGCTGTTCCGTGAACTCAGGAGTGCATGAGATCCAAGCCCAGTATACACTGTACCACAAAGTGCTAAACCGGAAATTCCTACACCCTGGACCCTGCAATGCTCCATCTGCATCTTGTCCCTGAGGCATTCAGCCGCCATTGATTCAACACAGAAAGCACTATGTAGTGAATTTTATCGCCTAAAAGCCGGGAACCTTAACGAAACCCCATACAGTACCCTAAACCCTAAACCCTAAGTCGTGTGACTCAGGCATCTGGGTTCTGGACTTCCGCCGTTCAGGGCCAGAGGCCCGGGGGCTCCGCTTCAGATGGAGGGAATTACTTGGAGGTTTAGGGCTCCCTGAAAGGGATCTATAGGGTTATAGGGTTTAGGGTTCATGGGTAGTTATAAGTAGGGTTATAAGTATGGTAACTAGACTTATAACCCAGTTTAGGGACTTATAACCCCACTTGTACCTACCCATGAACATCCAAGTAGAACCCGGTTGTCAGGAACACCATAACAGATATCGGGACGATGAGGGGGTTTCAAAAAAAAAGCACCCCAACCCCTAAACCCTCTACGCTAAACACTCTTTTATTCAGGTCCCGAGTTTAGGACTCGGCTGAGGGTTCAGAGAAAATCTTGGGCATCGCCACTTAAAAGGGGGGTCTGGTGAAAAAAGCAATATACTTATATATATATACACTTTTTACTTATATTCTTATATACTTATATGCATGATAATACAACATATATGTGTAAGTATATAGAGGTAGATCGAATACCTACACATATATTGATCCACAATTTTGCAATTACTTGTGTATCTGCTTACTACTCATTAATAGTTTTAGTTTAAGTAATGATATCTCCGGGGCTTCGACGCGGCCCTCGTCGTCCAGCTCTTCGGTGAGTACTTTCCCGATTTCCCCCTTGGCGATGTCGTCGTCGTGACTCCTTGAGGCAACGCATGCAGGGTTGAGGGTCTATTTGTCAGGCTCTAGGGGTTTAGTGTTTCGGGTTTAGGGCGTATAGGGTTCAGGGATGCAGGATTTAAGAAACTCAGGGTTTAGGGGGTTGGGTTTGGGGTAAACCCTACACCCCTAAACCCCTGGCCCTGCCAGCACCCCCCCAGGTACCCTTTAAAGGGCTCTAACATTTCTCATTAAGAGGAGGTGGTTGGGGGGTCTAGGAGAGCCCTAAACCCAAACTCCTGCAACCCTAGACCACATCCTTGGGTGACTTTTGTGGGACATTTCGTGCTTCAGTCTCGGTGCCTCGGGTGCTCGAGAGTGTTTCGGGAGGCACCCTCAAAAGAAGCGCTTCCCTCAGGGTCTAGCGGTGCGTAACCCTGAACCCTAGAGCCGCAGAAAGTCCCAAAACAGCAAAGGGCTGAGGGTTGAGGAAGGGTCGGATTTGTGAACGAGGCAATTTCATACATGCTTCGTGAGGTGGAATACGGCAGACCTAGACACCGGCATCACATCCCATAAACATCAAACAGACAAAAGACACGTAGAAACCATCTGGACCGCAATCGAAGCACGATAGCAAACAACTTAACCCCTAAACCCTAAACCGAAACCCGCAGAATCCCTGTTAACTCTGTGCGACCGAGGTACGTCCACTGCACATAGGACAGGGGCTGAATGTGCGCACGCACCTCGGGATCGGCAGAAAGCGAGGGTAACTGCACCAACTTACATACACCCATACTTAAAGCTACGCCTGAACCCTTGCATCTAATTAGGTGCTCTCTTGCTCGTTTGCTTTGTTGGCTTTACTTGCACCCTTCCGGGATCTTCTCAGACCTTGTCTACCTGAATCCAAGAAACGAACACCGAACTCTCAACCCTCAACCCTAACCTCAATCGTAAACCCCTAAACCAGGCGCTCTCTCTGTGGGTTCAGGGGCGCTTGACGGTTGGGATGTCAGATGTGGGGTGTACACCTTCTGGGATGTTGCGCCTTTCGCTGCCTTTGATTCGTTCACGGTGTGTGTTGGGGTGGTTTCTGTTTTTAGATGTCTACTGGAGCCCTAAACCTCTAAACCCTAAACTCCTACACCCTAAACCGAAACTCCTAAACCCTAAACCGAAACCCCTAAACCAGCTGAAGGCTTTGGGGAATGAACACACAGAGCCACGAGTTTAGGGCTCTGGGCATTGGGTCTTTGGGTTGTGGATGCTTGGGAAACCATAAACCCTGAACCCTTAAACCGGAAACCTCAAACCACTAAACCCTGAACCGTGGAAGTCGGAATTATTTCCTGTATCATTCCCGAGGATCCCTGACTATATCCATCCTGTAGGTTTGGGGCTTCATGCCAGCCTTCGAAAATCAGCCTTCTTCCAATATTTCAGGCGCCCAATTCCATGTTGTACCTCAAGTTTAGCAGGAGATCCCGAGAAACGACACCCAGAAATCCTCTCCATCTTAAACCCTAGAAGAGGGCGCGACTTCCTCAGCTAGGAGTTAGAATCGCTTTGGAGTATAGTTCAGGAAACTCAAGGTTTAGGGTTCAGTGCATTATATCGCCAATAAGAACACTAGTTAGAAAAAGCATTTAAGCACACGAGTCGTAGTCCTAGTGATTGCGTTTTTCATCTCAGAATGTCCTAACCGCCCCACACACCCATACGAAAAACCAAAAACAAAAATACTGACAGTCACAAGAACGAAACACCTCACAACCAAGGAGCCAAAGAAAGTCTCGAAATCCTATTAAAATCCATCCAAACTACCAGTGCAGCCAATGGTGTCACCACAATCCGGAAAGAAACACACACACACAAACAAACACACGCAATGAGACCAGGAAACCGTTCAGAGCTTCACAAGCTCAAGCAGAACCCACCGGAGCACCGTACGGGAAACTCACAGCTTCATAGTAATTACAACACCGCAAAAAGTCAAAGACTACCTGCTCTATGACGAAGCCTAAACCGGAAGCCCTAAACCCTACACTCCTAAACCCTAAACCCTACAACCCTAAACTCTGTCATCCTAAACCCTACTGTTCAAAAGGGACTTGCCAGGAAGCCATCTGACTCGGCTTGAAGCGCCAGGCTCCCTTGGGAAACTTCACCTTCACGCGACCTTCGTCGTTCAGGTCCATGATGACCTGAGATGGGGTTTTGGGCCTTTAGGGCCTTCAGGGCTTCGGGTTTGAGGCCCAAGAATACATCCTAAAAGAACCCCCAAAACCCCTTATATGGTCTACAGTAGGGTTTAGGCCGAAAAATACATCCTATAAGAGCCCAAGACCCTTCAAACTACAGCCTAAACCTTGCCATCTTAGTAGAATACTATGGCCCTAAGAGGTAAACTCAGAGGCTGCCTGAAACCCCAAGCACCAGACTTCAGAACGTGGGGGGCCCCAATCTAGATCCAAACCTAAACCCTAAACCCTAAACCCTGAACCCTGAACCCATAAACCGTAAACCAACAAACCCTAAACCCTAAACCCACAAACCCTGGCCCTGAACCCTAAACCCTGAACCCTGACCCGTAAACCCTAAACCTGTTTAAAACCCTAAACTCAGGGATCCTTCATACAAGGATCGCCAAACAGGGCACCACGACATTTCAGGAACTTCCAGATTTGCTTCGAAGGTCTAAGGCTCGGTCCAAACGCGAAGCCCCAAACCCAAAACCCTCAAAACCCCTCTAGCCTTAAACATGAACCCCATACTATAGGGGCCTTAATGATTAGAATAGGGTTTGGAGGCCCATTATAATACCATAATCATAAGAAGGAACCCACAAAATAGTAGTGAAATTTATCAAAGCCCCTATCTTACATGAATCCATAAACGGAAGGCCTAAGAGGACGGGCTTGGGGAAACCTTTCATGTTAGGGCCCAGGGTCGCTTCAGAGCTCCGGGCGCTTGCAGATTCAAGATTCCGGGCCAAAGGCTCCGAGTTTAGGGTTTAGGATTACAGAGATTTAGGGGTATAGGGCTCAGGGTTTAGGATTGTAGGCTTTAGGGTTTAGGGCTATAGGGTTTAGGGTTTATATGCAGGCTCATGGTCTTTAGTTTTCCGGTTTCAAGCTTGGGGTTCTGAAAGTTCCCTAAACCGTGTAAGACCTAAGGAACCACCAAAATAGTATAGGTAACCATTAAGGCCCCTATAGTAAGCCCTGACCCTCAGCCCTAGGGCTTGCCTTGCGCTTATCGAAGTCGGACCACCTACCGATAATGTCCCGCCTTTGTCCCTATATGGGGGTTTCCGAAAACGGGGGACCCGAATATACCCTAAATAGCAGGGTCCTTCTTATAAGGACCCCCGAATAATGCACCCCTAGTTTTCGGAAACTCCCACATACTGACGGTAGAGTACGCCCCACAACCACAATGGAAGCACTAAGGTCACTAAGGCACCTATCTTACTTGAGATGAACGTGTTTCAGAAGCTGCCACATTCCCACCTCCCTCTCTTGCAAGAACATAATGGAACCGTCTTCAAACCCTGCAAAACTCTCGTCCTAAGGGATGCTGCTAAGATCCTCTAACAACCAGCCCTACCCGAGCCCTCATAAAACCACGTGCGCCCCATTTAAAACAAAAAACTCTTCAAAACCCCAAGGCCTAAGCCCTAAACCCTAAACCCCAAACTCCCAAACCCTGAACCCTAAACCCGAACCCGCTAAACCCAAACTGCCTAAACCCCCAAACCCTAAACCCAAACCCCCTAAACCCCCCCCCCCCCCACCCCAAAACAAAAACCGTTCTCAGCACGAGAGACGGTGCCCACGTGCCCCTTGGGGATATCATCGTCGGAGCTTGTCCAGTACACCTCGGCGTCACGACACGACAGCTCGAGGTTTCGGGAAGCTGGGGTCCATTTTTTGTTTTGGGAGTTTGGAAATTTGTGGTTTACTTCTTGTTTTGGGAATTTCGGTTCGGGAATTTGGGAGTTTGGGCTCTACTTTTTGTTGGTTTGAGAATTTGGGGTTTGGGGCATATGGTTTGGATGGTTGTTGGGCCGACAGGGTTTTCTGAGTTGGGCTTGCTGCCCATGAGTTGTGGTTTAGAGGCTTTAGCGGGTTACGTTTTGGGGTTCAGGGTTCTGGTTATAGTTGTACCAACACGTGGAACGACATTAATGCGAAACTGCTGTGAAAGTACAACTGCATCGCAATCGTTGCAGTCCTCGTCATAGCAAACACAATTGCAAGACTCATCTTGAACCCCCAAACTTAAACCCTTAACCCTACAACCCGAACCCTAAAACCTACAAACCCTAGACCCTAAATCCTAAACCCTTTAGACAATAATAGCTAGTTATGCTTTCAAAGGGCAATTTGGGGGCTGGGGCCACAAAAGCTGCTTGCTCTCTGTAGCTAGGAATGAGCAGGGTGCTACATGAACGACTTTCAGGCACTCACGGCTGATTGGGGCTTTAGCAATTAGGGCTTAGGGTTTAGGGGGCTTCAGGCTCGGGTTTGTTGAGGGTTTATATGCACTTGGGGCGCGAGCATACCTACGCAGCCTTGACTGAAAAAAAACTTGTGGGTAGGGGGCCCTAAACCGCAAAGCCTCAAGCCCTGAAACCCTAAACCCCTAAACACTAAACCCCTAGGCCCTAAACCCCTAAACGCCAAACCCTAAACCCTCAAACCCTGAAACCCTAAACCCCTAAACCCCAAACCCTAAACCCCTAAACCCCTAAACCCCTAAATAAACCCTAAACCTTTAATTACACCCTTAAACCCCCAAACACTAAACCCCTCTCAAAAAAAGATACCCAATAGTCCGCCCTGAAGCTCTAAACCCTACGCCGCCCTAAAGGAAGCCTTATAGATCCCTTAAAGGCACCCTTTATGGTTCCCTAACTTATCAACCTCTACCCTCTAAAATAGGGGTCTTATAAACCCCATCACAGGGACGAGAGATTTATCGCACTTCTGCAGTCAGGGTACATACATGCCGCATTGAAAGTCACATCTCATCAAGTACTTTGGCTTGATGTTGACCTGGTGTTTGCGGAGAATTTAGGGTTTGGGGTTTCCGGGTTCCATGTTTGCTGGGTTCAGGGCCCAGGGTTCACACGGCATGCATGCCTGACGTTGCGCTGCTTGTTGCCCGGCACTGTATGTTCCATGGTACCACAAACTTACCCTCTAGATTACTCAGCGCATACACATGGGCATGGAAACATGGGGCAAGACCGGCCTTCTCGCCCTTGATCTCGACGACTAGCTTGCCGTCATCTAAGTCTAGTACCTGCACGGGTTTCTATCTAGGCTCATGCTTAAGGGTTTAGGGTCGACACTAAACCCTAATCCTAAACCCTTGCATGCCTTTGCTGGCGGTTTCCGGCTCTTCGGCAGCCCTACCACTCCCGAAACTCCCCTCAACCCCCTCCTCTTAAGATCGTTCATAAGCTCTAGTACTTCTTCCCTTCACCACAACACGATAGAACAACAACAAGAAACGCCACAATTACAGCCACAGTCAATGCCACAGGCTCAGCAGCTAAATCAACAGGAACCGGAATGACACAACCACCAACACCAACAGCAGCAGCAACACCAGCAGCAGCGGCAGCAGCAACGGCCAGGAAGAAGAAGAAGAACAACAACAACAGGAGCAACAACGACGACAAAAACAATATTGACAGCTGTAACCTTATATAGTGGCAACAATAACGGCACTAGCAGTGATAACAATAATAATGTGCTGCTATCTGTCGGTGCAAATTGCACGGTGCAACTCCGCTTCCTCCGGCCGGGGTAGTTTTGTTACTACTTTTTTTGGCTTTTGCCTGCCATTTCTTGACGGTACTTACATTGTGTTGGTTGGATGTTGAAGCCGGGAGGGAAGGAAGAAGACGAAGGAGAGGGTGAAAAACTGGAAGACATAAAAAAAATCAAAGAAATAAAGAAAGCCATAATGGACCAAAGACATACAGATAGACAGAAGTAACGACAGAAGCAAGGTACGGATTTCGGGTTTCGGTTTAGGGCTTAAGGTTTAGGGTTCAGGGTTTAAGGTTTGGGGTTTAGCATTCAGGGTTTAAGGTTTAGCGTTTAGGGATCTGGTGCTGTTTTGGAAAGCGTTGCAGCCCTGAAACAGCATCGTAACCAGACACTTCCAAAAACCATCGCTACTCCAGAAATTCCCAATCCATGCTTTGGACATAAGCCCTGAGCGTCTAATTCCTCATTTTGAGGACTCCGACTACAACATGTTCGAGCCTATAAACGGAAACCAAACCAGTGGAAACTAAACAGCCAAATGCAACAACAAAAAGAACCCCCTGCAGACGAGGACGAAAGTCACGAACATCAGGTAATGTTCCGAAACCAACAATCTGACTAAACCCTAAACCTCTGAACCCTAAACCCCTAAAGCCCGAACCCCTAAACCCTGAGCCCCTAAACCCTAATCGCTCTGACTGCGCGTCTAGCCGCGGTTCAAAAACCAAATATTTTGAGAAGCAGGAAACCCTTGCAAATACCTTATAAATCTCGTTTTGGATGGCTAAAAGAAGCTGTTAGGATGATATTTTATAAAAACATAAGATCCTACTGTATCACTCCTCGGGAAAAGTGCGGGGCAATAATGTCATGTTTTCCTTTCCTTTCCATTCGCAGCGTCTAGCGTCGACGCCTTGCGAGGCTCAGCTGGGCAAGCCATATGCCCGGCACCCTTGCTAGGACGCTGTGCATCTTTGCACATCCTGTTATCGTTTCCCCAACCCCGCACCGTTGTGCAGCGGGTATGGGGAAGAACATAATGTGATCAACTCAAGGAAAACGAGAGAGCATCGACACGCGTGTCGGCATGCTCATGCTACGGGCAGCGAGAAAGCTTACACAGTTGCAAAACGTCGCATTTGGGTTGTGGTACGAAGTTGCCACAGTGTCATGTGTCACTGCAGCATGTATGGATCTGTATCTACGTTGCAGCTTCTGTGCAGGAACCGGGGGTTCCAACAATGTCATCAGCATCATCATCATCATCATCATCATCAGCAACACCATTATCATTATTGCCATGACAATCATCGCTCAAAGAACTAGGCAGATGCGACCACGTCTCATTTTTGTCAAGCTGACGCAGCTTCGAGCGAGCCTTGACGGGTGTTTGCAACAAGTCACGCAGACGGGTGCCCTGGAGGACGCTGACTAGCGCGACGGCTGCTCCGATCCCCTGCGGAGACCGCAGGGCAACGACCTGCACTCTGCCTGCATGTCTGCGGGAAGGGAGGCAAAATGGCGCACGTCAAATACTTAGAAAGTACCAGCATTTCTTGCCACTGCGAAACCAGTCCGAGCACGCTAGAACGATCTGCCCAGCTCGTGGGCCACTCCAGAATATCCAGGGCTTCATGGCTCTGCACACAGGCTTGCCATTCTTCAACTTCTGGCCCTGGTGTGCGTGCGTTCCCCACTTGAACTCCCGAGCACTTGCCTGCGGCCGAGCCTCTGTGGAATTGCGTGGTGTGTCGCCGCCTTTCGGAAAAAAGACATGATCCTGAGAAGCCAGAGCGTGCTGGAAGTGAAAAGACTTCAGCCGTTTACTATGGGATCTGTCAGCGGTCTCTGCTGTGGTGGCCGGTTCGCGAAAGCATGGAGCACCTGCAGCATTTGCCGCTCCGTCATGCCAGCTGTAAGCTTGTACCAGGGGGTGTACGAGTGGCGAGAGTTCATGAACCTGAAGTCGCAGGCTCTCTGGGAACACCTGAGCGCAACGTTTCTCCCGTGGGACTTGCTCTTAGCGTTCCGGTAAGCACTGCTGTATATCCTGCACCTCAGATTGGACCAGCAGCTGATCTCTGCCAAAGACGGAGTGTCTCATTGATTGGCATTGCAACCTCTCTACTCGTGTCGGAGTTACAAAAAAAAAGTCGCACGTCTCAAATGCAGCTTACGCTTTATGTGTTCTCTGTTCGTCTCTCGCGACGCCGCGCGGGGCACGGAAGGAGCCGGAGGCCGGCAGCGCTGAGAAGCCGGACGATTGAGGAATGTCCGTCCTCTTTGGAATTGGCTCGACCGGAGCTTCACCATCGCCGCACTACATTATGGAGGCGTTTGCGCACGGAGGGCACGCCGAGTTTGTGGCCTGAACGGCAGCAGGACACGAAAAACACGGTGTTCCGTGCATTCTCGGTTCTGCGGCGTGGCGTCCGGTCGGAAGGAACATCTAGGCCAGGCAGGCAGGCAACAGGCTGCAGGTCCAGCTCTTGCGAGCTAGTCTCATTTGTTTAGCTCCGTGGAGTTTCATGAGAACAAAAACAACAACCTAGGAGCATTTGTAAAGGACCAGCTCCATCGTGCTCTTGTCAAGCAGAGATTTGAGCCTTCCAAAACTAGGTCATGCCAGGTCAATTGTCGAAGAAAGAATCTTGCTGGCGTGACTCCCGCTTCCCGCCAGAATGCTGTGTTATGGGATCGAAAATATATGATACCAAACATCCGAAACACGCTGTAAGCCCCGAACCCTAAAGGGTAAACCCTAAACCCCTAAACCCCAAACCCTAAACCCCTCAACAAACACCCCTGTATAGTAACCCTTTTAAAGGAACCCTGAGTTACGACTAAACACCAAAACAAAAGCGTGTCAAAATCCTGCTCCCTGGCCGGGCCGAGGTGGAGGAATGCAAGGCGTTACAGCAGTGAAACAACTCCTCTCATGGTAATGTCGTAGTAGAGTAGTGTAGTAGTATAATAGTGTAGTAGTATAGTTGTATAGCAGTATAGTTGCGTAGTAGTATAGTTGAATAGTAGTGCTGGATTGTAGTTATGTAACGATCATCTTCTTCGTCTGCACACATGTCAGTGCCATGAATAGTAGTACTATTGCGACCATGCCAGTCTTTGGAAGGGGGGCTCTACGTTACTCATGTAATCGTCGCAGGCCTGACCGATGGTGTCGAAGTCGTGGTCGTCGAGCGTGCTGTGCACAAAGGTGCCCTTCTGCAAGTCAGAGACGTTCAACCTCGAACGGTGGGGCTCTTCGCGCTTAAGGCTTTCCCTAAACCCTGAACCCTCAGCCCCGAACCGTGGGTTTGGGGCTTCGGCCTTGTTGCAGAAGCAAACTTCCCAATTAAAGACTAGCAGAAGCAGAAGTACAAGCAGGAGTAGTAGTAGTAGTAGTAGTAGTAGTAGTAGTAGTAGTAGTAGTAGTAGTAGTAGCAGTAGTGCTGCAGTAGCAGCAGGAGGAGGAGTAGTAGTGGTGGTGGTACGAGCAGTAGCAGTAGCAGTAGTAGTAGTAGTAGAAGTAGTAGTAGCAGTAGTAGTAGTAGTAGTAGTAGTAGTAGTAGTAGTAATATAGTAGTAGTAGTAGTAGTAGTAGTAGTAGTAGTAGTAGTAGTAGTAGTAGTAGTAGTAGTAGTAGCAGTAGCAGTAGCAGTAGCAGTAGCAGTGGAGTAATGATAGCAGCAATAGCATTACGAATACCAGTAGCAGGACAGGTAAGAGTGCACCAGCACTAGCAGGAGCAGTAGCAGCAGGAGCAGGAATATCGGTATGAGTAGGGGTGGGGGTAGAAGCAGCAGTAGTCGTCGCCGCCGTGGCCGTCGTCTTGGTGGTCGTGCTACGTCGAGGTAGGTAGTGCTGCCAGCAGTTGCAGTTGCAGTCGCACTGGCACTAGCAGCAGCAGTAGTAGTAATAGTACTAGATGTAGTAGTAGCAGCAGTAGCAGTAGTACCAGTAACAGAAAAAAGCAGTAGAAGTAGTAGCAGCAGCAGCAGCAGCAGGAGTAGTAGCAGTAGCGATGGCAATGCTAGTTTCTGCCAGGAGGCTTCGTCGGGGCACACTTGATCTTGCCGCCAGCGAACCTGACCTTCACTTGATCGTCCAGGACTTTGTACACCTGCAGTTGGCAGGAGCTCGGGGGACTCTAGTCAGTCCATAGCTGAGTTGTCTTTTGAGCCCTTTGAAAATTATTTATATACTAGTTTGGTTCTCTACAAAATAGTAGGGGAAATCAAAAAAGGATCCCGAAGGACAACCCAGATAATTTGCTATTGGTTCGCCTCTGGATTTAGGGATTTATGTCCATAATATAGATATAGTAGGACCTTAATGGTAGCCCTATTATAGACTCTTACTGTAAGGGGGCAGTACCTAACCTAAACCCTAAAACCCCGAACACCCTAAGAAGAAAACAAAAAAAACAGAAACTGAACCAAAAGAGCCAAAGAGCCCTTATAGAACCCTAAACCCTAAAACCCCGAACCCCCTTAAAACAAAAGAGCCCTTATAGAACCCTAAACCCTAAAACCCCGAACCCCCTTAAAACAAAAGAGCCCTTATAGAACCCTAAACCCTAAAACCCCGAACCCCCCGCTCAAAAAGAAAAAAACAGAAACTGAACCCTAAACCCTAAACCCTAAACCCTAAAAACCCTAAAAACCCTAAACCCTAAACCCTGGCCTCGCCGAGTTGGCCTCGCTTTATGTCGTCATTTGACATCATCCAATACACCTGGGGACTTCTCTAAACTTAGCGTCCCTTTTAAAGGGAGCCTCTGAGGGATCTATGAGGGTACTACACGGGTTCTATATGGGGAGCTCTCCAAGTTTAGGGTTTGGGGATGTTTAGGGTTTAAGGGGCTTAGGGTTTAAATAGGGCTTGGGCCCTTCTTTTTTTAGGGTTCCTTAAAGCGATTTATAAGGGCTTCTAAAGCCTTTCTGTAAGGGTTCGACAAAGGTTCTCTATGGGTAGTTCTCGAAGTTCGGGTCCCTTCTAAAGGTCTTGTGTAAAAGGGTGCCCCACTACTTTGGGGCACCTAAACAGTGACCCTAGTTTGACTATCCACTTGGGGGAGAGGCAAGCGCGAACTGTGAGCCCCCAAAGCCCTAGCCCCTACAACACCCGGAGAGCCCTGAGAACCCCTCCACATCACTACCCTCATCTCAGGGTCTCTGTATATAGGGCTTTCTAAGTCTAGGCTGATCATAAGGATACCAAACCGTTCCTCCCAAAACCCTAAAACCCTAAAACCCTAAGCCTCAAACCCTAAACCCTAAAACCCTAAGCCCGAAACCCCCTAAACCCTAAAAACCCTAAACCCTTCTTTGAAGCCTCAAGAAGCAGCTTAAGGAAGCAGGGGGCTGAAACCCGGAGCTCCAGCGGTCGGGTTTAGGGCCCCAGGTAGTATACTAGTATACTGCGGTAGTGTAGTAGTAGAGTAGTATCCTAGTACAGTCCTGTAGTGGTATAGTCGTCTAGTAGCATAGTAGCATAGGAGTCGAGCAGTATACTGGTATAGTAATGGAGTTTAGTAGGATATTGTGTTTTGGACGTAAACTTCTGGGAACGGAAGCTACTCCGTGTCACATCTTCTCATGTCCCCAGACCTCTTCGCTTTAACGATAGGCGTTGGGTACGGCCCCCACTCAGTAATAGTTGAATAATATTCAAATATAGATATATTTGGGCGTGACAGGAGAGCTCTTCCGTGGCTCACTTCTCAGCGTTTGGGGCGTAGGACTCCATAAGCAATACGAGATGAAGCACCGAGTCCATCAACAACCCCCCTAAACCCTAAACCCGAAGCCGTGTAAACCCTAAACCCTAAACCGCTCAGAGGTATGAAAGCTTCCGGCTCATAACTAAGGGTGGTAGTGTTCGGGCTGGGGGTGTCGGGCTTGGATTTGAGAAGGGCCGACTGATCTCTACGAGCGTCATATTTGCCCTCCGTGATGTTCTCCACATCGTCCGACTCTGTCATGGCCATGTTTCCAAGACCTTAGCGGGTTTAGGGTTCAGGGGTCTCCTGCGACAGGAATGTCAGATCAAGTCAGTGATGGGCAGCTTCGAGATGCAAGTCATCGACTGCAATAGGCAAGATTTGCAGACCTAGAAACGGAGTAATTGCCGAACCGACGTCTTGTGCAGATGATCATGACGACAGGAGAAGAAGCTTCGTAAGTAGAAGCACAGTCTTCTCTGGGCTCTTTCCTCCAAATTCCCGACCAACCCAGGCACTTCAAATCCATCCCATACCAGAATCGCAAAGCTTGGGATTTGGTATGGTTTTGTGCTGTGTTCGGAAGCAGACGAGGAACCCGAGCCTACCTTAGCCACAAATCCCAGGGACCTTCGCGGCATTGGGATGAACAGTTTTAGGTTTGAAGGATAAGGGCTCAAGTTTCGGGGTTTGGGCATAAGTAGAAAAGTCTTCAGCTGCACCGCATCGGCGTGCTTCTCATTTTGGATCAACCGAACTCCCTAAACCCGAAACCCTAAGCCCTAAACCCTACCCCTCGTGTCTTTGGAAGGAGCCTTCACAGACAAGGCCGAGGGATCTCAGGCAGCCACCCTAAACCCTAAACCCTAAACCCTGAACCCTAAATCCTAAACCCTAATCCCTAAACCCTAATCCCTAAACCCTAAATCCTAAACCCTCATCTCAGGCAGCCACCCTTTTAGGCTGTGTCCGAGCCCCTTTGAGCAGCTTCGCTAGGCTCGGAGCTGTGGAGGTGCGATGGCGATGGCTACGGAAGCAGAGCAGCCTCGAGCTTCATGTGAGTACGGTTGATGATGATGATGATGATGATGATGATGATGATGATGATATATATATATATATATATATACAGACATATATATATATATAAGGGATCTATAATGGTACCTTTAAGGGGCTCCTTTAGGGGCTCCATAGGATTTAGGGTTTAGGGATATAAATCTTGCATTACGCATAGCAAGGAATAGACCATAATTCCCATAGTTTAGGGTCCTTAACGTACTGTAATGCAGGATTTATACCATCAACCGTGGTTCTCTAAATTCGTGTCCCCTCTTAGATCGATATTTAGAGAGCTACCGAAATGGGAAGTTGTCAAAGATTAGGTCTCTTTTTGGGTACCTTGAATAAAAGGTGCCGTATTAAAACAGGGGCCCAGAAAAGAACCAATCGAAACATGTATCGACATTGGGTACTGCCCCCCATACAGTTGCAGTCTATAATAGGGCTACTATTACCCAATATCGACATGGTCGTGTCCATCGAATTCTTCTAGACTCTTCAGGCGTAAATCAAAGCCCTAAACCTGAAGCCCTGCATCTCCGAGGCGTCTTCGGCTCTCTTTGTCTAGTCGCCACTCAGCTTCACTCCATCTTGTCAGGAGTCGCTCGATGGTCGTCCTGTTCTACGCGCGGCGGGTCGCCGTTGAAATCCAGGCTCTGGGCCCTAAGCCCTAAACCCTAAGCCCTAAACCCGAAACCCTAAACCCTAAGCCCCAGTGAGACGGCTCCACCTTCGTGAAACTGAGGCCAGCATTACCATGGACGACGGGGGAACATGCACTAATTGACAAACACGGCTGCTACACTCTTAGAGTCTGAGCCGTGAATCTTCAAAGGCAACTTTGGCCTTTGGCTTTGGAATGCCGGGATGCCCAGCCCATCTGCGGTGACCCGTCCGCAGCTGCAATCCTGCAGTGAAACCGTCACAGAGAAGACTGTTGTCGCGGCAGGTGGTACCATGAGACTGGCCCATCCAAAGCGGCAGACTGTGCAGACAACTGCAAACTGCAGCGCACCACCCTGAACTCCGAAGAAAGCATTGCTTGATTCCTCTCGAACAAGCTGCCTGGCCGGCAGCGTGACACCGTCGCTCAGCGACGTGCGATCTGCTCAGAAACCACGGAAGCGATGCGATCAGAGACCTTGGCCCCAGTGCTGGCAACACTTCGCAACACAACCGAGGGCGGAGGCTGAGCAAACGCACATGAGCTATACTGGGGCCCTATACTACTAAGGGTACTTTATGGGAACCCCCATTAATAAAGGGATCTACTTTGGGTAGTGCGTCACAGCAAGACTTGCAAGCCAGCGGCCGCGTCCCTGCATCGCTCCACCCACCACCAACTCGGTCTCAGGAGCCACTTGCCTATCCTAGGTGGGGCTTTTAAAGCTGTTGAAAAATAGTAGTAAATAAGATCCTCTTAAGCCCAATAAGGGAAAATATAATAATGTCCCAAATCCTCTTAAGCCCAATAAGGGAAAATATAAAAAATGTCCCAAAGCCCTACCTAGTATCGTTTCAGTGGCCTCCCGCCGCAGTTCCTCTTTAAGGGCGCTCTGGTGGAAGGGGCCCCGTGGTGTGCAGAGGTCCTCAAGCACGATCAACCTATACTGAACTTAGAACCCTGGCAAAAATTATGATTTTAGCTGTTTCTTAGGGATTATCATAACCAAAAATTTGAAAATCATTTCTAAGTACCCCTAAGCAACAGCTTCTGCTTGAGCACGGGCTGCGGCTCACAAGCTGCCAGGCAGCGGCAGGCTCTGATCTGCTCAAGCGGGCTGCAGATAGGAAGGATGTTGAGCACGCCGTCCACGAAGAGGCGACGTGGTTTAGAATCACCCAAGTCATAGAAAGCCTCGAAGCACCGCTCTGCAAACATCAGCACCACAAGCCGTAGTGACTTGTGGTGCATCGACTTGAAGACGAGCTCCTGAAGCACTTCCTCGATGGCCGCTGCGCGTACATGCCACCACCGCCTCATGCCCCGTGCATGAAGAAGGCACGCCAGACCTCGAGGCTTTGCACACCACTCGCACGTCAGCACAACACCCAAAGCCAAACCCAGCACTGCGCCCCATCCTCACTTTGACTTCTCGGGCCTTGCAAGCCAGCCTGCATCCGACGACACTGCGGGTTCACGAACTGTCCCGCTTGGAGCTGGCCGAAGACGCGGAAGACCGCCGGACTGAAGCGATGCGGGAGTTTCGGAAAATTGGGGCTACCTCATTTTGGGGTCCTTGCAATAAGGATCCTAGTGTTTAGGGCCTTTAGGGTACTATATTAGGGTCCCCTATTTTCGGAAACTCCCATGCAGCTTCAGATCACCGGATCTTTCTGCAACCCAACCTCGCGGGATTGATCAACGCGAGCATCTTGTCCACCAAAGCCTGACCAACTTTGCACGACTGCGATCAGCAGAAACCGGCAAAGAGTTCGCGCGCACTGCATAAAAAAAAACCGGCGACACCTCGGTTTCTGAGTTCCTGGAGCATGAGGTGCGGAAAGCAGCAAGCTCCTGTACCTGCATTGGACAGCGGATCAACACTTGGGGGAGAGGACCGCCAAAGATGGCCAATGCACAGGCAGAACAGTCTCCCATGATCTCCCATGATATCCAAGTTGCATCAAGGAATGAGTTGACCACCGAAACGACTCGCCTAGGAGAGGGCACTTCAATTTCCGACTCTCACGACTCGCATAACGCACAAGGCTCCCCACGACGGGTCAGTCTCTCCATCCTAAATGTCAGTCTCTCCATCCTAACCCCTAAACCCTAAACCCCTAAACCCAAAACCAACTCACGGAGTGCTTTGCAGCTCTCAGGCTCAAACCCCGCCCTAAGCCTACAACTCCAAACGCCCAAACATAGTAAAGGCTCAGTTCGGCAATGAGACTCAACACGACATGGAACCACAGGGTACATGCTTGTATTGGTGCTACCAACGCAGCTCTTTAACCAATTGTGATCAACAGCACTACCGATTAAGAAACTGAGCACCGGTACCATGGGAATGGTGTTGGCACGGCTGCCTTTCATGTCCAAGGCAAAATGCTGTGAACGTCATGGTGCAACTGCACGCCTTGCGGACACCATCAGTGAGAGGGTCAACGACCTACACATGATGACATGTTTCACACTGCAAGGAGCCCGCAAAGGCCATGCTGAGAGCCCGACAATTTCTGTTGACAAATCAGCTGTTCCCTTTTTGCAGCACGGCTGTCAAGAGTAAAGTGCCAGGGGTCTGCATGTGGCCACCTGGGCCTCGCAGAAACTGAGCATGCTCATCAAGTCTTGACCTTATAGAGCATCGACATCGAATCTTGGAGCAGCTGGCTCAGTCCAAAGCGGTGCAGTCAAAGTATGTCAATCGCGTTGGTTGAGGGGCGAACTGGCCGCACAGGTACTTTGCCACGCACAGCGCATGAGGGAGCAATCGGTGCGAGCGCGATCTTCCACGCCGCTTCGAGGTTCTTGAAGTGGGCACTCCACGACGCACGGGCTGCGCAGGACGTTCAAACGGTCCTGTTCGAGGCTCATGCGGCTTTGAAAACGACAACACTCGCTGTCCTGCAGTGGTGCAGTCTCCGGAAGATATCTGGAAACTCCTGGCGATCCTGTCCTGAGGCTCAGGTCCGCAGGAAGGGGTCACGTTGCAACTGCCAGGCTGCCAAAGCACAGTTCCGGCTGTGTCTGCGACTCGGCCTCTTGGAGGCTCGCTGCCTCCTGCCAGGGTGCAAGAGAGGCTGCACAGGAAGCATCCGACTAGTACGACACTGCAGACACTGCAGTCGCAGGCCTCTTGAGGATGTAGGTGGGCGTGATCTAGAGACCTTGCCACTGCAACACATGCAAAGATGAGTCATACTGGGCCGGCCCAACCAGTTGTGGCCCGTTCAACCAGGCTGCCTTCCGCTGGAAGGATCCCGAGCACCCTGAAGCAGATTCTGAAGGCTGCCATCTTGACAGCCCTCAGCCGCAGAAGACGACCTTCCATCGGAGAATTTGTCAAAATCCGATGCAAATGCGCATGAAACGTACTGCCTGAAGATCTGGAGCTTGGCCCAACGCAGCCAGGCCTGAGAATCAAGGCCCGACCTATACATTGTCTACAAGGGTCCTTAGGGTTACTTTGGGGGTTCCTAAAAGTGTCACGGTAGGGACGGTAGGGGTTCTTTAAGGGCAGCAGAAAGGGATCCAAGATGAGAAGTTTCGCAGTGCCCGCCTGCGCCTCTTGCGCAGCCACGGTGCATGGGTCTGCTCCTACCAATTTTCTGCTCATGTCAAAGGCTTACTCTTAAAAGTCTGATAAACAAAAAGAAGCTCAAACCATAAATCACCATGAATGAACATAACAGTCATATTAGAAACAACAATAAGAACATGGATGGGAGACCGGTGGTCAACCCAACCATCTGGTCTCCCCGCGAGCAATAAGAATCATAATTAAAAACAGGTGCAGCGTTCAGAATCCCGTGGCTCGGATCCTGCCCAAAGCAGCATGCTCTTTGATCACAGCGGGCCAAGGTGCCCGTGGCACCAGAACATCGAGAATCAGAGGCTAGCTTGTGGTTGTGCTGATGATCGTGGATATGTGAGTGTAGTATGCCAGAAGAATCCACTGATTTCGTTGCCGCAAGACTACGGTATGACCTACCTGGAAGCAACCAGCTCTGAAGAAGCAAGCTGAAGCTAAACATGGCACAAGCGCGTCAAAGTCAAATGGCAGCAAAGGGATCAAGGCAACCGGAGGATACAGCCATGTACTTCAAGTGGTGTTAATACCTTCTGCTCTATATAAATGCTGTTGCGGCAAAATCAGGAACTCCACTCCGTCAGAAGGCATCACCGCATACTACCTTTGCAAATGCTGTCACGAGTTCAAATTTGGTGTGGGCAGGTTGTGTAGGGAGGCATAGATAGTAGGTAGGGAAGTAGGTAGGTAGCACCCCGGCCACCACCCCTCCTTCCAGCCCAGCATCTCCGGGGCCTGGGGTAAACATCATCCAGATATGAAGGCGTACATTATGAACATATCCTGTGCGCAGAGAGCGATGGAATCGAGATGATTCCTGGAAAAGGGAAAGCGAACAATGGCGAAGACAGTGGGAAACGGAATGGCCTTAGTCGGAACGTAGGAAATTTACCGACCCCCCGGTCTCGGTCCGAAAAGGGGATCTGGAGTTGTGGGAAAATCTCTGGACCATGCGGAAGCTGCAAACACAGACCTCCGGTCTCGGCCCCTTTGACATCAGAATGTGGAAAAGCGATGCGGAATATGCAGAAGCTGAGAGGGGTCTGGACTGACGGGACAGGCTCTACACATTGGTGTGCGGCAAAGCTATGCGGCTTATGCGGGAATTCTGGATTAAGAGCTAAAGTTCTCCGCGGTGCTTCCGAATCTTTGGAAAGCTCGGCCGTGCAGCTGCCTGCATCCAGGAACCCGAATCTCCCTAAACAACAGGATTACACGCTAGGATCCCGAATAACTCTAAGTTATACACTGCCTTAATTAAAGTTTGCTGAGCATCCAAGCGGAAGCTGCATCCTTTTTTCAATCGGCTACTCGGCTTCAATCGATCTTGCCTAACTTTGGAGTCGCTCGCTTAAGAGCCTGAACAGGCTGGAACCGGGAGGACGTCTTTGCCTCCAAATCTTGGGTATTCCGGACGGCCCAAGTGAGATGTCTCCACCTTTGGGAAACCAATGAGGGTGGCATTAAAAGCCACCAGCATGGGAGCTCATAAAGACATTGGCAGAATAGGCTCCTACGCTCTTAGAGCGATGCATCTTCAAGGACAACTTTGGCCTTTGGCTTGGTAGAGGCGTGGGTGGGGGTTCCATGCCTTGATGCCTAGCTCATCTGCGGTGATCCGTCGGCAGCGGCAATCCTGCAGTGAAGTAGTTACAGAGAAGACTGTTGTCGCGGCCGGTTCTGCTACAGCCTCAAGGGATGTGCTGGACACTGCAGATGTTGAACCAGCACCGCACGCATCCAGCTTGTACCCTGGATGGGATTGGTCTAATTAAAGCGGCAGACCTCCCAAAACGGCAGCGCACCACCCTGAACTCTGAAAGAGGCATTTGGAAGCTTGACTCCTCTCGAACAATCTGTGCGCCCTGCATGCAACCCCAGAAACAAGGCCTTGAACTAAACCCTGCGCCGCAAAACCCGGACCCAATCTTGAGCCGGAGATAGGACCTCGAGAACACATGCTCGTCGATGCCCGCCAGCCCCAGCGACCTCCAGCAGAGCACGCGAGTGTTTGTATGGGTCTTGGGGAACCTAAAATCGAGGCCCCCCGCCCCTCTCACCTGTGATACCCAAACCGCTCCACACCGTGCTGCCTAGTGCGTAGCAGCTCCAGGTGCTGCGGCAACCCGGCGAGCACATCCTTCCCCTCCAGTGGCTCAGCCTCGAAAGACGAAGGCAATAAACATGGTGGTCTAGTACTAAACTGTCTAGTCCTGAACCGGTGCTACTGGTATCAGCCTTCGGGGATGCTGGGATTCTGCCTGACGACACCCCCCCCACCTGAAGGAGCTCCTTCGGCGACAGCAGCGCGATGCAGTCGGTTCGCATCGGAACCAGGGAGCCCTGCAGCGCAACCGCATGCTCCAGTAAGCTTTCGTGACTTCGAAACCTCTTGAATACTGCACTGCTCCCACTCGCCCGTCTTCCTTGTGTCACGCAACAGCTCAAGGGGCCTCACAGATGGTGGTCGGATACGGAATCGGAACGAAGCGAGTGTCCGGAAAGTTTCCATAGTGCTTCAGCAACGGCCCAATGGCCTGTGGCTCTGCGCGGCGAGTCTTGCAACCCTGGATGCCACCTGCACACTCGAAGCCCACCTGCCACCACCTGCCATTCCCGACGCCACGATCCCACATAAAAAGTTCCTGCATCCCTTGCTGAGCAGAAGGGCGCCTTCTCGGTGAAGCTGAGGTCGCCTACCAGAAACGCGGGGACCTCGACACCTCGCTCCTCCTGAAGCCTGTCGAGCTGGTTGCAAGAGGTGATGGGGAAGGAGTGCTTAATAACATGGCCATTGCTGGGAGAGCCACTTTGCAGACTATGCATCGTCCTAGGGCCTTCCGCTCACTCATCCAGACACCGTTTGGAATGTCTTCGTGCACGCGCAGGGGGTTGAAAGCAGGCACCCCACCCTTTCCAGAAGTCTGCCCAGCCTTGGCAGACTCTGCAGACCGCGGCACAGAGTGCGCCGTGCCGGGCCGAAAGGCTCAGACGACAGGTGCCTCGGCTTCGAGGCAGGATGGAGGTCTGTTGGAAGTGCTACCGAAGGTCTGCAAAGCAGCTGGGTAGGATGCAACTCTCGGAAAAGAGGATGCTTCTGTGGGGTTTCGACCCTCTCAGCAGGTGAGCGGCGCGGGGATGACACGAAGATGGCCCAGCCCAGATCTGAGCCCGAACTGAGCCACCGTCGCATCCTCTAGGACTCTAGATTCTCTCCACGTGCAGATGTGGGTTGGCACACAAGTCAAGCTTTAACATGCTTCCCAGGCCTTCTCCAAGTCTGGGGCTAGTGGTCCATATGACTCCAGCATCAGGTCGTCCGTGCTGTAAATCACTACCTGGCAGCTTCTGAAGAAAGCGCCGAGATGCCAGCACCCTTTCAACAAAGCACTCTCTGCGCCTGCTTCTGACTGCTTTCGCGATGTTCGTTGTGTGCGGGCGTCATGCTGAAAGAGCCCTGCCCTCTAAGCCACTCATCAATCTTCTCCAGCAGCTTGGGCCAGCATCCCTGGAGGCAAAGAAGCTGCTTCGGGCATGTCGGGTGCAAGAGCATGTTCTTCACATTGTCGAGAATCTGCATCTCTCGGGCTGCCTCGCTGAACAGAGAGCCGCTGACCCTGTGGATAAGTTTCCAAGAGCACAAGCGGATGTTCGCTGTCTTTTCGCGACACTTGATGGCGAGCTTCGCGGCAATCGGGAGGTGGTCTGAAGGAAAGGTCCACTCGTCATGCAGAGGTCGCGCTAGCGGTGTCTGGAAGCTTCGCAGCCAATTCACTAACACCAGTTCCACGGATGCCTCCAAGAGATCTTCCGCCTTTGAGAGCGTCTGCGCCAGCATGCCGTCAGCTTTGGTTACCCGTGGTAAGTCTTCGAGCGTTGCCAAAACTTGGGTTTTGGCAGTGGGCTCCCAAGTCCACACGCACGCCTCGGCCTGGAGCATCCTCTTCTTCACGGCCTCCAGGCTTTGGCCTCAGTGGAGGGTTGCAAGGCAGTTTGGGGCTGCCTTGCGACTGCAGCAGAACTGAGGTCTCGGCCCAAAGCTTCAACATCGGAGCGGACTGCATCCTCCAACTCTCTTTTCAGCATGTTCTGCAGCGTCTCCACATGCGCCGCGATCTGACCCAGCTCCGCCACCCAGTGTCCGAAGATCGGCAACAGAGCCTTGAGGGTCGTGAGGCAAGCCTCGACGGCGATGTTCCGCTTTGCCAAGAAGGCCGCCCGCTCCCACAGGCGTTTCACCTGAAACCGGCAGAACACAAACATCGTGCCAGGGGCTTTGGACATGTTTTGCCTTCAACACTGGCACGCAACAGACAGTTTTCTCGGACGTGTTTGCAAATCCCGTCGTTTCAGATCAATCTGACGCTGACTACACGTGCTGCGTGCAGCGAGAAGGAGAAACTTTCGAGCGCTCGCTGAGGCTTGGGCAAACTTCATCGCCTTCGGAGTCTTGCCACAGTAATCCCAGAGCAAAATGGCCAAGACTGTGAGAAAATCGTACTCGCTGGTCACTGCCTGGATTCTGCCGTTCTGCACGTGGCCGAATCGGATCGCGTTGGTGACCTCGAAGAAGCGAGGTTTAGGTGCGCATGACGTGTCTCTGAGCAGTGTGGCTCTTGCGAAGATTCTGATCAAGGCTGTTCGGGACTTGTTGCCCTCGGCCAGCGCGTCTTTTAGCCAGACCTCCGTTTGTTGCTGATCGGAGGGTGCACATGGTTTTCTGCCCTTGAGAACCTCTGGGATGCTCCAATTGAGAACTTCCTCGTTGGTAGGGTCTGTGCCAGCCTTTAGCTCTCCCCAGTAGACATCTGCTTGCCGCTCGCACTTCTTGCAGACCCATTGCAGCCACTGCGCCAAGCTTCGCAGCGCTTCTCTCAGGTCGGCCTGCCCGGCGACAACGTACTCCTCCACATCGACATCCCCAGGAAATTTCATGACAATGAATCGAAAGCTGCCAGACGGTCGCACATCGCCACGGACGCAAAGGCTCTGCACCACTTTAGCCAGCAGCAGGCTGAGATCGGGCAGAAAGCGCTCATTCAGCAGGCATGAATCTGACAGCTCGCAGCGGGGGCATGAAGGAAACACCATGCAATGCGACTTGAAGCACGAGAACTTGGCAAAGAATATCTCGGGATCCAACCTCATGTTCTCCCGTTCCCAAACGAGTTGGTCTCTCGATTTCAGCGCAATGCCCACAACCTCGAAAAGGCTGTGGATGATCCGGTCCATCTCGTCTCTCCTTCTCTGCGCCTGCTGCTCTGCTTCCGCTTCCCCTTGGGGGGGATCCTCCGAGGGTCGCAGCTTCACCCGAATGCGGAGCAGTTGAAAGCTTAAAGATGGTGACAAAGCGATCGTAGTGATTGCTTCATTGGAAGCGAACTCCACGTGGTTTCGGAACACTTGTGGCGGCCCTGGGCAAAGCTCGTGCGTTGTGTTCTCTTTCTTGCATATCAGTACTGCAATCTGGGATAACATGGCAGGGGAAATAAGTCCGTCTAAGTCGACGTACCTGACTTCCGCAGCCTCGTCGGGGGATTCAGGCACTGTTGCGGAGGGCAGACAGCAGGGAACGATGAACTCATCCACGAACCCGCGGTTCAGGATCAGTGACTTCTGTACCATAATCTTCAGTATGATGCTTGTCATTGCATCGTGATCTTGTGGGGAGAAATCGTTTCTCCATAACTCCTTGAGCAGCTTCCGAGTGGCCAGGCCTTCTGTGCTTAACCGGCGAAGCTCGGTTTGGGACAGCTTCGCATCCCGCAGCTGGTTTTGGTAGTCTGCAGAGTGCTGGAGGCCTCTGTCCGCCCAGATGCAAACACTGATAACGCGAGTCATCGCCACCGAAACTCTCCGGATATCTAGAAGGACATGCTCCCTTAGACCTTCCTCATTGAACCAGACAAGAATTCCAAAGCTGTGAAGCCAACTCAGGACTTCAATCGCCTCTTCTTGCAGAATAGGTCTTGGTTGCAATACCGCAAACATCTCAAGCACCTTCGATAGTTCAAGGGAGGTACAGAAAACCATCACGTGCAGAGACTGTCCGGTGTCGTCCCTACCGAGCACTTCGACTTGGACGTTCGTCCCATCAGGCAGAACGATAGTCTCGCCTTTGTGGGTCTTCATGAACACGCTGGACATGAGCTTGATATTCAGCCGTCTGTCTAGACTGGAAGAGCCTAGTGCGAGAAGCTGCGTCTCTGGGACGGTGGCCTCCATGCCGTCTCCCAGTCTGGTGAGAATGTCGTGGGCTCGCAGCCAGGCCACCGGGAATTGCTCCGATTGCAGCCCGGCGTGCGGCATCTCGTCGGCCCTGAGGTGTGGACTCCGAGGCAGCAGCAGCTCAAGGGCCAGTTCCTGGATTTGCCTGCGGAGCGGCTCAAGGTACCTTTCAACATTGCACGCAGTGTTCTCAACGGGCCAAAGGTACTTGGACCGACATGCAGGAAACTCTCGTGGTCCAGGTTGGAGCTGGTGCCGCAACTTGGGCAAGCGCTGCAAGAATTGCTCCAGCCGCTCGTCTAGCACTTTCGTGTCCAGCTGCCTGCTTTCCCATTTGGCCGCCACCAAGATGATTGGCGGAGCTGCATCAGCCCTGCCGCCCTCGTCTACGGCGTATTGGGCGACATGCCAGAGCCAAGACTGCAGCTCCCGCCAAGCCTCTTCCAAGGGCTGGCTGACATCGCAGAAAACGAGGTAAATGCCACGGCCATGAAAATGTACGAGATTGCTTTGAGCATAGTCGCCCTGGCCCGCAAAGTCCCAATACTGAAGCTTGGGTTGGATGGGCTGTGTCTCATCGGCCAGCTCGCCGATCCCCGCGAGCAGATCGTCATCTATTCGTCTTGGGCCAAGCATTGTCTCTGCGTCCTGCACGACATTCTTCGTTCTGGGCTCGCTTTCTTGCTTCAAGTGCCTGAACGGCATGCGTGCTACGAGGAATGCTACACACATACAACAGGTAGCGACTGACTCGCCCTTGCCTGGCCTTAGGGTGGTTGTTTTGCCCGCTCGCCCTGGCCCAAGAAGCAAGCAGCGGACCACCGGCAGTGGCGCCCGGCCCGTGTGTTGCCACGACTCGAACTTCTGCTTCAAGAACTCCTTGCGCTGATGCAACCCTCAGGACTGCAAATTCCATTTTCCCATAGGCCCTATGGACGTGACCGAAAGCCCGATGATGTCGCGGCCTGAAACCTCTTGAGTAAGCCGGGGCCTACCTTTCGGACCGCAGATGATGAGCCCACAACGGAAGCCTAGCCTTAGTATGACCAAAAAACCATCATGCCAATCTAGACGGGCTACCATCCAGCGAGAAATACCCAAGCTGGCAGATGCCGGTGCAAAGATGCAAGCACTAGAGGTGTGTAGCTGCCGGTTGGCGTATGTGCGGAGCAAAAACTTGTTCTGTCAACCCGTCACAGCCCAGCCTTGTCCTGCCGGCACTCTTCATATCCCCTCTCCTCGATCCAAGGTTTTGAGTAGGAAGTTTGAGCGGCTAAGGGGTCCGTGTGGCGGTGGAGGTTTCGGGGTTTCGGGGGTCTGCGGGCTTTTGTTGCTTAGAAACTGGCAAACCGGCATGCAGGGTTGGCTTCTCGAGATGCAGAACATCTTGTTGCTTTCATGGGTTCGGCCAACATGCCGAAAGGCGAGCCGACATGCAGGATTGGCAGGCCGAGACGCAAAAGCAACTTTTGCACCTCGGGCCGCTTGCCCTGCCTGCATGTGGGCCTACTATTTTCGCATTTTACGTAATTACTATTGTACTACTTTACTATCTTACTCCACATACGATTTTACTATTGCACTGTCCCTCACGCCACATGCAGTGCTGCTGTGGCCGATGTTTGGGCTTGGCAGCCCGAGATTCAAAACAGCTTTGCATCTCGGGCAGCCACTCTTAGATGTCGGCCTCCAACTATGTTCCCGCTTCTGCCGTGTACTACCACGTACTGACATGTACTACCACGTGCTACCACATACTATCAAGCACTACAATCTTCCTACCACGTACTACCACGAACGACCATGTATTCTACCAGGTACTAAACCGCGTACTATACCAAGTACTAATAAACCACGTACTATACCGAGTACGAAACCAGATACTACCAGGTACTACCAGGTGCTACTACAGGCAGACCGTAGTTTTGGCATCTCGGGCAGCCACCCCTGCATGTCGGCAGCGTTGTTTTTAACTATCTTCACTATTCCAATACTTTCTATTACTTGTTTCACTCCGCATACAGTACTGCCGTGGCCGATGCTTGGGGTTGGCGGCCCGAGACAAGGTTTCCGCCTATGTTCCAGGTTCTGCCGTGTACTACGCACAAATTACCACGAACTACAACGTTCCATTTCTTTTACATCCGGGCAGCCAATCCGAAACCATCGGCCACCAAGTTTTGTTGTATCTCGGGCAGCAAACCCTGCATATCGGCCAGTCTTTTTGCATGTCGGCGGAATGCATTCCGGTAAAGCAGAGTGTATACAACAGGCTTAGGAATGGAACTGTGAATTGACTTGCGGATCTCTATGTTGCGTCCACTCAGGACAGAGGCAGCCCCCCAGCTCCCATTGAAAAACTCTTCAAACCCCACTTGCATCTTGAACCTTGCATGCCCAACTTGGCAACAGACTCCGTATATTCGCTCTAAACCCGAAACCATAAGCTCCAGATCCTAAACCCTAATCCCAGACTCGGAATTCCACACCCCAAAGCGCAAGCTGTATCCCCAGCGCGTCCTTTCCCGATTTTCCGGCTTTACAGCCGAAAGCTTGCACGTAGGATTCCTGCTGTCGGTCCTTCTTCGGCTAACGGTTCTTGTCGGGGACGCACGGTTGTAGATTTTACGGTTCGCGGTGCTGTAGTTAGCGAGTCCAAAGTCTCTACTGAGACTGTCTTACAGTAGTAAATCGTTTAGAGGTTCATTGTGCAGGCCAAATGTTCGATGGCTCCTTCATTCTATTGCTGCCGGGCCAAAACAAAACACATGATTGAGGACGGACAAAAAGCCAACAACAAACACGCCGCCGGGAAAATAAAAACACACACATGTGCCCTAAACCCAGTGCGACATTACTCTCCACAGCGCCAGCACCCCTGTTACGCTTTCTGCCAACCGTGACATGTGATGGCACGTGCACATCATGTGCAAGCCTCTCAGCCGCCCAGTGAAAGCTTGAACTCGGACAACTACACGCATCCAGGCTTCCTGCTGCCACCAATTCCAAGGTTTCAGCCAGGCAGGCGTCTGCAAGCGCTCTCAAAGATAACTCCTAAACCCTAAACCCCAGGATGACGTCACAGTCGAACGTCGAACAGCCTTCTAACTGAGCTGCCATCTGAAGTACTGCGCTTTGATCCGCTTGCTCCTCCTCCTCTATCGCAAAGCGGACACTCGTCGCTTACGGAGAAACTGACGCTTGTGTCCTACAACCTTCGCTAATACTACGCTGAATACTAGCCTACCAATGCTAAAATCCTTAACTCACCTGTAGCCTAATACCCTGGACGATTCATTCCAAAACGACTGGGGAAGCCCAAAGTGAGTTGGGGTTTGTGATCTAGGGTTTAGAGTTTTAAGGTGTGAGGACTGGGGCTCTCAATAACGAGGGTCCTTCTTTTCAATGTAGAAATTACTGAAGGACTTGCAACCCTAACATAAACCGTGAACTCTCGCTCAACTCGGCACATGAACCTCGTCAAATACTCTAGTGGTCTGAGTAACTAGCAATAGTGTGGCCTTATCGTCAATAAATATTTGCACTACGTAGACCAAACCCTAAGCCCTAAAGCCAAACCCCATCCCGCAGCTTTCCTGCCCCCAGATCTGTTCGAGTTCTGCCACATACAATCCTTCCTGCAACAGGTGCAATGTGGAGAGGCTTTGTCGGGTTTAGGGGTTTCGGGTTAAGGCTGTTAGTCGGAAACGGGGCAGGTGAAAGGGTTTAGGGTTTGGGATGATTCAGAGCCTTAATAGCATGAATTGATTTGCAGTGCAAGGCATTGTCTACACCTGAGCTCAAACTATCCTAACAATCCCCCTGCAACCCACACTCTAAAGTACGAGTCCTTGGAGGCCTGCAGGGCTAGGGCCTTGCAGCAATGCTCTCATTACGAGGTCCGTGCAAGTCTTACATGATCTTCCTGCCAGGTTGTGAGCCACCTCGATAATAAGGAACCGGCTTTTTAGGGTCTGTACTGGGATGCCGCTGATACGGCCACGTGCTGGCTGGTGTTAGTGTTCAAGTACTTTCGGTGAGAGTGCTCATATCAAGCCAAGGTCTGGACCATGCAGGCTTGATGAGGGAACAACAACCATCAGCACTAGGCTTCCGGGAGGGTGTAGGGCTTGGGGTTTAAGGCCAAGGACTTGCAGAAGGCTCTAGCAATGAGGCTTCTAGAGACATTCTTAAAATGGTCAACGATCTACGATCTAATCCTGGCTCAAAGCGTATTGGGCAAGCCCGAACAAGATCCTGAAGCTGCCCTGTGCTCATGATACATCCAGGGTTTTGTTTTAAGATTTGAGGGTTACGGGCTTAGGACTGAGGGCTCCAAGGTATGACCTAAATACCGTCCAGATACTACTTCTGCTACTACGGCTATGACGACATCGACGACGACTACTACCACTACTACCACTCGCGCTGGCAAATTGAACTAGCACTAACTAGCACATACCAGCACTAGCACTACAACTACCACTACTAAGAAGGCGATGTCTAACAACCACTGTGTCTAAGGATGTGCGACAACTGCGGCGGCAACGAAGGGAGCGAAAACGGTGCAGCCACGAGGATGACTATGCTTCTCAATCCAGCTGCTAATGGTGCTTGTAGCTCTGTTAACTGATGCTGACACGACTGTGCTACGACGACTATGAATACGTTCGCGTCATCTGCCATCAGCGCGCACAAGACAACCTTCACAAATACAAGCAGCAGCTAGTTCACGAATATACTTCACGGCTTTACATCCTGCCAACCCTGAAACCCTAGACCCTGATTATGGATAGATGCAAGTCGTCTGGTGTCTCCTCTCGTACGGCAGGGTTCGTACAGGACTCCCCTACGATGCGTCAGCTTCAAGAGTCTTAGAGGACTCGTTTGCGAGTTTGAGAAATCAACGGACCACAAGGTAAACTGCCGGATCTTGCAAAGAAACCTGGTTGAAGAACCCTCCTTTAAAAACATATTGTTAGAATCCTACGTTACCATAAATTAAGATAGACTCTAGGATTAAAGGATATCGGCAGATCTGGGCAGAAATAAACGAAAACATAATAAAAGGACCCCCAAAAGTGAACCTGTCATGTTCTGGAAGCCCCAAGAGGCCTTGAAGCTTAAAGCCCCCAAACCGTATAGAAAGCTTACAACACATGAATCATTCATTGAATGACCTTTTTACGAGCCTACCCTACAGTCCAAATCCAAAACCGTAAGCTCTGAAACCACAAACCCTGAAGTCCCTGAGCCGCAAGCCTTAAGCCCAACACTCCCACACCGCCAAACACCCTGAGCCTTGGCACGATCCGATCTTTCATGCCGAATCGGATCATCGAAATCATCGGAATCATCGGCATGCAATGCGAGCTTGGAGAGCGACGGAGCACTTCGCGAGCGGAGGATGCTCGCAGCCTTCGATTCCTGCACTTTGGGTTTTAAGTAGTCTTAAGGTTAGAACCGGAAGCCTTATGCCTTTCTGTAGCCCTAAGGGCCAAGAAGAACCAACAATAAGGCACGAAACATGAATTCACAGTTTGTGCTGGGTTTCATAAGGGGTTGATAATGTTTTTTTCACATAAGGGTCCACAAGACATAGTAATGAGGCGTTCGAATTTCGCGTCATAATAGCTATGTAGGTTGGTTTCTGGGAGTGTATGATTATTACGTACTGAAGCACTGAAGATGGGGTGTAGGAGGTTTAAGGGCTTAATATGGCTTAATTAGGGCCTACGGCGCATGATAAAAACCTCAGGGTGTAGGGTATAAAACCTCCCGGCTTTGAGATCTCGAGAGTTTTACCGCCCCAAACCACCAACAAACGGGATTTGGGGTCCTCATTATTACCGGCTGCTGATAGTGTGTGAGGCGTAGCCGAGTCATTTGCAATTCGGCTTTCCAGCAATGTGAAGCAATTTCTCTTCCCGGGGGGTCACCCCCAAGCCCTAAAGTTTCAATTCAGTTCTAAGGCTCGCCGTACCAAAGCCAGCCCCGCTCCAGCACGGAATCAATTTCTGTTCCCTCAAAGTCACCCCCTAAGCCATAAAGTGTTTTATTTTCTTGTTTTAGTGTTTGCGGTACCAAGGTGCCCCCTCCTCTGTGCAGCCCTCTGCCCTGCCCCTGCCCTGCCCTGCCCTGCCCTGCCCTGCCCTGCCCTGCCCTCCCCTTGCCCTTGCATTCATTCAAGCAAACCGTAATGAGAATTCTACTATGAATGACCTTGTATCTGGTTTATAACACTAAGATCTGTAGGCAAACTCTGAATACAGCACCCCCACCTTAGTCCCAAACCAAAAATTTTAGTAGGCTTGCGGGTAAGTGCGCCAGCGCAGGTTGTTGTTTGACAGGCAGAAGGAAGGCAGGATTGAAGGAGAGCAGCCGACAACCACAATTCAGTTTAAGCAACTTGGCTGTTTTTTCGATTCATATGCAATGTAGCCATATAGCAGCTTAGGTCCTTTCAAACAGGCAAATCAACCAACATATTCAAAGAAATTATTTCACCCGAACGGAGGTTTAAGTCAATTGAAGAGGGCAGGGCAGAGGGCAGAGGGCAGAGTGCAGAGGGCAGAGGGCAGAGGAGGGCAGAGGAGGGCAAGGGCAAGGGCAAGCCCGGGAGTACCATTCAGATTCAATCCGTGCAGCAGTGCTGCACATCGCCGTGCGCCGCACTTTAGACTTTCCTGATCCATCTACAAGTTCTCTTGTACTTCCTTTTCGGATCCTAACAATAGCTCAAACCCTGAAGCATAATTCCTAAACAATGAACCAAACAAAGGAACTACAATTCGGACTACTTCAGAGCCATTTGACTTGGGGCATGAAGGCACACCGCCGTGCACATACCCCCGAACCCAAAAGCCTGAACAGTACGTAAGTGCAGGTGTGTGAGTAGATGGCGGCAGTCGGGGAGGGCGAAGGGGGACGAGGGGAGGAGTGAATCGGGAGGGGGGAGGGTTGTAGGGCTTGCACTTGGGCTGAAATTCGGAGTTCTAAGGGTGGGAGTGGTTTTGGGCACCACTGGTGACTGTTGCACAACTGTGCAAAGATGTAACGCCAGATGCTTATTGCCCCTATAGGTCTAGGATTTCGACCTTCCTCCCAAGCCCCAGAATTGACCCAAAACCCAAACCCTGAACCCCAAGCCCGAAACCCCTCGAGTCCTCCAAATTGGCCGGGTCTTCGACTTCGGCTTCGATAAAACCATTACGGCAAGAGAGCTTCCTCAGCTTCTTTGCTACGGTGCAGGCTTTATGCGGTGCTGAGGGCTTTGCATGCAGCGTTCTCTCAGGTTCACGGCCCCAGGCTTTGAGAGCTATAGGTTAAGTTTACATGCTCTTTTGGAGACCCTCCTGAATACAATCTCACTGCATGCACGAAAGAGGGTTGGCGCCTTGTGCTGGGAGAGGTTTGGGCTTGTTCTGGCTTGAAAACGCTAAGTGTCCAAGTGCCCAATAGTCAGATACTCCCCTAACAAGGCCTGGGGTCGGGGGTAAAGTTCAAGGCAAACTCATGTTTCTCTCTGGGATCATAGGGGAAGTTTCCGGTAAGGGCCGAATAAACGCTCTATAACACTGAGAATGAGAGTATGGCTTGCAAGGGGCTTCAATGCTGGCATGCCTGAGTGGATAAGCGCATGGAGCCCTTACTCCCAAACCCTGAAGCCCTAAACCCTTAATCACAAACCCCTGAAGTCCAATTTAAATGCTCGCGGCTGAAATCAGTGTTGGAAGTCATGGATCCTCTTATTAAACCCCAAACAGGTTGGCCAGGGTCTGTTATATACGAGGATGCTATATCTAGTTATTCCAACTCCTACACTAAACCGCTGTGGAAACCCAGACAGAACCCCTTATTCAACCCTCGAAAGGAAGCGCTAAACCCCGCAAACCTGCAAGGAGTTCTATCAGGGACCCAGAATTCAGGTGTTCACATTTAGAATATAGCCCGGGCGCCAAAAAGACTTGCTGCTTGGCATCTCTCGGGCCGAAAAAACTTTACATCTTGCTAAAGCTACCGAGGAGCATTGGGTGCTTAGGACGAGGACACAGAAAACCCCAAATCCACTGACTGCGAAAACGGAATCAATCGAGCCGGCTGAATGACTGTCTGGTGCTTAGTAGGGAATGGGGGAATGGATCCCTATCGTAGTCCCTGTTTTTTCCCCAATAATAGTCTCCATAATCCATTCCCCCATTCCCTACTAAGATGAGGGATCCCGCATCTGCAAACTGTGTATCTAAAGCCACAGAGCCTTACACTATCCTAAACCCGCAAAGAAGTCCCGTACAACAGGCTGGTTGGGAGCAACACGCCCTCATTAAATCCCACAATAAATCGATCAAAACCCCAAGCCTGAACCGCTAAACCCTACATAAATGCTAGACCCCAAGCCCTCGTCCGTAAACCTGGTATTATAATCTCTGTACCCTACCCGGACCCTGAAGAACCCACCTTCTTAAGGACTTATGCGAGGACATCATCATAAGGAATCCCTTAAAAAAGATGAGGTTTTATGGGTTTCAGGTAAACCCTAAGCCCCCAACCCTAAACTCCTTGATAAACCCTCAACCCCGTAGAATAATCCCCTGCCCGAAACCCCTAAACCCTACATTCCCAGCCAGAGCGTTTCTTGGCTCTACCGAACCGGGCACTGAAATACTTCCGAGGTACAAACGCAGGGCCATGGCTTTTGGGGCCATGGCTTCTAGGGGCTTCTCGGGATCCGGAACTCTCGCGTTTAGGGTTCAGGGTCGTTTAGGATTTAGGGTTTAGAGTGTTTTGTGTGTGTGCGCGGCTATCTGTGTGGTGTGTGTTTGCTGTGTTTTTGTTGTGCCTTTGAAGGTTTGCGTGTGTTTTGCATGTTCTTGGTGTTTGACCTGTATGCTTTAGAGCAGTTGGCCTGTTGAGTTCGGTGTTTCAGTTTAGGGTAGATGGGGGGTGGGGCTTAGGGCTGCCGGTACCTAGTTCAGGGTTCAGGATCTAATGCGGTGGGGGCAATGACTCTATTTTGTGGCTGAAGGCTCAGGAGGTGGACGGTGCATGACATGAGGCTGAAAGGTTCCATCTTCAGCGGACGAGGCTTTAGATGACGGGGTGGTTGATGCTTCGACTTCAATGAGAGGGGCTGGACTTATGCAGAGTTCAACCATTAGGGATAAATCCTGAAACCGCAAATCCTGACCGTTCCCAAGTAAGGGGCTTCGGTTAACCAGGCCGTAATCCTTAAAGCGTAAACCCTTGTAGAACCCCTTGTAGTACCTTAGCCCTGTAACGGATCCCTGTAAAGGGGCTTAGGATTAAGAGCTTCCAGGGGGATGCTAAGGTGAAACAAATCGCCTATTATGTTTTACAAACGAGTTGTATAAAGTGTAATATATTCAATGACCCCCGACTTTGAATAGCTCTATAGGCCACAGAAGTGAGGCAGGTTTTCGGTGGTCATCCTGACTACATTAAGGGGAGCCGTTGTCGATCAAGCAAGTGCACCAGACAATGTTTCCTGCCAGCAGCCTACAAGAACAACGCGCTGGCTTCACCTAATACTGGGGCTTATGAGGGTTCCTAGTATCATCTTGTTAAACCAGGTGTTCCAAGTTAGGCATCGAAAAACCTGCCGTCGTCATGTATTGAAACTGCAATCTGGCCTGCGAGGCCCTCTCCCGCTGTGCGAAGACCCCAAAATTTCCTGTACTAAAATCCTGAGTAACCCGTAGTTTAGGTTAGCACCGAAAGCTTCCGCAACTTGCTTGAGAACCCCACGCATCGCATCGCGAACAGATCCAGTTCAACTGGACATGGACTGCAAGACAAGTGCGTGCTACTACTGCTGCTTCACACCTCTACATTCCGAATTTAAGGTCTCGGCCGTGAAAGGGTTTACGGCCTTTGGGGTTTAGGATGATCTACGCATCTTTCTTGCCGTGGTTTGAGGAGTCCTTTATGGCTCAGGGTCTCGTAGCAAGCTTCGGATCTAAGCGCCACCTGCAAATAACCAACCGCGTGCACGGCAGGCTTGAAGCCCAAAAAAGCCTGAAGTAGCAAGTTCTTTTTTTTGAACCCTCGTGTCTTTTTGCCTTGTGCTGCTTCAGGTTTTAGGGTCTCGGGATTTAGGGGCTTTAGGCTAAACCCTAAAAACTTGAGTAATTCCAAAAACCATCCACTCAATCCTAAAGCCACGTATGCAGCCGCCAAAACCAGACGTATACAAATCCTCTAGTTTAGAAGGGGCCCCCACCCTGTAATAGTGGTATAATAGGAATATGATAGGGCCCTAATATAATCCTTATAGTCACAATTACAGGGTGGGGGCCCCTTCTAACGTCTAGTGGATTTGTGAAAGCCGTCCAAAGGAGGGCTCACACGGGCCTTAAAGATGAGAATAGGGTTTGGGGAAAAATATATTATTACTATAACTATAACGAACACCAAAACCCCAAAAAACTCAACCCTCAACACCAAACCCTTCATGTGAAACTTCAGACCTCTACGCTCTTGTTGGGATAGCACGAGGGTCTTCATGAGTAAGATAGGGCTATGCGGTCAGTTCTACTAGGTCTCTTGTATACATCTTTAGCAACTAACTATACGGGAGTATCGGAATACTGTTACTAGTTATTCCACCTCCTGCACTTAAGGGTTTGGGTTTCGGGTCTGGGGTTGCCGGGTTAGTGCCCATAATGAAACAAGCAGCTGATAGTTTTTGGTTCTTATACATAGCAAGCCGACCTCTGTCTAACTTTCAATCTACTGGCCAATCTGTCTGCGTTTACTGGTGCGTCTGGCATCCTTGACCTCTGCCACCACGACTACTCAACGTGTTGACTCTCAGTAAACGAGAGAAGGACCTGCCTCTCGGTGCATAGGTGGCCAGATGATAATCAAAAGCTTCCCTGAACCCTGAACTCTAAATGCTAAACCCTGAACCCTGGGCCGAACCCTGGACCCGTGTATCAGATCATGGTAGAAGAGATCTTCTTGACGTGTCACGTGTCAAACGGAACATGAATAACACTCTCGTGTAATACTCATTCGCGGGCTCTCTTAGAGTCTTAGAGACGATGATTTTCCGTGTGTCAACTGCTTTCCAGAAGTAGTGCTGCAATGGCCTTCTCGCAGCCTGCCCGAGACACTTCTACCAACAAGTTCCAACGATTTCCGAAGTATGGTGAGTGTTGTGTCAGGCGTCCCTACAACCAAAACTCTAAACCCTTCTGCAATAATTATGGGGCTCTAGAAGTGGTTTTAAAGGGGGTTCTTGAAACTGTTTGTCCCTCAAAGCTCAGCTTCCGAAAGAGCAGGATACAGGGCTATGTGCACTGCACTAGGTGTCGCTTTCCCCAGTCTCCTATATCAAGCAATAGGTGAACTTAAAAAATATCCCAAATCGAAACCTAGTGTAGGAGCGACTTCAAATAGACGTGGGCTGATTGGGTACAAACCCTAAACGATGTGCTTGCCTGCATGACAGGGGCTTGCTCCAAAGTCCATTTCGGGCCGCAAAACCCAGCAGAACAGAGCAGTGCGGAGTACTGTTGAGTTACATCCTGAACAAAGATTGATGATTGTCCATTCCCCTATTTCCCAAACCCTCAACCCCTTACATCCCTAAACCCTAAATCCTCGCTCGCTACACCCCTAAACCCTACCCTCACTCCCTGCACCCCTAAAGTCCCCTAAACCCTAAACCCTCACTCGCTTCACCCCCTAGCAAGTTGTGACTTTCAGGCCAGGGTCCTGCAGCATTCCACTGGCCATATTATGCAAAGAAGGAAAAAGTAAATCAAGCATGAAGTTTGGGGTTTTGAGTTTAGAGCTCAGAAAAACCCTTCTCCCCACCCAGACCTCAACTACCCTCTAATCTTGGGATTAAGCTCTGCATCATCTGCTATGGCACTTGTGCTACCTGCATTGTGGGCTGCCGGTGCAGTCCGGTACATTCCAAAGGCACCAGCCGGCCAGCCGGTAGACCAACAAGCATCATCCGGTACACCAGCAAGCATCATCCAGTGCACACGAGCCAGCATCATCTGGTACACGAGCAAATATCATCGGGTACACCAGAAAACATCATCTGGCGCAGCAGAAACATCATTCTGCACATCACAACGCATTATCCGGTACACCAGAACTGCGCACCTAAACATCTCATCTGGCATACCACATCGCGTCATCTGATACACTGAAACATCTCAGCGGGTGCGCTGAAGCTCATCATCATGGTACACTCAGCCACATGATCCCGTCGACATCAATACTGCAGCATCCGCGGCAAAAGAAGTTATCCGGGTTCAACCTGCAGGAAAGAAGCAGAAGGTTCGGCAATCTGAAACGATGACCAGAGAACCCACCGCCTGGCGAGCGCGTGGCCCCAAGGGCGGCTGCTGGGCCTGTTACGGAAAAGGCTTCCTGCATCCTCCTCTGATGTTGAGGCGTAGGGATTGGGGTAAGGATAGGGTTGAGGGACAAAGCTTGTGCCTGTGAGATTCGGAAGATTGACAGCCCTGGGAGAAAGAAACTGACTCAGCTGCTGGATGACGCGCGGTGGCAAGCAAAAGGCATGCCTCGCTCGAAAAACATCTGCTTTTACAAGGCGCTGTCCGTCACGTTCATAGGCGAGGCGGCAGTCTTGTTGCACTTTGCATGCGCCCAGATATAAGAGGTGCCGTAGGCTAATTTCAACTGCACTTGGATTGCAAGCCTAGATCTACGACATTGCAAGACATGGCTACGGCCGTAAGAATGCACAGCTCGCTTCCGATGCTTGTGAAGCGAAGGAAAAGGTGCCATCGTCGTCGTCGCTCCCATCAATAATAAAATCATCCAGTCCTTCCTCATGTTCACGTCCGTGGGGGCTGAGCTTAGTTCTTTGAGCCCGATACACATCCCACGCCCGTTTTGCGAACCAGATGTTGCCCATCGCGAAGCTGGAGTACAAGACTACTTGCCAGATAAACTCCGTCCTGTGGAAGTTCTTGAGAGCCAAACAGTTTTCCAGCACGATTCCAGCAAGGAAGAACCAGCACATGAGCACGTACCAGTCCAGCCAGGTGCTGTATCCAATCGCCGGGACCATTTGCGCAACCAGATACTTGTATGCGACGGCTGTAAGCACTAGTGTCAGGGAAGTAGACAAGCGGTCGGCAATCTCTGTTGCCTTGATTTGTGTGTAGCACGCACTCATAGCAACTATCGAACACATGGGCACCACGATGTTCAAGAAATAGTATTTTGGCACCCGTTGCATTTGCACCGTGACGTGCAGCAGTGGGAAGACGGCACCCTTACAGTTGTCCCGAGGGTCGCTGAAGCTCGGGCCGATAATCAATCGGTGGGGCCTGTTCCAGGTATTCTCCAACGAAAACACCCGAAGAGGCACCCGAGAGGCCTCGGCATCGATAAACCGCACTTGAAGCTCATCCCTTTTGCAGGCACGGAAGAAGCAGAGCGTCACGGTAAAGTCCTGACAATCGAAGGGGAAGTCGTGAAGCTCAAGAGATTCCCCGAACTCTCCCACGATCCTCCAGCTTAAGGTGAAGGTGATTTTCCCGTCTTCCTCTCTTTCGGAGAGCCAGGGCTTGAAAGGAGGACCCTCCAAGGGATCCACCATGTTCTCCACAACGATCCTGTCGGCCCCGGCACAATCACTCTTCTGAATATTTTCCAGAAACTTCTTCACCTTCTCGGCGTCTCCTTTGGGCACCTTGGTCTCCGCCTGGAAGAAGAACTGGGCTTTGAAGGTCTGGCTCGTCTGGTTGATGGCCATGAACTTGTCCAGGTTCACGCGCACGCTCATGTCAATGAGCTTGCAGCCCAACTTCTCAGACGTGCACTCGGGTGGCGTCTGCCATCGGTATCTCACCGAGAGCTTTGAAGCCTGATCACGATCCCTGCTGGATCGGGACAGACTCCTGGCCTGCTGCATCGGACTTGCCGGGACTCGAGCCAGAAGATGTCCTGCGAAGATGCATGACGTAGAAAAGCTGGGCAGCCAGGGCAGGAGCCCGAAACTGGGGGGTCCTTACCATGTGGCCTTACTGTATTATCGTACCCTACTATAGATCTCTTATAGAACCCTTAAGGAACCCTTTATACAGAGACCCTATTCTTATTTCTGTACAAGGGGATGACTCAAAACAGTCCCTCGACGGGAAATCAAAGAAGTGTAGCCCCGGGGTTCCGGGCCAGAGCTGCCCCATGCAGCAGCAGCAGCAGCAGCAGCCGCCATGAGGATACGCTTGTTACAGCTTGTTCTTGTTTCCGAGTTCCTGGCTAGGCTCTCGAGATTGGGACAGAATGTGCTCAGACAGAACTGCGATAGGATTGACATTGACATGCACGATTACAATACCAGGAGTTCTGAGAAGGAAGCTAGGCCGCTAGGCTTGAAGGGCTGCCTTGGCAGGGCTTCCTAGGGCCTTCGACAGCAAGATGCGGCAGCAAGGGAGGAGATATCGGGCAGCGAAACCAGAGCAAGCAAGCTTGCCTCGTGATAGAGGCTTCAGGAGCTGCAGCAAGGCTCTTCCGGGTCGCGCCACGCAAAACGAGCTGAAAAACCTTGAATGCTCTTTCTTCGCGTCGCGCTGCAGGAGCCAAGCTCCAAGCAAACAGCCTCTTCGGCCGTCGACACAGCCACTAGGTAGTCGCCGTTTCGGCGACATCTGCGGGTACCATGACCCGGGTCACGCTCGCCAAAATCCTTTGACTACAGTTCAAAGGTCCGATTCAAAGGTGGGCTAAGTGTGATCCGGCCATGCATGTATGACCTCTCGCATTAGCTGCAGCGGCACCCAGCTGGGTCTCGCAATTCGGTCAAAACGAACAAACTTGCTGCATCAACCATCAAGCAGCTCCGGATGCGGCTGAATGAAGCTATGACCCAGTCAAGGTGCGGCCCTGTGCATACCTCGGAGGCTTTGCCTCCGAATTTGACTGCACAGGTGCTGCGACAGCACCGCCTCAGCAGCTACTAGTAGGCAACTCCAGCTTCGCGGAGGCCTCGAAGACATTACCAATGAAATTTTGGGGACTCCTTATAACCATATAGTATAGTATTATATATATATATATATATATATGTATGGTGCAACGCTGCTAGGCCCCCCCCTCCCCCCCCCCCCACCCCATGCTATCCCCCCCTCCCCCCCTGTGGTTCCCTGTCGTGTGGGTTCCCCCCTGCCCCTCCCCGTGTGGTTGCGGTCGGCTGCGCCCCCGTCCATGGCTATTGCTGGTTGGGCGTCCGGTTGCTAAGTGTTTGGACCGTAGGATGTGATACAGTTCTATTGAACTCCGACCTGCCCTGAGCTCCAAAGCCAATGATAGTGATCAATATGATGGTGATGATGATGACGAAGATGGTGGTCATGATCCCCATCCGCACTCTCCTCCGGTCCGTTGCTCAAAAGTCCCGAATGAAAACCATTCAAACACGTGCTGAAGCTTACTTGTAGCGAGCCCAACCGAAACTTGGCTTGGAATGACAACGGTCGATACAGTCTTCGCAAGAACATCACAAGCCAAGCACGGTTTTCAACTAGATAAAGCAATAAACATGCGGTGCCGATGCCCAGAGCAACATAAGAGCAAAGGTACCACCAACAGCCACACTGGGATTAGCACATCAACATCATTGTGCGCAACATTCTCATTTGTGTTCGAAGAGAGGGGAAGGGAAGGCACCCGGTGGTTCCCTGTGTGGGTTATCCTTCCCCACCCCGCCCCTGTGGTTCGCCGTCTTGTGGTTCCACTGTTGTGGGTTATCCCTCCCGCCACCCTCCGTTTGCTAAGGCGAGAGGGATCGTGTGACTGTTTGATCGAACGCCTCGGGGGGGGGGGGGGAGGGAGCATACCATGGGGGGTGGGGGGGGGGGGGGGGGGGGGGGGGGGGGGCCTGCGACGCGGCGACGCGGCACCATATATCAAAACCCTGTTCTAAGTATTAAGGCCCCTATATCATCAGCCTGGGCTCTGAGCTTGCGACAAAGAAAGGGCACTACAAACTTGGATGAGGGAATATCGCTCCATCGAGGGTTTAGGGTTTAGGGTTTGGGGAGCCCCTGTCATACCTTTGGTTAGTAGGGAATGGAAGAATGGTAGTAATAGCCATTCCTCCATTCCCTACTAACCAAGGGTAAGTTGCCTTTCTGTCGGTCCACCCAGCTATGCCTAGATCCTCCAGCATGTCTCTTTTTCGGTGCACGGCGGTGTCGAGACACACTGTATGCCAGTCTATAAGCTTGTCTGCCTGCCTGTCTGTCTGTACGTATGCATGCATGCATGTATGTGGGCTTTTGCGCTTGCGTAGGAAGGAAGGAATGCAATGATGATGCACATATTTTGGCGCCGGAAGGTGGGTACACGTGGGCATGCGGGTATGGACTGCCGCAATCTTAGCTTGGATGTCATACTACTGTCTTACGCTCGATTCCTTGTTCTGTTGTACAATGCTGGGCGGGTCAGCCGTGGTCCGGAGTTCACAGTCACTCAGAGCCGTGCTGAATGCATTAGAGTGCATCAAGCGATCTTCAAATCCCCTCGACTAGACTCTGGCATCAGGTTTGTGACAAGGTTGGGAGCATCTCACTCAGTGCAAGTGCCCAGCTCGGTGAGGTGCCTGCAGAATACAAGGATTCCGGTCTTCCTCCTAAGGTGCCACGGGCTTCCCTCGCGAACCCCAACCGGAAGGTCCGATCACGGAATTCAGAGCCCAATCTGCTGAGAGATGTATTTAAGGATAGCAATGATGCCCTCTTCATGATCAAGAGCTGCTGAATTCCAGGCATCATCCTGCTTGGCTGGTATTCCTTCACCGCTTGGTATCAAGCTTTCTCCTCTCTCAGCTGAACACATCTCCGAACCTCAGCTTCGGGCACCCAGCGCCGATGCCGGAACAGCATGTCCGCGCATGTCAGGTGGCCAAGCTTTGTGGCGACTTGGAGGGGCGTCTGGCCTTAGGAAAAAGCACGGCCCTGCTCTTGCCGTGTTGGAGGCGTCTTGCGACAAGCTGTCTCCATCCCAGGTTTCGAATCGAAGATGCGAGATGCTCAGCTGAGATGTGACTAGCAAGAAAGTAGTAAGTAGTGACTGCTTCGCTATACACATTGAACCACCCCCCGCCCCCCGGCCCCCACCCCAAACGTGGCCGCCTAGTTCTTGATGTGTGTCATCACGGACTCCGGGGCGGCTGCCGGCTTGGTCCTGTACTTCCTGTGCAAGTATGGCCAAGCCCACAGCAGGCAACGACGGACAGATCACCTGCCATGCCTCGGCAGCGCCGGCGTTCAGAAGGGCCACCAGGCACTCTGTCTGTCCATGACTGGCCACCCAGTGTAGCGGGGTCGAACCTTGGTGAAAGCCGCTGAGACATCGTGAACGATTGCGGCCTGCTCGTGTGCTGCGGCACCCCTGAGGATGTGGCCGCTGTTCTCCCGCACGTCCTGTACAAGTTGGGTGTTCGACGGAGAGTTTTTTTGCGACATGCCAGGCACGCTGGACGGCTTTATCTTTCTAAAGCCTGCGGTGACAGAAAACCCCGCCGTGGCAGCGCCGGCGTTCAGCAGCGCCACCAGGCATTCCAGGTCGCCGCAGTGGGCTGCCCAGTGGAGTGGGGTCCAACCTGGGCGCAAGACCAAGCCAACGCTCACCACGGGTGGCACGGGCTTGGTGGGCTGATCGGAGCTGCAGGCCAGGTCTTATCATGTTTAACGGCTTGGTGTTGAAGGCCTGAGAGCTGGACCACAGTTGTCCTGAACATCCTGCCCAGGCGTGGATCTTGTGAGCAAATGGTGACCGCAATTTGCCAGGCTTTGGCACAGCAATTGCATAGCCGGGACACAGCACCCACCCGCGCCTTGATCGCGCCAGCTGTTAGAAGCGCATCCAGGCATGCCAGGTCAGCATACTGGGCTGCACAATGGAGTGGAGTCCAACCTTGGTAAGGTACGGGACAACTGCAAAGAGCACAGGCAGTCGACTCATCTCAAGACTTGACAACTCCTGCCCACTTGCACACAAATCTTGTTGTGGATGCTGCTGCTGGATGCTGGCATGGTGCCAATCTGCAAATTCCAACGTGACAGGCCACAGATCTTGTAGTTCATGACTGAGATATTCCAAATTTGAAATATTGGCTGTATCCAATACGGGTTCCGGGCTCGAGTTGCTGTCTTGATGTCTTATGGCTTGGCTTCGGGTGCATTTCGGCTTCAAATGCCCTGTCAGGCGTATGCTGAGAGGTCACCTTTCCAAGCTGGGGCACTGGCCGCTTTGGTCCTGCGCATCCTGCACAGCAGGCTTCCGAAGTTGTGTCAACAGTCGCTTCCATTATTACCCAAACCGCTCTGGACAGAACTGACGGATGCAATGCTGCTCGTGCCATCTGTCCAAATCCTGCTAATTATTCAGTGCTATTCCTATGAACAACATCCGGACATGCAATGAAGACCGCTGCTATGATCATCCACACGACTCACATGTTTGATGCTCTGAACGCGACCCATTTGGATTGCTGTCATAACATACCGAGCCGTCAAAACATGATACTGCTCAGCCCTGTCACAATCATGAAACCATGCACAGAATTGCCTAGCATTGAGACTCCCGAAGCGTAAACATATGCAACGAGCAACGAGGATGGGACTTGCGCAACACCGCGTAGAAAAATGATTTCCACATGATGATGCATCGCTTGTGGATAGCAAATGCTCTGAGCATCATGAACAGTCTGTTACATCACATTAGTTGAATGTTCCTTTCGCTCAAAATACATTGGCATTCCCAATTCCCTGAATGCTGTTATCTTCACAAAGAAACTGAGGAATTCGACCCGCAGAAGTTTCTACTGAGGGGTACTCTCAGTTATCTCCTCTGACGTACTTTACTGGCTGCCGTCTTTGGCCTTCGCAGCGCCAGCGTCCAGCAACTTCTGGACGCACAAGTAGTGCCCATGGCGGGATACCTGGCGATGCGGTTCCAGACCTTGGTGGGAAGGAACTCCTCCAAGCGCAAATACGAGCTCCCCGAACCTAGCCGAGGACAATCACAGTATCTCTGCATCGACTGAGTCGTCAACCCCATCTTTCATTTCGGCAGGAACAGCAACATCGGCAGGAGCACGAGCACCAGCAGTTGGAGACGAAGAGCGTGGTAGAAGCAGAAGTAGGACAGCAGCAGCAGATAGCAGCAGTCGCAGCACCACTGGTGGGAAGAACAATCGCGACGACGCTTCTCGGACAGTTTTAGCACTGACATCGCCAAGTTGAACTTCCTCCATCTAATGTTCTGATCAGAGCGTGCCCTCAAAGGATGTCTTGTTTGCGGGCCATGCCTAGTACCTCTGTTCTTGTCAGTAAATGTGGCAGGCACTGCCCTACGAAGACTGCCACGACATGCCACGACCAAAGCGACGAAGCATCCGAAGTGAGGCTAGGGCCATGGCACAAGGCTTCAATCTTCCGGCCCTGGACCGAAGACGGTGGCTTAGACAGATCTGTTGCATGTCTAGTTCTAGCACATGCAAGTTAGCGAACTGACACACTGTAAAATCTGCGTCCCAAACACGAGACTGGTTCCAGGAGGGCCCGGATAACGCTGACGCGACCAACAGCCACATACTGGCAACCAGTCTCACAAGCAGCATTTTGCAAACATGGAGATATGAGACCCGCGGAAGCGTGTGAGCCTGTCGACGATGCCGTTCGAAACTGACTACACACTGGGGAACGAGGAGCTAAGCATAGCGGCCTTTGGGGAAAGACGTGACTAGACAATCTGAGAAAGAGGTGTAAACGTACAAGCCCATGAAAACGGTATTGAGAATATCAAAAGGGCTCGAGCGTGTTTGAGAAAGAAGTGCAAACTGTTCGACTAGACTAGAGAATTTGAATACATACAAACATACATGCAGACATAACTGTATACATGTACTGTATATTGTATATATATATATATATATTATATATATATAAATGTAAATATATATATATAAAGACATAGACAAACATGTGCGGTGCCCTCGCGGCAGCTCCTCCAGGATCGCCATGTCACCACGGCTTGCTGCCACATGGACTGGTGTCCGACCTTGCTCAAGTGCCACGTGGACACACATCCGAAGGAGACAACGGCAGTAGTGCAAGATACCAGTGTCTCGACGCGCATGACTTCGAAATGCCAAGAGGCACAGGTGTCCGAATCCTAGACCAGCCACAAGGAGCACGAGGCCCTGGCCATCACAGGTCGTCGCGTCCTGCTAAGGGCAGGCAGCTTACTTGGGAACAAGCTGTGGCTTGATCGTTAGTGTCGTGACGTAGTGCTCGATGCATGTGGACTGTTGGTTGTTGCTTGCTGCCCAGCAGTCAGAGACAGCTCCAGCTCAGCTCCAATCGCAAGTAGCAGCTTTAGGCACAGTTCGCTGTGTCGTTCCTCAATGCTGCTACGAGTCCGGAGAGCTTCGCGCACGCAGGTCTTGACGGATCACTCTGCATGGTGAGTCTGCTTGGAAATGTCGGATACAACCTGTTCACAACATGGTGGGGTTGAAATGGCTGGAGGCTGAGAACCCTGAGGATGTCGACCTTGTCGTTGACGCCACTGTCTGTTCACTCCATATCACTTCCTACCTATACTTCTCCCTTTCTCTTACTGGTTTGGCACAATTCGACATCTGCAGCCCGTCCTTGGCCGCGCCTGCTTGGAGAAGCACTTGCATGCACTTCTCGTCACCAGTGCTGGCTACAAGATGGAGCGGCGTCCAACCTTGGCGACAGCAGGGGTCCATGGACATCTGCGGAGTACGATACGGAAGGATCTCTTGGGTGCATGTGTCTTCTCCGTGATGGAAACGACACTCGCTGTGTTGGACAACCGAAGCGGTTCAATGCTGTCGCTTTCACTTCAGATGTGGTCAACGCAGGCTGGTCGCCATGCTAGACTTCTCACACCAAGGCAGCCCAGCGGAGCGTCTTATCCAGCTGGCAACAAACAAGCAGAGATGCATTGGCTGGTGATGGGAGGGATAAGGTGTATAGTACATTGCAGCGGTGAATCCGAGAGGACAAGGGGTAACGAGAAGACAAAGAACAGCAAATGCAACTATACACGAAAAGTACAATAGCTAGATGCCTTTCTGAGTCTTACCATGTTTGGTTACGGCACCGTCACCGTCATCATGCACCTCACTATCATCGTCATCATACCACTCGACGTCCTCTCGCCACATCATCCTCATCATTCCAACGCAGAGTCGACTCTCCTGAACTAAACCCCAAATCTCTAGACCCCTAAACCAAACCCTAAAAACCCGAAACTTTAAACACCCAAACTCCAAAAGCTGAACCGCAAATCTCCAAAACAGTGGCGGCGCAGGGGATTCCTGAGGACCCCACCCGCTTCGTCCCGAGCGTCCTTTTCCGATGTGTAAGCTTTGCAGGACTCGAAGAGGCCCCACACATTCTCAAGGGTCCCTTTATATACTTGAAGGACTGAGCTTCACTTAAGGGGTACTTGGGACATTGGGGGCTCTGGGCTTGCACTTCAAGCACATATGGAGTTCAGGGCTTAAGGCCTACACGTGAAAGAGCTGCATGGGCCAACATGTCGGCACAGGGGCCTGACATGCATCTGACACATTGCGTACACGACAAAATGCAGCTCCTCTCTCATTGCACTGTCGTGCGACACTGACAAGGAACAGTTCGGGTATGTTCAGGTATTCCGGGCTCCTTGTCGAAGCCTTTGGCCAGCAACAGCTTGAGGCACACCACGTCACCCTTCCTGCTTGCGTCGTGGAGATTCGCGCAGCCTCGGCTGGATGTCGGTAGGGGTCTCAGGGTGCTGCTTCCGGAACTGTCTGGGCTTCTGGCAAACGCGATCGTCGCTGATCTGTGCAGCGTGCCCGCTATCGCTGGCTAGGTTGTGCTCTTCCTCCTCCCTCAAGTGGATGAAGCGATGTAGATGCTCCTTCCGCTGGCCGTGCTCCTGGAATGCCACCGGCGGAGCATGCGCCTGACTCTCCCACTGTGTTGCCACGGATCTCGACTCAACGACGAAACTCAGCGACTGCTGCAGGAAAGCCCCAGCTTCGGCAAGCTCATTCCTCAGGCACTTGCGCTCTTCTTCCACACGACATTTCGCTTCCTCCATCTGCTCAAACGCCTGTCGCTCCTTGCGAGTGGCTACGGCCACCTCACCCCTGATGTTCAGACACTCCGTCTGAAACTGGCTCCGCTCCTGCTCCACCCTAGCCGCAGCTTCTTTCCGTTCTTGCGCTGTCCTTTCCAACGTTTCTTCCTTCGAAGCCTCACAATAACTCAGAGCTTGCTCCAGACGGTCGTTCTGTTGGCCGAAGCATCGAAGCTCTTCCTCCGAGCGGCACCGGCATGCCTCCGCCTCAACCTTTAAGGCATTCAGCTCTTCTCTGAACTGCCGGCGCTCCTCCTCAAACAGTCCATTCTCTTGACTAGCCTGTTCAACTGCCTGCTTGCACTCATGCTTCGTTTTCTCCAACTCTTCCGTCGATGTCTCCTCCCAAAAGAGGAGGGAAAGCTGGGCACGGTGGTTCTCCTTCCTGGCCTGTTGAAGCTCATGCCAGAGACACTCTTGCCGTCCTTGCTCCGCCTGCGTTTGGGCCACGAGCTCCTTCTTGGCTGCCTTTTCCTGCTCAACTAGGTGGTTCATATGCGCTTCCTCTAAGCAGCTCCGCTCGCGCTCCGACTCCTGCTCCTTTTGAGCACACTCCAGCTGAGCTTTGAGACGCTGACACTCCTCGTGCAACTGACCTCTCACTTCCGCCGCAAGCATAGAAGCCTGCTGTCGCTCAGAGAGGGCTTCTGCCTTCGATTCAACGACCATCATCAAGGAAGCCTGCAGGCTTTTCCTATCCCTGCCAGCTTTCTCGAGCTCAGTTCCGCGATGTTGACACTCTTCGTGCAAGTCGTGTGCCTTTTGCTCCAACTGCTGGAAAGTGGCCTCGATGCGCTTGCACTCCTCCTCCGATTGGCCTTCCCTTGCAGAAAAATATTCCGACTGGGTCCTAAGACGCTGGCATTCCTCGCTCAGGTCCCCACACTGCTGTTCTTGTCTTTCGAATACCTCTGCCTGCAAAGCCCTGAAAGCATCCAAAGCCTGCTTCAAGTTGTCGTTGTGCTGCCGGGCGTCTCGAAGCTCTTCGTTGAAGCTGCAGTGGCATGCCTCTGCCTCGAAGGAGACATGCTGCTCCTTGAGGGCGGCAGCTTCCAGTTCTGTGCTCAAGCGCTGACGGTCCTGGTCCCACCGCTCACGCTCCTGCTGTCTTTCCTCCACCGTCACCTCCTGCTCCCGTTGCGTCCTCTCCAACCGATCTGCGACGACGTCTAGTGAAAGCTGAATCCGGGATCTGTCTTTCAGGGCCTCGTCGAGTCGCACTTCCAGGCGGCTGGTTTCCTCCTTTGCCTGCGTTATGGCTGCTTGCTCCAGGCGCCCCTGAAGCTCGTGCTCTGCCTCCGAAGACTCAGCAGACTCCTGCTGCGTCTGAGCCAACTCAAGCTCAGCTTTGACACGCTGACACTCCTCCTGCAGAGCCTGCTCAGCCTCCCGAAGCTCTTCCTCGAAGCGACCCCGGCATGCCTCAGCCTCGGCATTCAGCTCTTCCTTGAAGCGATGACGCTCCTGGTCGCAACGCCCTTGCCCCAACTTCGCCTCCTCCACTGCCTGCTCCCACTCCTCCTGCTTCTTTTCCAACCTTGCCTCGAGTAAATCCTTGTCTTTCTGGGCCTGCTCGAGCTGCTGCTCCAGTCCGCTCCTCTCCAGCTGTGCCTGCACTTTTGCCCTTTCCTCCTTGCGAGTTGCTTGCTTGCTCTCAGCCAGACACCTCTGATGCTCACTCTCTGCCTCCACAGCAACCTCCTGCTGCTCCTTTAGCTGTGCTAAAGCCGCATCTTTCGAAGCCATCATGTCCTGGAGCTCTTCTCGTAGAACATCGCCTTCCCGTTTGACACCTTCTAGCTGAGTTCTGAGACTCTGGCAGTAATCCTCCTTCCCTTCCTGCTCCGCACCCGAAAGTCTCGTCTCTTGCTCTGTTTGCGCAGCGGCATCTACCTTGCAATGGGAACTCTCCCGCAGGCGTTGCTCCTCTTCTCGGACACGGCGGGCCAGCTCGGCCTCCGAATATTTCAGAGCCCGCTGGGTCTTGCTCAGATCCTGGCGGACCCTCTCGAGCTCCACCTGTAGTGCTTCTAGTGGCTGTCTTTGCAGGTTCTCACTGCTTTGATTCTCACTCTGCTCGGGCAGTGCCTGCAGGATCAAGTGTCGAGAACACAACCTGGAGCTCTCTACTCCAAATACAAAGCACAACCGACTTATGGATCTCGGTAACAGTCCACCTGAATCGGAAAAAGAACTCGCTCAATGTCTGCGGTATCTGTATGTTGCGGATCTCATCACTTGGATCTGTCTGCCATCCCCACTCTGCTTTTCCCAGAGTCTGGCGTGCCTGTGGTATTGACTGCATGGGCTTCGGCGTTTTAGATCTGTCTTCCTGCGCGGATGTATTTGAAGGCCTCTGTCTTGCCTACGGACGGCTCTTGCAACTTCTGCGCGAGTGCCTAGAACCCCGTCACCGTAATCACAAAATGACCTGACTGAGGACAGCCCGCATTAGGTTCGGCGACGGTACGACCTCGATTGAAGATCGAGCATGAGCTAAACGTGTCAGGCACTTTTGTTTCACACTGCAGTTGAACCTAGCCTGTACTCTGACGAGAATCACGACAGGGAACTGCGTGCTTGTGTCCTCAGTCCTGAAACCAAACACTCCTAGTACAGTGCTTCGAGCAGAGGCAAGAAGCCTCGTGCATGCCAAAGGATTCAGGCCATGAATTCCGAACCATTCTCACTGTCTCACTCACTCCACACAGTGAGACCAAGCCGCACAAATGTCAGAGTCACAATCTTCTACAGCTCAACACAATTCAGGGAATACCTTCAGCACCGGATGAACGAAACCAGTTACAAACCCCAGGCGACGCGGCGTCGGGCTTGTCCTTCTTGGAGGCTTGGTCCACCGCGCCTGCACAGGAAGACAGGACGCACGCATGACACGAGAAAATTCTTCTTTCGGCAGAACTGACCGGCTTGACGAGGAACAGTACGGAGCTCTGCTGACGAAATGGCCACCTTGCCTTCTGGTGAGGGCATCTCCAGCCCAAGGCACCTAACAGGGTGTTGCTTACATGTGCTTGCCCTCGGAAGGTTCGCCGAACATGTCAAGCCTTCTGAGAACACCGCCTCCTAAAGCAAGTCACACCTAGGTCGGGCGCATCTTTGCAATTGCCACCGGCCTGTAACGCAGGAGATCCACATGCTGCTGCAAGCCAGGCAGGACCTCATCTGCCTCCAATGCTCGAACCTGTCACTGGTAAAGCTTCCGAGCGGATGTCGATGGGGTCCAGATGGGTCCAGGCACCAACACGATGGAACTCCAAGTGCTGAAGGATTCTGAAGCTGACACCCGACAGCACAACATAGCAAACTGAATGTGTTGATGCTGCGCACCCTTGCAGTTGACATATCACGCTGCACAGTAAGTGTAACTCATGAGCCTGACTTGTTTCACGCAAAGGGTTGTGGGCCTCCCACGTAGCCTCTGGAGACACGGATGCAATGCCGTCGATCCTCTTCGGCAGAAGGGTTGCCTCTCACAAAAAGTGGAGCACACCAATGTTCGATGCCTTGAGCTACCGACGGATGTCAAGAACATCATCACCTAAGCTGATTCCTGACGTTCGCAGACTTGCTCAAATCGGCAAGGCCTGCCTGGTGGATGTTAGTTGGGTACGGGATTCCTGCGAACTTGACGTTCTCCATCCCGAACTTGTGTCTCATCCACGCTTCGATGACCTGGACCGGATATGTCATCTGAACAAGAGCATGTGCTTAAAGTGCTCGGATTGTCATGGCGGCCGCCTGGTCCGAGAAGCTCAAGCTGGCAAGGAGAAATGTCGGGATTCGCGCAATGTCCTCCAGCTGTTCCATGCAACGGCAGAACTCTTTCCGAGCTGGACCATAAGGGATGTCGGGCAAGTGCCTCAACAGAACACCGAAGCACAGGCAGGCTTCATTGATGCTGTCAATGCATTGTAGGACAAGGGACGTGGTGACAACTCGCAGCGAGCTGGCATCGCCACTGTCATCGCGCAGCTTGAACGAGGCCACTGCCACGGCCTGGACGTCTATGTTGGGCCAATCGGCACTGAAAGCGACAAAAGTAGCATCATATCATTACGCTGTGCTTTTGGCTCTTCCACGTTTCTGTCGACCCTTCACCTGAAGCCATGCCCGATGTGACATAGACAGAACCTAGAAAGTGGCAGGGCTCGCACTGGCTACCTTGTCGGTGGCATCTCTGTACGGCTGGAAAATCTTGAACGCATCTTCGTTCAGCTCCATTGACTTGCTGTCGAAGATAATCGCCTGAGGGCGGAGATGAACGGACACTGTCAACCACTCAGCGGACGACGAGTACCATCATCACAACCACGCGAATTCAATGAGTCCGTTCTTCCGTCAGTCGGTCAGTCAATCATTCATTCGTTCATGCTTTCCATCACTAAAGCCAAAACAGACGTGGCAAGACCATCAGTCAGCTAGCTGACAGAAGTCTGGACAACTGACCGGAAGGACCCAAAAAGGCCTTGGTGTTCTGCAAATGAGGGGAACCATGCACCCCCTTGCATTGGCTCGAAAAACATGGCCGTACTTCCAAGAACGATTGACGCGAACACGAAGTTAGCTAGCAGCAACGGCATCGGCAACAGCGAGAGAGAGAGAGAGAGGGGGCAAAAGAAACAAAAGAGAGAGAGACAGAGCGAAGCGAGACGGAGCAAGAGTGCGGGGGGGAGAGAGAGAGAGAGAGGGAGAGAGAGAGAGAGGGAGCAACTGCAACGGCAAGAAGAACAACAACAAGAACAAGAACAGGGCAAGAACAAGAGCAGCAACAACCACAGACGAACAGCAGCAGCAGCAGCAGCAGCAGCAGCAGCAGCAGCAGCTTACCCAGCGGCCTCTTGGTTCTTCTGGCTCAACTCCCGGCCGGTGCGGCGCACTGTGAAGTGTAGGCTTCGCAGCTCCCACTCCAGCACTGCGAGAAGCTCCGGCCAACATCCCTGAAGACAGACGATTGCCTTGGGCATCTCGGACTGACGGTCGAGCATCGTCTTGACGGCATCTACGATCTGCCGGACCCTCTTCATACTCATCTTACTCGCGCGGTGAATGCTCGAGCCCCGGAGGCCTTGCAAGTCTTTCTCGATGTGCTCCAAGAAGTGGTGGTTGAGGACGTTCCAGGACACCACGTACAGGTCCTTCCGATGCAAGGCAGAGGCCCCCTTGCCCCGAAGTTTTGCGCCGACAGGAAGATGGTCGGAGACGAAGTCCCACTTCTCGTGGAGGGGCTCCGCGAGAGGATGCGGGAAATGCAAAAAACTCCCCAGCCAGTTCATCAGTACCAGCTCCACGCATGCTTCCAAAAATTCTTGAACCTCCTGCAACACCTTCTCCACCAGTTCCGGTGCTGTTTTCTCCTGGCCGACAGCTGCAGCCCGATCCTGTTCAATGCTCAGCGTCTCCAGGCGCCGAATGACATCCTGCACGCAAGTGAGGCCTTCGGCGGTCTCTGGCTGTGGCCCGCGCCAATGCGACTCTGCAAGCTGCCTCTCCACGTCCTGCAAGCTTTCACCTCAGCACAGCCGCCACAATGCGACAACCCAAGTCACTTCACACCCCTTGGGATCCGGCGAAGCGCTGGAAGATCTGCTAAGCCGTCGTTGAAGGCATCGTCCTGCAACTCCTTCTCCCTCGTCCTCAGGGCACGGAGCAGCAAGCAAGGAGTTCGTGCATTGCTTGATGCAAGACAATGCACCTCGCTGCAAGGGTGATGCGAATAAACTCCCTTGCTGGCCTTCTCAGCATGGTGAGCAATGTTTCAGCATGTGCCGCAATCTGGGTAAGTCTTGCTGGCCAGGCAGAAAATATAGGCTTCAGGAAGTGAAGCATGTGCAAATGCTTCTCCAGATCAATCTCACGCTGGGCCAAAAACGCACTGCGTTCCCACAAGCGCTTCGCCTGAGTGCTGCAACTCGGCGGCTCAGGGGAACATCAGCATGGCTGTAACGACCTAAGACGTGTAGTCTGGTTGCATTTGAGTTGCCAGCTTCATGGCTTTAGGATGCGGACCGGAGTATTCGTGCATACACATCTCCACGGCTCCAAGGAAGTCCTTCTCCGGTGTTACCGGGTGGATCAAACCAGTTCCGGAGCTGTAGCCAAATCGAATAACATTGGTCACCTCGAAGAACCGAGCCTGTGGCGAAGTGTTCTCCGTCTTGAAAAGGTCCGTCTTGGCATAGAAATCCATTTTGGCCGCGCGCGAGCGGCTTCCATGTGTCAACACATCTTGCAGTCTTACCACTGCTCCCTTGTCATCGTGCTTGCTCCCATTGAGCACATCTGGCACCGACCAAACCAAGCCACCTGCCTTCAGCCCACCCCAGTATACAGTGGGCTGGTCAATGCTCTTCCCGGCCCTGTCGAACTTCTGGCAGAGCTTCTGCAGCAAGCTTTGCAGTTCGCGCGCTGCTTCGTTTCTATCTTCTGCTTCTGGAGCAGTTGCTGCTGCCTTGCCTCCCTGCCCGATGTCCACTATCAAGTACTCCTCCAGATCGACATCACCTGGGAAGACCATTTGACCAAAGCGGAAACTGCCGTCTGGACGGCAGAGGCTTTGCAAGGAACACCGGTCGACGACTTGTCTCAAGTCCTCGCTGAGATCAGCGATGAAACGCTCCTCGACCAACGCTGACAGTCTGCAGAACTTGCATTGGGTCTTGCAACCTTGTTTGAGACATGGCGTGCATCGGATAAACCTTTCTGCATCCTGGATGCCAGCCCAGTCAACATGTCGCAGGCACTTGTGCTGCTTCAATTCCTCAGCTGTCATCGGTTTAAGTTGAGCCGCGTCCGTGGCAAAGCCCATGATGCTTGAAAGCTCGCTCGCGGTCTTGTTGAGCTCCTCTTGCGCTAAGTCCTCAGTCGCCCCGGTGACAGCAACTCGGAGCATCCGGAATTGGCTTCCACTCGCCGGAAAGAGCGACACACTGACCAGTGTGCTGCCATCCGATCGGAACTCCAAGCGGTTTCGAAAGATCTGAGGTGCCCCTGGCCGCAATCTGCTGTGGTCTGCCCCTGCTCCAGCCTGGAGCTTTAGCTCGCACAGGCGGTGAGCGATTTCGGGGAAGAGGTTTGGCGAAACGAAGCCATCCACGTCAATATAACCAACTGTACATTCAGCCGGATGTGGATCCGGAAGGTGGGCCAAGGGCAAGCAGCACGGTACGGTGAACTCATCCTGCATGCGTCGTCTTTGGATTATACCTTTCGAAAGCATGACCTCTGCCATGATCGTCCTTTCTTCCGGACTGTTTTCCTCCCACAAACACTGAAGGAGCTTCCATGTTACCACTCCACTTGTTTTGAAGCGATACACGTCTTTGGGCATGCGCCGTCTCACGACGTCGATGCTTTCTTTGTGTTCCTCCGAGTGCTCGAATGCACTTTCGTCCCAGTACCTCAAACTCATGAGGGAGGCCAGAGCGAAGGCAACTTTCCGAACATTCAGAAGCACGTGATCGCGAAGGCCAGGCTTGTTGTACCAAAAGAGAACCCCAAGCGCGTGCAACAGATTCAGCAGCCGGGGGATATCCTCTGCTGCAACGCCGGATGGCTGCATGCTCATAAGCAGTACTTCGAGCTGATCCAGCCGCAGAGATATGCAGTGCACTTCAATTGAAAAGCTATCTGTCACATCATTATCATTATCACAACCGGCGTTCTTGAGACAAACATGCGAAGAGGCAGGAACTACAAAGTCTTGAAGAAGGGTTGCATGCTTGCCTTTGAGGTTCTTGGCCAACACTGCCGTCCCAGGTAATGGATGAGTTGGAAGAACTTCGTCAAGTGTCGCTCTGTTCACGGTGAGCTTGAATGGTGCAGCTAGTGCAGTCAGAAACTCGTGCGCACGCAACCAAGATACCGGATACCTCTCTGCCTGCATCTCAACATGTTGTGGTGCATCAGCCTCTTGTTGATGAGCCTGCAACCATTCTCGACGAGGTGTAAGAATATCCCGGGCCAGTTGTTGCAAACGGTTTCGCAGAGGCTGTATGTATTTTTCTGAATCGCTGTCAAAGTTTTCGACTCGATGCAGCCATCCGGACCGAGTATTCACGCGTTGAAGCTGCTGTCGCAAACGAGGCAACTGCAGCAGCAAGCCATCAATGCGGCGGTTGATCTCCTCCGCATTAAACGTCTCGTGACTCTGGGACCACTTCGTCCCAACTACCAGGACAGGAGGAGCCCCGTGCGACCCTATTTTCACGTCAGCCGCATAACGGGCCACAGCCCACAACCAAAACTTCAAATGATGCCAGGCTTCCTCCGTGCGCAGGGATGGATGCGGTCTAGGTACATGTTCTAATGATTCTAATGCTCCGGCATCCACTGGGCTTCTTTCCACTCCGACATACTGACATCATCACATCTTCGAATTAAGCTTACCTAGATACTTTCGGAGATTTGTTCAGGTTGCGATATTGAGGCACGGGTAAACCGTACATACGTCCGGCATGTGCTGAATCAGCCTGGGGATCGTCAACAATAATTTGGGAAATGACCTGCCTCCTTGTCCAGGCTGGTATCACAGAAGACGACATAGATCCCACGCTTCTGGAAGTAGAGCAGATTGCAGAGAGCATACTCTTCTTGTCCAGGCAAGTCCCAGCACTGCAGGCGCGGCTGGAGTGCAGAGTCCTCTTCTGAAGAGTTTTTGGCAGCATCTGCAACCACCTTCACAACCAAGTCCCCGATGGGACGTGCTACTAAGGGCTCACCCTTGTCTTTCGGCAGTTCAGGCTCAGGCTCCTCTTCATAGACAGATCCACAGAATGATGAAGGTGCTTCCTCACGGAATTCAGTCGTCGGCGTCTGCTCCTGGGCTGGGCTTTCTTCGAAGCCAACGTTCTTCTTCGCCGCCGTCATGTTTTGACCATCTCCGCTTGCACCATTGTCTTTCTGATCGAGCTCATCGTCGGAAGTGGGCAAGGCTCCTGGAATGCTAGGTTTGGCTGGTGCCGGTGGCATCTCGCCGTGCTTGTCAGAATATTCTGAGATTGTCCGGAGCCTCCAGCTCCTGGCGGAAACGGACCTAACAAGCGTGGAATTTTGCCCAAGGCTTTTCTTCGCCCTTGCCGGCTCTGTCTTCACCCTCCTATCCTTGCGCATGCACTGGACGGCTGTGTCGTCATAGAGTGATGTATTGCTCTCCCTCCACGTGCAGCTCAGATCCTTGTCGGCCTCTCCAGCCCAGATGTCCACACCAAAGGTCGAAATCTCGTCTGCACGTGGCTGCTCACCCTTCAGCCGCCTTGAAAGGCAACATGCAGTCTTTGCCAAAACAACCCCAAACTTAAAGTACGTGACCATGAATGTCCCAAGTGGAAGAGCGGTTCCCTGAGCTACCGAGTTTCCATGAGGTTCCGAGAGGTCTGTCTGATTCTGCCTGTGTTTGCATCTCCGGCCTCAAGGTGGTTGTCTTCCCGGCCCGGCCCTGGCCCACGAAGTAGAGGCGGACGACGGGCAGCGGCGCATGCCCGGACTGCTGCCATCTACCAAGCTCGCGTCTCGCGCGCTCCTCGAAGGGTGAGGCGAAAGGCGCAGCATTGGTATACAGTTTTCAGCCTTTGCGATTCAGGAATTTGGGCGCTGCACGCGTCATGCGGGCATGAGCACACGGAGAAGAATGTGCTTGATGTACTGGCTTCGTTCACCTAGAGAACCTGCGGGGATCATAGAAAGCAAGGTAGCCTTTCGTTTTCCTGTACAGTATTAACTGAGATGATGATGAAGATGATGACGATGATGATGATGATCGCGTAGCATGCCTGCGTGGTGATAAAGCCTGCTACACCTCTGAATCAAATTTAGCACACTCGGCGCGACCTCCTCGCGATTCTGCAAGAACTGGGCAGGGCTCTGGATCAGGTCGTTGAGCATCGTGCTGTCGAGATCTCCGAGAACCGAAGCTTGGATCTTCATCGTGTCCAGTTCTCTGAGGAAGCCTTGGAAGTGACTGGGCTCGACGATGCTGAGGAAATTCGTCAGTGTCATGGGCGCCTCAGTTTCATCCTCGGGCTCTCTCAAACGGGCTGGCAAGGCCTTGTAGAGCTGCCGCAGCTTCGGCATGTGCTCTGAGACGGCATCCCGCACATCTGGAGCCAGCGTCAGCCTACTCAGGTCAACTTCTTCCTCATCGGCCTGGGCTTGCCGGTGGGGGATTCGGTTACTCTACGCCAACAACCCCTGCTATCACAGCACTCTCTCCTTGCGCGGGTTCACACGCCATCCTGAATATGCTTCATGCCGAAGCACGGTTGAGCTGCTTCAGGCAAGCTCGGTTGTCATCGCCCCACCCCGTCAAAAGCACGCAGCACTCCGTGCGCATGTCCGCTACGGTGCCTGTTAACGACTCTTTTGGGTGCTTGCTGATTGTGTCGTGCAAAAGTCCACACAGTTGACGTAAACATAGTGCACCTCATGTTGAGGAGTATCTTAATAGATGCAGCTTCACTGACCTCAGCAGGACAGAAACTTCAGCTCTCAGTGCCTCCGAAGCGGCTGGTCTCGACGGTGCATTTATCACCATGGTGAGCCTTTCTGAAAGCGGCACGTTCTGGAGCTTGTAGTTCTCGGACAATTCTCGGTGGGAAAGTAGAAGCTTCACATCTTGGTTCTCGAGCGATGCGTCTTGCAACTTCAGATGCTTCACGAGATCCCTCACCGAGTCATCTCGCAGATCAATCTCTGCGATGTCCCCGTTCATGCGGCAAACCTGGATCTTTCGCCTGCCGCCTGCGAGAATGTTTGGGAAGGGAACATGCCCAGATGGGACTAGAGACCTCGGCGGTATGGTGCTAAACTTGCTCCCATGGGCGCAAATCTGTCCCTGTCGGTCTTGCTGCACTTGTCTGACGAACGGCCCGGCCTCTTCCGCCGATCTGCCGTAGAACCTCCACATCGGCGACAGCCGTCGTGAAAGCCTGGCCGCTGACCCGTTACGCCAGTGTTGATTGCGAAACAGATAATGATGTCCTCACTTTTGCCTTCACTGGAGTGCTGGATTTAGTCACTGCCTGGTCGAGGTATTGCTCCTCGACAGACACGATGCTGCAAGGAGTCATCGACTCCAAGAACTGCTGCTGGAAGTCCGAAAACATGCCTGAGGGGGGGTGCTTTTCAACTCGATCGGCAAGAGGGAACTTCTTGCAGACCAGCCAGGAAAAGACTTGAAAAGACGTGAGGAGCTCTTGCCTTCCACCTCCGACCCCGTCACTGCCATGACCAGAACCTGGCTGATGCTGCTTTCCAGCAGCTCCTCCATGTCCACATACGGCTGCAGGACCGCGCTGCCCAGCACAAGGACAATGAAATTGTGCTCGTCTCGTGGAGAATTCTGCAAATCTTCAAGGCAGAGCTGGAAGGCTTTGTCGAGGGCTGCTTCATGGCGTTTGCTTTCGGGACACGTAGGCGGCAAGTCTGCCAGGTGTCCGGCTTTCGCGCGATGCTGAATCACCTCAGCTGTCTCGTGCGAAGGGTGCGAGACCCAGGGTGCTGGAACTAGCTGAGGCCTGAGCTTCACTGTGCAGCTCATTGACAAGGACCACAGAGGCCGTGGTAAGTGGGGCTCTTGGACTCTCTGCCAGTGCTGTTCTCAAGGCATCGTAAGCCACAAGGAGACTTTGCCATCGCTCTCCCGCCATGGATAGCGAGCAGTCCAGCATCAGAGTGATGTGCACCTGTCTGACTGCAGACTGCAAGCAAGACCAAGCCAGGCATGATGCGAGTGCCGCCCCTGCTGGAACGGACCCTTATCAGCTTGGGATAAGAACTCGAAGCCGCAGCTCTTTATCGGGTTTCAACCGGGAATGCACGACACCAGCAAGCTCAAAGCACGTCGTACTCGACGTAGCCTTGACATGCAACTATACCACGCTCCAGGCCTTCTCATAGAGCAATGCTTCGCATTCCTGCTTCGCAATGTCTAGGGCCTTGTGACCTCAACACGACGGCGCACGCCGCAGTCAATGGCCGTCAATGGCCATTGGTGTCTTCCAAATCTTGATCAACGACACTTGCTACTGGACCGGTGGACATGCGAGCATTTTTTGCCGCACCCGATAGCTTCTGTGGAAGAACAAGTTCTCAAAAACTTTTCCTGCGACTGCCGCTACAGCAAGAGCGACTTTGGACCCAACAGTGGCACGGTCCGGCAACCGAGACCATCCCAAGTCGTTGCACCAGAGAGCCATACCTTCAATCACCCTGTGCCGAGCCTATGGCACTACTTCTAGGTTGTGGACCCTGAAGTGTGCCATCCCATCAGCAGACAATTTCACCTTAACTTATCTCCATGTTCTTCTCCCGAGCCGTGAACCATTGTCGACCAACAGCGAACACATAGGCACACACTACCGCAGGTCTCAAAGTAGCATGCACAAGATATACGACAAGGCATGCTGGAGGACAGAAGTAGAATCACAAGTAAACAGCACATCCGCCGCCGTTGGATCCGGACCATGCTTGTTCTTCGCATCCTGGCTGCAGAGGTGCCGTGTGGCGAGGTCGGGCATCTTTTTCTAGACTGCAGCACCGTGCGAGAGAGAGGGTCGAAGCATGAAAAACTGACCACATCGACTGTGCCGAAGCGGGGCTAGTGCAAAATCCGATGAACATCGCGGTATTGGATGGGCCTTGTTGCAGCCAGCCGCCAGCAGCTCCCTGATGCAGGCGGTGCATCCTTGCTGGGCGGCCAACATCAACGGCGTCTCGCCTCGGACCAGCTGCCACGCAGCAATGACAGCCAGGCTTTTCACAAAATGGGACACCATCACAAGAGAGCACCCAGAGCAATCGCGGAGAAGTGTTCCAGGAATCCCTCTCACCTCAGGTCCTGACCATCGTGGTCCCTGGCATCCTGGCGCTGCACGTCACTCAGGCGAAAGAGGGCTCAAGGCGTAGCGTAGCGTCACTCAAGTCGCAAAAGGATACCCCCAAAGCCCCTAAACCCTGAACCCCAAAGACAACCTGCTTCTGAAGTTTGCAGCCGCCTGGTCGCACCCGGCTGCCAACAGATCCAGGAGGCAGCGAGGGTCGCCCTGCATGGCTGCCCGATGAAGCGGCGTCCGGCCTTCGCGGGTCCGAGAAAACCATCACTCTACTCCCATGGATGCCAGAATTAAATCGTCGTCCCCGGCCCCCTTTTGCCACGGAAGACAGACGAGGGGAAGACGACAGCAAGAGCATCAGCTGGGCCATGCGTTGCGTTCAACGTATCCGCAGGCCATTTTACCTTGAATTCCAAGGCTGTGGCCGAGGTTGTCTTGCTCATCCTGGCAGTGCCACACGAGAACTCGCGTTTCTAGCCGGCATGATCACATATACCGACCGTTGAAACAAAAAACGCTCTGCCTGGAAACTTCCAGCCGCCAGGAGTTCGTTGAGACAATCTCTTTGGCCGTAGCTGGCTGCAGAGGCCAGTGCTGTAACGCCTCAACGGAATACAAGCAGCTGGCGGGAGGGGAACAAACAGGCGGAATGCCGCGAATGCTATCAAGGACGAAAACGTCGCAGTTGCAAACTTGCTGAATAAATCCAAATACGCGCAAGTAACGTTGGAAAACGGGTGAGACGCCAAGGCCCGGTCCATGCTGGTCCTTTACATCCTGGCGTCCGAGATTGCGAGGCTTTCCGTTGAGTTTTCGTTTCTACAGCACAGACTGCGGCTGCGGAGGGTAGCTTGACCTGCAACGGCTTACATAAGCTTACATCTTCTGCTCACGGACAAATACCTCATGCTTCCCAACCCCCTAAATTGCATAAACCCGAATCCTTAAACCCTACCCCTGCCCTGGGCCCTACTCCCTACTCCCGTAACCCCAAACCCCACACCCTAAACCCACATTTCCCAAACCCCTAAAACCCCTAAACCCTAAACCCTAGACCGCCCTCTCAGACTTGGCAGGCCCCGCCTTGCAGCCTGCAGCCAGCAGCTGCCTGAGGCAGTCGACGTTGCCACCCTCCGCCACGTAGTGCAGGGGCCTGCGGCCTCGTGTCTTGCAGGGATTCGCAGATTTTTGGGGTTTAGGGTTATAGGTCTATAGGGCTATAGATATAGGGTTAGAGGGTTTCGAGTTTTATGAGTTTGGTAACAGTTCTTGGGTTGAGGGTTGTCCAGAGCTGCGAACCATCACGCTCGTCAATCCTAGTCTGGCGATGGCCTACCTGCGACCAGCCTCTGACCTTGGGCCACCCAGGCCGAGGAGGCCACTCGAACAGAGAGACTGCAAATATGACAAGAATGCTCAGCTCCTCCGTGCAGGTTCCCTCAGGCCCGGTCCTTTCCGGTCTGGTGCATCCTGACGGCTTCAACAGCAAGTTCAAAGCGGGCTTGGCCTGTATTTTCGCAGTGTCTTCCTACACAGGCTGCAGCAAGACTTGACGCAGAGGGAAACCCCTTGAGGAGCCTTGTTCCTTGACGAGCCTTGTTGCAGCGGGCCGCCAGCAACTCTCGGAGGGAGTCCGGATCGCCCTTGCCGGCTGCATAGCTGAGGGGCGTGCGGCCTCAGCGAAGTAGGAACTGAAGAAGAGGTGCGTTTTTTTGGACAGCTTCCTTGTTCTACCTATCTGCTTCAAGATGCATCATCGCTACTCCTCCCGACTGCTGCATAGCATTGAACTGAAGCTTTGCAAGCCACGCATCCAGTGACGCCTCCGGCTCCAAACCATAACTCGTAACATTGCCAAAACCTTCTGGTTTCTAGCGGCAGTTCCTTGACTCCTGCAACATTGCCGCCCTCGCACAGCATGGCATGACAGACACATGCCTGGGGCTCTGGCCTCGACCGGATTCTGCTTCCTTGCGATGAAGCGGGGGGCACACAAAGTTGGACCACATCGTCCCGCACATGTCACGTGTTGCCACAAGCACACATGAAGCTCGCAGGGGCACCCCGCCTTTTCGCAGCCTGCATCTAGAAGCGCCGCAAGGCAGGCAGCGTGGCCTTTTTCGGCCGCGTGCATCAAAGCCGTCCGGCCTCGACGAGACTGCTTCTACGAGTAGCAGCACAATAGCTCCCGTGTCAAGACAGCACTACAAGTTTGCGCATGTTGAGGAGCTGGCCAAGTTTGTCTCTCGCCTCCTGGCATCTTTGATTTGTGTGCAGCTTAGGGAGAAGCCAGGCAGTATGAGTTGATCTCGGGGACACGGGGACAGATGGCAAAAGTCATCCTGATGACAGCACCTTACATGCCTCAAGACGAACAGGCACGTCGTTGAGTCTGCGAGCCTTTGGCACAGCGTGGAAAATCTCCAGCGAACCCGACATCGTATGCAACCGTTTTCTTACTTGGCGATCCAGCCTTGCATCGACTGCATCTCCGTCTTGCGGATGGTTTGCAGAGCTTAAAGTGGAACATATAGTGACACTACGAATGGTCGTAGTTTGGTATCATGAGTTTGTGTCGGCATTGTGGCTAGCGGCTAAAGTCGTCTGGACATACAGGCTCCAGGTCAAGACACCATCGAACTCACAGACTTGCTCCAGCACAGCCTTGCCGCATCAGTTTATTTGCCATTGTACAGTTGTGCAAGGTCTGGCGTCAAAATGCGATTCTCAGGGCAGTGAGTAGGGCTGGCAGTTCATCACTCTTCCCGAAGCGGTTTTCTGTTGTGCTCGCGCCTTCTTCGAGCCCGCCCGCAAGAGCTCCGTGAGGCATTGCAAAGCGTTGCCGCAAGCGGCAAACATCAGCGGCGTGGTGCCTCGGCGAGGTCGTTGAGAATGAGAACGGCCGGAAAGAGTCAGGGCTTAGGACGGCGCCTGCTACCCGTATTCATCCATACATGGTGCAGACTATCTCCGTAAACATTGCAAGCGCGCAAGTGCCACCCCGCCCCCCCTCCCCAAACAAAAAAAAACATAACACCACTGGCAGCAAGGACCTGGCCGATGTTGTTCCTGGCTTCCTGCAAGGAGAGTTTGCTTCGTCGGCAGTGCCTATCGCAACTTCTGGACCCACGAGCAAAAAAATTGCTGAGTTTGCCAGGGGCGCGGAGTTTACAAGTGAGCTTCGTTGACGATTCCAGCCTACGTCTACTTAGCAAACCTACAGCCCGAGGAAGCAAATGCAAGTGAAGCCGTGCAGACACTCGAGTGGTCACACCAACAAGCCGTAGCAACATCAAAGAATCAAAGACGCGACTGCATCAAATGCACAGAAAAACCAATGGCCCGATTCCGTGAGGAATCGGTGCCTGGCCTTGTCAGCACCGGCCGCCAGCAGTTCTCTGAGGCAGTCAACGAAGCCATGCTCGGCCGCCAGGTGCAGCGGTGTCAAGCCTCAGCCGCTGTCCGCTGCAAGCACCGCGCAGGAACACTACCACTACGACGACGACTCCGACTGTGACTGCGACTGCAACTACAACTGCGACTGCGACGACGACGAAGACGAGTACTACTACTACCACCGGCGATCTCGCATCCTGCTGGCTGGGTTTCCCACCGCCAGCGTTCTGGGCATCCTGCCAGCATTCGGGGCTGTCTGCGAACTTGGGACATCCTGAAAAGCCTCTCAAATCTTCGTTGGGTGCTGGCATTCGGGGCTGTGTGGGAACTTTGAACATCCTGAAAGACTCTCCAAACTTCTATGCAGCAAGTGTTAGGAACGTGCTGGTATGGCGAAGTGCAGTACCATGCGCTCCCTGATATGAAGTTGTCTTGCTCGAATCATCACTCGCGAGTGCTGTAGCCCTCCCAGCTGTGGGTTTTTAAGCTTTCGGCGCCGGACCAAGCCTTGTCATCTCCTCTGGCAAGAAGCTTCCGAAGACTGTCGACATCGCCGTGCGTCGCTGCTGTGTGGAGGTCCTGACAGCCTCACCCAGGCACGTAGCTGACTTCGACACGTGCAAGCTTTCCGTATCCTGTAGCACCTTGTTGAGTGCACTATCAGCCCCGCGGGGCAACAAGTGCCTCCAGGGGCAGCTTCCGCACTGGGCCCACCTGTCACGGCGAAACGAAGGCGTGCGACGGGTCCGCAAGTACTGTATGTTGACGATGCTTCGGCGAGGTCTCCGAGCCCCGAGCCATCCTCCCTCGTCGCTGCCTCGGTTCGCCACACTATGGCGCGAGCGGTGTAGCACGCCGGAGAGCTGACGCAGGAAACTGCTGGGACCCGGACTTCTCCATCGCTTTGCGCCATTGCTTAGCAATGGTTAGCGAAACGAACTAGGAAGTGCCTCCTTGAGTGTTTGAGGAAGATGAATACACCGGGCCAAAATGCCCTTGGCCCAGTAGATTCTACATCGTTGCACTCGTCGAGGGGTGTTCGAGCCCAATACTCCTGTGCAGCAGCAGCGTCGCCAACCCTGCGGACGGCCGACAAAGAGCATGCAGCATGTGAAACTGTTGCCATGGCTCTGATTGATTTGATAAGTGCGTCCCCTGCAGGACCTCGACAGGAACCGAAAAATGCAGAACCACAGTCCATCGATGAGCCCTTCGAGCACAGCAGCTCCTGCGTTTTCCTCCCCACGACAGGCATCCATCCATCCGATTCAGCTGCACCAGTCGCCGAACGAAACCTGTGGAAGAGTCTCCCTAAATCCCTTTCTTTGCCAGCTTTTGGAATGTATATTATATGTTTAAAACTACCCATGTTGCATATGTGAAGCCACGCCTCGAAGCTTTGCCGCAGACTCACCGTCTCGACTGCGCCGGCGTCTCCTCAAAGCAGCAGTTTGGCTTCGACGACCCAGCACAAGCTAGAAGCAGAACACCACAAGCCGAGCTACGAGCAGCGCACAGGCTGCACGTGGCAACAGACCATCGGCTGGCAAGGGTCGATGGCGGTGCCGGCAGGCCGACGGTTCTGAGAGTACCAACCCGTTCTAAATTTGAGCTCTGACATCGCCTTGAGGGCTTTACAGTGTGGAGCACAACATCCACAAGATTCAGCTAAAGTTCACGGCGAAGAGGAGGAAAGGTGTCATCGTCGTCGAAATCATCCCGTCCTTCCTCATGTTCACGGCCGATCACCTTTGCGGGGGCTGAGCTTGGCTCTTGGAGCCCGATACACATCCGACGCCCATTTTGCGAACCTGATGTTGCAAATCGCGAAGCTGGAGTACGAGACTGGTGCTGCGAAAAGCTCCGTCCTGTAGAAGTTCTTACAAGCTAACCAGCTTTCCAGCACGATGCCTGATGCCAGCAAGGAAGAACCAGCACGTCAACGCGCACTTGTGCAGCCGGGTGCTGCATCCAATGGCCGGGAGCATTTCCGCTACCCGGTACTTGTACTTGGAGGATCATGGGACTTAGTAAGTAAGGTTATAAGTACCTTAATTGGGCTTATAAGTATAGTTACCCCAATTATAACCCTACTTACTAAGTCCCATGATCCTTTAAGTGTGCGACAGGCAATGATGTCCAGAGCTCCAGGGCCCTAAACCCTAAACCCCTGACAGCAGTAAGCACTAGTGTCATGGAAGTAGACAAGGGTCTATTTGGCCTCGATTTCTGTGCAGCACTTCGATATAGAACCGTGGCACCCGATGCATTTGCAATGTGACGTGCACCAGTGGGAAGACGGCACCCTCACAGTTGTCGGCGCGATGATCAATCGGTGTGGCCTGTTCCAGGTATTCTCCCGCGAAAACACTCGAGGTACCCAAGAGGGAAGTCGTGAAGCTCAAGAGACTCACCGAACTCTCCCACGATCCTCCAGCTCAAGGTGAAGGTGATCTGGCCGTTTTCCTCTCTTTCGGAGAGCCAGGGCTTGAAGGGAGGGCCCTCCACGGGATCCACCATGTTCTCCACAACGATCCTGTCGGCCCCGCATCTCCACTCGCCCCCAATTTTTTCAGAAACTCCCGCAGCTGCTCAGCCTCCAGGGTACCACCATCTTTGGGCACCGTGGTCTCCGCCTGGTAGAAGAACTGGGCCTTGAACGTCTGGCTCGGCTGGTCGATGGCCATGAACTTGTCCAGGTTCACGCGCACGCTCATGTCAATGAGCTTGCAGCCCAAATCCTCAGACGTGCACGCGGGTGGCGCCTGCCATCGGTACCTCACCGGGATCTTTGAAGTGACCATCGTGCCTGCTATCCCGACCTGGCCTGCCGTATCGGACCTGCCGGCACTTGAGCCAGAAGATGTCCTGCGAGGACGCGCGTAAACAGAGTGGTGAGCCAAGAGTCCGAAACGCGGGGGTCCTTCCAAGTAACTGGGGCCTGGAGTAGCCATGCAATGAGTAATCTATTTCAGTAGCGCCTGCTGTGATGGCGGTGCTATACCGCAGCAACTATTGTAACCAAGGAAACCACAGAGCGATGTCTCGCAACAAGACATCACAAGAACGAAGATCACACGCCTCAGTGCAGCCAACAGTGAAAGAGATCAGAGCCGCTCCAGGCGGCAGCAACAGCAGCCGCCACAAGCCCCAAGCGCGCTGGCTCGATTGTGCTGGCTCCGTGCTTTTAAGCCTGAAGGGGTGTCTTGGGTTTTTTGTTGCGTATGGGGCAGAGCCAGAGCTTCTTGGGCAGCAGAGTCTGGGAAGCAACTACTGTAAGGCGAATAGCACACGATTCTGTCCCTCCGACAGGAGGATGTCGTCCCACTGCAAATAATTGGGCTTCCGACTTCTCGAACACCACTTGTAAATCAGCTGCCGGTCAGAAATTGCTTCGGTCTCGGCATCTTGAGGACTATACAGTCGGTCAGCCTTCTACAAGCACTGCAGAATTCATGATATTTTGGTCGCAGCGACGACGATCCATGAGAGTCAGCTGCCCGGCCTTCGTGATCCTGTTTGAAGCCTCTCTCTGAACCTTTGTTTCTCGAGTGCTACTAGCCTGTTAAAATGCTTCAGGCGCAGGATCTTGCCTCGCCATGGGTGGCACTAGCTTTGGTAGCCACTGGCTCAGCAGGCTCCGAGCGCAAGGCATCAAAGGCAAATTTAGCCTTTGGCCTCGGTGCGTCTGGGCTAAACGCCTGACGCCTAGCTGCTCGCTTGCGGTGGTCCGTCGACATGGGCAATCCTGCAGGGAAGTTGTCGCAGAGAGAGACGATTGTGTGGTGGAGGCACGAGAGCGGTCTGCAGCCAAATGTTTGAATTTGGGACAACCCGAGACGCTGTCAGTCTACCAGATTCAGAACGCAAAAAAGCGCCGCCATGCCTTCCATGCAAACGTAACAACAAGGCATGAGCAGGGCCTTCGAAATGAACTCGTCGCTGTCTGCCAGCAACAGCGACCTGCTCAAGAGCATGTTTGGGAGAGGTGACCCCTCTTTCGCGTCTGCTGGCCTGTCCTCAGCCGTGTTTCTATTTCTTCCCGCGCTCTCCGCACCGAAACCTCTCCATGCAGTGCCGCCTGGTCTGCAGCCGGTCCAGGTCCTGCTGCAGCCCAACGACGACGTCCTCCCGTTCCAACGGCGTGGCGTCCAGAGATCACGTGAGAAGAATGGCAAATAAGGACAGAGAAGCTGAGGTCGCTCGCTAGAAGCATGGGGACCTCGCTGCCGAACTCCTGAAGGATCTGAAGGAGCCTGCCGAGCCAGCTGAAAGAAGCGAAAGCGAATCGCTCGTTTCTTCGTGCATTTCTTCCAGCAGATGCTCAAGATCCACAGACCCCCTCCACAAGCGGAAACTGCGGACTCTGCAGATCCGCAAAGAGAGCGCCAGCCACACCGAAAGGCTCAGAGAACATTCTTCCCGGCCACAAAACCCCTTGCCCAACAGGCCCGGCATGTGCACGAATGCTGAACTGATTCAAGTGCAAGTGTGCGTGTTGATCGATTCAGTTTAATTCTCGTTGCTGCATCGGATTCGCAGAGGCGGCCATCGTCGTTGCGGTCACAGTTTTGGTACCGGGAACCCACTCGATTGCGGCTCCGGAAGTTGCAGTGTCCCCTTCTGCATGTCTCGACGGCCTCGGAGCTGGTCGACCTCCACAATTGCCTTCTCTCTTCTTGTGTTGGGGGTCAACATCAACGGCGACAGGCCTAAGCCCAAGTCCAAGCACTAGACATGCATGCAAGGAACCACTGCCTCAGAGCACGCCCTGTCTGTTCTGGCAGTCTCCGGAAGTTCTCAGGGCCCTGAAGGTATGAGCCCGCAGCTATCATGCACCGGCCTTGCAGATCAAATCCTTCGATAACCTGGTGGCGGATACCAGGCCTGCAGCAAAATCGGGCTTTCTGAGAATCTGCGAAGTCTGCGAAACACAGACCAGCCTTGGACGAGCTCACTGCCAGGTCCGAGAACCACTGGCTGCCCATTAATAAGCACCGAAACCTCTTGCGTTGCGCTCTGGAATGTGGAGAAAGCTTACGTACTGCTTGGGGCTTGACGGTATTGCCTTCTGATGTCAAGGTGGACGGATGTGGACGGCATCTGCTAGATCTGTGTATTTGGCCCCACCTGCCTCAACGATGCTGTCTGCTGGCGCTCGGAAGTGCCTGATTCAAGGCAACAGACGGGACTGCATGGCGGCCTCGACAAAATTCACAAAAGTCAGCGACCGACTTAGTTGTTCCATGCTGCAGCGGATGTGGTGGAACGCCTGCTTCTCGCGCTGTGGCTGAACTCCCGAAGTGGAAAGTGTGGGTCCACCGTTTCCCATCCTCTTCTCGCACATGTAATATGTTGGAAGAGCCCGGAAATGGCAAGGACAGAGGCAAGCGTTTGATTTTGAGACGGACGGCTTCCCTCCTCTGGAACGAACCCCAGGACAGCTTCAACTCTTCTCCATCATCGTACACGCACTGTCGGGCATAAGGACAGCCTTCAGTCATAGTCTCCAGCTCAGCGCTTGCAAGCTTGGCAAGTCTCCGATTGCAGCGATCACATCCTACATGTTGAACAACGCAACGCTTGTCGAACTCATTCATGCAGTTGGCAAAGCACCGGATCTTGACCAATTGCGGCCTGTTCGTTGCGCAAGTGACAACCACTTTGCAAAAACGATATAGCCGCAGGACCGCGAAGGCATGTGTCAACTCCGCCGCCTGCACCTGCTCCCAGTCGCCTTCCTGCATGCACCATGCATTGCATGCGCCCACACACACGGGAATGACGAGAAGCACTGCATCTGCAAAGGCGCTCTCCACGTGGGGACTCAGGCGAATGATGGGGCTCACGGCCAACGCGGCGGGAGGCAGGTGCAGGGTCTGGTCTTCCGGCAGAATGTCGAAGCGTGGGGCAAACGTCTTGTGCACCCTCGCTGTTGCCACCATCACCACGTCGTGTTTTTGGTCGAGCTGAGCGACGTCCCCATCCGCGAGCTCCACCACAAGACGATCTGTGTACGTGTTCACTGGCGGTGTGCTGCCCTGGGTTTCGGATGGAAGAAGATATGGAAGGAAATGACAGCCAACCAGATCCTCCAAGAGCAGAACACAGAACAAGTACGACATGTTGAGTCTGAGGACGAGATGGGACTCAGCATGGACCGTGTCCGAAATGCTAGGACCCAACCTCCCATCACATTTGCTCCTGTTGATCCTTGATATCCGCGGGCATGCAGGGCTCAGTGGCCGCTGCCGCCTCGCCCGACAGCGGCACCCCGGCAGAGCGTAGATCGTCTTCCTGTTTCCATGGGGTTATAGGTACCTTAATTGGGGGTATAGGTAGTTATAAGTATAGTTACCCTAATAATAAGCTTAGATACTAAGTCCCATGATCCTTATGCTAGTTGTGGCATCACACGAAAGCTGAGCTTTCAGGCCAAAATGGGCAGGCTTGAGACCGACAGGTTCCGCCACCTTCTCGTCATGCGAGGACAGGTCATTGGCCCTGGCAGCAACGGCCTCCCGGGATTCCCACGCCTACTGAAAATTCGCACCAACACACGTGTTTCTCTGCCAGGGCCTGTCGCAGCTCATGCCGGAGACACTCTTGCCGCCCACGCTGCGCCTGCGTTTTGGCCAAAAGCTCCCTCTTGGCAGCTTCTTCCTGCTCAACGATACAGATCACTTGCTCTTCCTCTAACCAGGTCGGCGTCATGGCCGACTCCTGCTCCTTTTGAACACACTCCAGCTGAGCTTTGAGACGCTGACACTCCTCGTGCAACTGACCTGTTGCTTCCGCTGCATGCAGAGAAGCCTGCTGTCGCTCAGAGAGGGCTTCTGCCTTCGATTCAACGACCATCATCAAGGAATCCTGCAGGCTTTTCCTATCCTTGCCAGCTTTCTCGAGCTCAGTTCCGCGATGTTGACACTCTTCGTGCAAATCGTGTGCCTTTTGCTCCAACTGCTGAACAATGGCCCCGATGCCCTCGCACTCCTCCTCCGATTGGCCTTCCCTTGCAGCAAAATATGCCGACTGCGTCCTAAGATGCTGGCATTCCTCGCTCAGGTCCCCACAACGCTGCTCTTTTCTCTTGAGTGCCTCTTCATGCAAAGCCCTGAAAGCATCCAAAGCCTTCTTCAAGTTTTCGTTGCGCTGCCGAGCCTCTCGAAGCTCTTCGTCGAAGCGACCCTGGCATGCCTCTGCCTCGGAGGAAACATGCTGCTCCTTGAGGGCGGCAGCTTCCAGTTCTGTGCTCAAGCGCTGACAGTCCTGGTCCCAGCGCTCATGCTCCTGCTTTCTCTCCTCCACCGCCTGCTCCTGCTCCAACTGCGTCCTCTCCAACCGCTTTGCGACGGCGTCTAGTGAAAGCTGAATCCGGCGGTTGTCTTTCAGGGCCTCTTGGAGTCGCGCTTCCAGGCGGCCGCTTTCCTGCTCTGCCTGCATTTTGGCTGCTTGCTCCAGCCGCCTCTGACGCTCATTCTCGAAGCAGCTCCGCTCGTGCTCTGCCACAGCAGACTTAGCAGCCTCCTGCTGCTTCTGAGCCAACTCAAGCTCAGTTTTGATAAGCTGACACTCCTCCTGCCGAGCCTGCTCGGCCTCCCGAAGCTCTTCCTCGAAGCGACCCCGGCATGCCTCAGCCTCCGCATTCAGCTCTTCGTTGAAGCGGTGACGCTCCTGGTCGCAACGCCCTTGCCCCAACTCCGCCTCCTCCACTGCCTCCTTCCACTCCTCTTGCCTCTCTTCCATCTTTGCCTCGAGTAAGCTTTTGTCCTTCCGGGCCTGCTCGAGCTGCTGCTCGAGTTCACTCCTCTCCTGCTCTGCATGGACTTTTGCCCTTTCCTCCTTGCGAATAGCTTGCTTGCTCTCAGCCAAACACCTCTGTTTCTCAATCTCTGCCTCCACGGCAGCCTTCTGCTGCTGCTTTAGCTGTGCTAAAGCCGCATCTTTCGAAGCCATCATGTCCTGGAGCTCTTCTCGTAGAAGATCGCTTTCCGTCAGATCCTTGCGAACCCTCTCGAGCTCCACCTGTAGTACTTCTAGCTGCTGTCTTTGCAGGTTCCCAATGCTTTGCTGCTCAGTCTGCTGGGGCAGTGCCTGCAGGATCAAGTGTCGAGAACACAACCAGGAGCTCTCTACTCCAAATACAAAGCACAACCGACTTATGGATCTCGGTAACAGCCCAGCTGAATCGGAAAAAGAACTCGCTCAATGTCTGCAGTATCTCTAATGCGGATCTCATCACTTGGATCTGTCTGCCATCCCCACTCTGCTTTTCCCAGAGTCTGGAGTGCCTGCGGTATTGACTGCATGGGTTTCGGCCTTTCAGATCTGTCTTCCTGCGCGGATGCATTTGAAAGCCCTCATGTCTTGACTACGCAGACGGCTCTTGAAAGGGCTTGTAAGAAACCATGGTCACAACATGACCTGACTAAGAGCAGCCCGCGTCAATTTCGGCGACGGCACAACCTCGATGGAAAATCTAGGCACGAGCTAAGCGAGTCAAGCACTTTTCTGCAATTGAACCTAGTCCGTACTCTGACGAGACTCACGACAGGGTTCAAACTGCGTGCTTGCGGCATCAACCAAACAACCATGCGTCATTCTTGGCAAGTGCTTCCAGCAGAAGCACGGAACCCTCGTTCATGCCAGAGGATTCCATGAATGCCGAACCACTCCAATTCCACAAGATGAGGCCAAGCCGCACGGATGTCACAATCCACAAGCACAACTTGCAAGGCAAGCTCAACACAATTCACTGAGTACCGTCAGCACCGTAGATGAAAGAAAAACATCGCAAACCCCGTGAAGCCATGTTAGTCGACGCAGCGTCGGGTTTGTCCTTCTTTGGGGCTTGGTCCACCACGCCTGCAAAGGAAGACGGGATGCACGCACGACACGAACATCATCGAGGGGAAAAGTTCCAGTTTGTCTGCACTCTGTCATCTTCCTGAGAGTTTTGCTTCGGCAGAACTGACCGGCTTGACGAGGAACATGCACCGAGCTCTACCGACGAAATGGCCACCTTGCCTTCTGGTGAGGGCATCTCCAGCCCAAGGCACCTAACAGGGTGTTACTTACATGTACTTGCCCTCGGAATCAAGACGGCTGGTTCACCGAGCATGTCAAGCCTTCTGAAAGCAGTGCTTTGGAAAGCAATTCACACCTAGGTCGGGCACATCGTTTCAACTGCCACCGGCCTGTAACGCAGGAGATCCACATGCTGCTGCAAGCCAGGCAGGACCTCATCTGCCTCCAATGCTCGAACCTGTCGCTAGAAGCGATGACAGACCCTGAAGAAGACTTCCAACAGCAAAACATCGCAAACTACATGTATTGATGCCGTCCACCGTTGCAGCTGACGCAGCACACTGCGCAGTCAGTGATAAATGTAGCTCACTCATAAGCCTAACTCACTTCACGCAAAGGAATGCGGGCCTCCCACGTAGCCTCTGGAGACACGGATGCAATGCCGTCGATCCTCTTCGGCAGAAGGGTTGCCTGTCACAAGAAGTGGAGCACAACAAGGTTCGATGCCTTGAGCTATCGACGGATGTCAAGAACATCATCACCTAAGCTGATTCCTGACTGCTCAAATCGGCAAGGCCTGCCTGGTGGATGGTAGTTGGGTACGGAATTTCTGCGAACTTTACATTATCCATCCTGAACTTGTGTCTCAGCCACGCTTCGATGACCTGGACCGGGAAGTTTCACGTATGTCGTTTGAACTATTAAAGTGCGAGGATTGTCATGGCGGCCGCCTGGTCTGAGAAGCTCAAGCTGGCAAGGAGGAACGTCGGGATTCGTGCAACGTCCTCCAGTTGCTCCATGCAGTTGCAGAACTCTTTCCGAGCTGGGCCATAAGGGATGTCGGGCAAGTGCCTTAACAGCGCACCAAAGGTCACCAAAGCACAGGGCCCGCAAGCTTGCATGCTTGACGCCAATGCATTGTAGGACAAGGCACGTGGTGACAATTCGCAGCTGGTTGGCATCCCCGCCGTCATCGCGCAGCTTGAACGAGGCCACCGCCACGGCCTGGACGTCTGGGTTGGGCCAATCGGCACTCAGAGCGACCACGATAGCATCATGTCATTATTCTGTGATTTGGCTCTTCAACGTTTCTGTCGAATAATCGTACCCTGAAGCCATGATCATGGCTCGAACTGCTTGCCTTGTCGGTGGAATCTCTGTACGGCTGGAAAATCTTAAAGGCATCTTCGTTCAGCTCCATTGACTTGCTGTCGAAGATAATGGCCTGAGGGCGGTCATGAACGGACATTGTGAACAACGCAGCGGACGACGAGTTCCATCGCCACAACCACATGAATTAAGTGAGTCCATCCATGCATCAGTCGGTCAATCATTCACTCGTTCAGTCTTTCCATAACTGAAACAGATGCCGCCGGCGCGTCATCTCCTATGAAGGCAACTAAACTGTAAATGCTTTCAAGACGGAGCTAGAGCATCCGTCAGCTGAGTAGGACACAGTAGCCGAAGTCGGGGCAACTGACCCGAACTGTGTGTATGCAGCAAACGTGGGGAATTTTGCAGCCCCTTAGAGCGGCTGTACTTGCAACAGCGAGAGAGAGAGAGAGAGAGAGAGAGAGAGAGAGAGAGAGAGAGAGAGAGAGAGAGAGAGACAGAGAGAGAGAGAGAGAGAGAGACAGAGAGAGAGAGAGGGAGGGAGAGAGAGATACTGCAACGACGACGACAACAACAAGAAGATCCAACAACAAGAACAAGAGCAACGACAACCACAGACGGCTGCAGAAGCAGCAGGAGTAGCATCACCAACACCACCACCACCAACAACAACAACAAAAGCAGCAACAGCAGCAACAGCAGCAGGCCCACGAGAGAGTGAGTCGCCCATGCTTTCAGTCACGATGAACACCGTTTCCCGGGGGCCTCTTGGTTCTTCTGGCTCAACTCCCGGCCCGTGCGGCGAACTGCGAAATGCAAGTCCCGCAGCGCCCACTCCAGCACTCCGAGAAGCTCCGGCCAACATCCCTGAAGACAGACGATGGCCTTCGGCATCTCCGACTGACGGTCTAGCATCGTCTTGACGGCGTCCACGATCTGCCGGACCCTCTTCATACTCATCTTACTCGCAGGGTTAATGCTCGAGCCCCGGAGGCCCTGCAAATCTTTCTCGATGTGCTCCAAGAAGTGGTGGTTGAGGACGTTCCAGGACACCACGAACAAGTCCTTGCCATGCCAGGTCCCCTTGCCACAAAGTCTTGCGCCGACTGGAAGATGGTCGGAGACAAAGTCCCACTTCCCGTGGAGGGGCTCCACCAGGGGATCCGGGAAGTGCAAAAAGCTCCCCAACCGATTCATCAACACCAGCTCCACACACGCTTCCAACAATTCTTGAAGCTCCTTCAACATCTTTTCCACCAGCTCCGGTGCTGCTTGCTTCTCACCGACAGCTGCTCTCCGATCCTGTTCAACACTCACCGTCTCCAGGCGCTGAATGACATCCTGCACGCAAATGAGGCCTTCGGCTGTCTCTGAATGCGGCCCCTCATTCTGCGAATCTGCAAGCTGGCTCTGCACGTCCTGCAAGCTTTCGCCTCGGCAAAGCTGCCCAGTGCATCGACAACCCAGGTCACTTCATTCCTGAGGATCCGGCGAAGTGCTGGAAGATCTGCTAAAGCGTCGTTGAGGGCGTCGTCCTGCAACTCCTTCTTCCTCGTCCTGAGACCACATACCAAGCCATCCCTTTAATCTTCTTGAGACGGTGATGCGAACAAACTGCCTGCCGAAAATTCCCTTCCTGGCCTGTGCAGCATGGTGAACAGTGTTTCAGCATGCGCCGCAATCTGGCTAAGTCTGGCTGGCCAGGCAGAAAAAACAGGCTTCAGGAAGTGAAGCATATGCAAATGCTTCTCCAGATCAATCTCACGCTGGGCCAAAAACGCACTGCGTTCCCACAAGCGCTTCGCCTGAGTGCTGCAACTCGGCGGCTCAGGGGAACATCAGCATGGCTGTAACGGCCTAAGACGTGTAGTCTCGTTGCATTTGAGTTGCCAGCTTCATGGCTTTAGGATGCGGACCGGAGTATTCGTGCATGCACATCTCTACGGCTCCAAGGAAGTCCTTCTCCGGTGTTACCGGGCGGATCAAACCAGTTCCGGAGCTGTAGCCGAATCGAATAACATTGGTCACCTCGAAGAACCGAACCTGTGGCGAGGTGGTCTCCGTCTTGAAAAGGTCCGTCTTGGTATAGAAATCCATTTTGGCCGCGCGCGAGCGGCTTCCATGTGTCAACACATCTTGCAGTCTTACCACTGCTCCCTTGTCATCGTGCTTGCTCCCATTGAGCACATCTGGCACCGACCAAACCAAGCCACCTGCCTTCAGCCCACCCCAGTATACAGTGGGCTGGTCAATGCTCTTCCCGGCCCTGTCGAACTTCTGGCAGAGCTTCTGCAGCAAGCTTTGCAGTTCGCGCGCTGCTTCCTGTCTGTCCTCTGCTTCTGGAGCAGTTGCTACTGCCCTGCCTCCCTGCCCGATGTCCACTATCAAGTACTCTTCCAGATCGACATCGCCTGGGAAGAGCATTTGACTGAAGCGGAAGCTGCCGTCTGGACGGCAGAGGCTTTGCAAGGAACACCGGTCGACGACTTGTCTCAAGTCCTCGCTGAGATCAGCGATGAAACGCTCCTCGACCAAAGCTGACAGTCTGCAGAACTTGCACTGAGCCTTGCAGCCTCGTTTGAGGCATGGAGTGCATCGGATGAACCTTTCTGCATCCTGGATGCCAGCCCAGTCAACATGTCGCAGGCACCTGTGCTGTTTCAATTTCTCAGCGGTCATCGGTTTAAGTTGAGCCGCGTCCGCGGCAAAGCCCATGATGCTGGAAAGCTCGCTCGCGGTCTTCTTAAGCTCTTCTTCCGCTAAGTCCTCAGTCGCCCCGGTGACAGCAACTCGGAGCATCCGGAATTGGCTTCCACTCGCCGGAAAGAGCGACACACTGACCAGTGTGCTGCCATCTGATCGGAACTCCAAGCGGTTTCGAAAGATCTGAGGTGCCCCTGGCCTCAACCTGCTGTGGTCTGCCTTTGCTCCAGCCTGGAGCTTTAGCTCGCACAGGCGGTGAGCGATTTCGGGGAAGAGGTTTGGCGAAACGAAGCCATCCACGTCGATATAACCAACTGTACATTCAGGCGGATGTGGATCCGGAAGGTGGGCCAGGGGCAAGCAGCATGGCACGGTGAATTCATCCTGCATGCGTCGTCGTTGGATTATGCCTTTCGAAAGCATGACCTCTGCCATTATCCTCCTTTCTTCCGGACTGTTTTCCTCCCACAAGCACTCAAGGAGCTTCCATGTTACCACTCCACTTGTTTTGAAGCGATACACATCTTTCGGCATGCGCCAGCTGACAGATTCAATGCTCTCTTTGTGTTCCTCGGAGTGCTCGAAAGCACTTTCGTCCCAGTACCTCAAACTCATGAGGGAGGCCAGGGCGAGAGCCACTTTTCTGACATTCAGAAGCACTTGATCGCGAAGGCCTGGCTTGTCGTACCAAAAGAGAACCCCAAGCGCATGCAACAGATTCAGCAGCTGGGGGACATCCGCTGCTGCAACACCGGATGGCTGCATGCCCGAAAGCGTTACTTCGAGACTATCCAGTTGCAGAGAAGTGCAGTGCACTTCTATTGAAATGCTATCTGTAACATCATCATCATCGTCACGACCGGCAGCAGTCTTCAAATAAACATGTGAAGAGGCAGGAACTACAAAGTCTTGGTGCAGGGTTGCATGCTTGCCCGTGAGATTCTTGTCCAGCACTGCCGTCCCAGGCAATGCATGAATTGGAAGAACTTCTTCAAGACTGGTTCTGTTCACGGTGAGCTTGAAGGGTGCAGCAAGTGCAGTGAGCAACTCGTGGGCACGCAACCAAGATACTGGATACGTTTCCGCCTGCATTCCGACATGCTGTGGTGCATCGGCCTCTTGTTGATGAGCCTGCAACCATTCACGACGAGGTGTAAGAGTGTCCCGGGCCAGTTGTTGCAAACGGTCTCGCAAAGGCTGTATGTATTTTTCTGAATCGCTGTCAAAGTTTTCGACTGGATGCAGCCATCCGGACCGAGTATTCACGCGTCGAAGCTGCTGTCGCAAACGAGGCAACTGCAGCAGCAAGCCATATATGCGGCGGTTGATCTCCTCTGCATTAAAGGTTTCGTGAATCTGGGACCACTTCGTCCCAACAACCAGGACAGGTGGAGCCCCTTCCGAACCCAACTTCGCGTGAACAGCATAGTGGGCCACGGCCCATAACCAAAACTTCAAATGATGCCAGGCTTCCTCCATGTGCAGGGCTGGGTGAGGTTCTCGCATGTTACGGTGCTTCTTTCTACTCCGGACTGACATGGCTGTTGCGACCTACATGCGATCCATATTGACATATATCACATCTACGACGCGAAGATGGACTTTATTCTAAGTGCGCAGGACTGTCAATGGCTGTCAATAATTAGATTGCGATCTTGAAGCACCGGTCAACTGCACTGCCTACATCCGTTGAATCAGTCTAGGCTGTGGAAGGTCAGGAGTAATTTGGGAAACGACCTGCCTCAATGTCCAGGCTGGTATCACAGAAGACGACATAGATCCCACGCTTCTGAAAATAGAGCAAATTGCAGAGAGCATACTCCTGTTGCCCAGGCAAGTCCCAACACTGCAGCCGCGGCTGGAGTGCAGGGTCCTCTTCTGAAGAGTCTTTGGCGTCATGTACAACTTTCTTCACAAGCCAGTCCCCGATGGGTCGTGCTAGCAAGGGCTCGCCTTTGTCTTTCGGCAGCTTAGGCTCGGGCTCCTCTTCATAGACTGATCCACAGAATGATGAAGGTGCTTCATCACGGAATGCAGTCGTCGGCGTCTTCTCCTGGGCTGGGCTGCGTTCTTCGAAGCCAAAGTTCTTCTTCGTCGCCGTCATGTTTTGACCATCTCCCCTTGCAGCATTGTCTTTCTGATCGAGCTCATCGTCAGAGCTGGGCAAGGCTCCTGGAATTCTAGGCTTGGCTGGTGCCGGTGGCATCTCGCCGGGCTTGTCAGAATAGTCTGAGATCGATCGATCTCTGGTAATCTTCATTGAACTAGCTCTTTTGACGGATGAAGCTGGGCTTCTCTTCCTCGTCAGCGGCTCTGTCTTGCGTCTCCTCTCCTTGCGGAGACACAGGACAGCTGTGTGGTCATAGAGTGATGTCATGGTTTCGTTCCACGAACAGTTCAGATCCTGGCCAGCTTCTCCAGCCCAAATGTCAACACCGAACGTCGAAATCTCGTCAGCACGTGGCTGCTCACGCTTCAGCCGCCTTTCAAGGCATCATGCGGTCACTGCCAAAACGATCCGAAACAAGAGCTGATGACTGTGAAAGTGCGTTGTAGAAGCATGTAGAAAGAATTGTTCCTGAGTCGCCCGAGTTTTCTAGTTTTCATGTGGTGAGGTGTGTACATGGTTTCATCCACGGCCTCAGCGTGGTTGTCTTGCCGGCGCGGCCCTGGCCCACGAAGTAAAGGCGCACGACGGGCAGCGGTGCATGGCCGGACTGCTGCCAGGTACCAAGCTCCCGCCTTGCACGCTCCTCGAAAGGTGAGGCAAAAGGCGTACTAGTACACAGCTCATGCGGATCATGTGCACCTGCAGAAGCACGCGCATGCTGGCGCATGTTGAGCGAGTAGATAGGCTGTGGGGATCATTTCGGCAAGAAAGCTTTCTCCAACCCGCCTGTATACGTACTGATGAAGATCAACGATTCCTGCTCCCCCAAATATACGTGCATTTGGTGATAGTGCCTGCTGCGCCTGCAAATATAGACCTGAATTTGTTAAATCACACTCGGTGCGACCTCCTCGCGATTCTGCAAGAACTGCGCAGGGCTTTGGATGAGGTCGTCGAGCATCGTGCTGTCGAGGTCTCCAAGAACCGAGGCTTCGATCTTCACCGTGTCCAGTTCTCTGAGGAAGCTTTGGAAGTGACTGGGCTGGACGATGCTGAGGAAATCCGTCAGAGTCATGGGCGCCTCGGTTTCATCCTCGGGCTGTCTCAAACGGGCTGGCAAGGCGTTGTAGAGATCCCGCAGCTTCGGCATGTGCTCTGTCACGGCATCCCGCACATCTGGAGCCAGCTTCAGACCACTCAGGTCAACTTCTTCCTCGTCGGCCTCGGGGCTTGCCGGTGAGGGATTCGGGTGCTCTACGCCAACAACCCCTGGATATCACAACCCTCTCTCCTTGCGCGGGTTCACACGCCATCCTGAATATGCTTCATGTCAGAGCAAGGTTGACCTGCTTTAGGCTAGCCCGGTTGTCACCGCCCCACCCCGTCAAAAGCACCCAGCACTCCGTGGGCCTGTCCACTACGGCGCATGTTAACAGACTGTTGTGGGTGCTTGCTGCTTGTGTGGCGCGCAAAGTCCACGCAACTGACTTAAACATATTGCACGCCATGTTGAAGAGCATCTCAATAGATGCCGCTTCACTGACCTCAGCAGGACAGAAACTTCAGCTCTCAGTGCCTCCGAAGCGGCTGGTCTCGACGGTGCATTTATCACCATGGTGAGCCTTTCTGAAAGCGGCACGTTCTGGAGCTTGTAGTTCTCGGACAATTCTCGGTGGGAAAGTAGAAGCTTCACATCTTGGTTCTCGAGCGATGCGTCTTGCAACTTCAGATGCTTCACGAGATCCCTCACCGAGTCATCTCGCAGATCAATCTCTGCGATGTCCCCGTTCATGCGGCAAACCTGGATCTTTCGCCTGCCGCCTGCGAGAATGTTTGGGAAGGGAACATGCCCAGATGGGACTAGAGACCTCGGCGGTATGGTGCTAAACTTGCTCCCATGGGCGCAAATCTGTCCCTGTCGGTCTTGCTGCACTTGTCTGACGAACGGCCCGGCCTCTTCCGCCGATCTGCCGTAGAACCTCCACATCGGCGACAGCCGTCGTGAAAGCCTGGCCGCTGACCCGTTACGCCAGTGCAGCTTGCGAAACAGATAATGATGTCCTCACTTTTGCGTTCACTGGAGTGCTGGATTTAGTCACTGCCTGGTCGAGGTATTGCTCCGCGACAGACACGATGCTGCACGGAGTCATCGACTTCAAGAACTGCTGCTGGAAGTCCGAAAAAATGCCTGAGGGGGGGTGCTTTTCAACTCAATCGGCAAGAGGGAACTTCTTGCAGACGAGCCAGGAAAAGACTTGAAAAGACGTGAGGAGCTCTTGCCTTCCACCTCCGACCCCGTCACTGCCATGACCAGAACCTGGCTGATGCTGCTTTCCAGCAGTTCCTCCATGTCCACATACGGCTGCAGCACCGCGCTGCCCAGCACAAGGACAATGAAATTGTGCTCGTCTCGTGGAGAATTCTGCAAATCTTCAAGGCAGAGCTGGAAGGCTTTGTCGAGGGCTGCTTCATGGCGTTTGCTTTCGGGACACGTAGGCGGCAAGTCTGCCAGGTGTCCGGCTTTCGCGCGATGCTGAATCACCTCAGCTGTCTCGTGCGAAGGGTGCGAGACCCAGGGTGCTGGAACTAGCTGAGGCCTGAGCTTCACTGTGCAGCTCATTGACAAGGACCACAGAGGCCGTGGTAAGTGGGGCTCTTGGACTCTCTGCCAGTGCTGTTCTCAAGGCATCGTAAGCCACAAGGAGACTTTGCCATCGCTCTCCCGCCATGGATAGCGAGCAGTCCAGCATCAGAGTGATGTGCACCTGTCTGACTGCAGACTGCAAGCAAGACCAAGCCAGGCATGATGCGAGTGCCGCCCCTGCTGGAACGGACCCTTATCAGCTTGGGATAAGAACTCGAAGCCGCAGCTCTTTATCGGGTTTCAACCGGGAATGCACGACACCAGCAAGCTCAAAGCACGTCGTACTCGACGTAGCCTTGACATGCAACTATACCACGCTCCAGGCCTTCTCATAGAGCAATGCTTCGCATTCCTGCTTCGCAATGTCTAGGGCCTTGTGACCTCAACACGACGGCGCACGCCGTGGTCAATGGCCGTCAATGGCCATTGGTGTCTTCCAAATCTTGATCAACGACACTTGCTACTGGACCGGTGGACATGCGAGCATTTTTTGCCGCACCCGATAGCTTCTGTGGAAGAACAAGTTCTCAAAAACTTTTCCTGCGACTGCCGCTACAGCAAGAGCGACTTTGGACCCAACAGTGGCACGGTCCGGCAACCGAGACCAACCCAAGTCGTTGCACCAGAGAGCCATACCTTCAATCACCCTGTGCCGAGCCTATGGCACTACTTCTAGGTTGTGGACCCTGAAGTGTGCCATCCCATCAGCAGACAATTTCACGTTAACTTATCTCCATGTTCTTCTCCCGAGCCGTGAACCATTGTCGACCAACAGCGAAAACATAGGCACACATTACCGCAGGTCTCAAAGAAGCACGCACAAGATATACGACAAGGCATGCTGGAGGACAGAAGTAGAATCACAAGAAGACAGCACATCCGCCGCCCTTGGATCCGGACCATGCTTGTTCTTCGCATCCTGGCTGCAGAGGTGCCGTGTGGCGAGGTTGGGCATGTTTTTCTAGACTGCAGCACCGTGCGAGAGAGAGGGTCGAAGCATGAAAAACTGACCACATCGACTGTGCCGAAGCGGGGCTAGTGCAAAATCCGATGACACTTCGCGGTATTAGATGGGCCTTGTTGCAGCCAGCCGCCAGCAACTCCCTGATGCAGGCGGTGCAGCCTTGCTGAGCAGCCAACATCAACGGCGTCTCGCCTCGGACCAGCCAGGCTTTTCCCAAAATGAGACACCATCACAACACAGCACCCCGAGCAATCGCAGAGAAGTGTTCCAGGAATCCCTCTCACCTCAGGTCCTGACCATCGTGGTCCCTGGCATCCTGGCGCTGCACGTCACTCAGGCGAAAGAGGGCTCAAGGCGTAGCGTAGCGTCACTCAAGTCGCAAAAGGATACCCCCAAAGCCCCTAAACCCTGAACCCCAAAGACAACCTGCTTCTGAAGTTTGCAGCCGCCTGGTCGCACTCGGCTGCCAACAGATCCAGGAGGCAGCGAGGGTCGCCCTGCATGGCTGCCCGATGAAGCGGCGTCCGGCCTTCACGGGTTCGAGAAAACCATCACTCTACTCCCATGGATGCCAGAATTCAATCGTCGTCCCCGGCCCCCCTTTTGCCACGGAAGACAGACGAGGGGAAGACGACAGCAAGAGCATCAGCTGGGCCATGCGTTGTGTTCAACGTATCCGCAGGCCATTTTACCTTGAATTCCAAGGCTGTGGCCGAGGTTGTCTTGCTCATCCTGGCAGTGCCACACCAGAACTCGCGTTTCTAGCCGGCATGATCACGTATACCGACCGTTGAGACAAAAAACGCTCTGCCTGGAAACTTCCAGCCGCCAGGAGTTCGTTGAGACAATCTCTTTGGCCGTAGCTGGCTGCAGAGGCCAGTGCTGTAACGCCTCAACGGAATACAAGCAGCTGGCGGGAGGGGAACAAACAGGCGGAATGCCGCGAATGCTATCAAGCACGAAAACGTCGCAGTGGCAAACTTGCGGAATAAATCCGAATACGCGCGAGTAACGTTGGAAAACGGGTGAGACGCCAAGGCCCGGTCCATGCTGGTCCTTTACATCCTGGCGTCCGAGATTGCGAGGCTTTCCGTTGAGATTTCGTTTCTACAGCACAGACTGCGGCTGCGGAGGGTAGCATGACCTGCAACGGCTTACATAAGCTTACATCTTCTGCTCACGGACAAATACCTCATGCTTCCCAACCCCCTAAATTGCACAAACCCGAAGACTTAAACCCTACCCCTGCCCTGGGCCCTACTCCCTACTCCCGTAACCCCAAACCCCACACCCTAAACCCATATTTCCCAAACCCCTAAAACCCCTAAACCCTAAACCGCCCTCTCAGACTTGCCAGGCCCAGCCTTGCAGCCAGCAGCCAGCAGCTGCCTGAGGCAGTCGACGTTGCCACCCTCCGCCACGTAGTGCAGGGGCCTGCGGCCTCGTGTCTTGCAGGGATTCGCAGTTTTTTGGGGTTTAGGGTTATAGGTCTATAGGGTTATAGGTATAGGGTTAGAGGGTTTCGAGTTGTATGAGTTTGGTAACAGTTCTTGGGTTGAGGGTTGTCCAGAGCTGCGAACCATCACGCTCGTCAATCCTAGTCTGGCGATGGCCTACCTGCGACCAGCCTCTGACCTTGGGCCACCCAGGTCGAGGAGGCCACTCGAACAGAGAGACTGCAAATATGACAAAAATGCTCAGCTCCTCCGTGCAGGTTCCCTCAGGCCCGGTCCTTTCCGGTCTGGTGCATCCTGACGGCTTCAACAGCAAGTTCAAAGCGGGCTTTTCGCAGTTTCTTCCTACACAGGCTGCAGCAAGACTTGACGCAGAGGGAAACCCCTTGAGGAGCCTTGTTCCTTGACTTGACGAGCCTTGTTGCAGCGGGCCGCCAGCAACTCTCGGAGGGAGTCCGGATCGCCCTTGCCGGCTGCATAGCTGAGGGGCGTGCGGCCTCAGCGAAGTAGGAACTGAAGAAGAGGTGCGTTTTTTTGGACAGCTTCCTTGTTCTACCTATCTGCTTCAAGGTGCATCATCGCTACTCCTCCCGACTGCTGCCTAGCATTGAACTCAAGCTTTGCACTGCGTGCATCCAGTCACGCCTCCGGCTCCGAACCATGAGTAGTTACATTGCCAAAATCTGTTGTTTTCAAGCGGCAGTTCCTTGACTCGGCTTCTGAGCAAAAAGACATCAAACGTTATGGCGTCATGGCCATGGCAAACCCTGCAACGTTGCTGCCCTCACACAGCATGGCAGAACAGACACATGCCTGGGGCTCTGGCCTCGACCGGATTCTGCTTCCTGGCGATGAAGCGGGGGGCGACACAAAGTTGGACCACATCGTCCCGCACATGTCACGTGTTGCCACAAGCACACATGAAGCTCGCAGGGGCACCCTGCCTTTTCGCAGCCTGCGTCTAGAAGTGCCGCAAGGCAGGCAGCGTGGCCTTTTTCGGCCGCGTGCATCAAGGCCGTCCGGCCTCGACGAGACTGCTTCTACGAGTAGCAGCACAATAGCTCCCCTGTCAAGACAGCGCTACAAGTTTGCGCGTGTTGAGGAGCTGGCCAAGTTTGTCTCTCGCCTCCTGGCATCTTTGATTTGTGTGCAGCTCAGGAAGAAGCCAGGCAGTCTGAGTTGATCTCTTGTGAACATGGGCGGGGAAGATAGCAAAAGTCATTCTGATGACAGCACCTTACATACCTCAAGACGAACAGGCACGTCATTGAATTTGCAAACTGCTGGCCAAGTGTGAAAATCCCCAGCGAACCGGGAAAAAAAACGTTTCATGGCGATCCAGCCTTGAATCGACTGCATCTCCGTCTTGCGGATGGTTTGCAGAGCTTAAAGTGGAACATATAGTGACACTACGGATTGTCGTAGTTTGGTATCATCAGTTTGTGTCGGCATTGTGGCTAGGGGCTAAAGTCGTCTGGACATACAGGCTCCAGGTCAACACACCATCGAACTCACAGACTTGCTCCAGCACAGCCTTGCCGCATCAGTTTATTTGCCATTGTACAGTTGTGCAAGGTCTGGCGTCAAAATGCGATTCTCAGGGCAGTGAGTAGGGCTGGCAGTTCATCACTCTTCCCGAAGCGGTTTTCTGTTGTGCTCGCGCCTTCTTCGAGCCCGCCCGCAAGAGCTCCGTGAGGCATTGCAAAGCGTTGCCGCAAGCGGCAAACATCAGCGGCGTGGTGCCTCGGCGAGGTCGTTGAGAATGAGAACGACCGGAAAGAGTCAGGGCTTAGGACGGCGCCTGCTACCCGTATTCATCCATACATGGTGCAGACTATCTCCGTAAACATTGCAAGCGCGCAAGTGCCACCCCGCCCCCCCTCCCCAAACAGAAAAAAATCATAACACCACTGGCAGCAAGGACCTGGCCGATGTTGTTCCTGGCTTCCTGCAAGGAGAGTTTGCTTCGTCGGCAGTGCCTATCGCAACTTCTGGACCCACGAGCAAACAAATTGCTGAGTTTGCCAGGGGCGCGGAGTTTACAAGTGAGCTTCGTTGACGATTCCAGCCTACGTCTACTTAGCAAACCTACAGCCCGAGGAAGCAAATGCAAGTGAAGCCCTGCAGACACTCGAGTGGTCACACCAACAAGCCGTAGCAACATCAAAGAATCAAAGACGCGACTGCATCAAATGCACAGAAAAACCAATGGCCCGATTCCGTGAGGAATGGGTGCCTGGCCTTGTCAGCACCGGCCGCCAGCAGTTCTCTGAGGCAGTCAACGAAGCCATGCTCGGCCGCCAGGTGCAGCGGTGTCAAGCCTCAGCCGCTGTCCGCTGCAAGCACCGCGCAGGAACACTACCACTACGACGACGACTCCGACTGTGACTGCGACTGCAACTACAACTGCGACTGCGACGACGACGAAGACGAGTACTACTACTACTACCACCGGCGATCTCGCATCCTGCTGGCTGGGTTTCCCACCGCCAGCGTTCTGGGCATCCTGCCAGCATTCGGGGCTGTCTGCGAACTTGGGACATCCTGAAAAGCCTCTCAAATCTTCGTTGGGTGCTGGCATTCGGGGCTGTGTGGGAACTTTGAACATCCTGAAAGACTCTCCAAACTTCTATGCAGCAAGTGTTAGGAACGTGCTGGTATGGCGAAGTGCAGTACCATGCGCTCCCTGATATGAAGTTGTCTTGCTCGAATCATCACTCGCGAGTGCTGTAGCCCTCCCAGCTGTGGGTTTTTAAGCTTTCGGCGCCGGACCAAGCCTTGTCATCTCCTCTGGCAAGAAGCTTCCGAAGACTGTCGACATCGCCGTGCGTCGCTGCCGTGTGGAGGTCCTGACAGCCTCACCCAGGCACGTAGCTGACTTCGACACGTGCAAGCTTTCCGTATCCTGTAGCACCTTGTTGAGTGCACTATCAGCCCCGCGGGGCAACAAGCGCCTCCAGGGGCAGCTTCCGCACTGGGCCCACCTGTCACGGCGAAACGAAGGCGTGCGACGGGTCCGCAAGTACTGTATGTTGACGATGCTTCGGGGAGGTCTCCGAGCCCCGAGCCATCCTCCCTCGTCGCTGCCTCGGTTCGCCAGACTATGGCAAACGCTGCCACAAGCTCTGCGTTCCAGCTCCACTGGAGCGGTGTAGCACGCCGGAGAGCTGATGCAGGAAACTGCTGGGACCCGGACTTCTCCATCGCTTTGCGCCATTGCTTAGCAATGGTTAGCGAAACGAACTAGGAAGTGCCTCCTTGAGTGTTTGAGGACGTTGAATGCACCGGGCCTAGATGCTCGTAACCCAGTAGATTCTACATCATTGCACTGGTCGAGGGGTGTTCGAGCCCAATTCTCCTGTGCAGCGGCAAATTCACTGGCTTCGAGATGTACGAACTCTTGACGTTGGAGCTCGGATTTGCAGCAAGGCGGATGTGCGAGATCCGGCGACGACAAAGGGCATGACCATGTGCATCTGTCATTTCTATGAAAGTTGCGTGCCCTTCCGCACCTCTAGGAACCTAAAAATGCAGAACCAGCAATTCATCCGCCTTCGCACACGGCAGCTCTTGTTTTTCCCCTCCCGGCGACAGCCCGCCATCCAGAGCAGCCGCAAGAAGGATTCCTGCGGAAGCATCTTCCTCAATCCGTTCCATTGCGAGCTTTACCCTGAGCCCGCAACCCGCCAGGTTGAAGCGATGCCTTGGAGCCCTCACGGCCTCTTCAACCCCACTAGCAGTTGCGATCGACCGCACAAGCGTCTCCTCAACAGGTATGCCGCCGAATAGCAGCCGTTTCACCGAAGACTGTGACTGTGCCAGTACTATCCAGAAGCAGAACACGATATTCAAGGACTCAAAAAGTCGCATGCTGCTCCATGCCAAGCGAGCAAGGGCCTAAGAGAGAGAATCGGATGGCAAACGCAAGCTAGAAGCTGGACTCCAAACCAGAGCAGTGAGAGTGTCGCATGCACGATTCCATCACTAGACATGGAATCGGATCTCTGGATGCACCTGTGCGTGCTGTGGTCCAGAGACCTATAATCAGAATAGGCTCTAGAAATCATTCCAGTCTACCGGGAGAGCTAAGTACTTTAGTGGCGGCCTCGGCTGGTGCTGCTGGCAGCTCGCCACCTTGGGCCATGCCGGGCAAATGAGATACGGAACAGTTGAGGAGTGCTTGCCCAGAAACATCTTCGTGGCGAGCGTGCGAAGAGCTTATGCCGCCATCGCATGGCCGCAGGCATGCTTTGCATCTCCTTTTCGTCCGCCCAGGTTCTCTTTCATACGTTCATAGCCGTCCTGACTCGGCGCACAGGCTGTCAGCCGGGGAACTGTCATCCTCACTGCTGGCCTTCCAGATTGATGCCCAAAACACACGCAATGCAAAGTCTGGTCAACCATGTGCGAGGACGAGAGGCAAGCATTGAATCACATGCCATGTCTTACAGCATGCGGTTCAGGTAATCCGCAATGCTGCCGAATTCAACAGTGATGTCATGAACCAAGTCATCCACATGAGATGATGCTCCTGGATCGGCGCTCAGCATGCCCTCCAGCTCCTCTAAAGTCAAACTCATCTCATGCAGCTGTGTCTCTATGTGCCCAACTTTCTTCACAACTGTGTTGACCACCTTCTCGACCTTCTTGAGAAAAGACGATGCAAAGGTCCAGCGCGAGAGATAGTGCTCGACTTTCTGGGGGGTTTGGACTTCGCCGCCTTGTTGCTGAAACTTGAGGTAGAGCTCGTGCGTGGGGTCCTGGATTTCACCACTGTCATAGTGGAGATGCTTCATGCACCACGGGCTTCCATTCCTTATCGTGAATGCTGAGCACGTCGGGTCTCTCAAGCATTCACTGGCAAGCGCTTGCGGCGAAGAGAAGCGACCGCATGTGATGTCACTCCCACGGTGATCAGCACCTGGTTTCAAAGCGAAATGCTGGAAAGCAGTGCTTTCAACAGGGCCGGTGAGGCCTAGCTCACGGTAGTTTTTCTGCGTTTCCCGATAGCCTTCCGCCTGATCCATGGCCGTTTCGCGATACTCAACTACCTTCACCTCCATGGAAGTGAAAGCTTTGTCGACTTCTTGCACCTGTCTTTGAACATGATTGAACTTGCCGCACAGCTTGTGGAAGTTCAGGAGGGCATTGTCCAATCTCCCGTTCCTTAAGTCATCCACAAGCGACTCCAGCTTGTGGGGCGCACCATCTGCGAGGACCTTGAGTTGGGACAATGCCCTGTACAAGTTTTTTCGGCCACCATGGTACTCCCGGGACAAGCTTCTCATGTTCGCAACGAAGCTTGCCCATTCCTTCCCTGATGCGTCAAGCAGGTCGTGCGATGTTTTCACAAGGGAACGGAAGCCTTCTGCCTCCTCCTCTACAATCTTTACCACTGGCTCGTCAGAAGAGAAATTGGCAAGGGAGCTTCGCACCTTCCTCAAAACTTCGTGGTATCGACAAACATGTGTGTTGCAATCCTCCACCTTCGACAGCTCTGGGCACGTCTGTCCACGGCCACGTGCTGCGACCTCTATGCTGCGGCTGTAATGCTGGATTCCGCCGTCGCACGGTTTCGAACATTTGCCCGTTGCCAACCAATCAGAAACTATGCAGTCCATGGAACAGCTGCCATGATTGCAACCCCTGCTTTGCACCGCGCCATGCTTCTCCAGGCACGGCTTTCCGAGTGCGTCGCCAGGTCTAGTAATCTCAAAATGGCGAGTCTGCAAGCAAGTCTCGGCCATGTGCTCCACTCTGCCCAACTTCCTTCGCAGGCCACTTTGCACGGGCCTGGATTGCATGTCACTAGTTTCTGCACCGGGGTTGACTTTCCGCAAAGAGACGAATCTCCCGTGCCAGTGGGACTGATGACGCGGATCATCCTTTGAGTGCCTTCGCCGCAGGACACGGAGCAGGAACCCTGAATACTCCACTCTCCCACCTGACATTGAAGCTCCGTCAATGAAGCCGACACTTCACTTGCCACAGGCTGGATCTGCTGCCCACTCCCTGAAACCACACTCCCGATGATTGCCGGGGTTACTGCGGCTGCGGCAAAAAGCGCCATAGCATTCATTGATGCAGCGTGGACACTGCCGTCGCTACAAAGGGGCCCTGCGAGCCCAAGCACAACTTTCAGATGCGAATTGGCCCTCAGCTGAGGTTGCTGAGCGACGCCGCGATCATCTTGAAAAGCTGCGACTGACGCAGCTCATTAGTCGCGAAGGATATCAGTCCTGAAAGCTTTCAAAGCCCCAAGTCCCGAAACCCTGGGATTCGGGCCAGCCGGGCCGCATGGGCTTGGGCCTCTCAACTGACGGCATTTGTTTGGGGACATGCTTACATCCCCACACCCTAAAGTCCCGGCCTCTTGTCCTCCTTCTTCAACTGCTCTGCTCCTGGAAAACCACAGATTTCGCCGGGCATTGAACAGTTCATGATGCAGTAGCTGTGCACATCTTGTTGACATCGGCTTGAGTTGTAAAGAATCGAAGTGAAGCCTACGGCGTGTAGCAGGTCGAAGGGCACTAAATTTGCAACAGAGCAGACTCGCCCGCTGGATTCAACAGTCGGCGATGTCACCGGCGGAGGATATTCCGCGTGCAGAAAATCTAAATGGGCGCCAGTAAGGTATGTCTATGCACACGTATGTGTGTGCACACCTATACGATGTGTACAATATGACTGTATGTGTATACGGTTCTATATATACACACAACGTATCTAATATACCTACATGCGTATATGTATGAATTAATGTGCATGAATCATACGTACACATAGGTAGCTTCCTGTCTGCGGTGCATGTACGGCCATCTGTCCCGGCTTGGCGACACCGCAAGATTCCTGCAGAGAAATCTCTGACCTGATGCCCACCACTTTTCTGCGATCAGGGCTCTTCAAACGAAGAGACGTCGGGGACAGCATGCCGCTTGTACACTACGATGTACTCAGGGTAGACTTGGTCGTTGTTGAAAACTACGAACTCCCTGTACGTTCCGCGAGCCTTCTCACGATCTCCAAGGATGGAGTGGTGTTGGCCGGATTGAATTGTCTGCAACAGAGCCTCGACATCTGGCTTGACTTCGTCGGTGTAGATCCAATCGCCACAACTGACCTTAGGTTCTTATATCCAGGAGAGATAGAGCTCAACCCATCCACCTCAATCCCAATACCAAACCGGCTGCAAGACACCGACAAAATTCGAAACAATTCAAGTGGCTTTGCACAGCAGCATGCAATACAGGCCATCCTGGTCGTCCGAGGCATACTCATCAGACTTGCTCGAGGCTTCAGCGAAGTAGATGCCCTTGCCTTCACAGCTTCTTGCACTAGGAATCTCGTTCTAATCAGCGCCTCAAAGCAAATTGAGAAGCGGAGTTTGATAAACAAGCTTCAACAGAGCGTTTTTTCGGTTTAGGGTGTTTTTTTCGATCTCCGAATCCCTGAAGAAGGTGATCAAAAGCAGACAAGCATCCATAAAGAGTTCCTTTGTGAGAACCTGCCAAGTCCACTCTGAAGTCCTTGGCAGGCTGGCAAAACAGTGGAAGGGTTCAGAAGGATATCTTAACAAGATCGTGTTGCTTTGCATGCAGATTTTGCAGGCAAGGGCTTGCGGCCAAACATGCTTCAGACCGTTATCAGTTCTTCTTCCCTGGTTCTTAGTAAGTGAATCAAGGAATGGATCCCTGTGATAGTCCCGTCCCAGAAGGTCCCTCGTAGTAGCCCTTACAACCCATAAGAACCGAGGTCTGCAGTCCCTGGAAGCCATACTTTTGGGGCCTCAATAATTTCAATAGGGCTCTGGGGCCCATTCTACTATAGTTATGATAAGGAACACCCCCCACAATAGTGTTTCTAAAACAAAGGCCCCTTTAGAAAAAACCATGCTATGGGATCCAAGAGTCGGAGGCACAGATCGCATTGGCTGCAGACGGCTTGGTGCCATGGAACAGGTAGAACTCACGAGCGTCATTGCATAATGATGCGTGCCCACTCGTTTTGCAGAACTCCTCACAGCAGCTGGTCTTCACCGTTTCGGCCGGCAAAGATTTATCTCGGCACTGGCGGCGAATTCGCTCACGCTGTCGCCAATACGGAACCCAAAGACTTGGGTTTTCATTTCGCAACACCTTGGGGTGACCAGTTGGTAGGCACCACAAATGCCGGACAAGCTGCCTTCAGAAATCCTGGACCCACAAAACAGCTCCCCTCAAAGGCCCTCCGAATTTGTCCATCCCTAGACCCCTAAACCCCTAAACCCCTAAACCCAAACCCCTAAACCCCTAAACACCTAAACTCCTAAACCCCTACTGTAAACCCTATAAACCCTAAACCATGAAGGAAAGCCAGTTGCCTGAACGACTTCGAATCGCTGCACGCCGCCGCCTCCTCCAAGCTCCTCCTCCTCCTTCGCTCGGTCCCTGGTGGCGATCGCCTTCCACGTACTGTCCAGCAAAGACCTGGGCAGGAGGCGTTCCTACAAACCTGGCTTAAGCCACCATTATAGGAAAGGGGCAGGGTTTCCTTATCATGGTAATTTAAGGCAAATTCCTTATCATAAAGCAAACCTACGGTGTCTGCGTGTCGTAAAGTCCATAATGGAGTTGTTCTTACGGGTGGGTGCTTCAGGGGACTGGGAGCGCTGACAGACTCAAGATTGACAGATCCATCCAGGTAAGCGCGAGGCCCGAAATAGAAACCCTGAACCTTCAACTCCTGAATCCTCTACCCTAAACCCTAAATCCCTAAGCCCTAACCCTCAACCCTAAACCCCAGATCAATCCAGGGACTGCATCGCTTGGCAAACTTCCGAAGTCTCCAGCACTCGTTTAGACTCCATGCTCTCGTCATTCAGATGCCAGTATGCAGGCATTTCTACCGGGAGGTTCACAACATTGTCCTCCGAGGAAACGGGTCTCATCTCGTATTTACCCTGCCAGTGAAGGTTCCCGCGCTCGCGAAGCCACTTCCATCTGTCGTTGTCTGGGGCCCAACCACACCCAAGCAGGACTGCACTTGGAAGGACATTCTCACCTAGGAGACGCACCCCCATTGCAGGGTCAAGGTGGATGTTGAATTCTGGGCCCTGGTCATTGTGGTACATAAAAGAAACCTGCTCCACATCAAAGGAGTAGGTCTCCATCTCCAGGGGAAGGGCAATCTGGCTTAGTAACGTAAGCTCGCCCAGTCTTCTGCCCATTTCATCTTGCAACACCAAGTAGGCGGAGAAGCGTCTGCCAGGCAAAGAACCTCTGACCCTGAATTCCAGTAGCCGTCGCTGGCTGCCCTTATCTAACGGAACGGCTGTGCTCATCGCATATTTCCCTCCCCAGTGAAGGTTCCCATGCTCCCGAAGCCACTTCCATCTGTCGTTGTCTGGAGCCCAACCACACCCAAGCAGGACTGCATTTGGAAGGACATCCTCACCTAGGAGACGCACTCCCACCGTAGGGTCAAGGTGGATGTTGAATTCTGGGCCCTGGTCGTTGTGATACTCGAAGACTACCGATGCGGCATACACTGAACAGTGCTTCCAGTCAGTAGGCAAATGATCTTGCTTAGCAAATCGAGCGGCCACAGACACACCACCACCAAGCAGAGAGATCTCCGCAGAGAACTGCCTTCCCGGCTTGCTGCCCTTGACCTTGAACTCCATTAGCTTGATGCCGCCTGCGAGCGCGAAGACATCCCATTCACAGTTCACACACATTTTACCCTACTTCAGCCTTATGACTCCGAGTTCCTTCTCTCTTTCATGTGCGGAATGGACCTACATTTCGCCACAAAATCTACGCATACCCACCTCGCTGCAGCTCACCAGTGACAGGTCTCAGCTCATATTTACCCTGCCAGTGAAGGTTCCCGTGCTCGCGAAGCGCCTTCCATCTGTGGTTATCTGGAGCCCAACCACTCCCAAGCAGGACAGCACTTGGAAGGACATCCTCACCTAGGAGACGCACCCCCATTGCAGGGTCAAGGTGGATGTTGAACTCTGGACCCTGGTCATTATGGTATGTAAGAACCAGCTTCTCCACATCAAAGGAATAAGTTTCCATCTCCAGGGGAAGGGCAATCTGGCTCAGTAACGTAAGCTCGCCCATTCTCCGCCCCTTCGGATCTTGAAACTCCAAGTACACGGAGAAGCGTCTGTCAGGCAAAGAACCTCTGACCCTGAATTCCAGTAGCCGTCGCTGGCTACCCTTCTCTAACGGAACGGCCGTGCTCATCGCATATTTCCCTTGCCAGTGAAGGTTGCCGCGCTCCCGAAGCCACTTCCATCTGTCGTTGTCTGGGGCCCAACCACACCCAAGCAGGACTGCATTTGGAAGGACATCCTCACCTAGGACACGCACTCCCACCGTAGGGTCAAGGTGGATGTTGAATTCTGGGCCCTGGTCGTTGTGATATTCGAAGACTACCTTTGCGGCATACACTGAATAGTGCTTCCAGTCAGCAGGCAAATGATCTTGCTTCGCAAATTGAGCGGCCACAGACACACCACCACCAAGCAGAGAGAGCTCCGCAGAAAACTGCCTTCCCGGCTTGCTGCCCTTGACCTTGAACTCCATTAGCTTGATGCCGCCTGCGAGCGGAAAGGCACCCCATTCCGAAAAACCACTTCACTAAGTTTCAAGAGGCTCTCTCGTGCACATGCGAAACTTGGGCCGCAGGATTCGTGGTCATACACTTACAAGCGCAAAACAATCCGCAAACACCCGAACCACATAGTGGTGAACATCAAAAGTCCGAAACCTTTCAACTCCAGGTCTACCCCTACCTTTGGTTAGTAGGGAATGGAGGATTGGGGTACAATTATAACTACTACTACTACTACTACTACTACTACTACTACTACTACTACTACTACTACTACTACTACTACTACTACTACTACTACTACCATTCTTGCATTCCCTACTAACCCAAAGTAAGATATGGGGTTATTAAGGCCCCTATATTATAGTACCCTTATAGATCCCTTATAGTAACCCTTATAGACCCCTTCATAAGACCCCTTTCATTCCCTACTAACCAAAGGTAAGTAAGCTTGCCTCGCAGCAACTTCTCATCACTCCTCTCCGGAGCTGTTGCTCGGGACTTTGCAGATGCGCATCCCATTTCAGAAACGGCAACGGTTGCGGGAATAGCCGGGGCGTGGCCGCACGGCACTGTTCCCTTGAATGCTAGGCTAATGCACAGCTTAGAGCCAGGAACATAAGCCAGCAATAAAGTTCCCGGTTCTGTAATTGATTCACTGGATGCACTCACTGGCGTGCTGGGGTGGACCGACTCAAGGTAGGAATTGCACGCCGTCGTCTCCCTGTCCTTGTGTTCACCTTGCTGCCTCCTGCCTCCTGCCGCTGTACTTCCCCGAGGGACTCGACGCGGCCGTGCTCGGCTGCATGGTACAACGGTGTCAAGCCTTAGCCACCGTCCGCTGCACGCATTGCACCAACAAAACACGAGCTTGGTGGTACGAGTATAAGGACGCCTAGCAGAGACCTGTGACTCTGCCTGCACGGTGGCGATGTGAAAGCTGTCGCAGCAACTGGCTCTTCCCGCATGCTCGCCATCGTTCCGCAACTCTAGGGCCCCCTGCCTTCGCAGGTCTGGGCATCCTAACAGCACTTGGTGCATGTGGGAGGCTCTCTCACGGCTCAACGTCAACACTACCCAGGAGACGCATCGACACCACCCCGAAATTGAAGTGCAGAATGCTTAACATGATGCCGGGTCGCCAACCGGGACTGGGATACAGATGGCCGAATTTCTAAACCCATGCACGGTGGGTGAGCCTTGTCAGCCGACGCCACCACATGCCGTTACCGTGAGGTTCTGGCAGCCTTTGCCGAGACACGCTTACTTCGAATCCGCATTGCTGGACGGTCCCTAAGGCCTTTGGCCAACACCATCCCTTCCAGCCAGTGCCTTGGTCAAGCAAGCTATCTACCACCAAAATTAGATCGCGGTGGTAAGGGGCAACTTGCACGTTGCTAAAACCTACAAATGTTCTTGGTGGCATGTAGTTGGTGCTCATACACGATTAAACTCAATCATTCTGAATCCAGAATATCCAGATCCACCCGTGGGTGCTTAGCTGAGGGGAGGAGGAGGAATGCGGAGGGGCGACTGATGGCCTGGGGGAGGTGTAACCTTCCCGAAGAGCCCGGCTACCTCTTACCTGTACCGTTGGGAAAGTGATGAATGGTTATTGTATGAGGTTCCACTCTATTTGCGATATTGGTAACTGGGCTTTTCGAAAATAGCAAGGAAGGAGCCGGGACGCGCACTTCTGCATCCTCGCTTGCTCCATGGCTCCACAAGGACTGGCCCAGTACCCCCTTATGGTCCCTATACTCCTAGATGTATATAGGTATATATATATATATATATATTGCGTAACTATAAGTCTGTAGTAGTTTCAAGTTGGGTTTCCCGCCCCTAAACCCAAGTGCGAAGAGTTGAAGCTAGCAACGGATTCGAAGTCAAGTCTCGGGCAAAACGGCCAGCTCAGCGTCACAGGTTTAGGGTTTGGGGTTGGGGCCTCGATAAGCTGTGTAAAAAGATTCGGGGTTGACGGAATAAGCTTTGAGAAGCCACGATACAGCCCTCGGTCATGCCACCAGCCCCCTGAAGATCTAGGTGCTCCGCGCAACATGCGATAGTGGATGGCGCGCGAGGATTCCTCAAAACCAAATCAAATTTGTGGACAGGCCAAGTCAAGCTACATGGACTGCAGGCGGGGAAGTGCTCTGTCTGACGCCTGCATCTCACCACTTGTGCGCGTCCCTGTTGCGGTAGGATATCGGCTTCGGGCTCTTTTGTCCTCGCGGACAGCTCTCCGGATGATCTGCAGAGTCTGCGCCACTTCGTCACTCCCAGAGGAGTGGAGTGCAACACTCGTCGCAAACAATCCGTTCTCTATCACAGTTCTGCACTGCCTTTAGGCTGTGGCTGCTCGCAGAGCCCTAGGTTTCTGGGCGGAATGCGAGTTTTATTCCGTTCGGAGCTGCCAACTTCGCCCCAGAACGCACCGGAGCCAGGGTTTACGGCTTAGGCTGTTCTGGGAACTCAATGCAACTTCTTGCTAGCATGTGGAAGAAGTCTGAAAGCCAAAAAAACTGGAATGAAGGGTAAGCCGTCTTCGACACAGACAGAACCTACATCTGCAGATACTCCTCGCACCGTTGAAGAGCAGAACTCCACGTTCCCTCAAGTCGCCTGCTAAAGCCTTATGCAAATCTCACCCCCCTAGTAACCGCGGCCGGGTGCAAGAAATCCCCCTAAGCCCCTCGGCCCTAAACCCGAATAGTTCCCCTATAGTACCCTTATAGATCCTTTTAAAGGTACCCTTATAGATCCCTTTAAAGGAACCCCCTTATGGATTCGAGCTCAAGATCCCCAAAGCCACGCTCCCAGTGTGTAGAAAAAGCCCTGGGAAACCAGAGCCCCAAAGAAGCTTCTAAACCTAAACCCTTTCAAGCCTACAAACCTAACCCTGTAAGCCGAAACATCTTTTAATCCGACCTGTAACAGCCTACAGTATGCCCAAAACGAAACCCTAAACCCTAAACCCTAAACCCGACTCATGCAGCATCGCCAAAAAACCCTAAACCCCTAAACCCTAAACCCTAAACCATAAATCCTAGAGCCCTAAAGGTCCCAAACGCGTTTTGGGCCGGTCGACAGCGCCCTGCTCTGGGCTTTGGAGCTCCTTTGGAGCTGTCCCAAAAGGGAGTTTCCCAAAATTAGGGGATACCTTTTTTTGGGGGTCCTTTTTATAAGGATCCTACTATTTAGGGTACTAGGGTCCCCCATTTTCGGAAACTCCCAAAAATCTTCGGAAAGTCCAGGGCTTTGGGACGTTTTTGTGGGTTTTGGGGATCTGGGGCCTCGATAGGGCGTGAGGGTTTAGGATGGTTGAGGGTTTAGTGGGGCCCGGGGCTTTGGGGTTTAGGCTTTTCTCGGTTTGAGGGTTTGGAGTTCTAAAGCTTATAGAGTTTAGAGTTGCACCGCTCGCGGATGCTTTAGAACTCGCAGAGCGCGTCGCCCGCCATGTCGTCCGAGAGCTCGGCGAAGCAGCCCTCGCAACACACCTGTGCTCCGGGGCCCTCTTTGGCTCGAGTCGTCGCCTGCGCCTGCCACGGGGGAGCCAGTCCACTAAAAGGGCTACTCTAGTTGCTGGGTTCATAAGCCCCAAAAAGTGTACACTTTCAGTCTTATAGTGGGCAATATTATCCCAAAAAGTGTAAAGTGTATCCACTCAGCTACTAAGTTGCTATAACGGATCTAAAAGGGTACTACAATGTAGGGCTACTATAAGTGGGTATTATGGGGGGTTCAATCTCATGACGACAGAGCTTCAGTCGGGTTTTGGTTGGGTGTAGGGGTTAGGGTTTAGCCTCCGGGAAGGGGAGATCCCGCGGAAGGCTGTGGCACTCTGCTCGAATGCAGATATCTGGGAATCAGAACACCCCAAACTGCGCCCCCTACTTCTTGACGATGACGAGGATGATATAAAAAAAGGATGATGAGATCGATTGTAACCGTGATGCTGAAGAATGTGGCGATGATGATAATGATGATGATGTTCTGCAGCTGAGCGACGACGAGAATGCACGCCCAGATTGCGAAGCCGATGTTGGTCAAGATGAACATAATAGCAATGAACCTGGGACGCTGCAGAGTCATGATTTGGCCTGCTTGTAGCCTCTACACAACAAGTTGGCCTTCCGTCAGATTGCAAAAATGTTGAGCAAAGAAGCACCAGAGTGACTGACAGGGGTCCTATGAACTTCTCCACTCGTCTATATGCAGAAGCAGATGTTAACAAGAGGGCCTTGAACTATCCCGCATACCACTACACAGCCCGCTTGCATGCTAGCATGTAATGTTATAAGATCTCGCGACAGTCCTCTTCCATGCTCCTGCTGCACGGTACCGCGATATGTTGTGCAACCCTCAACACATCAGCCTCTGCCATACAAACACCAAATAAAAAGCATAATTATGAAAAAAGCTCTTGCTGCTACATGAACCCGAGTCCCTAGGTGCACGCTACGATCAAGACATCCTCGTGGCATGTCTGAGCACCGTACAGGAACCACAGAGATTCGGTCTGTTCGTCGAACCGTCCAGCAACACAGTTCTCCAAGACAATGACTACCTGGGCAGGGTCCATACTGCAGAGACTGGGGTTTCCACTTCTAGCAGCTGAATACATGACCCCCCGGAGAACAAGAGCGTGCTGGGCGTTCTCCTCCTCTCTTGGTCTGAAGATGTCCGGTCGTCACTTATCCAAGCCGCGAGGAACCAGAAGCACGCCAGCACGTACTTGTCTAACCTGGCTCGAATACACTGATTACCATCTGTTGAAATGCTTTGCAGAGTGAGTCACCAGACGACAGACGATGCACGGGCACTGTCCGGAAAGAGATATAAATAACCAGCAAACATGTAACGGCATTCGATATACACCCCTATCCCAGCAACTCCGAGCGGATACGCACCATGCAAAACAAGTTCTGATTCTAATCAGCACCATGCTGACGCAGTTCCTGCTAGCTTCGCCATAAGACAAACCCAAACAGAACGTGCAGTGTTGAAGCATATGGATGGGTGCCAAAATGATGGTCCCGTTTTGGGTACCCGAAATTGTCGGTGCCGTATTGTAATAGGGACCCAAATAAAAGTGCACAGGCCGGCGTCCTGCAGGCCAAGGCGATCCGGGATCGAAACACCATGCAAGATCCAGGAACCGTAGAAATGCTGAATTAAAGGAACCCCTTAAAGGAGCCCTTTTTGGGCTTAGGGTTCCTTTGAAGGGTTACTGCAAAGGAACCCTTAAACACATAATTCAGAACCCCGATGATGCCAAGCAGCCAGGTGTTGTAACCGATGGTTGGAACCTGCAAAAGATTCGGGCAAAGCCGCCGAGTGTAGGGTTTAGGATGTGCTTCTGGCTGCTGCAATGCTGCACCCAAACCATGAACTTCAAGATCTGTGCTCCAAGACGCCATCTGAGCGGTGATGTACTTGTAAGCAACCGCCGTGAGGACCAAAGTTAAAGTCGCACCTGTGCTTGCGACGTGCAAGGCACTCCTAGTACCTTCAAACCTCAGGTACGTGGTGTGCCGATGGCTCCTCGCGAAAAGCCAAGAACGCGCGCAGAAGTTTTTGGCCTCCTCCGCCTCTGACTTTGCAAACCAGGACACTAAGACGATCAGCGACCTTGTCGATGTGGATGCTCATCGAGCAAGCACTCCTGTAAATTGCGGAGGCCCAAGCCCAAGAAGCTAGATCATGGAGATACAGTTCGCTCGAACGTGCCGAGTCTTGTGCTTCTTCACAACAATGCTGGGTCTACTATGGTATACTGATTTCTGGTGGAAACGTGCGCACGCCGACGACTTCAAAACGAATGCCCACTGCGCTGCAATCTGCCGCTGACGGATTTTGTTTGCAAACCCTGGCAAAAGTGCAACACCATTCTGTCTCTGACTTCAAGTTCGCTGGACGGTGAATGTCAACAGAGCACAAGTATGATCAGTAGTGCACACGCGGCTTCTGTGAAATTCTATGTTTGTCTTTTGGAAATACCAAGTCAGATCGCGGAACTGTCTGTACACGTTACAGCACTGGAAAGTTCTGTGCACGGTTGCCCAGATGCTACCGGCACACAGGCAGCTCAGCAAAACGGAAACTGAAGCCCTAAACCCTAAAACCTAAACTGAAAAAAGAAGCCCTAAACCCTGTAGATAGGTCAAAACACGGCCTCTGGCGTGAACCTACTTTCGACTTCCCAGGGTCCAGGGGGAAGCTGAAAAACCTCTCAGAACAAGCACCCAGAGAAGCAGAGGCTCATTGAAGCGATCAGGAACATGGGGAGGACCACGTTCCATAGGTAAAACCTTCAAGCGAACTTCGATGGTTGGGGCTTCGAAATCAAGAAGAACTCGAGCAGAATAGAACAAGAAGTGGGGGAACTAAACCCTTGATCACAGGACGACGGCTGCTACTAAGCATGCTAGGAATAGGGAGAGCACGGATGCCGATACCTGGCATTCGCGTACGCACAGACTCATCGACATGACATGACACTGAAGACCATGCAGGAAAGAGCATGACAAGACTACAGTTGTAGCCCTAACACAAAAAAGGACAAAGCACCGGTGCCAGCTGGTGCTCGCGACACGGATGCTCCCATACTAGACTAGACTGGACTCGACCGGACTAAACTTGTCTAGACTATACTATAGTATGCTGTGATGCTATGACAGAGCACATGTGCATGACACGAGCTCAGGAAGCGGGTGCTGAGAACCATATCTGCACTGGTACGAACTGATCTGATGCGCGTGGCAAGTGAGAGTTTGTAAGTAGCGGCTTGGAAAGCAACTTCCAGACAAGCTCCAATGTCTTCGCCGAGTCACCCGTATTTGCGCTGAAGATAAACGCTGATTTTCACAGTCGGAAACTGATGTTCCTGCCGCAAGCTCAACAGGAGTTGTGGTGCCGATGGGACTTGAGGCAAAAGCGATGCGAGCCGCAGCTTTGAAGCACGTTGCTGCGGCACACGGCGGCAACTTTGCCACTCTTCTGGGAAACTCCAGAATAAGAACAAACCCAACCGCCGCGCATGGAACCCTGCTGGAGTTGCAAGAGCCCTGAGCCTGCCAATTCTTGTCTTTATCGGTCCAGTCAAACCTTGCAACGATTGGCAATCTGATGTCACAGCCAAGCGGATGGCCGAAAAAAGAAGACGCTCTGCTGCAAGAAGTTTCGTCTGCCACGGTGTGCAGTACAGATTACATTCTCAAGATCTCAAACCCATCAGCAACCGAGGTTGGACTGTGCTACAACCTCAAGCAGAAGTGTTGCTCCTAGTTTCTCGAATACGACAATGAGATGCTCAGATGCCCCGAAGTCCCCTAAAAAGAGACTGCGCCTTTCCTCCAGCTACCTTCCAAGCTCCGCCAGGGCTCTTCAAGAAGACGCGTTCCGGGCGTATCCAGGAGTTTTGCAGACTGAAGACGTTCAGGATCACTTTGGATTCGTCTCGCAGGGCCGGGGGCCGGGCTGCATCGAAGAGGAATGATAGGGTTTAGGGTTTGGGGTTTAGGGTAAAGGAGGCCTAAAACCCAAGGAACCCTCAAAGGAGCCATTGAAGAACCCGTTTAGGTGTTAGGCCGGCGATGACTGTGGATACAGGAATCCCCATAAAGTTGGAAACCGGATTAAGGCCAAATAGTGCTGCGATTTTTTCTCTTGAGGATTGAGGCTATTGGGTTTCCAACTTTTGGGCTTCTACTGTACCCCTACACCCTCTTAAACCCTCTTAAACCCTCTTAAACCCTCTTAAACCCTCTTACACCCTCTCAAACCCTAAACCCTAAACCCCAAAACCCTAAACCCTGAACTCTAAAAACCTAATACTGTATTGCCGCTGGCCTTCATCTGGATATTGAAACCGCACCTGCTCCTTTCCGGCGAGGCACGGCCTCGGATCTGATGAGACGTGTTACCCAAACGGCCCAATCATATCACCCTAAACCCTAAACCCTAAACCCTAAACCTACATAATTTAAGCCATATTCTTTAATTAAGGGGTATTGGGCTCTGTGGGTTCAAGGTTTGTGGCGCTTGGGGCTTCGGGTTTACCAATAGGCGCCAAAGTAGTTCCTTTTGGGGGTTCATATATAGAATCCTATAGGGTAATCCCAAAAAGGAATTACTATGGGGCCTCTGGGTGAGATCATGATTCGTGATAGTATGTGTATTATACCGTCATCGTATTCTTACTACTACCATCATTGTTAGTATTAATATTTTTTGGACAACTCAAACCCCCATAAAGCCATATTCGCTCGCGCACTTAGGTGCTGAAGAGGTGGGCTCAAGCAAAACCGGCACAACCCCTTGAGTAGAAGAAAGTGCGCGCCAAGCTCGAATCCAAGCTGCACACCTAGGCAGAGTGTCACAGACAGCTCTTGGCAGTCGAAGGGAAAGCTTTTCAATTCAAGCTTTTCTGCGAACTCGCCAGCAATCACCTCGGTCGATCTGATCAAAGAGCACTTCTCAGGGTCACAGTACAGTAGCCAGCAATCAGATCTGTATCTACGTGATACTAGCAACTCTTCTACTGGCACTACGAAACCTCAATACAGTGCTGTCCGCAAGTATGGCTCATTGTCATGGGGACACTACGAATCGCACGCGCAGCCTTGCGGCTGATGGCAGCAATTGATCATGTGGGAATGCAACCGCATTTGTGCAAAAAGTACTCAGAACACAAGCACCGTTCAACATACCGCAGCCATGAACACTACTAACGACACAGACCGCACGTCTAGTGCAACGATACTGAAGACTACACAAAGGTTAGGAACAGGATCAAACGCGAAGACAACAAGAATGCCTTTCAACATGACACTCCATCAAATCACCAAACCGTATATGACTAATGATACTGACAGCTAGAAGAACGAAGGGGACACGCAGTCATGCAAATGGACTCGTAGCAATTAGAACTCTGACAGTCATCACAGATAACGACAATTATCGCATGCTTGTTGACAGTAGAAGCTGCTATCAGAATGACAACCAAGCCAAAAAAGGCCAAGACAGTGGCAGCTACGACAACAAGAAGACGAAGAAGGAGAAGAACAGCAGCAAGGACCACCACCACCACGACCCACGACTCACGACCACGACCACCACCCAACGACGACGGCGACAACGACTACAACAGCAACAACGTGAAGAATGAGAAATTGGCAAGTACGATAAACGTGGGTCGGTGCAGAAGGGACCTCAGTTGGGCATTAACAGCATTCAATACCCATACAACCATATAATTGTAGCTACCCTAGAAGGGATCCTAATTGGGGATATGGTAGTTATAACTCTATGAAATAACTTACTACCATATGGCAAGACAAGCAGTGTTGGCTCCGCGCGGCCCAGGACATCTTCACCACGCTGCAGCCGTCCTTATAGTCCATCCACACTTTCGGCTTCGGTGATTCCTCTGTTGGCTCTGCGAGACAGTTCCTGAGATTCCAGGGGTTTAATTAGGGGTTTAGGGTTCTAGGGTGTTTTGGGCTTTGGGCCTCGGGGTGTTTTGGGCTTTAGGGTTTAGGGTTCTGTCTCAAGGGATGCAGCAATCTCTCCCAGCTGCCCTGCTACAAACATGCTGCTCCCGAGGCAGGAAGCTCGTGTACCGCACGGACTGACATTCATTTTGTCGCAGAGTCCATCGGCCTATTACAGACAGTTCGCCGAGCCTTATGAGCCCGACAGATTATGTCTAATATATTGTATGTTATAGAGATTTCTATGTTATATATTGTATTATTAAAGGTTTCTATGTCATATATTATATTATGCTTTGTTGGCCAAGGTTCTCCACCGTGAATCTCGAGCGGCAGTCAGGCTTCGTTTTTGGCTTGTCGATGTTGTCACCCGGTGTCGCACCAGCGTCCTCGCCCTCGACTTTCTTCTTGAGAAACTGAAAGCAGTTCTGGGCCTGCGAAGGCGTGTTGCCCACGTGAAGTCTCATGACATGATCACACAATGGAATCGGAGACACAAGACTTCTCGCAATGACAGTCTCTGCGCAGCACTTATCTCGGCGTGTTTTCCGATGCTACACATGCACCCAAAAAGTCCAACACACCCGAGCAAGAAAAGCAGGTAGCGGTCTGTGGGGCCTGAAAGGACATGTGTCAATCTAAGCTTCAGCAGAAGTGTGTCAGAATGGAGTCTAAGCTCTCGCTGCCCCCTTAGTCGGCCTCCTTCTCTTTCGCTTCCTGCACGGTCTGAGGTGTAGGGCTTCGCTTTCGGGACCAAAGACGAGTGGAGTCAAGGCTTCCGCATCCGAGCATCTCTACGTGAGCTTGGAACCCCTGAGCCCTTCAAGCCTCCTTTGAGGTGTGGGATTTCGGGTTTTGAAGTGTTTAGGGTTTGGGGCAGGTTATGCAGATTGGCAGCAAGGTCACTACAGAGCAAGATCGCGACTTGGGACTTGGCATTCACGAACACAGTGGAACAGGCTGGGAAGCTAAACCCTAAACCCCTACTGTAAGCCCTAAACCTCGCATGGTCATGACAGTCAAGGGGCATGCGTCTTCTTGGTCGGGATCCTTGGCTGAGAGAGAACAGTTTTTCGGGTCTCCTCTCGAGAAGATCCTTCCCAACACCACTTTCGGATTTGGGTTTGGGGCGTAGGGTGTAAGCTTAGGGTTTGGGATTGGGGTTTGGGATGGACTTTGGGGCTTGCGGTTTGGGGTTTTGGGGTTTAGGAATGCTGCAGAAATCTTTGGCTTGATGCCAGCGACAGTCGAAATGGTGGCCCCCCGCTGCTTCGGCTGGCTGTCCGAACGATTGATAGACGCTACATAAGACCGTGAAGAGTGCCAAGTGCAAAGACAGGAAAATCAAACACTACTGGTTGAGCTGCATGTCGGAGATCCTAGACTCTCTCCGTAAAGCAACCTTTCCCGAAAGATCCGGAACACAATGCCATGTAGCAGGCGCCTCTATATGGGTGGTTGTCAAAATTATGGTCCCTCTTTGGGTCCCCACTATAGTACGGCACCTAATATTTAGGGTACCCCAAAAAAGGGACCCTGATGTTGATAACTACCCACATGCTGAACCAGAGTCAATCTCGCCTCGAAGAAGAAGCGAGCTGAGAAACTCTCCTCCAACTGCTTGATCCTGAGGCGTGGAGTCAAGGCCCTCTCGAACTGAGGTCGCACTTCTAACCTGCAAGCCGGTGTTGCCCGACACTGCATCAAAAATCAAGTTCCGTAGGTGTTCTTGACGAAGACAGCTGTCTTTTGCGTCCGCGTGAATCATCCGCTTGATTCGCAAACCCAGCGGCAGCTAAACAAGTCTGCCAAGAACGAGAACAAGGCTCTGCATCAACTTGTCCACATTGGCTCGCACTGCCATGAAGTACTTTGGAGAGCCTCAGGCTGTGGTAATGGTGGTAGTAGCAGTAGCAGTAGTAGCAGTATCAGCAGTAGTAGCAGTAGTAGCAGTAGCAGCAGTAGTAGCAGTAGTAGTAGTAGTAGTAGTAGTAGTGGTGGTAACTTTATAATCTTAGCAGTGGTTTCGGAGAGCCAATGACACTTGCCGGATGTGAAGAAGGCTGAACTAAGGATCACCTGACTTCGAGCTCTGCCGGACGAGGTCGGCAATCTCTGAGGGCGACACATGCGACGTCAGGACCTCAAGCCATGCTACAACCACAACATGGGAGTGTCCGAAAATTCGAGGGACCTTGTTTTGGGGTCCTTATAATAAGGATCCTACTAGTTAGGGTACCATGTTAGGGTCCCCCATTTTCGGAAACTCCCGCATGACACATGCTGTTGCAGCATGGTACGTTTGTGCGGTGCAGCATGATATGCCAAGCTAGCCTGGCATCGTGCGATGGTCCTGCTACAGCGTCTGCAAAAGAGGCCCAGGCGATTGTTGCAATGCAGTGCTGCAAAGTTCAGAGTACTGCACATGAAAAACTTGCATAAGCGGCGCTTGTCATGCTGAGTGCAGCAACATCGCTGAAAAGATCAGTCCTGCCAGTCCAAAAGCCGGCAACACGGTACACATCCACATAAGGCTGGCAATGCGAAACACGGTACTGGTGAGAGTCATGCAGATGACTTTACAAGGTTGTCCGCCAATGATGATGAGGATGATGTTGGCACTCTTGATCAAGCAATACTTGTACTGGTGTGAGAAGCTGGTGGCAATAGAAGTGCTGATGTTTGTAGCTCCGACACTGCTCACAAAATCCTATGCCGAAACTCCTGTCACGCCTCTGGACCATTTTAAAAACTGCATGAGCTGTATGACAACGAGAGTCGCATGGATACTATGTTTTCACGGCCGTGAAAGTTGCTGATCGATAGCATGACTAACGAGTAATGCTGTCAAGTATGAACCATAGGTACCAAGCGAATCGTAAACAATACGTGCTACCTTCGCCTGTCACCCTAGTCAGATCGGTCAAGCCACGATCATCGTGTTCACCCCCAGCTTCTTCATCGCTGGATCCAACGTCCCAGCGGCAAAGCAGCCGCTGTCTCTCAGACATGCGGACAAGTCGAACAATTGCGATGCTTCCGTGTTGATGCATCTATGGACGATGAGCATGTACTCAAAGATGCTCGCTAGAAGGGCCCCCGAATGTGACCTACTCCCTTAAACGATCTCCGTCCATGGCTTGTTGTGCATTCTTGGCGGACCGCCTCGAGAAAGCAAGCACCAACAGCCGGGGGGTGAACACGATGATCGTGGCTTGACCGATCTGACTAGGGTGACAGGCGAAGGTAGCACGTATTGTAAACGCTAAACCCTAAACCCTAAACCCTAAACCCTGAACCCTAAACCACGGTTTAGGGTTTAGGGTTTAGGGTTTACATAGTATTGGTAATTAAATTATTTAGACCCCTATGTTCAACCCGAAACCCTAAGCCTCAGGCCCAACATCCCTTCCGAGAAGCACCGCAAGCCCGCAGTTCTAGTTATGCTGTTGTTGTGTCGGGTTTGGGGGTACGGTGTAGGGTTTATTTAGAGCACATGAAGCCGGGTCAACTTAGAAAAACACAAACCCTGGGTTCTGGGAGGTTGCTTCCAGTGAATGGGTGGCAGCAATTTTCCATTCATTAGCAGACGGCATCGCAGCCTGAGGTTATGTGTACAAGGACGTGGTATCCTGTATTAAGTGAGACATCTTCAGGCCAGCCGCCAAGCATGGGCACTCTCATCCTGCAGCGGCTGCCACCTGCAATCAGATCCACTCACATGATGCACACTCCGAACCAGACACTAAGCCCTAAACATCCCTCAGGCCCTAAACCCTGGACACCGGAACCCTAAACCACGCTTCTCCGGCCTGGCTGGTTTTGTTCTTCGAACCTCTGCAGTCCCGACACGTCAGGAGCAAACACGCAGCTGCCAGCAAGTGACCTCGGAGCACTCGGCAATTCCCTTCCGTAGGCCTCCTAGGTTTTGGGTTTTAGGGTGTAGGGTTAGGGTTCAGGGTTTAGGGCTTGTTGTAGGGTTTAGGGTTAGGGTTCAGGGCTTAGGCTTGGGGGTTTGGAAGTTTAAGGTTTGGGGTGGTACACAGAGTCACTGAGACAGGCACCTGCTTGCCTCCATATTCTGCTGCAAACGCCTGCAGCAAAAGACAGGAAAACTGCGGACGTTGCCGTGTACAACTTCCTCTGAAATTCTGCAAAATTCTCTTTTTGGGGGATCTTCTGAATGGCAAACGGATTCAAAACCCCCTAGGCCTAAAAAGTAAACCCATAAACCCGAAACCGTTTCTGAGGAGTTCGTTTATGGACCCTAGGAAGCCGATGGCGTATCGCATCGCAGCCGACCTCTTTGTCGCCGCAGCTCGAGGCATCTCGCAGGGCGGAGACTTGGGGTTCTTGAGTTTCGGATAAGGGGGTTTCCGAGATTAGGGGACCCTAATATAGAACCCTGAAAAGCAGGATCTGTATTATCAGGATCGCAACATAAGGCACACCCTATTTTCGGAAACTCCCAATAGGATTTTGACACATTGGGGAAAAAAGAGCTCAATGTGGTCGGAAACTCTGATTACGTATACAACTCAATCACGTGCTGACACAGAAAGCACAGCTGCCGACCTGAACCGCAGCAGGTCCACTTGCGGCTGAAGCCCATGCAGGACCTCATCCGCTCCCAGAGCTGCTACCTACCACGGGGCGTAGCTAGGCTTTCGCTTGAAAAGAGCTGCAAAAAAAAACTTAAAAAATCATCAAGCCCTAAAACCCAAAAGATTCAAAACCCTAGAGCCAAAAAAACATAAGATCGGGCGCCTCCAGCACATCGCTGGGAGATAAAGATGCAATACAGTCAATCCTCTTCGGAAGCAGCGATGCCTCCGAAGGACTCGAGCATCTTACGGTTTAGAGTACAGGGGTTTAGGCTTTAGGGTTTAGAGTTTAGGGGTTTATGGTTTAGGGGTTTAGGGTTTATGGGTTTGGGGTTTAGGGGTTTATGGTTTAAGGGTCTAGGGTTTAGGGTTTAGTCTGAAACCTCTCAAAAAAGTCAGGAGTAGGCCTGAGGTTTAGGGTTTTGGGTTTCTCAAGGGGCCTTGGCAATCAGAATCTTTACAGGGTTACAAAGTCAGATTGTCTATAGCGTTCTGCAAACAGAAATCTTTGGATATGGTGTATGTAATGGTTTTGAATTCCGACCCCTCGATTAGCGAGATTCAGGCTTGAAAACCCTGAACTGCAAGAGCCTGCGAGACATTGGTCGGATACGGAATCGCAGCGAAATGCACGTCCTTCAGCCGGCCGAAATGCTTCAGAAGCGGTCTGATGACCTTGACGAGGGATCCGCATTTCGCTTAAGCTAAAGCACCTGTCAGCCCTACGAGGCCCAACACGGGAGCTAGTTTGGGGACTATAGTGACATATCCTACCTAAACCCCAAAACCCTAACCCCTAAACCCTAAAACTTAAACCCTAAACTCCAAACCCCTAAAACCTGAAACCCCAAACCCTAAACCCCCAGGTGCCTCCTCCGGGAAGTTGAGGTCGCCCATGAGGAGGGTCGGGATACTTCCGCAGTCCCCCGAAATCTCGGAGCTCAGGGCATCGCTGAACTCCCGACACGCAGGGCCGTAGGGCATCCCGGGCAGGTGCCTCAGAGACCAACGTCACATTTTAGTGTAGCTCTATGGATGCTTTGAGGAGATCTTATTTCTAATTGTGCACTGTCAATCTTCCTGCCATGGCTGCTATGATGAGCCCAGGTGCGTGGTAACTATCCGCAGCTGCCGGTTCGAAGCCTCACCGCCGCCCTGCAGCTTGAAGCACGCCACCGCTATGACCTGCACATGGGTCTTACTTAATGCTGTGGATCTTTTCGGTGTCTTGGATGTAAAGCGTCTTGGGTGTAGACTGTAAGGCTTTAAGCCCACAAGCTCTTTATTGCTCAGGGCTTAGAAAGTACGGGGGGTTTAGGACTCGACTCATTGGATTCGATTTTGTATTCGGGGCTCCCGATCCAAAGGTTTCTCATCATTCGGGCATACCCTGGCTTCAATGTACCTTGGGTAGGGTCCTTACATGTAGGATCCTACAGTTCGGAACTCAGCACGATCCGAATCTCACCAGAGCTGATCTTCACAAACCAAGGAGACCTTAGGTAGTGGAACAGGATTTTGGGTTTTTGCATACCAGGAACATGGTAAGGACAGAAAACAAATAATAGTTTGGGTACGGCCCCCACTAATATAGATACATTAGGACCTTAATGGTAGCCCTATTGTATACTCTCACTGTATGGGGGCAGTACCTAAGTAATAGTTGCAGTTGATTTAGGCTTTGGCCTTCTTTGGGTCAGATGGGTACGGCTCCTGAAGGCAGTGGAAGTCGACTAACTCCACGTAGGCAGAGTTGTAGACGATCGCCTCGAGGGAAGAGCGCGGACGACCCTACACACTCCAACAACTCAGCCCCGAGGCACCCCGCCTCCTCCCCTCCTCCCCTAAACCCTAAATCCCAAACTACCCTAAAACCCCAAACCTAAACTAGGGCCTAAACTCTGAAGCCAGAAACACGTTTTCCCCAAATCGCGCCTCCTGGTTCTTTTGGCTCCGGTCTCCGGTGCACCGCATGCTGCAGCCCTGGGCGCCGAGCTTCGCCTCCAAGAGATTCAGGAACTCCGGCCAGCACTCCTCTTCGTAGCCGCTTGCATGCTTGTTCCTTTTGCTTTTGTTGTTGCTTTGGGACTGGGGTTTCCGGCCAGCACTCCTCGTCGCAGTAGTTTGGATTTGGGGTTTGGGGTGTTTAGGGTTCAGGGTCCTCTTCGAAGCAGTGAGACAGGCAGGGCTCAAGAGTTCAGGGTTTGGGATTTAGGGTTAAGGGTTTGTGGGTTCAGGGTTCAGGTTTAGAGTTTACGGTGTGGTGTTTAGGGCATGTTGGTGGAAGCAGTAGACATAAGAGTAGGAAGAATGAGATGCTGTGGGAAAAGACAGTCAACGATGATAAGAACAAGATGACAGTCAAGGATGATACAGATGGTGCTAAAACACAACGCGCCACGGGTTTGGGGTTTAGGGTTTGGTTCACAATAACAACGGCAACAGCAAGAGAATGCTGACAGTAATAGTAACAGCAGCAGCAGCAGCCGCAGCAGCAACAACAACAGTAGCCGTAACAACGACAACAACAATGACAGTAATGAACGTAACACTGAGAACAGGAGACTATGACAGCAACAGACAATAGGAACAACAAGAACACCGGTATCCGTAATGACAGGTACCATATTGCGACTACTGACAATAACGACAGTACTCCGAATCATGACAGGAACTCAGGAAGGGGCCGTTTGGTGATCTTGGGCTATTCGTGAGGCGGACCATTTTGGAGGTTCCGGGTCCAGAGGGTGTCGTCCCTTGACAAGCTGAGGGCTCAGGATTTCTGCTTCGGGGGTAGGGTGTTGTGAGGCCTGAGATTCCTAAGGATGTAGAGCTCCAGGGTTTCGTTTATGCTTGGCGGAGAGGACTTTGGCTTCTGAAGATTTCGTAGCGTGTAGGGCTTCTGAATGGAAAACCAACCACACAACAAACCGAAGAAGAGAGAGCAGAAAGCAGAAAGCACCCCAGCTCTCCTGGAGGCAGAGGACGGCCTTCGGGTGGCCTGGGTGGAGGAGGAGCCTGAGGACCACGGAGACGAGCTCCTCGGCCCTTTGCTCCGCAGGGCTTTGCTGCATCTTGGAGCCCTCCAGGCCCTGCCAGTCCTTGTCAATGAACTTCATATAGTGCCTGGGTTGTAGTTTTGGGGCTCTGAAACCTCTATAGGAACCATAAGGAAAATAAAAAAAGTTTCCCAAATTGCCACCTCGGTGCATATTCAGAACATTGAAGGAGGCCAGGTTCAGAGCTTCGCCGTCGCCTTTCAGCACGACTCTCGCTCCCACGGGCGGGTGGTCCGAGGGAAACTCCCAGAGATCGTGGAGGGGCTCGGAGAGAGAGGACTCGAAGTGCTCGAAGCTCCCCATCCGGTTCACCAGCATCAGGGAGGCGCAGCCCTCCAGGAGCTCAAAGGCCTTGAGGGTGTTTAAGCTTTAGGGCCTTTAGGCTGCAGGGGTTCCTGTAAAGGAACCCTAGGGGTTCCTTTCAGGGATCTATAAGGGGTTCAAAGTGTAGGGTTCAGGGTTTGGGGGTTTAGGGGTTTAGGGTTCAGCGTTTAGGGTTTAGGGTTCGGGGTTCCGGGTGTAGTCTTCAGCTCTTTGGCCTCGATGAGCATCTCCAGGGCAGAGGCCTCCGAGACCTCTGAGATCGCTTCCAGACGGCTCTGGAGCTCCTCCACGCATTGCCTGGGCTCTTAAAAAACCCTAAGAGGGAAGCTCTCTTCAATCTACTATAGACTATATGGGTTCTTAAATTAAACCCCAAGAAGGAAGCCCTATTCAAGCTACTATAGTGCCCTACTACAAAAACTTTAGATCCCTACTATTAAAATTATATGGCGTCGTAGTATCTACTTTAGATCCCTATGATGGTAACCCGAAAAAAAAAAGGAAGAGCCCAGTTGCCGCGCCGCCGCCGCCTCGGTGGCCTCCACCTGCGGCTCGGATCCCAGAGCCTCCTTGGGATAGTAGGGAATGGAAGAGTGGTATAGGGTTTAGGGTATAGGGCTATAGGGTTCAGGGTTTAGGGTATAGGGTTTAGGGTATAGGGTTTAGGGTATCGGGCTATAGGGTTCAGGGTTTAGGCTCGGATCCCAGAGCCTCCAGCTTTGCCCGGAGACGCCGCAGATCTTCGCCTGAGAGCTCTTCAAAGAGTCTACAAACCTAAGGGTTCCTTTAAAGGGGTCTATAAGGGTTACTATAAGGGATCTATGAGGGTAGTACTACAACAATGTAGGAACCTGATCAAAAAGCCTTGGGGCCTTATTGGGGTTCTTAATAAGGATCCTAGTATATTGGGGGCTATAGGCCCAAAGTTGCTTAAATCAGGTTCCTACATTACACTGCCCTTGACAGTATCTGAGGTGCTCAGGACTAGTCGTCTCTGAGGCTTCCGCTCAGCTGCGACAGGCTCTGTCGGGCGCTCTCCTGCGACGAGGGCCTGTGACGGGTCGCACATGCCAGCGAGAGTTTTTAGGGTTTAGGAGCTAAATTTCCTCAAGGGATATGCGTGGGAATTGGGATGAACCCATCCAGCCCCTGAAGCTAGCTGCTAAATGCTGCTCCTTGCCGCTGCCTGGTCTCGAGGAGGGCTGCAGTTTCGGCGAGATGGACCGGCAAGCCCTGCAGGTAGGGCCGCAGGGCCTGGACCAGGGCTGCGTCGACCGCTGAATGCGATCCGAGGCCGAGCAGCTGCTTCACCTCAGCTGGTAGGGTTTAGGGTTTAGGGTTTAGGATTTAGGGTATAGGGTTTAAGGAACGGTTGCCAGATGAGAACCCAAAAAAGTCCTGAGCTCTGGATCCACATGAAATGGGAAGTCGCGAGCTTCTCTGCCAAGAGCTCTCCGTCGTGAGCCGCCCCACGCTGCATGGGAGCCGCCTTGCAACAGAGTACAACGGCAGAGTCATCGAAACTACGACTGAGAACTTGCAAAAGGATGTGTGCGAGATTCGCCGAAGATAAACATCCCAGGCTTGAACACACAGCCCTTCATCTCAGCCCCCCCGGCTTTGCAGCACGCAGACGGTCAAGCCATGTCATTCACATTCACCACATACAAGGGCTGCCTCAAACAGCCAGCATTTCAGCCGTCATGGCCGCAGGATTGTCCAAGACAGGCATGCAAAGCAACACATATGTATAAACGTTGGCCCCGCAGATAAAAACGTCGCTGTTCAAGCACAGCACCAGTGGCTCTGGAGAACATTGGTTGCCGTACATGTCTGGACTGGCGCTTCTGACATGTCTTCTCAGCCAATGCTGCGAAAGCTACAAAATGTGAATTGGACTCTCGTCGCACCTGGACGCATACGATGCAAGCCCCACACAGCGAGAATCGTGAACAAACTCGGAAGGGCAACCGACAAGGGCAACACAACGCAGCCTGAAATGGTATGCAATGACAGCTTCGACGGGATGCATACAACAGAGTTGGAGCTCGAGTCCGGTCCCAGAAGTCAGTATAGTTATAGTCCGCAGGGAGTCACGTTTTTCCGAGGTCGCTGCTTTAAGAGCTGCAGCGTTGGCCAGATGGAAAACACGGAAACCAACACAAACCGCCAAAGCGGATGCATGGGATAATGTGACTGAGCTCGTCACGTTACCAAAGCAAGAACGCGTCTGCGGTGTCTGTACATCTGCAGGCCGGGTCGCCTTGTCTTGACGCCTCTACTCGATGGATTAAACAGCCAACACAAACCGCAAAAGCGGATGCATTGGATATCATTGGATGGTGTGACTGAGCTCATGTCATGTCACCACCAAAGGGAAAAACACGTCTGACGCAGAACAAACGTGGGCTGCGGGACGGGCCTACGGGTAACATAGGTCCGCAGCCTATAGTGCCTGACGACTCGACGAGGGCGCCCTCTGACTCACTGAGTTAGTTTTGCCCGGAGCTCAACGAGGAGTCCTCACCAAGGGAAGAAACTACGCGTCTGCGGTGTCTGTGACATCTGCGACGTCTGCGGTTTGTGTTCAACAAACCCGTTGAATTCACGGGCTTTGGACTTGAGCTCTGTATGCAAATCCCCGAAGCCACGTTGATGCAGGCGATCTGGATCCTCTGCCCAACACATCAAGATTGCCTTTGTCCCGCTGCTCAGGACTGCCATAACTCCTCGACCAGAGATTAGGGCACTGAGAAGCCCCAGCACAGCACATAGACCGATCACATCTGTACGTGACATGTTGCCAGCTCCAGAAGCCCTCGTGAATGCGGCAAAAGCAGCGAGGCCCATGCCGCCCAGCCCGGCCAACAGCCATCCCAAGGTCTCCACACGGTCAATCAAGAGGTCTCCAATGATGGCCTTCATCCCTGCGCAAGAAAACAGGGCACAGGTACCGCGGGCAGAGTCACAGAAGGAACCTCCACGTATGGCACACATCACGAAGACCCACTGAGAGAAATACTCCTGGGTTGTAGTTTTGGGGCTCTGAAAAGTATTTATGAATAGGTACCTCTATAGAAACCATAAGGTAAATTAAAAAGTTTCCCAAACTGCCACCTAGACTCCATGAGATCTCCAATGCATGCAATGATGCTCTCCATGATGAGGCCTATCACACAACCAACCATGTTGCCATCCTCTGCGGCCTGACGTCTCACACTCCGGACAACAGTTTCTACAACCTGGATGGCAGCAACGATCAGGGTGCCAAAGCAAATGCTGCCAAAAGATGTGACGGTGGCCACAGAGAGGCTGCTCACAAGAGGTGACTCGCCTTCCTCGAAGTACCATCGACTGAAGACACCGGAATAGGCCACGTGGCAAACATTCTGGATCACGCCACTGCCCCACAGCAGCACGAAGAGGAAGAGGTACCCTAAACCTCCATGACCTTCGTCCGAACCATCTCCGGCAGATCCACCTGAAAGCTTGAGGAGGCAAGCTCCGTAGCCCAGTACCACTAATATGAACCAAATGGGCCCAAGTAAACCTCCAACTGCAGATATGGCGACCATTCCTGAGTTCTCACTGAAGGCTTTGGAAACCATCTGGATAACTTCAATGGTGAAAGGGATGTAACGAGCCCAGCACATCAGGGTGAAGGCTAGTGATAGGCCACCAACCAGGCATAGCATGATTCCACCGCGAACACTCCCAGCCAGCAATGCCATGACCCCCGCCACCAGAAACAGAGTCGGAATGGCATAGAGTGAGAAGTAGACGATGGTGCTGGCACAGGTCTGGGCAAGCATGATCCACATGGAAGCCACAATCAAGCCCCCAGCAGCACCAGCCACACATGCCAGGGACGCAGTAACCAACAGCGTGCCAGCTTCGGACTTGGACATGTGGATGCGATTGTCCACGGGCATGGCTTGCCCCTCGTAGCCTGAACCACTGTCCCATTGCATGGCTTGCCCCGCATACCTTGGACCATCGTCCACAGGCATGGCTTGCCCTCGATATCTTGAGGAATCATAGACGGGCCCTCCATAGCCATAGGAACTTGACAGATGCCTGGATGGCGCTTCACCCAGCTCCCCAGCAGATGTTGCCACGAAGATGATCAGTGCAAGAAGAGTCAGCAGGAAAAGAACCGCCCACGGTTGGTCCACACAAGCTCTGCGTGCCGGGAACCTTGGTGTCGAAAACTCGTCCCAGTAAAGCGGCTCAATCTCAACAGCCTGTCACTAGTCCATTTCTATGGTTAAAGGTTACTAGAGCACAGCTGCTAGCAGCCACCAAGAAACCTTGGTGCTTCTTGCAAGAAGTCCGCTCCACTCCTGATGGCTTCTGCCCGACCTGCTCGCCGCCTCTCTGGAAGATCATTGAGCTCCTAGGTGGCGCTTTTGAAGCCTTTGAAAAATATTAGTAAGTAAGATCCTTTTAAGCCCAATAAGGGAAATAAGGGAAAATATAAAATGTCCCAAAGCCCTACCCAGGCTCTTTCAGGTTTTGGAGGTCCACCTGGAAGCTTCTGGAAGCTGGGGGCTCTACAGGGGTTCTTAGATGTTGTGTTAGTCGCTGCTAGTCAATGGACGTCAATGGGCTTTCAGTAGAGGCAACAAACAACTGTCACAGCACGCGAAAATGTTCTGTTGCAGGTGACATAAACATAGAACTGGAGTTTCACTGCGTTCATTTTTCGGGGACCATTCTTGTGGACATTCTGGCTCGCCTCCCGGTTGTTGACCACGACCGTCCGAGAACTGCCAATCGGCAGCACCGTCGCTTACGCAAAGAAATTCGCGTCGCTTGCGCAAAGATTTGCCCAGTCGCTTGCGCAAAGACGGGTGTCGAATCCATTGTAAAAACCATAGGAACGTGCACTTCGGTCTTTTTCGGAAATGGCTTCAACAAGCTTGGAAAAGTGTCGAATCCATTGTAAAAACCATAGGAAAGTCCACTTCGCAAGTTAGCCGAAATTGACGACATTTGCGCGCGAAAGTGCCGAATCCATTGTAAAACCATAGGAAAGTGCACTTGCCCAGTTGGCAAGTGCTGGCCGAAAAGTGCGTTTTGAGCTGTATTAGGAAACATCTGACAGACCATCGAAAATGCACTTTTGGAGTCTCGAAAAGAATGTTTTCGTTGGTTTCCGGAGAAGCGTTTTCAGAGCATGCTTCGGGGGCCGATAACGTCCGTGTTTGACGCGTGCAACAAGGGCACTCTCAGTGGAACCGTTGAAAACGCACTTTTGGAGGCTCGAAAAGCACGTTTTGGTCGGTCCTGCGGGGGTGGGTGGGGTGGGGTGGGGGGGTGGGGTCGGGGCTAATAACGTCCGTGTTTGACGCGTGCAGCAAGGGCACACTCAGTGGAACCATTGAAAACGCACTTTTGGAGGCTGGAAAAGCACGTTTTGGTCGGTCCTGGAAGGGGTGGGGCTGGGGGGGTGGGGTGGGGGGGTGGGGCTAATAACGTCCGTGTTTGACGCGTGCAGCTCATTGGAACCCTGGAAAACGCAATCTTGAAGGCTCGAGACGCACGTTCTGGTTGGTCCTGGGGGGGCGGGTGGGGGGGTGGGGGGTGGGGTGGGGGGTGGGGTGGGGTGGGGGCTAATAACGTCTGTGTTTGACGCGTGCAGCAAGAGAAAAGCACGTTTTGGTTGGTCCTGGGTGGGGTGGGGCTGGGGGGGGTCGGGGCCAAGAACGTCAGGTTTGGTTTCATTGCTTCCACGGAAAACGTATTCTTGGAGGCTCGAAACGCACGTTCCGGTTGGTTCTCGGGGGGGGGTGGGGGGGTGGGGTTGGGCGCTAAGAACGTCCGTGTTTGGTGCGTGGAGTAAGAGAAGTCGCGTTGGCAGCAGTGCGTTCTGGTTGGTCCCATGGGCGGGCGGGTGGGTGGGGGGTGCGGTGGGGGGCTAAGAACGTTGGTAATTGGCGCATGCAGCAAGAGAAGTTGCGTTGGCACCAGCACGTTCTTGTTGGTCCCAGGGGGGGAGGGTGGGTGTGGGGTGGGGGGCTAATACCGTTCGTGTTGGACGCGTGCAGCAAGAGCAGTGTCGCTGGCAGCAGCACGTTCTTGTCGGGACGTGTTTGACGTGGGGGACTTAGAACCATTTTTTTCATGTTAGTTCCAGGGGGGGCGGGTGGGGTGGGGGGCTGATAACGTCCGTGTTTTTGTCGCGTGCAGCAAAAGAATTCTCGTTGGCCCCAGCATGCTGAGAACGTCCGTGTTTGACGCTCCCACGGAAAACGCACTCTTGGAGGCTCGAAATTCACGTTCCGGTTGGTTCTTGGGGGGGGGGTGGGGGGGTGGGGTGGGGGGCTAAGAACGTCCGTGTTTGGCGCGTGGAGCAAGAGAAGTCGCGTTGGCAGCAGTACGTTCTGGTTGGTCCCAGGGGGGGTTCAAATGCTTGAAAACAGGGGCTAAAGACCGACGCGGGGAAGCCGAATCCTGTGGCCCTGCCAGCACTTTAACAACTTCGGAACCAAAAAGCGCGATTTCCAGCATGCACGCCCAGAGCCGGAAACCATGGCCCTGCCGACGTTTCGTGCACTTTCAGACCTCCCCAACATCGCGAAGTTACAAGTAACGAAGTCCGAATTCATTGGCCCTGCCAACACAAAACGCACCTCCGCGCGTACAAGCGAACGGGCACGCCTTTGCACAAGCGAACGGGCAAATCTTTGCACAAGTGACCGCTCAGCCGCCATGGTTCACCACCATTTGGTGCTGCATTGCCGATCGACTGAACTCAATCTTCCAAATCTGGCAGCCGAACTTGAGCTTGAGCCGTCGAGACCCAGGGTTTTCGTGCCTCAACTTTTCGAACCGGGCGGCTAGAGCAGAGCAAATCTCTTACCTTCGGTTAGTAGGGAATGGAGGAATGGGGTACAATGTTAACTACTATCACTACCAGTCCTCCATTCCCTACTAACCAAAGGTAAGATCTCACTTGCATCCTGCCCATTTTCCTGGCTCCCGCTGCTTCGCAAAGCTGAGCTCCTCTCAGGCTCTCAGGTCCACGTACCTCAGAATATCTCAGGGGATGCCTCAAAGGACCTCTCATGGGATCTCTCAGAGCGAATGATCCAATCAGCTGTAAACCACTGATACAACAACTCTTGTGACAGGGGTGCTGCACTCAGCTGAGCCAAGGTGCATGCGAAAGAAAGCCTCCTCTGTGGTTCTCAAGGAGCAGCTGCTCTTCGGGCCGCAGGACTCACACAAAGATATGGAGACATTGGCACACAATCTGAATGCTGTGTACTCTTCAGCACAAGGCGCTCTGTCGCTCATCCAAACCGATCACACTCCCTTCAACGCCTCATACCAAATCCCAGTAGTTCCACCCTGGGACCTGCTCTGCCTTATTGCACATCCATGACGAGCATAAAGAATCATACACCCGCCCCTCAGCAAAAATGCTGAGGCCAAGGATGGCCAAGGTACATGAAGTGGTCGGCTTGGGATCTCATCTCCACGAAGAGGGACCGTAGGTCTCCTCTTCCGACTTTTCCGACTCTGGCTGCAACTTTGTGGCTTAGGGTTTAGGGATGGTTTAGATGGTTTCGGATGTGCATAATCTATGCATCATCTGCCCTGCTCCATGCAAGACACTGCAACCTCGATATGTCAGGTAGAACGTTGTCATCCCAACCCCCCCCCCCCCAAACACCTGCTGCGCCTGCCAGAGTTGGATTGGGTACAGTGAGACTGTGCCGAGGCCAAGCTTGGCAGAGATGAGCAGAGGCAGGGGGCGGATTCCGGATCACGGCACCGAATACGGCAGACTCCACCGACGTGTCACAGGATCCGGCTATGGTGGCAAAAGGAGACAAGGAAGAAGACTAGACCGGGCGTGACGCGCGATCCCGTTCTGGTTCCATGAAGGAGACGCGTGGGGAGACGAGAAGGGAAAAGGGGCCGGAGCTGTGTCATACGATCGATACATCTCGATACCCGAACAAGCGCAAGGAGGTGTGATACCCAGGCCTCTGAATGAGCCTCACGCGAATCCAGGGCCTCCTCCTGGTGAATTTCGATATCTAAGGCGCACAGTTGCCTCATATTCACCTGATTTGCTACAGCTACGTCCGAAGTGCATGGCAATACCACGGCAATATGATGCAAGAAGTCCTCGTCACCATCCGCCAGAGAATCCTTCAGGACGCCAGACTGCGCCTGCGGCATCACATGCCGAGCATCCAAAACGGCCCGGTAGAAGAACTCGATCAGCTAGGTTGGCCCTTTAAAGCCCCTGAAAATATTCGCAAATGAGGTCTTCTTAAGCCCAATAAGGGGAAATCTAAAATGTCCCAAAGGCCGACCTAGTCAGGACCAGGCCCCAGGCGCCTCTCTGTCCAGCTCCAGGCTTAGGGCCTGGGCCAGAGGTTTTGGAATGGGGGATGTCATGGGGTTTGGTAATGAGTCTATAAGGGCTACTATAAGGGATCTATGAGGGTAGTACTACAGTAATGTAGGAACCTGATTAAGAAACCTTGGGCCTTTATGAGGGTTCTTTATATGCCGTAGCTTGGCAGCTTGGTAGTTGTAAAGTCGTACTATAACCAAGCACAGTCCGGCCGGCACCCGGAAAGAGGCATTTCCAGCACGAAAGTTCAACTACAACCAAGCACAATGACCTGCTTTGCAAACCGGGTTTAGAGTTTACACCGTTTTGTAAGCTTCTTGTTCAGAGTTCAGGGCCCGCAAGGCTCACTCACAACCGTTGGCTGTTCCATGCCCTGCTTAGGGCCTTAATTAGCTGCGGGTTCCTGGCGGGGGGATTTGTCGTGATCAGAATAGAATCTGCTTCCCTCCTAGTCGTGTTGCCTACCCTGGCGAATAGTGTTGTCTGCATGCATGTTGCTACGACATAGCAGCGCAAGGAGTCTATGAGGCACCCAAGTCCAGTCTCTGATGGGCTTTCGGTTCGAGGTTGAGGGTTCGAGTTGGACGGTTCAGCGACTTGGACTTACGGTTTGGATAGGCGCGGGGTTCTCGG